CGGGGTGGGGGAACAAAGTCATAGCTACGAGAAAAATGTGAAATAAGAACAACAGAGAGAGAAAAAAAGAAGAGAAAACCCTAGTGGAGTACAAATCCGCAATGCACGAAAGCAACAAAAAAGATGTACTAATTAGTAATTACCAAGTCATCTACCATTATTTGGGAAAATGGGGAGCTTTACACTTATGAGTTTGACAACACATGAAAACTTAATTAAATCTAATCAAAATTAATTTAATGTTTATAATTAAATTTTTGAATTAATTAATATAGTATTAATAAATAAATTTCATATATTAAAGAGCTATTAGACAAGCTTCGTGCATTTATCTGAATAAGAATTAAACTCTATAGATGCGACCCATATACGAGATTTGAGAGTAGCCCATTAGTGTAGTTGGTTTGTCGCCTATCTTAAAGGTCATGATTGGAGGTCTCAATGGGAGGGTTTGAATCTCACTAAAATCATATATGGAAAAAAAGTTCAAGAATGATAGAAGGTCTGAATTGAATCTCTTGTGCACACATGATCGATCAAAAATTAAGATATGACCGGTGGGGTAAAGTCACAAATGTTTTCTCACGCTAGCTCCTACTTTCCACCAATCGTGTAGGATATTCAGAGTGTATATATATTTTTTCCTTATTTGTTTTTAATTTTAATCCCCTCGAGTATTATAATTTTATTTTTTTTTTGTTTTTAATTAGTTATCGAGATAAAAAATAATAATTGTTCAATTTTAATTCTCTAATATTGAAAATGTGTCACTTTTAGTCTTTTATGAAGATTAAAAAGTCGCTAATCTTTAAATAGTGTGATTTCTGCAAAAACTAAAATTAAAATGACATATATTAATAATTAGGGACTAAACTTAATAAAATTTAAACTCAAGAGCTAACATTTATAAAACGTAATCCTAAATTTACCAAAATTGAAAGTAGCCCAACTTTCCTTTCATTTGTATGTGGCCGGTTTATGTCAATAGAAAATGTATTGTTAATGTTTTACCTAAAGTCGAATCTTAGCTTATACTTTTTCTACGCCAACTACTCTTTCATAACATTCAAATTCAAAATTATATATAATGAGAACCAAACTCCTTTTACTTAAACAACGTAAGATATTGCTAATAACTTGGTTTTTATTTCCTTTCCCAGTATATATTTTATTTGTCATCCTGTATTGAACGTCTGATCGAAATCTACATCTTTTAGGACGAGACTAATATATCATCCGGAATATAATGTGTCACAATCCTCTAGAAGGTGGTGGGTTTGGTGAGGAGGGGAAGTGATAAAGACTTACCAATATTCTCATGCTTTAAAAAGAACATGCTCTATGTGCTAGCCATGTTTTGGGTCTGGTTAATTGTAGGGCTGCCCCTCTTCACAGCTCATTCTCACCAAAGCCTACCAAAAATATGCATATATATATATATATATATATATATATATGTGTGTGTGTGTGTGTGTGTGTGTGTAACTATAGGATCCTATAATTTGCAAGCCTACTCCCTATCCTTTCTTTAATTTGGCATCTCCTTATTTTAAAATTATATTAATTCACGAATTTTGATCTGTAGCATTTTATATATTCTGTTTAATTGCATTCAAAAAAAATATATTCTGTTTAATTAACCATAATGCATGTTTTCAGATTATTTAATAAATAGTTTTAAAATGAAGTTAACCTACACTAAGTTACACTATTTTTTCTTTTAATAATGAGGTTTGTTGATGCCAAGAAAGTCAAGATCAAGAAATCAAGAACAAAGACGTACAGAAACGAAAGAATGAAGAACACAAGATTTACGTGGTTTGGTAGTGTACTCACATTCATAGAAGTGAAGTAATTTTTTTAAAAAATTAACTGTAATGATTATATTATACATCCAAGACTTCAAACATTATATTTATATGTACGTAATCGTAACCTATAGTACATTTACAAAATTATTTATGCGTCGTACCATGTATACTCTAGCACATGTCATCTTTCAATAACATATGATATATACACCACACTTGAGATTAGAATACTTAACCTAATGAAAATAACATGTGATTATCATGCAAAGTATGCGGTGGGTAGTTAGTGGAGGCTAGAAGCTAATTTAATTTAGTCATTAAGAACAAATTAAATCATTTAATTTACCTGAGTTCTTTTTTATTTCAAGGTATGTACACACAGAGCATAAATAATACTGAGAAATTAAATTAAGATTGAGTTAAGTAAAGTCAGTTTGTAGGGCAGAAGAGGGAGTGAGGGACCCCACCTGAATAGAGAAACAATTTAGGATCTTGGAGATTTTGAGGTGTACGTACTGTTGCATGCAAATGGTCGTCTTGTTTTAATATGCAAGTAGCAAGATTAGGCACAAAATTCACATGGTGGCATTCTCCGGGAATCATTATTGTGTGGACCGTATTTTGTATACGGTAAAATAATGTATATTCAGTAAAAAATAATGTACATTGTATTCATGAGATGTACATTATTTTTATACTGATTGTATAATGTACATACAATACAAAAATAATGTACATTATAGTATATTAAAAATATACTTTTTGTTATGGTTCACATAACACTATGTGGACCATAATTTGCCATTCTCAGGATTTAAATCTGATATTTTTGGTTAAATTGAGTAGACTCATGTCATTTTATTTACAATACACCTTTATAGATTAATGCACATCATCTTTGAATCTTAATTGCATAATAAGTTCGATTAAATGTGTTTGTTGAAAAAAACTCTTGAGGTCAAGTGGTGTCAACATACCCCTTCTTATCGTGAAATGACACCTTACATTATTGAACCAAAAATCATCTTTTGACTAACCTAGCTAGCCTTCTCCATCTCTCGAGACCCAACAAAGCTATAGTACATAAATATTCTATCAACTACGCCCCTCGACCTGATCTTAGGACGTAACTCACCCTTCGTGGACAAATCTTGCAGAGGAACCCTTAGGTTTTTAGGGTATTATTATATTCTCAAAAATATTTACATTATTCGATTAATAAGTTGACATTTTCGCTTCCTTGTAACAACGTTTCAGTTTGTTCTCCAACCCCATAAACATGTCTTTTGAAAAGTTTCAAGCATAAAAGTTTTTAAAGAATTTAAACCTTTATGCTTTATTATATTAGTGTAATTAATGAATACCTGTTTGGGTCAATATATATATAATATATACATATACATTCATTGGTACGCTATAGAGACATGAGATAAACATGGATTGACTAAAGTACCCTGCTATGTGTACTATGTTTGATTTAAGGTTATGCATTTTGTTGACTATGTAAAAGAGAAATCATGTTATTGGTCTCCACTCTCATCTATCTTTCCTCCTTTCTTCCTTCCAGTTCCTGTTATCAGTCAAAAACAGTCGAAGTCCAGAAATACTAGCTTTCTTTCAAACATTCTTATCCTAATTTATGTAAACAATTCAAACATGTGCTCAATTTAACCAAAAAAAAAGTTTTTTTTTTTTTTCCTAAAAGAACATTAGATGATAGGCCGCCAACACCGATAATCTTTGTTTCTGATACAAAGGTTAGAATAAATGAAAACCAAAGCTAAATTACAAAAACTTCGGCAAGAAAACCCTACAAATCCTACAATATCTACAAGGACAAAACCTATTAATGTAACTCAACCCTACAATACCTACTAGGAGAAAACCTATTAATATAGTAACTTTTTTTTGGGGGGACATGTGAGAAACATACTGTCACTATATGAGGATGTACACAGGGTAAATCTTACTCCGTGTAATAGCTCACAAATCACACATGAAAAGTAAATTGTATTAGAAAAATCATGCATGTACATCAAGGAGTTTGAATGAAAACATATTTGTAAGAATTGAACTCGTGTTGTCCCGATGGCATTGGTCTAGTAAATGTTTGGTAAAAATGGGTCTCGTATTGCCTCGGGGACTTGCTTCTAGCGGCAATGATCGGTCTTTGCTACGAACACTAAGGATTTGGAAATTGGGTACAATTTAGTGTTGAATCCCAAAGCTAGAATGATTCAATTTACCGGCCTCTTTATGGGCAATTTATATCATTGACCAAGGTCCACATGACATTGCGGATCCGGGATCAAAACGATGAGGTATAGAATTTATACTCGTAAGGTACAGAAATTCATAACACAAGACACAAAAAATCATCACACAGAACACATACACATGCTATATATTTACTTATTTTTCAAATCTAATTTAGGTACACAATTTGTGTTCATAGACACAAAATTTCACAACACAAAACAAAAAGAATTTATAAACATAAGACACAACTACTAATTTGTTTCAAGTACAAAATTCATACACTTAAGATACAGAATTTCATAACACAAAACATAAAAACTCACAACATACACGTGCACCAGGATTCACAGTGCACTGCAAACCCTGGTCATGGTATAAGGATTGCTCCTTATGAGTCTGGAACTGGTTCAGGTCAAAAATATAATTCGACAAATATGAAAATCATGTTTAGCCCATATCTAACCATCCTTTCAAGCACAAAATTATACTGTAATGTCTTGATCTGTATTTTCCAAAAATGGCGGCCGCACGCCATTTTTCAAAAGCCATTTAATTTGGAAGCTTCAAATTTTAATGGACAAATACTATTTGCGAAAGAGAAAGATAACAATATATACACACAGATTACGTACAGAATATTATTCTGATTATATATATTCTCTACTTGCCAGCCGTCAAGCATCACAATCTTTCAAAGAAATTCAACAACGCAGTAATAGCTTTATCAGATTGTTAGCTGCATACAATGTATTGTGATAGAATGGAATCCCAAACATGGCGGCCACAACAATCAAATGTCGGATCTTGCCTATAAAATATTATACATTCATGATACAATGTCAAATTTCTGAGATTTTGTTCGATATACGATAAGGTAAGACTCGAACTAAAATCTTTCTCAAAAAGATGACAATGACAGGAAATCAGGAATGCATGAAGATGGATGTTCTTATTAAGATGGGAAAAGAAAAAAATAAAAAAAAAACAACTCTGTACAAGACTATAAGTTAAAGAAGCTCAACATGATATGGGTCTGGTGAAGGTCTTACATGCATAAATTACAGTTTACAGTTCCAACTGTTAATGCAGTTTTATAAGAGGTTTATTGAGATCTGGGAAAAAGGGAACATACAACAACAATGATAGATTGGGGAGGGGTTGATCGAGCTTCGAGGAGACAACTAACCACCTCTCGGGACTCACTGCTTTTGTTGTGATCAAGCTTGTGGGGCAGCTAGGTCGAGCTGCATGTTGGTTATGGCTGCTGCTGCTTGGGGGTGGTAATGAAGGATCTCCGTCCACATCATTTCTCTGATCATTTCTTCCCCGAGATCCTCGTCTATGTCAAGGTTGATCGGGACCTGAGCTGGCGGGTCGCTGTTGGGGTCGTACAGAGAGGACATGTACGGGTGTTGAAGTGCCTCGGTGACACTGATTCTCTTTGAAGGGTCGAACACGAGCATCTTCTGCAGCAGGTCGATTGCCATGGGATGGGCGTTGGGGTAGAGGCGGGAAAAGGGCGTTTTGGGAGAGTATGGAAGGGATTTGATGTACTTCTTTGCCTTGGGGTTGTCGATGAATTCAAGATCCTCTTCGCTCTGGCTGCCGAGGATGTTGATGATCAGTTTAAGTTGGTTAAGACATTCGGATCCAGGGAATATCGGTTTCCTTCCCAGAAGCTCAGCAAATATGCAGCCTACTGACCACACATCAATCGACGTTCCATAATTGTCGCAGCAGAGGAGCAGCTCGGGTGCACGATACCAACGGGTAACAACATACTCTGTCATGAACTGATCCTTACCGCTATTTGTTCGTGCAAGTCCAAAATCGCAGATTTTTAAGTCACAATTTGCATTGATGAGTAGGTTCCCAGGCTTCAAGTCACGGTGAAGAATATTCGCAGAGTGAAGATACTTCAGGCCTCGAAGCAACTGCATTCGACATTTCAGATTAGTCTCAAAAAGGAAAACTATAAAGGGCATAAAAAAGGAAAAAAAAAAAAAAAAGACCCTTTGTATTGCTTAATTTGTTCGAGTCCACAAGGATTTCAATTTGAGAAATCGAAATTGAAATCAACAATGTACCTGGAACAAGAAATATTGGCAATGGTCACCCGTAAGTGCCTGTGAGGACTTGATAATCTGATGCAAATCCGTGTCCATAAGTTCATAAACCAGATAAACGTCTTTGAAACTTCTCTTGTGAATAGGCAACATGACATCTTTCAGAGAAATCACGTTCGCGTGTCTAAGATGGCGGAGAAGCTTTATTTCACGCAAAGTTCTCAGCGCATCAACGCGGTTCTCAAACGCGTTATGTATTTTCTTGATGGCAACTCTTTCGTTCGTTTCCTTGTTGACGGATGAGCAGACAATACCATACGCCCCTCGACCAATGGGCTTGATTGGCACGTACTTCGTGTCAATCTCAAACAACGTTTGCCACATAGAATAGTAATGCTTCCCAGGAGTCATAACTCCATTCGGAGGATCAACAGGGGTAGCCGCCATTTCCTGAAACGATTGCAATCCAAGCAAACAATTTAATTTACAACTAGATCAGTCACTATCCCAAAACAGAAAACAGTGATTGCAAGCTCTAGCTTTCCAAATAAGATATCCTCTCGCCCGCACGGGTTTAGCTTACTGGTTTCAGTAGGCAGTATTTGGAGGAAGAGACCAAGGTTTGAAACTCAGTGTCGGGATTATGCCCAAAGTGGACAGATCCCTTGTGCGCACTGACATTTGGCCAGTTGGCCTGTCTGCTGAGCCACTGAGTTACCGTGATTTACATACTCCCAAATACCCTTTCAACTTTTCGGGGGAAGAAATAAGATATCCTCTAATCGTGATCTGCCCTACTCTATGCAACATTAACTGTATTTCCTCGAATGCAACGCAGCATAGTTCATCACTCATCAGTGTTTAAAGCATCTCATGACAACCATAATGAGCTTAACCATTTAACAGCTTGTCCTACTAGGAATCAAATATAACCAATCAACAATTAAATGCTCGATTTAACCTCGAATGCAAAGCTGCAAAGCCATCTGTGTTTTAACCTCAGAAGCATTTAACAGCTTGTTAGAGGGAGGCAGGTTATGGGCAATGGACCTACTAGGGATAAAGCATAACCAATCAACAACTAAAATGCCAATATAAGTTCTTCTTCTTATTGAACTTCCAGTATCCTTCACTGCATATCAGACCTCCAGCTGAAACATTACTTCTTTGCTCAAAAAACAAATCCAGATAGAAGATTTGGATACATAAACTTCCCCAGTGTACTTAGGAACCTCAAATAACACCAAACAGAAACATTAAAAAATAGAAAGCTAAAAACAACCAAAGAATACCAAAACATTAACAGTCACCACAGACAATCATGCAAAAAGTAATATCTTTTAGGGAGAGGAGAGGCATAAAGATACAAATCTTTAGTCTTTACAGCGAACAAATGGAAATTATACATAAAGTTAGCATCTTCATGAATCCATGAATTTCTGCAGATACCAAAAAGAAAGCAGAAAAACATGAAAAAAATACCTTTCGACAACAAATTCTCCTCGAAACCCTTCACTGTCGTCTCCTCAGCTCCATCTAAAGATCGAATTTTCCAACGAGCTTCAAACCTTTTCCCAGATTAAACTCCAATATCTCAGGAAATTCCCGTCCGGTCCCAGCAAACTCGAATTCCCCAGTGTTAGTCACTAAAAAATCCTCAACCTTTGAGATAACCCAAGTTAATTAGCCCAGAAAACAATTTGATGGCGCCTTAACGAGTCAGATCAGAAGGATCTAAAACAGATTAATTGCCCTAAACATTTCCCCGGCTCCCACAGTAAACGGGTCACTTTACGTCTGTACCCGAACTTTTACGGTATATGCTCCAATAGATATCCTTGCCAAACGCCTAGTGCCCACGACAAGATATTTGAGATTTCTATCCCTCCCCCACACCCCCTCACGACACTGTTTTTCCTTTTCTCCTTGTTTTTTTTACCCCTTTCCTCCTCACATTATTCAATGTTCATTAACTGTAAACTCGCTGTCTTGTCGCCATCGCTGAATCAGAGTGTTTTTAAACCATTAATCAGAGTGTTTGCTTTCCAGAGTTGTGATTCCGGTACTCCTGTTTTACCAAGTATTACTGATTTAGAAATGATCAACTTCTTATAAAAATTCCTTTTTAATTCATATATTATATTCGAATAAGATCTTATCAATACTAGACCGAATTAATTTTATATATAAATATGATGTGATAGGTAAAAAAAAAATTGAAAATGATAGAGATTATACACTACTCGTATATTTAATATGGGTTCATACAGGAGACCGAGAGGTCCATTTCTTGAGCATATTCGATCATCTTGCGTTTTATTCAACCCGAGTATAGTCGGGAGATGCCCCCACTGGTTAGTAGAAGTTGTACTATGCACTCAGGATGAAATTCCCGATCACCTAGTCAGGAAGATTGTCCTGAGCACCAAACCCAACTATTAAGCGCCACTCAGTTGTATCGTATGATCAAATCACCTTTTACGCGAATGTTTGGAATCTCGAAGCACATGAAACCATTAGGACTGCGCCTTGTCATAAACCGATGATGCGATGCATGGAAGCCATATGGCTAGCATGCTGGAAGCTCGACATGTGTCTCCTCCGAACTTCTATATGAACCGCATTAAATGTCTGAAGGAGAGATTTTTGAACTTCAGACTATACATAACATAAGTTTGGAAACGTCTGACCTCATATTCAGCTACCCGAGACCAAACACTATGATCAAATACAATATACCATCATATTTGTCACATTAGAAAATAATACATTTTGTCACTGAATTATAAAGAAATACGGAGTAATACTTGTTATCTCTTAATTATACGGAGTTTTGTCCTATAATTGTTTGTAAAGCAATTTTTTTTTTTTAATTCCTCAGTTGTCTACAAAGTTAATTTTTAAACTAAATCCTATCACAGTCTGAACTCTAAGAGCAACCCCAATAAGAGGACCAGCCGGCCCATCCCAAAGTATAACTACGAGTTTTTTAACTGCAACAACTTAAATATACGCTATTGGAGCTGGAATTACTGCGGCTGCTGACACCAGACTTACCCTCCAATGGATCCTCGTTAGGCAGTAGTATTGGCTAGAGTGCTTCTCTAGAATTTCTCTCTGACTTATCTCTAGAGTGTCAATGCAAGCGTGAGTTTTCTTCATCATTTTTTCAAGTAAACATTCGAATTATTTCTCGGATGCGAACTGGGATTGGTAAGATGTACGTAATCAAGAATCATCAGGCAACTTCTTAACCAGATTACGTCCATACCCTTTGAGGTGTGTGAAATATAAAGGACTTTCTTATAATTTCACCTCAAGGGCTTTCACTCGATGGCGCGAACATACTCACAATCAATGCCTGCACAGCGCATTTGACGGAGACGGGTATGCAAAATGCCGGGTGGCACTTGTCAACTCTTGCAAGAGAAAAAGGTGTGAGGTGGAGGAGAGAGGAGAGAGGAGAGATGAGAGAGGAGAGAGGAGAGAGAGGGGAGAGTGTGTTGCAGACTTGCTGGAGTTGTAGTTCTTTGTCCTCTTATGTGGCCCCACAACGAAAAGAAGCAAAAAATGACACCTATTTGAAGTTTTTTTTTAATTATTTTTTTTATTTTTCTTTTGCTAAAATTTGTTTTTTGTTTTTTTTACCTCATTCCCTAATTTTATCTTTTCTAATCACACCTACAAAAACTCCTCAAAAACCACCCCAAGATCGTCACTATTGGGGATGCCTAAAGGCAATAAAAGAAATCCACGTCACGTCACAACAATTGAATGGTGAAAAATTCACTTTGCAATTAATTAAGAGACGAAAAATTGTGATAATATTTTCAAATAATGAAAATTACTATTCCTTTATAAAAAAACAAACACTACTGTGTTTTTCCTTTGAAATAGTGTCACATTACAAAAACTTAATTTATCTAGTCTATACTCTTACATAATAATTATGAGTTTTCGTCGCGATTAAAAAAAAAACAACTTTCACCCTCCATCTCACTTGACAACTGCTACTAGTGGCAGTAGGAAGCTAGGGGCGAAGTTGAAAAACATGGTGCGAATTAAAATAAAGAAAAAAAGCCCGTTTCCTTTTATTTTTTATAGTTAATAGTTAATTTGATCTATTTACTTTTTGAGGTGCCGATAAGTTATAGGACCAACAAGAAATGGTACAATTACTTCATGCCACATCACAAAGTTTGGACCATAAAAGAGATTCTTCTGAGTTTTTTTTACCTTTTAAACATTAAGGATGCTCTGAATATCATATCAATATCAATGAACTATTCTATTGTCTATTTGTCCAAGACAGATTTCAACCTGAGCGTATTTTTGAATAATAGATATACACTTTTCTATAAATCAAGACATACAAACTTTGTGTATATGTACATTTACATACATAATTTTATAAAAAATCAAAACTAATATATGTAGCTCAAAAAGAATGATCGAGGGGATAAAACATAATTATTGTATTTGAATTCAATTATTATTAGCACCCTTTATGTCGAGTTAGGGCACACTTTGCAAGTTCCCATTTTTAGTGCATTGCAAGTTTTTATTATTTTTTAATATACTGCATGTTTATTTTTTGAAAGATTCAGTGTACTGCAAAATAACTAAAAATGAATTTGTAGTACACTGAATCTTATATTATGGAATAAAAATAAATTGTACTTCAAAAAAGAGAACATGTATTTTTTTTTTTTTTTTTTTTTTTGAAGCTACTGGCTCTATTAAATAGTCAACATTGGTTGTATTGCCATTTGATCTATTAATGGGCTTTCCAATTCGTTTCTGTAGTTTGTATGGGCTTAATTGGGCCTGTCACCAAAAAACATTGGCCCATATAATTTTTGCGTTAAGTCGGTGACGAGGTAGTTGGAGGTTGGCCCCACCGATCCGTTCAAGGCAAGGAAACCGAATTCACACGGGTAGAAGGAGACCCAATGCTTATAGATCATGGAGTCAACGTCAACGTATTTTCCTTTTTTAAATATTACTCGTAATTAAAAACTTAATAATTCCCTTGATCTTACGTTAAACCCAGAACGACAAGGGCATCGTCACGCTGCTTCCTGTCGCTCGAACAATTTTTGCAGGGAGATCTTTCGCAGATTCAGGTAAGTTCTTGGCTAGCTGATTCATATGCCCACGCGCTGCAATTTTTCAATTGTGATATTTCAATGTTTTATTACCTTCAATATCTTGGCTTTGGGATAATTAAGGTTATAAGATTCATAATCATTGTGGTGTATTGAAGATTCTAGTCTATGGCATACGCATATTCATGATTTTTTGGTCGTAATTTGATATTGGATCCGGAATTTTGCTGGTTTTTCGGTTGCAAGGTCTTGAAGAAAGGGGCTTTCTTGTAGGGTTATTAATTTGAATTACTGGGTGAATTGGGATTTTATGATAGAATACAGACTTGTTTTGGAAGATTTTTTTAGGGAATGAAATATAACAAGCTTAGAGTAATTAAAAATCTGTTAACAGGAAGGGTGCATTCAGAGAAGGGTATTCAACATCTGAAAGCGAAATGTTTGTATGGTTTCTCCACAATGTGGCTAAAAATGGTTTCTTTATCTTGCAGAATATTCATCTGTGTTTGCTATCAGAGGGATTGTCAAAACATCAGAAATTTATTTGCTGCTGAGAACCGAGGGACGTGATGGCAGGACAACTGCCTGGGTATCCTTCTCATCATAAAGCTCAAAGTATTGCATTGAGTAAGTACCTGCAAGAAGACCCTCAAAGTTTGAGGAGATGGTATTTCTCTAGAGAAGAAATTGAAAACCATTCTCCATCAAGGAAGGATGGCATTGACTATGAGAAAGAATCAGGTTTACGGAAACTGTACTGCTCATTCTTGCAAGAGCTTGGGATAGAGCTTAAAGGGTAAGTTCTCTCTCTCTCTCTTTTTTTTTTTTTTTTTTTTTTGAAAACTATTGACTCTATTACAAGGTAATATCTGTTCTATACTTTCTCTAACTACTGAAGCCCAAAGAGTCAATACCCCACCACCGGGGTTCGATCCTGTGACCTTCCCTCAAGGGGAGCCACAGAGGTGCCATCTGAGCACCCGGTGTAAGCTCTCTTTTCTTTCTTTAACCAGTTGAAAAAACACAAAATCTTCAGGTGCAAAGAGTAGTTTCACTGTTTTGTCCTATGGACTTTTACCCCCTTACTCTGTAATGTACTTGTCTAGAATGGGCGAGTGTCTTACATCTTTTTCTCTTATTCCCTTGTTCCCTCTTGTTCCAGCCAAGTATCCTATAAATTAGGGATTAATCTGCACATGTTGGGCACATACTTCTCATGCTATAAATTCTCTTCTATAATTAAATCAGTGTAATATTAAGTTTTGACCTTAATGATATTATTTTCTATTGTTACAGAAAAACAAAACTACATCTGAATTTTCATGAATTTGAAATGTAAAAGTACTACAACACCATATGGAGTATATATAAATCTCTAAGAAAAAAAGAAGAGAAACCAAGAGAGAAGTTTCTTAAGGTAGCTGAATATTTGGGTACATGTTGAGCATAGCCCTTTAATTGTCTCTAATTATATCCAGTTTGTTCTTTTAAGATCTCACTTATGACCCTTGCACCTGGAATTAATGATACTATATCAATTTTCAGGCCTCAAGTGACAATTGCAACTGCAATGCTATTGTGTCATCAGTTTTATATGCGCCAATCTCATACAAAGAATCACTGGCAGGTAGATGTCAGCTTAGTGTGCTAAATTTATATACAGCAGTCCGTGTAGAACTTTGAATGTCAATATTCTTAGCTGTGGTTGATACAGGATTTTAAATTTTTATCTGCTGAATAATGTGCTTCCAAAGGGGCATGGGCTGTCTTACAAATGATATGCTTATGTAGTTACCGAAGTCTTATTATCTCAGAAATTCTGTGATTAGGTTTTAATATCTATATGGGTTCAGTGAAGAATTATTTTACAAAGTAAAATAAGACATTAATATCTCCAAGATGACAATGGCTGTTACAAAAGCTAATTAATATGTTTTAAAATCAATTATGTTAAGAGGCTGTCTGTATATCTCATAGCGACATGTCACTATCTCTATTCTCTATGATATTTGTGATGCACTTCTCAGTGTAGTGATAAACTATGTGCAGATTATTGCTACTGCGTGCATGTTCCTTGCCTGCAAAGTAGAAGAAACTCCGCGCTGGCTTTCAGATCTTGTTGTTGTTTCATACAAATTAATATACAAATGGGATCCTTCTGCCCCACAAAGAATCAGAGATAAGGTATGGGTATATGGCAGCCATAACTGCTGTTATAGCTTTAATTTAGTTGGAGCTTGGAGCCTCTTAACCTGAAAGTGATGCTTCTTTATAGGAAGTTTATGATAAGCATAAAGAATTAGTTTTAGCTGGTGAGCGACTTCTATTGTCGACTGTTGCTTATGAGCTCAATATCGAACATCCTTACAAGCCACTTGTTGCGGCTATAAAGAGGCTGGAAATCTCTCATAAGGAGCTTGCTAAAGTTGCATGGAATTTTGTGAATGATTGGTCAGTACTTTTTCCTTTCGTTTTGAGCATGTTTGTACTTCTATATAGTATCAATATTGTCCTTTGACTGGGAAATTTAGTCCATATTTACTAATGGTCTTTTTTTTTTTTTTTGGGTGGGTTGGTTCTGTAGGCTTCGATCAACACTGTGCTTACAGTACAAGCCCCACTACATTGCTGCTGGTTCTTTGTTCCTTGCTGCAAAATTTTTAAAGGTGAAGCTTCCAACAGGAAAGGGGAAAACCTGGTGGATGCAATTTGATGTCTCACCAAAGCAATTAGAAGGTTTGTCCAATAGACATCCTCCTTAGTCTTTGCACTTCCATACTGTTGTATCATAGGAATCTACACTTCCAATGTTTGGGAGTGTTATAATTTAAGATTGGGCCATGGTCACTCAACTGGGCTATAATGCACATGGGCCAAACCACACTAAAAGATTGAATCCAACCAATTAGCTAGTCTAACCCATGGCCTTATAAACCCATATGTTCTCTCTTATTTTATAGATGTGGGACTCTTAACAGGGAGGTTGCATCAAGTGTTGCAAAAACCAATGACTCTTGATTTTGTGCAAATTTTAGGGAGGGGTGCATGCATTAACTTGGTAAATGTTTAAATTTGGGATGTGAGGTCTTACAGTGTTTTCAATTTGCATATGGTTTATAAGAGGAGTTGTAATCTTTTTTCCAAATCAATTGTGTTTTATTTTTTTTCCCTAGTTTTACTTGGTCAAATTTAATTTGTTATGGTGTCGTTTGCCTATTGCAGTTTCTAATATGTTCTTCTCTGCTAATGCTTTGAGGGTCATTTGAATAGCTACGTCTTCCTTAATGTCTTTTTTCATATAGTGTAGTGATGTTTCTTCATAAATCCGACATCAGTAGTACCATGCATCTAAAATCTTTAGTCATGATTCGTTGATACTGTGGCAAATAGGAGATCCATAGGCTCATTTAACTTGCTATCCTGCAGTAGTTTACAATGCTACATTTCGGGAAGTCAATTGTTATTTTGCTCACTTGAACTTTTTATCCACTCTTTCTTGGAGTACTATTCACATAAATTGGTTGAATCGCTTCTGTGCTCACCTCTATTCATATTTTTCAGATGTTGTTCAGCAAATGCTCCGTTTTCTGGAGAATCACGGTCAAGCAGTACCACCAAAATGCGGTAGATCTACTGAATCTAGACCTGCAATTGGAAAAGGTGTGTCTTGTAACACAGAGTCGTGTATTTCAAGTGGTTCAATTATTGCTCCAGCTGCCAGTAGTACAGCAACGGTGGATACAGGTGGGCTTCTAAAAAATGCAATTTCCGGAAATGGCAATGGACATTTAAGCACTGTTGGTGATTCTCTCAAACAGAAATATCAGAAACAAGCAGTACCATTACCATCTGGTAGGCCTACTGAATCGAGACGTGCTCTTGGGAGAGACGTATCTAGAACCATCGAGTCATGTGTTTCGAGTGGTTCAGTTGCTGGTCAGGATTGCAGCAGTTCAGCAATGGCGGAGACTGGGCAACTCCCAAAAAGCGTGATTTCCAAAAACAGCACTGCACAATCAAGCATCACTATTGATTCAGCCAAAGAGAATAATCAGAAAAAAGAGCTTCTGTCAATGTGTGGTGGATCTACTCAATCAGAAGCTGTGTCTCATAGCAAAAAGCCATGCATTTCAAGTAGTTCAGTTATTGCTCAGGATTCTAGCTGTACATCAACGGTGCAGACTGGAGTGCTTCCTAAAAGTGCGATCTCCAGAAACAGCAGTGAACCGTCAAACGCTGTTGTTGAGTCTATCTACGAGAAGGAGCATTTGGATATTAGTGATTGTGGTAGTGCAAATAGTGTAGTTGAGGATGGTAGCAGTGAGCCTAGAATGGGACAGGCCAAACAAGAACCTTGCAACACTGTTTCTGCTGAAGAGCCCAAGAGGAAGATAGATGTTCATCGTATCAAAGAGACACTAAAGAGGAGAAAATTGGACAAAACTATGCACAAGAAAGTAGAGATGGACGATGAGATAGACAGTGAGGCGTGGATTGAGAGAGAACTTGAAAAACCTTGCAACATTGTTTGTGCTGAAGGCCCCAAGAGGAAGATAGATGTTCATCGTATCAAAGAGACACTAAAGAGGAGAAAATTTGACAGAACTACACACAAGAAAGTAGTGATGGGCAATGAGATAGACAGCGAGGCATGGATTGAGAGAGAACTTGAAAATCTAGAATAGACCCTGATTTGAAATGTACATGTAAGCACGACAAGGGAAAAGCCCTGGTTTAGAATGTACACGTAAGCAGAACAAGAGTAACGTACAGATTGAGTTCTATGAGGAAATCAATATATATTACTTGCTGAAAATGCATTTGTGAAGTTTCCTTGATCGAAGTCTTTGTGATTGCAATAACACTTAAACTTTCTATTGTTAATATTGGGTATATACTTTGCACATCAGTGCAGTCAAGATTGAAATGGTGCCTTGGGTTTCTTCCCCTGAATGTTATAGAAAATTTGAACATGTTTCTGGTGATGAAATTTAGTGGAAAAAGTTTTAAAGAATTCCGACATCTAAAGATAGCTTTCTGCAACATGTGAAGCTTTGATCTAAACAGCCCCTTTTGCAGAAAATATTTCTGAAACAGGAGTATGGACAGTTGGCCCCATTTGTAATTGTGAGCCCTAACTCCATTGTTAGGTTTGGGAATCCATTCCCATGTGATGAAATCTGTGAATGAGCATACAAATTATGGTTTTCCAAGTTCGGTATAGATTGCAGTGGAATGCACAACATGGGGCAGGAAATGTGTTACAGACCACCAAAGTAAGCTTCATTATGCTCTATGTTTATGTGTATGTGCGTATATATATAATATTTTTACTTTACAGTTCATTAATTGAATCTGTTTCAATTACCGAACTACTAGCTAATGAAGTGTAAAACATCGTAGGAATCCATGGAACTTATGTCTAGTTGCCACAGGAGATGAAGGCAAACTCCCCAGGAATTCAGGCTTTTAAGAGGCCATTATTGTAGGGCTGTCCATCTTTTACTTGCCACATTCTTCACCTTCCCCATATGGAAAAAAAAAAATCGTTTTCTCAAATCATTTCTGACTGATTAATTCCTTGTTTATTTAATTCCCATCCCCAGCTTTATATGCCAATTAAATACTATCCCTTCCTCCCCACTAAAACATCAGTCAAAATTGAACTGTGTTAATCACCAGAAAGTGAAACTGACTTTTTAGTATTGACAAATGAAATTTCTTGTTGAGGCTTTCTAGATCCCGTATCCTTATGAATATGAAGAAAGTTGTTAACTTTGATTTCCACTAAACTTGTGAACACGTTGCTCAGGTGCAGGGACAAGACACTGGGTCAAACAAACAAGCTAAGGTTTGTCCGACCAAGGAAAAGAAACCTTTCTTACACTCAATCATGTGATGGTAAAAGCCATATCAGAGTGAATTGGAAGGCAGAAAGGGTGATCTGAGTGTGATGATAAGATTCAAGCGTGCGTTTATATATTCAAGTTGAATGCATCTTATCTTCAAGATTAGCTGCGGGTAAAAGAATGGCAATGAAGATGAGATTACTGTTGTGATGAGTGGATTTGGGAAAGCAAAGATGATGAGAAGATCATAGAATTGAACATCTATGGTCCTAGCTAGTGTTGGATTTCCATTCACTTAAGCATATTATGTAAACATGTATTCTTCCAGACTTCAAATCCTTTGTCTTCTTCTCTGACTCCTTTTTAAAACCTGCAACTTTAGACCTCCTTTTTAAGGGGCCTTGCCAAATTTGTGTTACTTTAAGCTGCATTATACAATCCTTTCATGAAAGCTTGTCTTCCTCTTTTATATATATAGCTTGTTTGGTTTGATTCCTCATAGTTACACCACCATTTATGTGATTATAAAGCAACATTTCCGCGACTATAAAATTTACCTCATAGAATTTATTGAAAGAGACTTGCAACGAGTATCTCAATAGGTATTAATTGAGACTGACTTCTCTATGTGAGCTGTCTATTAACCTTCTTGATTTGAATCGATCAGTTATAGAGAACCAAGCATATTTGTAAGTAGTAGTCATCGATTTTCTCGTATGAAAGGAATTAACTTTGACTAAAGTCAATCTATCTATATCTTAATAGTCATTGGATTTTTGTTAAAACCAGTGGATGTTAATAGGTATACACTGGGAATCTCATGATTAAACCTTTGATGATGACATGATTAGGCCTAATCACAGTACGACAATAATTAGTTTTGCTTATTGAATATTGAATAGTAAACTTATCTTTACCAAAAAGAAAAAAAAAAAGCATATATTATATGGATATATAGTGCAAAATGGTACTAGGGTTTTGACCTGTACAGATATTCATTTGACTGAACATGAATATATAATAGATAGAAATTGTTTTATTAAACGATTGTGACGGACCCTTAAAGCCATCAATGATGGTAAATCTGCCTTTTTGAGGATAATAATGTTTAATGATATTTTTATCTTTAATTATGTGTTAATTTATTTCAATTTTAATCACTTATTCAGTTATATCTATTATACCCACTATTAAAATTTTTTTATATTTTAGCTCCTTATCTAGTATTGTCGTCATTTCTGATCTAATTTACACTATCAAAACAGATTAAAGTCGAGCATTAAAGTAAAAATACTTTTATAATTAAAATTAAAAGTAGAATAAACTCAATTTTATATTATTAGCACATATATAATAATGAGAAACATTTAGTGCTTAGACAACCAAAGTAGGGACTATGTTTTTATAACTTTATATCTCTGTGGCAGAAGAGACACACACATAGGAATATGCTCTTCACTTTTGTTAATTATGAGTGTGTGTATATATATATTTTTTATTTAAATATTAATTCTTTTAGTTACTCATTAAAATATTACATTTTTTTTCATAAGGTTAAATAAATAAATAATATTCCTAATAATTGAAGCCTTTCCCATCTTTAATCTCTGGCTTTAATTTTACTTACTTTCTCAACAAAAATAAAAAATAAAAAATAAAAATGGTTGCAAGTCATAACACTTTTTGGTCAGTCCATTTTTTTTTTAAATTTTTTTTTATCTAACCATAGGATTCCTCACCCAGTCAACTAGTAACCACACACCAGATCAGGACTATTCTTATTTGTATTCGGTAGGATCGAAAGACTAATCCTGTTCGTACCAAATAGAATCAGATTTTAAGGTAATTGCATTCTTAGGACTAACCCGAAAGAAAACTCACATTTACCATTTTATCCACACCCATGCGTTTCGTCACTCCACCTTTATGAATTCTAAATTGACTCCCTTTTTAGATAAAATGAAATTAAAGTGCGATTGCATTTTACTCAATAATTACACACTCGTGGGGACCAAAGTATGTCTCTTTGATCGATCCTACATTGATTTTCTAATGTTTACTTTTCCATGTTTTAAAGGAATATAAGTACAAACTCATTTCCCTTTGGAGGAGGGGTGTTGACAAACTTTTTTGAAAGTTAGTTGCGTCAACTTCAATTGAATAATAATTATTTAATTATTTTATATCATTTTATTCTTTAATTAAGTTATTATTGGACACCCAATTTTTCCTAATTATTTTCCAACCATATAAAAAAAAAATCTACCAAATTACTTCATAATTCACCCGGTTTCAAATCACTTTAGGATCATATCTATTACTCTATTAGAGATTGGTAACTCACCACATCAACTAGTGACCTAGTATCACGTAATATCGGTCGGTAATTTTCTAAAATCCTAAAGTAATTTGAAACAAGGTGAATTCTGAATTAATTTTGACTATCTCAACGAACATTACCACTTAAACTGATCTAAAATGAAGATAAATTTGAAATTTCTCATAAGTTATGATCAAAAGTGAATTAGTTTGAACAAGTATATGAAGTGTTTGTAATAGGGGACAGAGATGAGTGAATTAGTCTTCCATTGCATCTTCAGATATGGAGCATTGAAGAAAAGAAAAATGGAAGGAAGAATTGAAGATGAAGCTAAGGAATCTTGAATGGATTGTTTAATTTATAGTGAAAAAGAAGATGGATGGATTGAGAATTGCTGGGGAAAACCGACACAGAGAAACAGCTTTTGTGAAATCAATCTTGGAAGATAGTGAAGACTAACAAGTATGGAAAGGTGACCACCAATATCATGAATTCAAATTAATTAATTAAAGCAAAGAACAAACATTATTTATCAACTCATGTGCTTGTCTCTCCCAAAAATTCATTTCTTTTTTCCTATTGTATTTACCATTTTTTTTAAAATCTCAAACTCATTAGTAATTGTCACACTAAATCTGTTTGCACTGGGTAACTCACTCATGTTTAATAGTTCGCAAATCATACAGGACTTATGACTTGATATAATCGATAATTATACTCTACTCACTCACTCAGTCTTTTTTAAAATTTAGTTGTTCTAAACAATGTTAATTTAAACCCAACGATAACCTTGCCATTGAATTTTCCTTTAGTAAAGTACCATTGAATCTAATTAATAGGAATTGTTGGGGGGGGGGGGGGGGGGGGGGGGTGCTGAAAGGGTGAAAAGCAAAAAGGAGAGGCTAAAAGAAAAGCAAAGGCAAGCTTGCCCATACTCTGATCTCACATTCTCCCATCAAACTTTTAGTAGAATTTGAACTTTTGTGGGCCTCATCATCTTTACATATTTATTCATTATAATACATTCAAATAATCACAGCTTAATCACACTTTATTCATCTTTTTGTTCCTCCTCCTCATATATATATATATATATATATATATATATATATATATATATATATATATATATATACAATAAGTACAAAGAAACAAAATCATCACACCATAGATTGCAAAAAGTCTTTCAGATCAAAGGGTTCAAACCCACTCTATCTTCAATAATTCTTACTTACTCTTTATTTGGCCCCTCTTACGTTTAATCCTCATGTCTGCATAAAAGAAATACAATAAAAAGAAGCCTTCATTTTAAAATTTCTTTGAATTCAAATAATTCTTCTACCAATAATCCAACACTTCTGTTAGGTGGAAGCCAAATCCAACAATCTACTATACTATCAAACTATCCGATGACATTGGTTGATTGCACATTTGTTATTAACTATAACTTCTGAAATAATGGCAATCGTTAAGTTTAATTTGATCTAACAATTGGTGCCTGATAGGTTGTTGGGCGAAGGATTGGAGGGCCAAATCTAGCATCTTGCTATTGAAATATGGTGTTGACTGCTACACAAGTATAAAGAAATAAAGTTATGCATTCGCTATTGGTTATAACTTTTGACGTATGATAAATGTTTTATCTGATAGTTGGTATTAGAACAGGTCATGGATGCTGGGAGGGGATTGTTGGCCAGAGGCTCGAAATGGCTATGCAAGTAAAATAAAATAAAATTGTGCATCAATTACTAACTAATTTTTAACATAATAAGAACCGTTTGATCATAGCACAAGTACTACAAGCTAAGGAAAGTCCAAGGTTTGATCCTAACACATGTACTATAAAGAAAGTCCAATATCTTCCATAACGGAACGATCACCTATATGTATATATAGAATTTTCATATACATACATACTTCTTTTTATTAAAAAAGAGAGATTAGAAATGGACACTTAGCTTCTTGATTGTAGAGTTTATATACCGTACGACATATAAACTTAAAGTTTGAATCTTAATTGAATTGGATACGAAATGTTTTATATATTTGGAGAAATTTAAGTTTTGAGGATAACAACATCTGCATCTTCTTTAAATTTGTCTGTCTTTAAAATATATACGAAAGGGCAATGGCGGCATTATGGGCAAAGCTAGCTAAGGTGTCATGCCTTCTTTACAGTTGTGGCGATATCTTTGTTATACTCACACTTGTTTTAATTTTCTACGTGGATTTATCTTGTCCTTAGCTTCTTTTAATATATCCTCATTCCTCAACCAATTATATATGAATGCATTTTTGTCAAGAACCACCCTACCTCATTTAATCCCAAACTAATAAGCTTATTGTTATCTGAAAGCACGCTCTAGGTAAAATTGCTTTGTGACTTAACTTTAACTGATAAAAGATCACAATGAGATAAATCAGTTTAAGTTACATATAGCTGACTGATTCAAATAGAGATGGTCAATAGCCCAATAGGCAGCTCCTTCAGAAAGTCCAACTTTGAACTTGAAATCTCATGATTAACAAACCAACGGTTTGACCTGTGATTGCCACCAAGTAAATTTTTTTAGGGGAAAAAGAGTAATTTTGTATTAAGGGAAAAAAAGTAATTTCCCCCGTAATACATATATAACATGGAAGAACCTACCAAATAAGGTGATACAACCACACGTCAACCCAGCAAAAAATTGTAAAGTGTCTAGATTATTAGTCCTTTAAACCTAAAATGATCCGGAGTGAAAGCTATTCAGAGTGAAAGTTGTCTGTCCTAAAAAATAACTACATGTTGCATGGCCTAACATGTGAAAACTAGTTTGGAGGGGTAAAGTTATTACAAATTTTTAGAGTCAATCATCATGTAAACAAATTAATTGTGTACCCTAAATAATAATACTTAAAAAAGTTTTTTTTTTTTCATTATGAAACAAGAAATATAAAGAGGCCCAAGGGAGGGCATGCATGGAGCTAATAGGGGCCAGAAATAATGGAAGGAGATAGAAGTACAGTTTGATCCAAAACAGGAAAAGAACTTAAGTAAAATAGAGAGATATATATATGAAACCCTAGGGATTGTATGAATGATGTCATGTAAAGGTCAAATTGACATCACTAATTTCATTTTATTTTCGGTTAATTAAATCCAGATCCAAAAAAACACAAGAGCTGTGTCGTTTTGTAGCGTGGACTGTCATGAGATTATTCTTCCTAAGAAGAAGTACAGTACACATTTTACAAATATATATGTATATATATTTACATATATATATAAGCAATTATGGGTATTTCATTGGTCCCCCCACCATGTTTTTTTACTGCTTTTATTCCTTGTATCTTCACTCTCTCTCTTTTTCTTTAATTTGTACAACTCAACTTCTCCCCAAACGTTGTCATTACAAACTAACCAGCATCATGTTAACATCCGATGAATAATTTTAGTCAAAATGGTCAAGATAAGATAACTTTTAAGATGATAAGATGATGACCAGTCAACATCTAATGAATTTTAGTTAAAATGGTTACAAACAAGCCAACCATATCATAAGCTATAAGGTAAAAAGATGATGGTTAATATTTAATAAATTGTAGTACTCGAAGTGGTAAGTTATTACAAACTAACCATCAAGTAAACATCCATAAATTTTAGTCGAAATGGTTACCAATTACAAACTGGCCAGACTAGTATCGTATAGTAAGTTATAAGGTGATGTTTAACAACATTAACATTCAATGGATTTTAGTCGAAATGGTTATATATAAGTTAGCTAAGTATCATAAGTTATATAGTAGTGACAAATAAAATATCTTAAATGATTTTGATGGTTGTTTCAAAAAATGAGTAATGAAATCCTATATGTATAAATTTATATTAAGGATCCATCTTGAAAGTAGTAGTCAGTAATTAACTAATTGATTGCTTTGCTTCATCAGTGTTGTTTGGCTGATTTGATAAAAGTAACTTTTTACAAACTTGGCCACCTTTAAGCACCTTTAAGTTATTCAATTCTAGGGTGAAAAGTTACTGCAAGCTAGCTAGTATATACATTATATGAATGGGTCCCAAACACACCCTTAAACTTAGCTCCATACATTACCCATTATTGCCTTTTGTTTTTGTTTTTTTAGAAAATAAAAAATAATAATGATGAAAAGGGCAGTCATATATATATATATATATATATATATATATATATATATATATATATATATATATATGGATGAGAGATAGGGTGTTAATGTTGATGATTAAAATGGACCACAAAACAAGCTAGCTAAGATAAGATGAATATATACATAGACCCCTCCCTTAGCTAGGGATGTGTTTGTGTTGTATTTAGCATAAAGATAGCAGGCAAAAATACAACAATTTACCTTAAAAAAGACTTGTCGTCCCCAACATACATGTGGTGGCTATCATTTGTGTTTTCAGACTTTTTTTGTTCAAAGCCTTGGGATCGAAGGCAGGTGCAGACACAGCAGTGAAATCATGGCGTAGGAGAACTATAATCATCCCCCTGTAATTGCAGACCCCCACCCCCCACCCCCACCACCCACCCCCACAAAACACTAAAGAATTTAGGGTACACTTCTTCTGTTCTTCATATCACAGTCTGAGATCTCATCACCTAGCTTACAATTAATTGAAAGAAATTAAAGAAAAAAAAACCCTTTAATATGTATATATATATGAAATAATCAATATGTAACAAACTAGTGATGTTGATTAAGTTAATTTAACACGCGTTTTCACTGTGCATGCATCGTGTGTGCATTGTGTCAGACTATATTTTGAATCCCGATACATTTTTGTACACTAGGAGCCCAACTCAAACCTGAATCCGGCTTACCTTTTTTTTTTTTTTTTTTTTTTTTATAGAAAATAAGTCGTGTAAGTAAGATTTTTCATTCACTAGTTCAATGCTAAAAACCCAACTCAAACCTGAATCTCTAATGTTTGTGATAGAAATTTAACTCCTGCCCATTTTTCATAAAAAATAAGTCGTAAGCAAGAATTTTCATTTACTAGTTCGATACTAAAGAACATTATTGTCAATTATTGATACTATTGAGACACGCTTAGTTCTGTCCTTGATAATAATGGTGGGTTGAGGTATATGAAGAATTAAGGTTTTCTTTATTCAATTCTTGACATTTTGTCTCTGGGGTTTCTTGGTTTTGAAGGCGGCTGTGGCTTAAATTATGGGTTATGAGGAGACAATGGAATTAAGGGAAAGAATAGAAGGAAACAAATTTATTATATGAAAAGTTGTAGAAGCAAGGTGGAGGAGAGGAGGTGCGAGGGTTTTCTTCAGGTTTTCAGGGGGTAGGGGTTGGGGGGGGGGGGGGGAAGGGGGCTAGTCTAGGTAGCTGATAACTTTGTTTGCTGCTTTTTTGTTTCCTTTAATAATAGAATAATAGTAATATAATATGTAGTTGCTTAGTGTTATTATTGTTTTGTTTGTTTTTGTTGTATCTTGGGATTTTCAAGTGTCTTAAAAAACCCCTTATTCCCAAACACTACATACCTCCCACAAACATCATCATTATTTTTATTATTGAAGTGTTATAATGGAGTCTGCACACCTCCATAACCACCACCTCCACCACCAACATCATCAGCAGTCGTTCCAAGACTCGCCGCCGCCGCCTCCATCCTCTTCTTCCCCTTCCTCTAGCTATGGAGTTTCTACAAGCTCTACTGCTCAATATTCATGGACCCCAAACACTACCTTATTGTAAGTACCCTCTCTCTCTCTCTCTATTTCTTGATTATATTACAGTAGCCAATGAAACACAAGAGATAGCTCCGGCAGGCCAGGTGAGTTTTAGTATAGTGGTGATATGATGATGATCATGGTGTTTGGCAAACAATAATAATGATATTTTGGCTACTTCTTCTTCCACTATGATCTGTCTTTATGAACAACTTGGAATCTCCTTTTCCCCAATCCTTTTTTTGATTTGATGTTTTTTTGAAAAAAAATTAAAGTTGCATTATTCATGCTTTGCACAGTCACGTTTTTCTTTCTTTTCTTTATTTTCCGGCATGCACTCACTGTGTCTTTTTAGCTGTCTTCCCTAAGCTAGGGTTGATGAGCTCAGCTGGATCTGATGAGATGGTGGGTTTTGTTGTTGCAGAAGCGGTGGCGCCGGCGGTGGCGGGTTGAGTTCATTGTATGCAAACGGGGTGGCTGCCGCCGGTAGTATTCTCAGTTCAAGAAATCATCATCATCAGGTTAGTGTTTGTAACGCACCCATGGCTCAAGATTTGAGCTTTCATCACTGGGCTAATGCGGCGGCGGCGGGTTTCGGCGGCGGTGGTGGTGGCTCCGGCCAGACAATTAAGCAAGAACTCTCGTCGCCGGATTGTTACCCGAGGTTGGCGGATAATATGAATACCCTCGACGCCAAACTCTTGCTCGGAACCCTCTCCGGCGGCGGACACCAACCTGCGGCGGCGGCTCATCAGTTCTACTGCTCCTCCACCGCTTCTTCTAATACTAATACTAATACTAACAGAGGCAGGTTTAGCCAGATATACCCAACCATAAGCGTTCCCAGCTTGAACCAAGAAGCTTCTTCTTCTTTAGCCAATTCGAGCTCTCTGGGAATGAACTTACAGGCTTTGGATCTATTCAACTCTGCAACAATTAATGGCGGCTTTGTTCACACTTCACCTGATGACCATCAACACCTTGGCTTTCATAACTTTGCTTCTTTTGATCATCATCATTTGCAGCAATCATCTCAAAGACCATTTCCCAGTAATGTGAGTACTACAGATTCCATTCTTGTTTTCCATTTTACCAGGAATCTATGTTCATCAACTTATATTACTTGCATGCATTTCCTGTACATCCACAAATCCTATGAAGTGCAAAATCTTGAATATTTTAACTAATATTCACTGTAACTATATATATTGACCGAGTTAATAAGTATATTAGAATGGTATCAATTGGGCATTTGGGGGAAACGGATAGTTTGATATATTGCGACTAACGGTAAGTGAAAGCTGTCTATTGATCTGTTTAATTGGTTTGATCGAGCTGGTCAGTTTTGGATAATCTATCTAAGCTAGGTTAGTTTACCATCGATTTCAAAGTCTAAGTAATGTATCTCAATCATGGAATATAATACGGAATTGAAATATACAGTAAAGACTGGTATCTTTTTTAATCTTTAGACCAAAATGCAGCAAAAGGAAAGCTTCTCTTTTACCTGGTTAAAGGCTAGTTCAGCTTTATACATAATATTATTATTATGTATCTTTATCTATATTTTGGCCTCTCCTTTTTCAGAAATTGAGTCCTTTTGCTTGTACATATATATAAGGTGTGGCTTTGATGGTAATGATTGATATGATATGATATATACATATATGAGCTGCAAGGTAACTAAAGTTTTAGTCTTTAATTTGAATTACCATATATATTGAAGGTATCATCACCCAGCTTGTTCAGCCATGCCACTGTAGCCATATCTGCAGATCCCAAAAGGCCCTGCAATCTTGTGGAGCCAAACCCCCCTCAAGCACCACCCAAGAAATCACGACTGGATTCGCGTGCTTCCTGCCCACCCTTTAAGGTATAGTATCCCCGCCCATCTTTCTTCTTCGATTCTCGAGAATCGAAAGCCAGCAACAACTACCCGAATGTAATTATGTTTATTATTATAAGTAAAACATAAAAAAAAAATAAAAAAATGTTTATATGAACCAGGTGAGAAAAGAGAAGTTAGGTGACAGAATTGCAGCTCTTCAACAGCTGGTAGCACCTTTTGGCAAGGTAATATGTGTTATCCTTCTCGTTTCTTTTATACCCTAAAATTAATATATGCCAGAAAGACTTTGAATTTGTACAGGAATTCAACATATATACTCCCGGGAATGATATGATATACAATTATATTATTATTTTAATTAATTTCATATAAACAATTAAACATGGGGGAATTCTACAGTAGCAGGTAGCTAGGCAAAAGTATATGCTTTACTCGACTGATTCACACAACCCAACAACATTGGTAAAAAACATTCTCCGTAAAAGAGGTTTAGCAGGACATCCTAGGCCGCATGGGGTCCATACTTGGACAGCACGATTTTCACTATAAGGAACTGTGTATGCTGCAGCTTAGGGTGTGCATGCTGGTGCACCACTATATGTATATATATCATATATGTATATATAACCTCGAGAAATCATTCTTATATATACCTCTCTCTATATATAATATATATTACTCACAGTACTAATACAGTTAGTACTTATACTTTCTTCTGATCTGTGCATGTGGGTTTTTGGTGCATTTTCCAGACAGACACAGCATCCGTACTAATGGAGGCTATTGGGTACATCAAATTCCTCCAAAACCAAGTTGAGGTAAAAACTATTTCTTTAATTAGTTCTCATTTCTTAAACATATGCTTTTTTTTTTCTCGAATATAACATGCATGTATATATGTAGTCCCATGTTGTTAGCTAATTATGTTGTACTATTGATTCTATTTGTTGCAGACCCTAAGCGTCCCATATATGAAATTGTCGCGCAATAAGAACAGCGGGAGAGCCATGCAAGGGGTAAATGTATGTGATATAATATATGTATATATTGGTTAAGTTTTTATCTGGTGAAAGCTAAGTTTGAGGAAAGAATGTTGGTGTAATTAGTTGCAGGGACAAGAAGAGATAATTAATATAGGAAGTGAAGAAGCGAGGAGGGGTCTTAGAAGCCGAGGGCTTTGTCTGGTTCCATTGTCATGCCTGTCTTACGTCACCGACAGCGGCGGCGGTGTCTGGCCGCCGCCGCCGAGCTTAGAACACTTTAGTCCGATCCAATGAATTGAAGGTGCATGCGGGCGGGTAGATCGAGTCCCAAATATCATATGATCTCAGACGTCGTCGTATTGATTGATTAATTTAGAAGCAAAGGTATTAGCGGTTTTAAGGAATATTAGATTTTGTACTTTTTAATTTTGCCATTTTCTGATCTTAATGGAGCAAGCTTGGTCATTCTGTAAAAAGAGCAAGCTAGCTAAGCTAATGCATAATTAATATAATTAATTATGGTAGGATGGACCAAGCTTGATCCATTAATACTATTGGCTTGATTTATTTTATTGTACGTTTAATTTCCCAAAAACTAATGTAAACTTCCGGCAGGTTGTATTGTTTCCTCTTTCATTCCCATGATTAATTAATATTGTAAACTCCGACGTTAATCTTCTAGAGTTACATTGTACCCAATTCAATGCAGTTTAATGTGATGATTCATTTTTTCCCCTTAATTGCGTGCTTATCATCCTTAAAATGCGCTAATTACACCTTTAGTTTTAAACGTACACGCAGTGCTATCATGCATTATAGTTCTTGGAGCGCATGCAGGTAATGCATGACAATTAACAGCAGCCTCACGTTTATTTTGTGAATATACATTCTAATTCTTAATATAATGTATGATTAAGAAGACAACTATCATGGTAATTGATTAGGTTGTTGGCTCGGTATCTACAAGATTATAAGTTTGACTCTCAATAAGAATAACTTATTGGCTTTCTTGTTTGAGTTTGTGGCAACTAATCTTGTGATTTATTGCTGACTAGGACCACAAACTCAGTGCACACCCTTGGATAATAACTACTTATTCTCTCATCACTCAAAGAAGAAAGTTACCCCAAGAAGGATGAGTGAATGTATTGAACATGATTTGGGGGGTGATCCAGTGTACACTCTCATATAGCGGTTTGCGTGTTCTCTCATTACTCAAAGAAGAAAGTTCATCAAGAGGGGTGAGCAAATATATAAAATGTGATTCAGTCAACCGAACGAAATAGTGGTAACGAATTTCTCTCGTAACTCAAAAAGAAAAGATACTCAGAAAGAGTGATTGGATGTATAAAACATGATGTACTAAAAAAATAATTTGTTGCACAAAATTTCACATTATAATTTACATCTTTATATAATTTATAGACCATTATATAAGAGTGAAATTTATTTAATACCTCGGACTAAACAAGTATACAACTAGTTGATTTATATAACGCTGCAATTTTATATGTTCCTAGAAGAGATATTTTGTTTGATTTTTTGGGGAGAAAAGAGATATTTTGAGAGAATTAATCTGATCCGTTTGATCTTGATTTTTTTAGGATTAGGGCCGAGATTCTAGCATCTTAAGTGGGGTATATAGAATTTTTGCAAAAAAGGGCCCCGAAATTTACAAATTGACAAAACAGGTGAACCTTATCCGGACCTGTTCGGCACACGTGGCACTTATTCAGGCATCTCGGAAATGTCGGACGCCGGCATTGCGCGCTTACTTTTTCCAATGCCCGGAATGCCCTTCCCAGAATCCCTATTTAGCGATACACTCACAGAGTTACAGCGCGAACGATAAGGGTGAAATCGTCATTGTGAGACCAAGATTCCAGCAAAAGTATGACAACGTAACAGTCTCCGAATGTCATATTCTGAGCAGTTGTCGTATTGAGTAATATCTTCACTCCCCATTTCTTTCTTCATCATCATCTTCATCTTCTATAGTACTCTCCTTAAGTATCTATTATCTTCTTCTCTCCCCCCTTTATCCATTCCCTCTCTCACCCCCTTAATTATTATCCAATTCTTGTTATCCTCTGCCGGGTCAGCTCCTCCATATTTTTGGCAGAATCTTGAAATTCCACCTTCTATTCTGGGAAAATTATTGGATAAAGTTGAGACCTTGGCGTGATTGAAGTTAGGATCGGTGATCGGAACCTCTCGATTGCGGTGCTTCGTTAAAGATCTAGAGCTCCGGCTGGGCTTTTCCGTGATTCAGGTGTGAATTGTGTACTGACTGCAATTATTCTAGTTGATCCACTATGAATTACCAAGAAAAGATCAATTTTTTTTTTTTCTGGGTTTTGTGTAGCTTAATTTAAGGTTCATTGATGTGCCTAGTTATATGTTGATGTTATGCTCTTCTTTATCTTTATTATGTTTTGATATGTGATCGGTCTTTTTGCACAGTAAAAAGCAGAGAAGATTCTGTTAGTTAGCTATTCATGATCGTAACATGTCATATGTTTGCAATCAACTTGTCTGTTTAAAAGACTGAAAGAAACTATCACTTCATAATCTTCCCACTGTTGTTCTTGCAGGGGGTATCAGAAACCATAAGAAAGACACTATTTTGGAATCAGTGATTAGACTTAATTGCTTATAACTTATAAGAACTTGGATTAACAAAACATAATAGAAACAAAAGAGGTGGAATTTGATCATGATTTATTGGTTTGTGCAGTGTATTAGAGGAAGGAAGAATGCATTCACTTCAAGGGCCTGTTGTTTGTCCAGTGGTTCGGGCTAAGCTAACGGATCGATCCCCCATTCCTGTCAATTTGCCCGCGGTGAAAGCTACTAGAATTCTCAGAAGTGGATTCTGGGGGATCAATGGGTTCCATATTAGGCAGGTTCATGTGGCTCAGAAACCTCGGCCACGAATAAGCAAGATGATTACATGCACTTTCAGTTCATCGTCAAATGGCAATGGCAGCAGAGCCGAGAACTTCAATGAGAACGATGCTGATTATGTCAATTCCAGCGTGGTTGAAGCTGGTGTGCCAATTTTCTAATTGCAGAAACTCGTTTGTTTATGATTTATCTTTTTTGCATCAGAAGAAAGCATAAAGTGATTATGAATTATATTTTAGGCTTAGATTAGAAGTAATAATTTCACATAAGTTTGGGTCTTGAGAAGTTGATTGGGGGAAAATATGAACTTTCTGCTCTATTATGTTAACTATAATACAGACTAACTTTCACCATGGATTAGACCTCAACTATGATCATTGAGCTATACTTCCTCAAGTATTCATATTTTAAAGCTCGGTTGATTAAGCTGTAATTTAACTTTATCTTCTTTCAGTTGAAGTACGGAGTGGTCCAGAAGGTTTCATGATCAAGATGAGAGATGGTAGACATCTCCGATGTGTCCATAACAACCCTCAGGGTGGTCATCTACCTGATTATGCCCCTCATCCCGCAATAGTGTTAAAAATGGAAGATGGGACTGGCCTTCTTCTCCCAATTATTGTTCGTAAGTTCCTTTGTAATAGTTTTCCAGGAGCTTCAGTGCAGAAAGTTTCCTCATCTCACTCTTATCTTTTCCTTTTGACAGTGGAGATGCCAAGTGTACTGTTGATGGCAGCTGTACGCAACGTACAAATTGTATGTTTTACAATTAGTAATTCTGAATTCTGATGTCCTGTCCAAGTCAAAAAAACATTTTTGATTTTCTTATTCCGACTTTGTAATACTTGACGTGACATATGTTGCTTGCTTTTCAGGCCAGACCAACAATGTATCAAGTCGTGAAGGATATGATTGAGAAGATGGGATATGAGGTAAGTTTGTTATTTTGGCGTTGGCTTCATTCACTATATATACTGTTTCCCTGTAGATGCACGATTGTTTAACCCTCCTTTTATGCAGGTAAAACTTGTCCGTGTTACAAAGAGAGTACACGAGGCATATTTTGCTCAACTTTATCTCACCAAGGTAACTTAAATCTTACTGTGTTCAGTGGGTTAGTTAGGGTCCCGACATAGTTCGTTTGAGTATTAATCTTTTTCTTGCATTAATGTCATTGTCTTAGCAATTTGGTAACGATGTTGAGAGTATCAGCTTTGATCTTCGACCTTCTGATGCCATCAACATTGCTGTGAGATGCAAGGTAATTGTTCCCTTTTTCTGTTTTTTATTTATTTTTTAATTTCCCCGAGGATGACTTAGAGTCCTGCTTCACATGGCTGTTTGATCCTTTATCGATTGTGCTACAATTTCATGCAATTTGTGCTTTACATATAGGTGCCAATACAAGTGAACAAATACTTGGCATACAGTGATGGCATGAAGGTGGTCGAGTCTGCAAAGCCATCGGTACATGGTCCTTCAGATGCATCAGTGGTAACGGAGCTGGACAGGTAAAGTTGGGATCTTTTTTTTTTTTTTTTTTTTTTTTTTTTTTTTTTTTTTTTTTTTTTTGATCAATCTGTAAATTGCATGAAAAGTTGGCGTGACCCTTAGAGAAATGACACATATTTACTTATTTGTTTGTGGTTATGGGTTCAGACCAACTGCCCAGCCGGGGATTGAGACAAAGGAGTTCATTCTTGTGCGCAACATGCTGATCGCTGCAGTAGAGGAACGCTATAAAGATGCAGGTGAGCTTTCTTGTCACGTCTAGACATCCGTTTAGAGCATCAAATCTGTTTTATGGTTCTTTTGAACATATATTTGGTCCTGTTAATGTTATTCGGTTTTTAAATGTTTGGTGGTTGTTCACTGCAGCTCAATGGAGGGACAAGCTCACTCAACTCCGTTCCAAGAGGAATTGGACATAGCCAGAATCAGGTCTGTTATCGTCTTTCCCTCCCTTCATCCATCACGAACTATCTTTCCCTTTCCCGAGCTTCACAAAGTTGATACTATTATTGTTACTGCAGTTGGCAGGGGATGAATTGTGTACATAACTCGGACCGTCTGTGAGAACAGATGCGAAGGCTCCTCTTCCTCGATGTGCAAAACCTGTGAATGTGTATAGATAGACTGTAATTCTGGGCAAAAAAACATATATGTAAGGCTATATATAATCCTTGTGATTTCAACTCATGATCATTGATCACTAGTTCAATTTGTCATTTCCAAGGTTGTCTTTCTCATTTCATGTCTGCAAATTGTTTCTTTGGTTGCTTCCTTGCTCCACTTTTCATGGAGTACCTTTTATAAAATATTACTCCGTACATTTTAACTAAAAAGTGAGTATTTCACGCCTCAATATTACTCCGTACATTTTAACTAAAAAGTGAGTATTTCACGCCTCACCTGTTGGAAGCGGTCTTATATCTGGCTGCATGGAGTTCTGGACCGGGCTGTCTTCGGTTCAATAGTTATGTTGTGCAACCGAATGTACCATGCGCATGGTGCATACGGTTCAAAACGACGTCGTTTTGATTAAAAATGCGTGTCCCACTTTAAAAAAAAAAAATCAGGTTCGACTCTTAATAATAGCATTATTGTGGATATATAGTTATGAAATTGTGGATATATAGTTATGAAATTGTGGTTATATAGTTATGAATTTATGGATATTTAGTTCATTTATTGTGGATATTTAGTGCAATCATATATTGTGGATATTTAGTTCATTCATTGTGGATTTTTACTTCATTCATTCATTCATTGTGGATTTTTACTTCACTCATTCACTGTGGATATATAGTTATGAAATTGTGGATATATAGTTATGAAATTGTGGTTATATAGTTATGAATTTCTGGATATATAAAAATGCTATTGTCGGGAATCGAACCTGATTTCTTCTTTAAGTGGGATGCGCGTTTTTTTAACCAAAACGGCGCCGTTTTGCAACCGTATGCACCTTGCAAGGTGCATTCGGTTGCATAGCATAATTTGCGGTCTTCGGTTAAATTGGGCCTTATTTTTGGCCCAGTAGCTGCTTCTTCAATCATTATTACATGGACCATGGTTAGCACAGTTGTGTATCCATAAATAAAGATACATTTTCATTATACTAAAAATATATTATTTTTATAGATAAAGTATATTTTTTGAAAATATATTATTTTATACGTATTATCAAATAATGTACCTTTAGTACAGAAATAATGTACTTTCAATATATTAAAAATGTACCTGATGTTCACGGTCCATACAACTATGTGGATCATGGTTCACACAATAATTTGTCCTGTTTCTTGTGGACCATGGTCCAAACAGTGCTGTGTGAACCATAATAAAAAGTACTGTATATTTTTAATATATTAAAAATATATTATTCGTATATTAAAGATATACTATACAAAATAATATATTTTCAGTATTCAAATAATATATTTTATTGAATATATTTAATTTTTTAAATTTTAATATACTAAAATACATTATTTGTGTACTGAATAATTATGAATTTACATTATTTAATAGTATAATTCACACAGCTGTGTGAATTATGGTCCACACAATAATGATGACTTTTTCTTCTTCCCTACTTCATTTTGTATTATTGTTTCCAAAAGGTTGAAACTGCCAGATAGAACATCACTCAGTGAACATAGAGACTAGACTTTTGCTTACTGTGCGCAGGGAGTCCTCCTCACTTTCAGAGGTTGCTTTACACTGTCGCTGGTGAAACTTAATCCGAGTGATTATTTTGAAATTTTACCTTTGTAACCAACTGAGTTGACTGAGCTTTTCGTATGAACTTTTATTTGATACTATTATTCTCAAACTTTACCTCTATGATCACTTAAGCTACCCATGCGGATTTCATTTGGTATTATTGATAAGAGAAAGCGACGCCTTTGGAGAGTGACAGTTCTGTATTGGGAATTTGGTATATAAGTATATTCGAATCTGAATTTGATAGACAGCATTATGCTTATTCCAACTGCAAAACTCATACGCAATAGTGATCTCATCTGAGTCAAATTCATTGAAATTAAAATGTTAAAAAATAAATGATTTTATGATACTACCTCCGTCCCATTTTATGTGTCTAGTTTGGTTAATAAAGTTTGACTGGAATTATTTTTAATTTAATTTTTCATAATGTTAAGTCTAGTATTAGTATATAAATTTTATATTTTTAGAAACTATATTAAAAACACCATTACACATAAAAAATTAAATTTTAAAATACTAAAAAAAAATTGATTTGACCAATTAATACTAAGTAAGACAGGTAAAATGAGACAAAGAGAGTACCCGTTTGATCATTTGACTGAAAAGATGTTTCAAAAAATTGAATTTATAATTTTTTTATTATTATACGTACTTTGAATTCATAACGTTTAGTACGAAAATAATGTTATCCTTTACAGAGCGTTTGATTGGAGTGAATTTAAATTCCATTCCCACCTAATTTCTACATAATTTCAAAAGGCCATTAAATTCCTTAGTTTAGTTGGAAGGAATTGCAATTCCCTCATTTTCATGGAATTAAAATCTCATACCCCATTTTAATTCCATGAATTTTAGGAAGAAAAAAAATAATGATGAGATAAAATTATCCATTCTTTTTTTTTTTTAACCTAAAGTTGATGTCGGACAACAACAATGGACATTTTAAATTTTATACTACTTATTATTCCTTTTAAATTCCCATGTATACCAAACATTGGAATTGAAATTCGCAGTAATTTTATCCTGTAAACCAAACACTGAAATTTAAATTTTCATTTTATTTTCAGTAATTCATCTTTCATAAAATTGTAATTATTTTCCAACGTAATTCTCTCCCTCCAACCACTGGTTCCTATCTGTACTCTAACATTTAAGAGTCAAAAACAAGATTAGATGCTAAAGCATAATTACACGACCAAAACTGGCATCTGGCACCGACTAGAATCGAAGGATCATATTCCCGCCAAAAGGAAAAAGAAAGCATACGCGCGAGTTGGCACGTGCCAATCATGTATGGGTCCACCCACCGGCCCATCCAACCGCTTTTACTTGAATTAGAACTTAGAAGAAGAAAACAATAACGTAACCGCCACACGAAAACTCATCCTCCTCTCCTCTCACCGCTGCTTCCTTCTTCCGCGCGACTAATACTCCCATCATCACGGGTACGATAACTCTTTTTCAATTTTTTTTTTTTTTTTTTGTACTGTGAAAGTTAATTTTTTTTGTCGAGTTCGTGATCCATGCTTCTTGCTGATTTCCACAGTGAAGTTTTTTTTCGAAGCGTTTAGAGATCGGCGGCGGATCTTTCGACTCAGAATGGCAATGCCTGATGCGCTCGATCGATTTGCGGTTCCTTGTGAGTGCATCTACACGTCACTTGAAGTTCATCACTTCATGTATGTTGTTTACGGTGTGTTGTGTGTGAGAATTTGTGTGATGCTTTACCAACTGTGATTTGTAGTCGATTCCGGAAGTCGAAGTTTTTTTTTTGTGTGTGTGTGTGTGTGTTTAATGCACAACTTAGTTTTAAAAAAAACTTTTAGTGATCTGAGGCTAAACTTTGATTGCTCAATTTAGGATGACAACTATTCATGTATGTGTTGAGATCTGAGGATGTCTGCTTTGGAGCATCGCGATTTTGTTGCTTAAAACTTTTTCTTTTCAACTAACTGGTGATTTACTGTAATTTTATTCTTCCAAAAGGTTGAACCCCAACCATAATTTACTGTACCTTTATGCCTGAGTTGATGAATGTAAATAAAAGGATTTAAGAATTTGGACTTATAAATGTTGTTTGGGGTTTCATTTGAGTGACAACAAGGAAACTCACCGTCATTACTCGAGAGTGTCACTACTCGAGGGTTGTTTTTGGGGATTTCATTGTTTAATCTGTGGATTGTAATTGACACTCTCTCCAGATGTTTGGAATTACTTGTAAAGGGGTGTACAGCTGTCATCTACACCCTTTTTGTAGGTAGAAGAAATGGTTGTTTATTCCACTTGCTTTTGGTATGTACATAGTATGAGCAAAGTTACTGGCTTTGGTGATTCAAAACAAGGGAATATATTATAGATATTGTATACAATCTGTTTGAAGTATTTAGTTTTTCTGCTAATATGCATGCTCTCTAGTTAGTACATCCAGTAAAATGGTTTCTATCTTTTTTTTCAGGCCTTGAAGGATCACATGGCAGTGATCGAAGAAATGAAAAGGAATCAGAGTTTGAGATCTCAGAGGAAAGGAAGAATAGAATTGGGATGTTGAAGATGAAGGCCTATAAAATGAGGAATTCTCTTAAGAATAAAAGTAGGTCAAGAAGTGATTTTGGAGCTTCTGTTCTCTTGGAGGATGGTCAGGACACCCAAGTAGTGGAGGCTGTGAATGCTTTCCGAGAAGTTCTGAGCATGGAGGGCTTGCTTCCTGCAAGGCACAATGATCATCATGAATTGTTGAGGTGATCAACATTACCAACACCAACATATATGATTCCATATACCTAGTGTAATACATGTTTAAAGAATCTCTTCCTACTTCGACATCTCAACAAGTTCTCTCACTTGCAGGTTTTTGAAAGCCAGAAAGTTTGACATTGGGAAGGCAAAACATATGTGGCAGAACATGCTTCAATGGAGGAGTGATTTTGGGGCTGAAACTATTTTGGAGGTAATAATGACATTTAGCTAATACTTTGGTAGCTATGGCTTGTTTGTAACACATTCTATCAAATCATTCTTGGATTCTTTGTTAAGCTTTGTGCCATAATGACTCTCTGCTTGCTCATATGTTTTGTATAATTCCCTATCAAACACAGCTTGCCACTGTTCATCTAATTGTTGTGTTCCTCTGCATGCATCCTCAGGATTTTGTCTTCACAGAAAGAAATGAAGTGCTGCAATTCTATCCCCAAGGTTATCATGGTGTGGATAAGGTGGGGAGACCAATTTACATTGAAAGATTAGGAAAAATCAATCTGGACAAGCTCTTGGAAGTGACTACTCTGGACCGGTACATAAGATACCATGTCCAGGAGTTTGAGAAGTCTCTCAGTATTAGGTTTCATGCCTGCTCAAAAGCTGCAAAAAGACATATAGATACAAGCCTTACAATTTTAGATGTTGAAGGAGTGGTATGTCACCATTTCTAAGAATCCATTACTCTCTTTTCAATCATTCAGAGATAGCTTATCTGTCTTACTCTAACCAAACCTGATGGACTTATATCCAGGCACTGACGAACTTAACCAAAACTGTACGAGAAGTTGTTATGCAATTACAGAAGATTGATAATGACTTCTATCCAGAAGTACATCCATCTCTAATGTCACTATTTTGATAATTTGATCAATATCTTAACATTTTCTTTAGGCTGGCCATACTCAGTATCTCTAACCTCTGGGTGGAAAAACTTTGCAGACACTTGGCCAAATGTTCATTGTGAATGCTGGTCCTGGATTCAGGCTCCTCTGGAATGTACTAAAGCCTTTTCTCGACCCTGATACCACTTCCAAGATTCATGTATGTTTTTAAACACTTCATTTTCAACTCTTAACAACCTTGAAATTTGTTTAGAGATCATGCATATAACTATTCAAATTTCTGCTCTGCAGGTTCTTGGTAACTGCTACCAACGCAAACTGCTTGAAGTCGTTGATGAAAGGTAACTGTAGCTTATTTTGATCTCACAAATGATGCTTATTCAAGACTTCAACTCTTAAGAATTTGAGTCATCCATTTTCTTCAGGGAGTTGCCGGATTTTTTGGGCGGTAGATGTACTTGTACTGAACATGGAGGTTGTTTGAGGTCAGACAAAGGGCCATGGAAAGATCAAAACCCATCAGAGAACCAGTAGTGAAGAATCAAAGATTCTGAAGCTACAGAAAGAAGACAGTATTTCTAACCTATCACAGGTCCAAAACCTGTTTGCGAATTTGTAGCAAGAATGCAAGTAAAATATAGTATGAAGAAGATGAAAATTTATAACAATGCAAAGACAACTGGAAAAGGTGACTTTCTGTCAACCATTCTTTTATGCATCAACATTTTAAAGAACAGTAACAAAAATTACTGTGTATCTATATATGATCACAAGCTTAGCTTAGCTATTGAGAAGAAACTAATGTCTCATACTCTCATCCATCCACATAAATTTGAAAGAGACCGACTTCATTTCAGATGGAATGTACCCTGTAGTAAAATACAGTGAAGTACAACAAAGGGAAAAATGACAAGTAACAGTAAAGCACAGACATGCGATTGCATTCACTTACGCAATCACTTATTTGTAGTTGAGATATAACTTTCCTAGTAGGGGAGAAATCCATTCCAGCTCCCTTTATTATGCGTTCAGTTAATCTTCCACGTTTGGATTCTTTCCTAGTAGGGGAGAAATCCATTCCAACTCCCTTTATTATGCTTTCAGTTAATCTTCCACGTCTGCAGAATCCAAACGAGCAAACTACTTTATGCAAAACTGAAAGAGAAATATTATCGTTCTTCTCAAATAGCAGAATTACGATTACCTACCTTCACCGTGCACAGCACTCAACCGCTTAATGTGGCGTCTATGTGATGCTACCGGTGTTGCCAAGTTGACAGTCACCTTTCACCATCTCTCTGTAGCAGCTAACGATCTTCTGGTCTAACTCATAGTAGTATTCCATCCTTTCTAAAGGTTTCAGGTCCAGGTCGATAAAAGATGCCTACCATTTTACAGCAATAATTACAACAGTGAGACTCCCGATTCCCAAATTCATACAGATTCACAAAAAGTATACTGCAAATGAGAAGAAGGTTTATACCTTGTAATCAAAATTTTGGTTGGTGGACTTTAAGGACACGAAACTATAGGGAGACTCCCGATTCTCATCTATTCTAGGTCTAAAACTGATCATCATACTCAAGTCCTTTGCAGTAGCAGCTATCAAATAATCCCTCACAATCTTCAAACTCTCCTCCATTGAAATGGAATGCAAGGCGGTGAATCTTTTTGACAAGTGGTCACCTAATTCTTGGCATATCGTACAGGGTTGAGAAACAACATCATAATATGCATGAATTGCCCCCTCGATGTCAAAATTATCAAGCTTCTGGACTTGAAGAATTTGATCCGGTAATCCTGAACTGAAAACCGCCTCAGAGACAAGCTCAAGAAAACATTCGGTTCTCATCCCTTCTCTGGCCAGAATTTTATCCTCGAGTGCATCTTCAAACGCTTGGCCAACCTTACAACTAGTAGTGTCTGCAACGCCACCCAAGCCCCCGAGTATAAGACAGCCATTCAGAAAAACTCGGAAGTTATTCTGTGGGGTCATGAAGAGGTCCTTGATTGCCTTGTGTAATCTGTCTTTAGATCCAGAGAAAAAATCGAGTGGATCATACCCACTTATATATGATATCTGATACAAGGACGGTAAAAAACACATTGAAGTGTTAGATATCGGGACTGAAACCCGAAAACATGGATTAAGATGGCTAATCGAGAACATAAAACCAAGAAACAGTTCAGAATCAACACTGTTTCTAAACAAATATGTAAAATTATAGAGGAAGCAAAGAATACCTTCCCTTGATGGAATTTCAACGCCTGGTGCATTCTAAAACGAGTGATTCTCCTTTTAACACCATTACTTTCTGCAATGAATTCTGAAAGTGGAAGGAACCCACACTTGGGCTGTTTTTACAGAAACAGAAATATCGCACTACTATTATAGTATTATTACTAAAGAGACTGAAGAGATAGAACTGAAACTAAAATACTACTGCAATGAATTTAAATAAAGATAGCAAAAGGCGGAACCTTTATTTCAACCGATAAGCAAAATTCCTCTTTAAGCGTGCCTGGAAGGAGGAGAAACACAAATACTATGATAAACCAAAGGCTGTGATAACACTGGCTTATACTACCGAGCAATTTGTTTACTTTCATCTGATAAGTAACATTCGACATATGTTTATATAATATCATGGATCATGTAAAGCTACCAAAAACCAAAGGGAATAAAGTCAGTCATACTACCATGGGGGAACATTGAATGATCAGATATGAGCATCACAGAGTCACTCAGGAGATTGACCTTAGCAGCATCAACTCGCCAAGAAGGGCGCTGATGAAGAACATTGTTTTCAACCACTTCCAGAAATTCTCTAGACACAGGGATGCGAATCTGCCAAGAATCCAAGATTAAGGTTAGAACTTAGAACATGAAAACCATTAATGATATTGTTCATCTGTTGGCAATCCAATAGTTAGGCTAAATAGGTTATTCGCTTGCACTATAAATGTTCTAGAGGTTCCACTTTGTTAACAGAGTTCCATTAAATACACAACCACACAAATGTAAAGGACTTTCCAAAGACGAAACTTCAAATCAAGCAAGGAGAGACCAAATTACAGTTCATGAAGTTAAACCACAATATCTCAATCAGCTATAATTTGAGGCAGCACAATATCTTGTTTTCCAGCTAGAACTAGTCAATCAGAGCAGCTTTTTTTTTTTTTTTTTGGTTTATGATTTCTCATAATTATGATATGAAGAGAATAAAAGTAGACATAATGGACACATTCTATCCTTCTGTTTAGGCAAACATACCCCAGCATCAACATATCTAGAACCCAGTAATGGACACATTACAAGTTGGACAAAGATATGATCTGCAATCTCCCTTGAAGGGGCTGACACAAGCTCATTTACATTTCTCCATAGATGGCATTCATGTTTTGTTAAGCCTGAATGGCCATTCTCACATTGAGAAACATTCCTTGGAACCTTTTGAATCCGCAGAACTTTTCCAACCTAGATTGAAGAAAGAGAAGATTTTGCACTTGAGATATGGAAGAAAGCTTATACAAAGCAACTGAATTGACAGAACAACAAGCATATACTAGATTTTCAAGCAATAAAAATCGTTTCTTTATACCAAACTCTATTCATACTCAAAAAAACAACTAACTTTTTCTGCAATTTCACTAAAAAAGAAAGCGAAAACGAAGAGCGCACAAAAGAAGGAGATTCTCCACTATAAGCAAGAACCAAATTGACAGCTCCTTCTCCTCTGTAAGACCATTCCTTTGCATCTTTCGCCGTCAAAACCACCGCCATTCTACTGCCGAACGTGGAAGAAGAGGGCGGAGATTCAGTACGGCAAAAACTTCAGCTATTTCACCGAGTCTGGAATCGGAGCCACCGGAGTGTCGCCGGAAGTCGGATGGCAGACTGGAAAGTTAGACGACAGTCAACACGCAGTTCTTGGCTTCTTGCGCTGTTGTATTTGGTCGGTATTCGGTAGTTGATTAAAGCGCACGCGAAGTTTGTATCCACTACGGTCAAGTGCACCATACTGTGTATGTAGAGTGACCGATAACACATCAATTCAGTAATGATTCTCCATTATACTTTAACAAATTTTTTTTTTTTTTTTTTTTTTGTTGTGTAAAAGAATCACTATTAATTAAGAATATTCTTTCTAATGTCTTTTACAAAAGTTTTCAACTCTTAAATTCATCAATATTTTCAATAGTAGAATTTCTCTCAAAAGTTGAATAGGCCAAATGTCATTGTACACACGAGATGATATGTCTATTTTGGACATAATTTTTACGGTGTATTATCCAGTTTTAAACTTTAATTTCTTTTCTTAAAAATACCTACTAAACGACTAAATTAAGTCCGTACGTGCAGTCATCTTTCTTACTTAGTAGTGGCAAAAGTGACGGAGGTGGAGGGCATAGACGACAAGTCAGGAAAATATCACTTCAATTAACAAAAAAAACAATGTTTTCAACCTTCTAATAGTCTATAAAAAGATCTTCATAGATTATCATTCAGTTTGGCACAAGAATCACTAATGTTGGATCATAGACCTTCTTGGTCAGTTATGAACAACATATGTTGATTTATCTTCTTACTGTGATCCTTTATTGATTAGAATCACAAGACATTTTTCATCCAAAATATACATTCAAGTAATAACTGCCCACTTTTTTTAATTAAAATATATAAAAATGATAGATTTATAATAATTGCTCAAGTTGGAGATGAATAGGCCCACATATGTCGAATCAAAGAACACTAATTCCATCTAACCGTTCATTTTGGCCTTACCATTAACAAAAAAGATTGATTCACCCTTTGACTAAATCATTCATATTCCGTTATATATTTACTGCAATTCTTTGACAATTAAGCTAAAGAATCAGCAATGGAACTTCGTCTACTTCTTCTTGTATCTTCTGATTCCCTTCCTTGGTACTACTACATGCTCACATTCCTAACTCTTTCTTGGCTGTCATGGAAAGTTTTAACGACAAACAGACGTCGGAAAACACCACCAACGGCGGCTGCTCCTCCCGGCAACCTCGGATTCCCCGTCATCGGAGAAACCATCCAGTTCATGGCCGCCGCTGCCAACACCCAAAAAGGCTTCTACCACTTTGTTCATCTCCGAAGACTCAAGTAAGATTATTATATATACATTTCCTTTTTCAATCTATATATACATACATCTCATCGTGGAATGTGGGGATATATAGATATGGGGTTTGCTTCAAGACGAGAATATTTGGGGAGACGCATGTTTTCGTGTCGAGCGCGGAGGCGGCGAAGGCGGTTTTGGGCAACGAGAAAGGGAGGTTTACGAAGAGATATATAAAGTCCATTGCAGAGCTAGTCGGAGATCAAAGTTTACTATGTGCTTCTATCCGACAACATAAACTGTTGCGACCTAGTTTCACTCATTTGTTCTCCACGAACTCTGTATCCTCCATGGTTCCACTGTTTGATGAATTGATTTTGAAGGCGGTTGGAACATGGCATCACCAAGCCACTGTTATTGTCCTCCATCAAGCTCTACAGGTTAGCTAGCTTAGTGTCAACACAACTATACATTATTATATTGTTTAATTTATAGTGCATGTATGTATGTCTTTATTTGTATCTATATATCTATTTTGCCCCGGGGAACTGTAGTCATTACCAGAAGGCATGTATCAAGTAAATTCAGCATTATGATTCTAACCGTAAAAGGAATATAAGAAGATAATTTAACACTAGGTTCTGATAAAAAAAAAAAAAATTTAAAATTAATCTTCTTATTACTTTTAGTATCCAACAAATCATTAATTGCTATTATTGACCACTAACAAAGGTTGTTGAAACAGTTCATCAATTAGATTATTAAACATGTTCTCAAAATTCCACTAATAGTACCTAAAAAATCTTAAAAATTTAGGAAAAAGTGTCAGATTTGATATTGAACTAATTGTTTTGTGCAATTTGTCCACTGAACTTTTAAATGCTTGCATGTAATTATATTGAACCATCAAACAAGAAAAATATGTGTAAATATTGTTCTGACATCAACCTAATTGACTAACTGTTCCATTAACCTCTATATATATTCATTGTATAAGATATATATGTATCAGATTTTCTGGGTTTTTGAGCAGATTACATTTAAAGCAATCTGCAAGATGGTGTTGAGCATGGAAGACGAGGAAGAGCTACAAGCTTTGCAAAGAGATGTGGGGCTTGTCTATGGAGCAATGCTTGCATTTCCTCTGAGATTACCTTGGACCAGATTCTACAATGGCCTCCAGGTGATCATCGATATATTCAATTCAAACTAACCCCATTACAGTTACTCCAATCCATTTTCTTTTCCAAACCAACAAAATTGTGCAGGCCAGAAAAGGGGTCACGAGGAAGCTGGGGAAGATAATCAAGGAAAGAAGAATGGGGCCAAGAGGAAAATATGATGATTTTCTGCAACACCTGTTACTGGTGAAGAAGGATAATGAGAATGGTGATGATGATGATGATGATGAAAACAATTTGTTGACAGATGAGCAGATCACAGATAACATTTTGACCATGATCATTGCAGGTCAGCTCCGATCATACTTAATTCATGTACTTTTTAATGTATCTCATACAATTATCATATATTCCATATACAATCATGCAAGTTGATATATAGTATGATACAAAGTGCAAAAAATACTGATGGTATCGGTTAACATTATAAACTTTTCCAGTTATCCCACAGTTTAATTAACTAAATCTGCAGGACAAGACACAACTGCTAGTGCCATTGCTTGGATGATAAAGTATTTGGATGAAAATGAAGAGGCCCTCAACCAGCTTAAGGTAAGAGAGAACGACATAACTACCCGCACGTGCTTAACTCAATGGTTCAATACGTAGACAATATTTGGGAGAAGAGATAAGGTTCAAACCTCGACGACGGCATTGTGGGGATTATGTCTAAAGTGGACAAATATCTTGTGTGCACATGTATACTACCGTGATTTACATTTTCCCAAATGCTCTGTCGTTTTCAAGTATAATTAATATCATGCTATATACAGTGTTTGAAAATTTTATATTCTTGATTAATGAATATGGTCTAATATAATATTGAGACAGATTGAGCAATGGTTGGTACAAGAAAAGATTTCCATGAAAACATTCCTAACACTAGAAGACCTTAACCACATGCCATATGCGTTGAAGGTACAACCCTAAAACTACTTACTTCAATTCACACATTTTGTTTTTATATCTTAATTCTTTTTGTTTCTTAAATATATGAAACACTACTACTACATTAAATTCACAGGTTGTTAAGGAATCACTTAGGATGGCATCCATAGTCCCATGGTTTCCTAGAGTAGCACTCCAAGATTGCGAAATCGAAGGTTAGTTATAAATCTATCTTTTCAACTTGCGACTGTGCATGGTTGAGTGGAAGGGACTCATCCATCATTAATCAAATGTCAATAGTTCGATCATTGACTTTATAGACAACCAGCTTAAATCTCCATGTCATTGTCCCATATCTATACTACTAGCACTTTAAATTTGTTTGTGGTCGATGTTGCTTTTAGGTTATGAAATTAAGAAAGGTTGGAATGTTAACGTTGACGCCAAATCAATACATTTTGATCCACATGTATACGATGATCCCAACAAGTTCATCCCCTCGAGGTTCGATGTAAGTTAACTTATGCACACATAGTTCCAACTTCCAAGCTAGTTCAATTATATTCTTTGTGAGGATTGTCTATTAGTCTTTTTAATTTGATCGGCTATAGACAACTTAAGCTGGTTTCCTTCTAAAGCAACCCATATTTGGATAGTGGTTATGGGTTTTCCTGTAAAACAAAGTTATTGTGATATAATCATAAATTTTGATTGGTGCAGGATGATGCAAAACCATACAGCTTCTTAGCTTTTGGAACAGGCGGGAGAACATGCATCGGGTTGAACATGGCCAAGGCAATGATGTTGGTCTTTCTCCATCGTTTGGTCACTATATACGAGTAAGCTAAGGGACTCACAACCTTAACATGCATACATATAACACATTAAATAGTTCTAATTACTCCGTATTTAATAATTTATTATTTATTATTTATTCAAATCACCTTTTTTTTTTTTTTAATAATCATAACAATGGACAGGTGGGAAGTGATTGACAAAGACTGGAGCGTAGAAAAATGGACACTTTTTTCAAGATTAAAAAGTGGTTGTCCTATACATGTTACACGTATCAACAAAAGTTTTACTTCATCAACACCATAATATATATACATAAAAGGTCAAGCCAATGCAACATTGGTATACATAATATGTGTACTATGTTTTATGCTAATGACGATGATGATCATAGTAGGTACATTAAATCATTAATAGTAGACATAATGTGTACTATGTATTATCAAACATTTTTTTAGTAATCAATTAATACTATCAATTAAGTAAATTGACAAATAACCCAATCAGCCATTCATGTTTCGTTGCTTACTTTGAACTGCTCGTGGTTTTTTCTTATGAATCTCTCGATTTTCCGGCGAAACTCCTCATCGTTCAGATTTTCAATCGCACCGCTCTCTAGGCTGCTGCCACTTTGACGCTGCTGCAACGCAATCGCCGCCGCCTCCTCGTTGCACTGCGGTTTTAAAACCACGCTCTCCCAGCACACCGTCTTTATTATGATTTCCTCTTCTCCTGCTCCGCTATCCTCCGCCGCCGCTTCTGGCGGCGAAAGAGGGGCGAGTATTTCTGCGGCTTGAGTTCCACCGCAGCGGCACACAATATCGCCATCGGAGTTTCTACTGATTTCCGTTTGGCGGCGGCAGAGCAGGAAGACCGCGAAGACAATGGCGTTGCAGAAGAGGAAAACCATGTGAGGGTTGCGAAGAAGACCGGACAGGTCAACCAACAAGGCGCCGGAGAATCTAACGGCCGCTGGAAGTCGAGTCCACGACCAGAAAACAACCAATACGAGGAAGACGAACACTTCTAGGAGCAGCAACTTCTTCATCGTCTTCATCTTCCGAAAGCGATAACTAAACGTGGCCGCATTATATTCTTCTCGCATTTCCAAATATCTATCAAACAGCACTGGAGAATGCTGAACATAGTTTATAGAGTTTCCACCATTTATTCGGATTGGGATTTCTTCGGAAGGTGGAAGAAGTTCCATTAATGGCAATAGAATTCTTGGGAGAAAGGAAAATCAAAATCTCTCCTAAAATGGAGGAGCTGAGGGATTTGCATATGAATATAGAATGATCTGAGAGTGTTTTAAGGATTCATTTATGGAGAGTTTCCCCCCATGAAGAAGTTTTCTGGTCAAGTAAGTGTCTTTGGAATCTTATTTACTAAAATATATATTTTTAAAATAATGTTTTTGACATGTTATTTTATGTCGCCGTATATATTGTTATTACTACGTCATCTTTAGAATGTATTTGGGAAATTCTTTTTACTTTTTGAATTATTATTTTTTATTCTTAAACATATTTTGTGGGATAAAATCATGGCGGCATAATGGATGAATAATTAAAAGGGAAGATGTGACAAAAAGGTTAGTTAGTTGACATGGTGCTCTTGTAGTTTGGACCAAACCTCAAACGAGCCCGAAAACCACGCTTTCCTTTTGAAAATGCTAAACATTTCGACGGTTGGTATTCGACATGGTGCATACGAATGCAAAAAAAGACGTCGTTTTAATAAAATGCGCGTCTCCTCTTAAAAAAGAAAAATCAGGTTCGATTCCCAGCAACAACATATGAACTAAAATTTCAGAATCGATGAACTATAATTTCATAATCGATGAACGATAATTCCAGAATCTAATCTATGAACTAAAAATTCCAGAATGAATGAACTAAAATTCCATAATCTATGAACTAAAATTTCAGAATCGATGAACTACAATTCCAGAATCGATGAACTATAATTCCATAATCAATGAACTATAATTTCATAATCTATGAACTAAAATTCCAGAATGAATGAACAATATAATGTTGTTGCTGGGAATCGAACCTTAATTTTTTTTAAAGGCGCGCGTTTTTTAATAAAACGACGTCGTTTTGGCATCCGTATGCACCATGCATGGTGCATACGGATGCACAGCATAACTATTGTTGGTATTCACTGCAAATTATTTTGTGGATTCGAGTCTACATTTGTGTATGAATTGACAAAATAATATGAATTATGTTCATATAATTTTTATACTGTATTTAGCATTATTTTATAATTCATATAATTTTTATATTATATTTATCATTTTTCTATATTGCACGTGAGTTTGTTTTGAGAAAATCTATCTTTAATCATGGTCAAATGTAGGTAGCACTTTGAAAAGTAAGTAATTCAAGGGGATTAAAATTTTGATTTGTAGGGATAATGGACAATCTGTGAATACTATTAAAAATGTTATATACAAATTTTTTTTTTTAATAATGTGTAATACAATTTCAATGTTAATTGTTATTAAATAATTTACTCTATATAAATTTTCTTCATTTTTTATTATTATTAAGTTATATTGTTTAAGATTGTTTAATTATATTATTATTATTATTATTATTATTATTATTATTATTATTATTATTATTATTATTATTATTATTATTATTATTATTATTATTATTATTTATGGCCGTGCATCGCACGGATGCAAATACTAGTATTCACAATGGTTCATAATTTACCTTTTAAAATTTTACAATTTGTATACTACGAACAGTTAACATATATGTAGGTAGCACTTTGAAGAGTAAGTAATTCAAGGGGATTAAAATTTTGATTTGTAGGGATAATGGACAATCTGTGAATACTACTAAAAATGTTATATACAATTTTTTTTTTTTAATAATGTGTAATACAATTTCAATGTTAATTGTTATTAAATAATTTACTCTATATAAATTTTCTTCATTTTTTATTATTATTAAGTTATATTGTTTAAGATTGTTTTTATTATTATTATTATTATTATTATTATTATTATTATTATTATTATTATTATTATTATTTATGGCCGTGCATCACACGGGTGCAAAATACTAGTAGTATTCACAATGGTTCACAATTTACCTTTTAAAAATTTACAATTTGTATACTACGAACAGTTAACATATATGTAATTGATTTCATATTAACAGATTAGGTTGTTATTTGTTTTGACTTAGAAACACAATTTATATCTAGAAGTTCACAATTTCAATACTAAAAATACACAATTATACGTAGTTTAGGACCAGGGTCCACCTTGCAAAGTGGACCCTGGTCCATGGTATACAACTCGATATTCACTGCATTTGATGTAATTTTTTTATTTTTTTTTTCGAATACTATAACTCTATTACAAAGTAATATTGATTTGACATTTTTAATACTCAAGTAATTTCAATTTCACTAAACTAATTTTAAGTCCATAAATTCTAAGCTCACAAGATCCTATCTCTAGAGCCACTCTAACATTTCTTTTTGTGATATGAAGTTGTGGTGGCTTAACCCGATCAGAAAGGTTTAAGTAAAGAAATGGTAATCACTCCTACAATTGTTACTCACAATTAGTCACTACCTAATATAGCAAATTATCACATCGAGATAATTGTAACCAAGTTAATTGGATAATTGACTTGATAATCATAAAATTTCAAATTCAACTCCAACCAAGTTAATTGGATAATTGACTTGATAATCATAAAATTTCAAATTCAACTCCTCATGAAAGCTAATTTTCTAAAATGTTTTTTTTTTTTTTTTGTTTTGTTTTTAAATTGTTTATTTCTACATAAGAACTTCAAATTCAACTCCTCATGAAAGCTAATTTTCTAAAAAGTGTTTTTAAATTGTTTATTTCCACATAAGAACTTCAAAGTCAACTCCTCATGAAAGCTAATTTTCTAAAAAGTTTTAAAAAAAATTTTTTTTTTTGTTTATTTCTACATAAGAAGACAGCCTTAATTTGTCTAACATTTTAACTAACAAGACTCGTGCTTTGCCGAGAATGTTTCAAGTTTCAATTCATCTTCGTCGTCAAGACACTCTCAGTCAAGCTATGTCCTCCAAACAATCCGTAATATATATTTTTTGTCTATTTATTTTATTTATTTTTAAGAAAATGAGTATTAGAATCCTAGCTCACTATTCATGTTCTCTATCTTTCCCTGCACTGTTGAACAGTTGTATGTATATTCAAAAGAAAAGAGACCAAAGTACAATTCACCTACTTCAATTCATCAATTGTATAAGGAGAAAAATGGGGAAAGTATTCTCATGTATATATTGGTTAATAACAGCAGTCATCTCCCTCTGAAAAACACGAGTTTCTTGAAAGCCATGGAAAAGAAGAAAGCATTAAGTTGGGTATTATTATCCAGGGACGGATGAAATATATGCCAGTCTCCACCCACCAACGTAACTCCTAAACAAGCAAAGAGGGAAAGGCTACCTTACGTACACCTCGTTGGAGCTCTTGGCTTTATCGGGCAGAATGTTATCAGGAAGAACAAGTTCTGGGGGAGTTTCACGCACGACGCCAATCATCGAGTCGTAGTCCTCGTCACGTCGGGCGTACTTCTTGCGGAGCATCCTCTCGAATTCAATTTCGTCAAAGGATTTCGAGTTCTCAGCTGCATGGACTCGTGCAAGGTTGGTGTAAGTTGTGGCCGATTGAGATATGAAGGCTACCTCTTCCTCGGTTAGCTTTCTCAGGAACTTGGCTGGATTACCGGCCCATATCTGTGATCAAAACAAAACATAAGCAAATTGGAGATTTTCTGGGAAAACGGGAAATTGGAGAAGTGGAAAATGGAAAATATGCATTTGATAGCCATACCTCTCCCGAGGGAATTTTAGTGTTCTGTCTCACGAGGGCTCCTGCAGCAACCATCGCATGTTTCCCGAGATGGACACCATCGAGCAATATTGCTCCCATACCAACAAATGCCTCATCATCAATAGTGCAGGCATGTATAACCGCACTATGCCCTGTGTGTTTGCTAAATCGTTATGGATATACTTTAGGAGAAAGGAATAGTAAGGTTGATATATGATGCTCACCAATGGTAACATTGTCCCCAATAATAGTCGGTAGATCCCTGCCACCCGAATTTAATTTTGCCACATGAACGAGGGAGTTGTCCTGTATGTTGGTTCCAGCTCCAACACGAATTCTGTTCACATCACCTGTATACAAAAATATATGGAATCATAGTACAGCAGTTCTTCTCTTTCATCTATGTAATGCAGAAAAAGCAATCCAAAGAAAAGAATGTGGAGGGGCTACACGGACAAGGAAGACTCAAAATGTACGCACCAATATACAATGTTGGCAAGTCTATAACTATAATATTTGTATCAACCACAACATAAAAAGAAATCATGATAGAAAAATGGTGACTTTAAACGCAAAATTCTCATTTATGCAAATCCAGTATAATTGAAAAAGACCTACCTCTCAATACACATCCATACCAAATAGATGAATTTCTTCCCACTTGGACATCGCCAATTACTGAGGCACCTGGTGCTACAAATGCGTCTTTGTCAACAACAGGGGATTTGTCAAATAGGTCCATAAGAGTTCGGTGCCTGGACACTAAAGATATAAGATGTCAATAATAGCATGTGAAATTCAAACAAATTAATAAAACAAGCTAATTTAACAGCTCTAAACTACAGATGTCATCCTGAAACAACAAAATATTATCAATATGGTTCAAAAAGGGGAATCAAAACAAAATTCAGCCATAAAGAGGAACTCATTCGTACAAAATGGAGACTGCCTTAATCAAGGTTTTGAAAGCTTTTTATGAATAAAACTTTTTTGAATAGGATATCGACTGCCAACATTAGAAGCATCATTAAAGTTATAAACTTTATCCCCTTACAGTAATCTATGTGGTAAATCAGTTGCTTAGTCTCTTTCAATTGAGGCCACTTATCGTGTAATTCATATAGTTTTTCCCTGAACTACCGCAGCTAACATCCTCTGGGAAGGTCATTTCAAATTTCAATCATCTTACTTGACATCTTCTATTGTAATTTAATACTAACTAGGATAACTACCAAAATTGTTTGCCATTTTCTCCATACAACTAAAGAGGAACCAACAGGGAATCATCTCTTTTCTTCTTCTTTTTCTGGTAAAAAATGGGGCTTTTTTCCCATACTATGTATCGTTTCCCATCTTAATTGACATCTTCTGTTGTAATTTTATACTAACTAGGATAACTACCAAAATACTTTGCCATTTTCTCCATACAACTAAAGAGGGAACCAACGGGCAACCATCTCTTTTCCTCATCTTTTTCTGGTAAAAAAATGGAGCTTTTTTCCCATACTATGTATCTTTTCCAGTTTTCCCATTTATCCTCAGAATGCAACCTATTATGTTCCTTCACATGCATTCCCCATTTGTTTTGAAATGCTTTACTTTTGTTATTCTTTAAAACTTTAATTTCTCACCACTTTTTACCTAAAAATCTGAACTTTTTCTGTGAGATCCAGTAATTTATTTCAATTGACGAACACCGGTACAAATACAAAACAGAACATAACAAAATCAACGACATACAAGCATTATTGAATCAAAGAACAATTAAGAGAGATTGGAGGTGTTGGGTGAGCATATGAATCAAAAGGAAAGAAATTTGCGGGGGGGTGAGAATGCACATACGCTGTTCCGACAAGTAGTAGCTGCCTTGAAGGCCGCAGCCGATGCGATCAAGGGCTTTGCCGGAGCCTCGAATCAGCGATCCTAGTGTGTATATCGCTTTCCCTAGACTTCCCATTTCGTTCTCTTCTTCTTCGTCTTCTTGCTGTGCGGCTCTTGATGATCTTCAGTGAATTTTGCGATGATGGCTATAGAGAGAGCAATACTCCTGGGGTAAGGTCAGGAGGATGCAGGCCTTGTGTTTAGGGCAGCTGAGCAGATGCTAGAGGTCATACAAGGGCAAATCCGGAATTGTAGAGTAAAAATTAAAAAACCTATACTTTTTTCATTTTCAGACCAAAAAAATAATGGGTATTTTATTTTCACACTAACCCAAAAACTTTCACTTCAATCTCGATAAATGGCAAGATATGTCACGGCACAAGTGCACTACGTGACGGATTCAACTCGTGAGGAAATTGAAAATTACGGAGTATTAAAAATCAAACACGTGACATTAATGTATAAGAGTTATGCTCTACCTACTCGATTACCTATTTTGGAACACAATAAAACTAATTTTATACTCTCCTCTAAGTAGATATTGAACTTTATAAGTGCCCACAAAACTAAACTAATAAAAACAAATTGCACATTTTTACCTTTATATATTAATAAATATATTTTATTTTATTTTATAATCTTTATATTAATGTTGATATTTTTTATTAATTTACAATTATATACATATATTCTCTTATTCTTTTTTCACAGTATTTAATCATTGTAAAAAATGAGGGGTGATTTCAAATTAGAAATGCGTTTAAGGTAATTGTGGTAGGAATTAATATTGCATTTTCTTTTTATTTACAAAAAAAAAAAGTTTATAACTATAAGGTGTTATATGGGACTTTATATTGGAGGTTAGGAGAGTAGGAGGTAAGCACTCTTTGTTCTGTAAAAGATGAGTGATCCTGCAAATTTTTTGTTAAGATGCAACTATGCAAGTGCTAGTGAAGTAGAATTATTAGTTTTATTTGTATCAATTAACCAGTTAAATTATATATCGAAATTGTAAAATTATTAGGCGAAAGTGCAAAGCCTAAAAGGGCCCATATTTTGGGTCAGTGGTTGGCTTCCATGGACACCATGAATGTTGTGGTCCTTGTGGAAGGTACATACCAAGAATTCCACTAGTTAAAAAGTTGACAGCAGTGATGGATTATTTCCTTTTGCATTTTCTTGTGTGGAAACCCTAACTCCCCGATGTTGTTGGTTTTAGGTCAAGTGATCAACCACTTGAGCTAGTCGTTGTTGTCAACTTTAGGTCAAATGATCGACTATTTGAGCTAAACCATGTTGTTAACTTTAGATAAAGTGATGGACTACCTGAGCTAGGCCCGCCGCCCCACGGGGCTAAACAAGAATTTTGTTGAATCACTTAAAACTATGTTGCTTGTTGTTGTTTTATTTCATGTGTTTGTGGGCTTTGTGCAGTGTCTGTTTGTATAGGAGTGAGTATGTGGTCATTCAAACAGGCACTTCTCAGAGAATATAATTTTCAAGCAATTTTAGATTCTCAGAAATTGTAAGAGATAAACCAGCATTACATGCATATAAACCCAGTGCACAACAACAACTACAGTTCTTCTAAACTGAAAACCATATGCAAATGTCCCATGAAAGATGCACTGTGATCATAGCTCATCAGATCAAGCATTTTATTTAATTTCTCAGTGTGCAGAACATGAAAACTAAAGCATCCATCACAGCATGCATTTCAGACAAATTTTTCCAGGTACTCCTCCACAGTAGTATACTTGACATCAGGATAAAGCTCTGAAGCCTCAACTCCGAATGATGGCTCAATCACAAAGTTGGTATGACCACCCTTCACAAACACTGAGTGGTTGATTGATAGCACCACGTTTATGGGTATGGGAGACTCTGCAACAAACCACAATTACAAATTAAATGGGCAAAGGTTTCCATTGTTCCATTATACAATCAAGATTCAGAAATCAGAAGGGTATATTGCAGACCTTGAATTTGCTTCAGAAGTTGTTCTTCTGAGACATAGCTTTTCTCCAGTGTTTTCCCAATCTTCTTCTCCCACAATGCCACAAGCTCATTGAAGGAGTAGATGTTCTTGGGGGGCTTCAAGTACACAACCTTGTTCAGTGTTCTTGGATCATCCACAGCCTTGATCGTGTAGGTCCCAATGTCATGTTCGTCATTGAAAACAGCTACACACAAAAGATCGAGTTGAAGATCAAAACCAAAAACATTTCAATTCATAAAGCATGCATGACAAATACCTGCAAAGACAACTCAGTTAGTTCTTGGCTGGTAGATTGTGGGAAGGACACAAAATCCAGTCCTAACAGTCGTAGTGTGAAAGTTTAACCAAATATGGTGAACTCCTTATAGGCACCCAGAACGGGTTTTACAGTTGGTTGGTAGATTGTGAGAAGGATACAAAATCGAATAAAAGCAATACCTTTAACAGTTCCATCTCCCAGAATGACAACTTTATCTCGAGGAGGGGAAGTGGCTCCAAGCTGCACCAATGTAGGGAGGAAATAGCCAGCAAAATAGTTGGCTGAAACATAGGTGTAAGGAATCCCTTCTCCTTCAATGGCTCTCCGGATTTGAGCTTTGGTCTCAAATGCAGATTTTGCAGGCTCAACTGCCTCCACACGGTCCACGTCGTTCCCAAACTCCGACGGGAAGAAACGCTGCATAATACAGTTCAAGAAACCAGACAACAAAAATAAACCCAACCAAACAACAAATATACTATAATACAGTAGTATAGATTATGACCACCGACAAGGCGACAACCTTAACATTCCCGGCTTCTTTGATTGCAGCAATGATCTTGGTTTGATCAGCCAATTGCAAGTGACCCACGGTTGAGATCACCACATCCACCTGCTTTATTGCCTTCACCAAGCTCGCATGATCATACAAATCTCCCTGAAACGTATATATATATACAAATATGTGATCTGTGTTATTGTTTCATATATATCTAAAGAAACACAGGAATCTTGGCATACATAAACCAGAGTGACGCCGGAGTTTTTGAAGTTCTCGATGATCTTCCCTTTAACGGGATCGGAAACGGTGCTTTCTCTGACCAAGGCGAAGGTAGGGTGCGCGGATTTTGCACTCGCTTCCACCACAAATTTGCCGATGTACCCAGTTCCGCCGATGATCAAAATCTTGCTTTTCTCAGCCATTTTGCAAATTTTTTTTGTTGCACAGAGGAATGTAGGAAGCAGACAATGCAAGTGTACGATGAAAACTGGTTTGACTCCACCACAATTTAAGCACTCGGTTGGGGATGGCAATTACCATAAGTACCTATTTGTGACATAAATGTAATTCCTGTATTCCAGCCTGTATCAGTTGTGTTTTCTTTTTTAAACATTTGTTGGTATGTCAATTGGTACTATTTTAAAATTTAAAAAGCTACTCAAAGCAATTTTTTAATTAGATTTTTAAGAAAAGGAATTATACTATCAGCTAATTTACCAAACTGTTATCAACTAGTTATACCTTTTAATTAATCCAATCAGCTAACAGTTAACAGTTATCACTTATCAGCAAACACTCATTTACCCAACCGGGCCGGTTTATATGTTATTAGATGTTTATAAACTTCTAGAAAGTTTAGGTGGGAGTATGGTAGGAGTGGAGGTGTCATGATTATGTATCGACAAGATTAGTAGCATTAAGTCAAATAGTAGGTTGTGGGCAAGTCCTGTAGGTTTGAATAGTTGCAAGCCCCAAAACAAAAGAAGATTGATATGGGCAGTTGAATTGGAAGTTGCTTGTGAATGGAGACGCTATAATGGCAACCATTCATTTTGTTTAATGAATGCAGACGCTATAATGGCAATCAGTTCAGTTCAATGCGACGTGACCACTAATAGTTGGTGAAGAGTGTGTTTTAAGGAAGGTGTAATGCGATGTGAGTAATCACAGGTGATGGGTGTGTTTTAAGGAAGGTGTGACACGTCACACGTATGACATATTTACTTTTTTAAAAAAATAAATATATTTCTGAAATCCAAATGTTGAGAATTACATATATAATTGAGGATGGTGGCGAGAGAAAAAGTTAGATAGATAAGTCTATGGACTATCGTATACCCACATCAACTATTTATCCACCGCTCTAGATGAGAGATCTTGTTAACTTTTTCTCCAAAATTTTAGATTAATAGATAATATATATCCTTTATACAAATATCTGACCCTATTTGGTAAATGACTGTTAGCTGATTGAGTTAATTAAAGAGTATAACTAGTTAATAACATTAGTTAATTATTGAAAGGTGTTTAGTAAATTAGATGTTAGCTGATAGCTGATAGCTGTTTGGTATAATTTTTTTTTTAAAGTTACTTTAAGCAACTTTTTGAATTTTAACATTTTGGAGTTACAAAAAGTTAATTACCTAAACATATATATTGATTTTTTAACCAAATTAAAAAACTAGCTAATAGTGGCCAAATAAGCTAAAATTAGCCTATAAGCTAACTATTTTATTAAACAGGGCCAATACCTTTCCTTTTTTTATTTGTATGAACAGCTCAACTGATCAAAAAATGTGAAAATTAGCACAATAAACCGCCTTAAGATGAGCAATACCACCTGCATAGTGAGCAAAAGTCCAGCTTAGTTTAAGTTGATTCACTACGAGTCTATGATAGAAAATGCATGTTTTACATTCCATGACCTTTGGATTGGGCTTAATATCTGGCCCAGATATTGTGGAGCATTGGGCTTAACTTCTAGCCCAAGTATTGTGGGTATCTTGAAATAAAGAAAAAGGTGGCAAATTATACAGTGCAACCGTGGATGGTGCACACAGCACATTGTTCTGTGTTCATAATTACTGAGCCATATGCTTATAATTATAAAGTTATATATTCATAATTTTTTAATGCTATATTCACAATTACAGAATTCTATGTTTATAATTTTTTATGTTCATATTCCCAATTGTTGAACTCTGTATTCACAAATCATAGAACTATATGTTCATAATTTGATAACTATACAATTTAGAAATTATGAATCTACAATATAGAAATTATGAATATACTATATAGAAATTATGAATTACTGTATTTAAATTATGAATCTACAGTATAAAAATTATGAATCTATAGTATAGAAATTATAAATTAGAACCGTGTGCACCTTGCATGGTGCACATGGTTGCACAGTATAACGTTCCGAAAAAGGTGGTTGCATGCCATATATAAGTAGAAGTACAGTAGAAAATATGATCATCAAGATTATGGCGGGGTTTGAAAGCTAGCTTGGATGTTTTAATATATACGTGAATCTTCAAAATCAAAATTTATGAATTCCCAAAAGCAATTCGATCTAGTGATTAAGGAAAAACTAATTAAGATTATAATACAAGGTTTCCGATGAAGTCCCACTACCCATGTAGTGCGGATCGGAATTTAAGAATGTTTTGTATCTCCGAGATATTGGATAGAGAGTGAAATATTATAGTGTATATATATGCATGGGTGTAAATGTTGTGCTTCGTGTTTGGGAGACATCGTAACGTGAAAGGCGAATTGAAGTCTTCATTCTTTGGCTTTGGATCCGCCAATTATGACTAAGCTTTGCCATGGAGTGTGGAGGTTAGGTATATTTGAATCTCTCCTCCTCTTCATTCCTCTGAATGCAGCAATATTCTTCATCGTTTTATCCAAAAATGTCTGCTTTCTATGCTCTCTAGTGTGAATAGAAACAAAAACAAAAGAACAAAAGATCAGAGAATATATGTCAGTTGAGTTCATGTTTTGTCACAAGGCGAATAGGCGTGGAAGATCATATGTGGCTCCAGAAAGGCTACCCCAATCTCCTCCACCATTGTTGCAGGCTCAAGAAAGCCCTTGGGCTGATTTGCCTTCAGAGTTGCTTCTCAACATTATCTGGAGAGTGGAAGCTACTGAGACCACATGGCCAGGCCGCAGAGATGTTGTAAGTTGTGCAGCTGTTTGCAGATCATGGAGACAAACCACAAAATGGGTTGTAAGGACTCCTCTCCAATCTGGGTTGCTCACCTTCCCCTGCTCCCTCAAGCTGGTATCTACACTTGCTTTGAGTGTCTATCATACTTGTTTTGTTTGTTTAGGCCTCTTCTTAACATTCATGGTTAATTCTCCCTCAGCCTGGGCCAAGAGATTCACCTATTCAATGCTTTATCAAAAGAGAAAGGTCTACATCAACATTCAGATTGTATCTTGGCCTTACTCCTGGTAAATTATGTGTTTTTACATTTACAGTATAATGCTTACAAGTTTGAGATTTGATGCCATTCATATCTGCAAATAATTAATGTCAGCATTTTCAGTGGAAGCTGGAAAATTGCTAATGACAGCAAAGAAGAACAGAAGGCCTATGTCCACAGATTTCTTGATATCCTTGTCCAAGGATGATTTTTCCCAATCCAGTGATAATTATGTGGGGAAGCTAAGGTAAAAAAGACAGCTTTTTTCTTTTCTGATCTGCTGTCTTATTCCATGTTTTGTGCTTTTCTTGCATATATGTGTTCCTCAGCAACTATGTTTGTGTACTGTTATCAGATCTAATTTCCTTGGGACAAAGCTCAGTATTCATGACTCCCAACCTTCTTGTAACACTGCAATCCAAATGAATAATTGGTCATATAAAAGATTCATGTTGAAGAAAGTGGCGGCGAATCCCCAAACTAGCAATTATAGGGTGGCAACTATATCTTATGAAATCAATCTTCTTCGTACTCGAGGACCTAGAAGAATGCAATGCGCCATGCACACGATCCCCTTCTCTGCAATGCAGGAAGAGGGATCTGTTTATACTCCAACATCCTTTCAGAACTACAAGTTCACTTCACCGCTTTCAATTGAAAAACCCCAGGGTTCAAATCCACTGATCTTGAGGAATAAGTCTCCTAGATGGCATGAACAATTGCAATGTTGGTGCCTGAACTTCAAAGGGCGAGTTACAGTGGCATCTGTCAAGAACTTTCAGCTCATGGCAGCTGTTGATGCATCCCAGAATGTTGTGCCAGTTGCAGAACAAGAAAAAGTAATCCTACAATTCGGAAAGATTGGGAAAGACATTTTCACTATGGATTACTGTTATCCTCTTTCTGCCTTCCAGGCCTTCGCGATTTGTCTGAGTAGCTTTGACACAAAACCAGCATGCGAGTAGCCATGTTTTATATTCGCTTTTCCTTATCAAAAATCAGCTGTATATATTTCTAGGGAGGTTTTCGATCTTATCTGCCCGAGTCTAGTATATCATGACAGGAAGATATATGCTGTCAATTTTGAAATGGAAGATATGTTGTACTCTTCAGACTTTCAACTTCTTTCAATCTGTATAATATTTCCAGTTTAAAAAAAAGTAACTCTCTCTCCTTTTATTCACAAAGGGATACATTTCCACTTCTCAGCATCTATCATGCACTCTTATTATACATAGCAAGTTCTTTCTATCCATGGATCACTGGTCGTTTGGAAAGTGTGGGATTTGGAGATGTACACCGGGGCTTCTTTCCACTGTCGAACTGTCTGACAGAACTGAGTTGTTGATGCACTGCACATTGCTGTTTGCATACACCTGCATAGATTGGTCATCCACAGTGTTTGTGTCCTTTGATTTTCTTCCCCGGGAACTTTCTGCAGAATCAGTTGTTGCCTCAGAACTTCCTTCAGTGTTTGTTCTGTAGCCTCGACGAATGTGGAGAGACCCTTCGTTTTTGCTTGGATCAGAGCCGCGTTGCATTGATGCCCCAGTGTTTCCACCTGCAAGGGTTATCATATTCACTGGCCTTCCATCCACGCGACACTTTGAACCTCCAGCAGCTGTCTTCTTGTTAACTAGATTCAAGATGCTATCTTTGATCTGTTTCTGCAAAGGAAGATGGTGTTCATGGGGAGTTTCGGGTTTAAAATGGCTATCACTCATCACTCTTTTGTTCCTTGGCTGAGACGTTTTTGCAGAAGGCTTGAGCTTGTCTGTCTGCCCTTTAGTTGGCTGTGCTTTTGCAGATAGCATTTGTTTATCTATCTGCTTTGCTTTAGAATGATCTCTGTGTCTTGTCTTCTGCATCTCTTCCTTGGTTTCCAGAGACTTCAACTCTCTGAAGGGCTTGGATGGATCAGGGGTTTCAGTTGGTTTGGGAGATGGCTTTAATGTCTCTTCTGCTATCTTTGATGGGGATGTTGGCTGGGTACTTACCTCTGCTATTTGTTGCATCTTAGATGTTGTCTCTGTCGTAGAGGTTGAGGATGTCTGCCCTGCAGTAGGAGATGCCAAACTTGAAGGGGATTGGGGCTGGGAAGCATTGCTAGTTGTGGGAGAGGAAGTAGCAATAGGAGGTGAGGGAGTGGCAGGACGAGATGGACTGGAATATTGTGATGTTGGTTGGGAGGTAACATGTGGTGATTTTGGTTGAGATGTAACACGAGGTTCAGTTGCATGAGGTGGTGATGCTGGCTGAGATGTAATACGAGGTGGCGATGCTGGCTGAGATGTAATACGAGGTTCAGTTGCAAGAGGTGGTGATGCTGACTGAGATATAATACGAGGTTTAGTTGCACGAGATGGCGATGTTGGTTGAGATATAACACGGGGTTCAATTGCATGAGGTGGTGATGCTGGTCGAGATGTAACATGGGATTCAGTTGCACGAGGTGGCAATGCTGGTTGAGATGTAACCTGGGGTTCAGTTGCACGAGGTGGTGATGCTGGTTGAGATGTAACTTGGGATTCAGTTGCATGAGGTGGTGATGTTGGTCGAGATGTAACATGGGATTCAGTTGCACGAGGTGGTGATGCTGGTTGAGATGTAACTTGGGGTTCAGTTGCATGAGGTGGTGATGCTGGTTGAGCTGTAACTTGGGGTTCAGTTGCATGAGGTGGTGATTCTGGTTGAGCTGTAACTTGGGGTTTAGTTGCACGAGGTGGTGATGCTGGTTGAGCTGTAACTTGGGGTTCAGTTGCACGAGGTGGTGATGCTGGTTGAGCTGTAACTTGGGGTTCAGTTGCACGAGGTGGTGATGCTGGTTGAGCTGTAACTTGGGATTCAGTTGCACGAGGTGGTGATGCTGGTTGAGCTGTAACTTGGGGTTCAGTTGCACGAGGTGGTGATGCTGGTTGAGCTGTAACTTGGGGTTCAGTTGCACGAGGTGGTGATGCTGGTTGAGATGCAACACGTGGCTCAATCGCGCTAGGCTCAGTTGGTTGAGATGGAGATGATGGTTGAGATGCAACATAAGATTTAGTTACACGGGATGGTGATGTTGGCTGAAATGTAACGCGAGGTTCTGTTACACTTGCACGGGGTGGTGATGCAGGTTGAGTGTCACGAACGGGCGATGTTGATCGAGATGAAATAGGGAGTTCAATTCCACGAAACGGCGATGTAACAATGAGTTCCGTCGGAGAAGACGGCGATGCTGGTTGCGATGTAACCGGAAGCTCAGTTGCACGAGACGGCGCCGAGGGTTCAGGCGACGGCTGAGTTTGGGAAGTTGAAGACGGTCCTCGTGACGCAGCACTTGCAGCAGGTTTACTTTCGGAGATTGCACTGAGAAAGGGAGTACTCGCGGCGGTTCTGGCCGGCTGAGACACCGGCCGGGGAGTCGGACGGGAAGCTGATCCAAACTGCAGCCATGGAAGACGAAAGCGAAACGTCGGTTTCTTCTGCGCCATTCGACGGAAACAGTGAAACAAACGATATTATGTTGTTTATGTTGTATGCTTTAGTGCTGCAAAAATGGCGTTTCTATAAATGGCTTTCCATTTGATACCTTCCCCATTCCTTAAGATTGCCATTTCACCTTCCTACGTTAAGTTTCTCATACCTTTCTTGTGGTCCACTTTTGTTAACAAAAACATGGAATTCTAGGCACAATTCTATAACCACATTTGCCTTCTCCCACAGGTTTAGCATCCTCCGACAAATCCATCTTCTTCCCCAAGTTCATAACTTTGTGTAATGAACAAATTAAGAACCATATTAACACAAACCCATTCCCTAGGATAGCCTAGTAATCCAAGAACATAAGAAAACCCTGTTCATACAACCATCTAAGCTAAAGATTCTTGCAATCTTGGCCATAGTAATTAGCCAAGTTGCTTCAACTTTATGCATGAAAGTTTCACGTCACCATTCTCATAAGGCGAATTCAGTATCTGGGCACAAAGGTTTTGCAAGAAGCAAATCCTACTTTATCTGCAAAGTTTGGGATAGATGCTTGCAGGTTGGCAGTCCTGTGGCGTAAGATTTTATATACTTGCTGTCTCCATATCTAAGGTTGAAGAAATTCTTGGTTCAGAACAATGGAATCGCGGTTTACCTGAAGCTCGGGCCAGTAATTTTGCGGGGGGTGAAGCAGAAGAGCAGACATTCCTTGAAAAGCAGCCTGGATTCTGGATTCCTCATATCCCCTGGGGATTCGTCTTTTCCTGCCATTTGATATAAAGAATTTCGAGGTGCAGTAACCCGAGATGCCTTGTTATGTTCAGCTAGATACCCTGAAAAGCAAAACAAATGTTATTAAACACCCCACTGAGAATATTGGATTGAATCAGAATATAAACAAAGTGAGAGGGATTTGCTGCAATTTGCCTGAGAACACAGGCAAATCATATATAGATTTGACTCAGAAAAGGCACATATCCAGATTAGTGGAAAATGATGACAATTTAATATGTTCCATCTCTTATACCAGTCATGTCCAATCCGCTAAGCATATGTCGAGAATTGCTCATCATGGGCCTATCTTCTTATCTTTCAGAACACTTTATCGCAAAAAGATCTTCCTATTCCTTTCTTGCATAACGATTCAACCAATAGCGAGGTGAGTTTCAAATTTTCGGAAGCATTATGTCACAGATTCCATCGCTGTGTGCTTCCCAAGCCATATACTATTAACACTATAGAATGAAGGATTAGAACGAGAAATGGTCTCTTCAGACTGGTGAGAAGCTGCAAGATTACAGTTTTGCTGTTCTTCATCTGCATAGATAATAGGACTCTAAATATCACAAAGAATTTTTCTACCTAATAAGAAGGGCCCCTCCACCTCCAAGTCTGGCAGTATCTGAAAACTCTCATTACATGTCAAAATGGTTCCAGTTAACCGGTCTCCCTGATTCCTTGGCTTCCATTTCAGGTAGAGTTTTCTTTTTTTCTGTCAGATTATGGTTTATGGCAATTTACGATGGCTAACTGCACAAGAATCCCAGGTTCGTGGCAATTGTCTGATCCTTAGTTCCGTTAATCACATTCTGGCAATTCAAGATATTTGATGAAGAGGCAAGCATTGCATTTCTCAAGTCTTATATATGGCCACTATTTCCTCGGTTTAAAGGACCACAGATCAAATTTCTAAACTAGGAAACGGAATCAATAGGCGGGATGGGATGTCAAATCAGTTAGCTCAAAAGTGATATTTTGGGGAATACAAAGATATTGTACAACAAAGAATAAATTCTACGCTAAAATATAATTATGGGTCAGAGCATGAAGTTCTTTATGATAAGAGACACTAATTGAAAGATTCCAAAGCAATGGCATATGGTGGCAAATCACTCATAGTTCATAACTCTTACCTCATTGGACACAACCAGGGCCATCCTGTGTTGTTAATTATACGATAAATTCTTCAATAAGTTATAATAGCGTAACAGACTACAAGACAAAGCACAAGTTATCATTCTTTAAGAAACATTAACAGCATAATTAGAACAGATTATGAGACCATCTAAATTCTTCATTCAAAGAAATTTTTGCTTCTTAAGATAAGACATAGAATTTGAAATTAGCCTTGAAAACTAATAGAAGCTCCAACTGTTCAAACACATAATGCATTTGTTAGCCAAATACTAAGGTTTTCAAGAAAACAGAACATAAATGTTTTGCACCAGATTGTTGTCAAGAGTTAAGCAACAATATCAGGGGGAAAAGATAGAAGAATATCTGAATGAATTTCTAGTGGACTATAATCTCACCACTCTGGCGCATCTCTATCTTAGCTAGTAGGATTGGAATCGGGGGATCTAATCCCCACCAGCTGGGTGAATTCGCTAGGCGATCCACTTGCTGATGATGATATTATAAAAGACAATAAAAAGGATTTTAAAGGAATTAATAAAAGTTTTTCCATTCCGATACTTAAAGTTTCATTTATTCCGCCTCCACCACGATATTTTCCTCTTCGCTTGTATCATTCTGTGGCTCTTAAAAAAAAAAAAAAAAAAAAATATTCGCCAACTAGTAACTCCAAACGCCTTTCCCTCCAGCATATAAGGAGCTAACATGGACTCTCTTTCCCATAACACACTCACAGAGTTCAGTATCTTTTCACTTTACTGAGGAAGCTCTTGACTTTCTTCCCCTTCACTAAATCCTACTTATACACTCAGCCACCGATTATTAATGGCCTCCTGGACCGCAAAGCAAAACAAGAAATTCGAGGAAGCTTTGGCCATATATGATAAGGAGACTCCTGATCGCTGGCATAAAATTGCCAGGTATGTTGGGAAGTCCATAGAGGAAGTAAGGAGGCAGTACGAAATCCTCGAGAAGGATATAATGCAAATAGAAAACGACGAAGTACCTTTGCCAAATTATAGAGCCACTGAAAGCAGTAGCAGAGGATTCGCTAGCAATGAGCAGAGGTAATGTAAACCCCCCCCCCCCCCCCCCCCCCCCCCCTTCTTAAAGAATAACACTCATCTTTGCATGCCACCTTCTAGTGTAGAATCAAGAACAAAACTGTGCATTTTCACAAAGCAAAATATGAATCAAGAACAACCACACTACCCGGCTAGTGTAGACTACTGTTATCCTGACACTACAAAACTGTGCATTTTCAAAAACATTCCCGTTTTTCACTTCTGGCATAGAGTCCGTTTTTAACATGGTCAACCATAGAAGTTGAAGTTCATCATCCTAATTCTTAGAGCAAATATTAAGAAGTTTCACCTTTCTAACTTTTATCTTTGTAACCCTTCAGCATTAACACTCATGTCTGCACTACTGTGCCCAGCACAATGAATTCTCCATTAAAGTCAAATGTTTATTCCTGAAGGTTTAATTTAATTTAAACACCCACATGCAAAATAACCATCTGTCATTTTCACCTCTGGCCCCCCTACCAAGTTTTGAACATTGACCATTCTTAAAAGTGACTTCATCAAGGTAACTTGTGAAAATATGGTCTCTAGCTAGTGGTGAGCCATGGAAAGCTCACCACTAATCTGGTGGACCAAAGCCTGCAAATTGATAAGTATATGCTCCCCAGAAAATATTCCTAAGAAAGCAACAGAATATTTTTAACTTTAAGAACAGACTAATTCTAAGTTCTTTCTTCCCTCTTTGCCAACAGGCTTCTAAGGAATTTGAAGCTCCGGTAAGTGCAATGCTGAAGCTCCATCAAGGGTGGATGTGCAATATCTCTTAAGAGGATCTCAACAGAAAATTATTATGAGTTCTTCAAAGTTCTCTATACCTACAACCCAACTTTCATATGTATTCCTAATGTTGTTCAGATGTTTCTGTTTTCTCTCTTTGTAACCTTGCAAAAATGTATAATACACTGTGTGTCTGTTATCTCAAAATTGTTCATTTTGGTTAACAAGAAATGCGAATATACTAATTAGAACACTAAAGAGACAAATGAGACACAAAACCAGGGCGGAGAGCCGGAGAACATCTCAACAAACAGAGAATCGGACATGGATTGTAAGATTCTTTAAGGATTCAGTTCAGAGAGTTTGCCAATTACCTTAAACGCACTCAGCCACCCAAATGTCCAAAACCATGAGAATTGACGAGTATCGTAAAACCGGGAAGAATGACTGTATTTGCAGCAAAGAACAAGTCTTTTGCTGTCTTTCTCTTTGTGCATAATGATAAAGTTGGAGTCTTTTTAATCAAAATCAAGTAATCAACCATTAATAAGCCAAAAAAAAAAAAAAAACCAAAAGTATACCGTTCAATGGAGATGCGGGGTATCGATCCCCGTACCTCTCGCATGCTAAGCGAGCGCTCTACCATCTGAGCTACATCCCCACATACGTTTTCCTTCTCATCTGAATTTATAATAACAATAATAATAATAATAATAATAATAATAATAATGTATAATTTTTTATAAATTTAATATTTATATTTTAGAAAATAACTAACTAATCCTTATTAATTAAAAATTAAATAAAATCAAATTTGTTTATTATATTACTTCAATATATTATTATCATTTGAAAATATAAGAAAATATATGGTGGATGTATATGCATGGTAATAATAATGAAAAAAATAACAATATGGTGTATTTTTGTCCAGTAAATTGTATAGTACAACTCTTATACTAAAATGTGTATGAAAAAAAAAAAAAAAAAAGAAAGGTACCAACCTTCGTTCACTATGTCACTGTGTTCGACGGTGAAAACCTTGGACTACAAAAAAAAAACATTTATTCACTCATGCGCGCATTGCACAATTAAATTAATGCCTAACACAAAAATTAAAATAAGTAAATATTTAGTATAATTTTTAAATATTGATAATTAATATAAAATAGAAATGATTATTTTCAATATAATTAAAGTAATGAGTATTTTTAACGTGAAATAACAGTAGTAATAAAGATGAGTATTACTATAGATAGTTATACTCAAGAATAAAAATATATAATGTCCTAACAATTTTCATATTAAAATAAATTAAGTCTTCTTCGTGCAAGCTAATTCAAGTAGCTTGTAGCTCAATGACATCTTTGTGATTTTTCTAAATGGGAGGTCACAGGTTCGAACCCACCTTAATGTGGGAATTGACTCTCTGTGCGACAATGTATACTGATAACAGTCCAAGCATTTATTTTTTAAATTACACACCCTAACCTATTCATAATATTTGTTTGTTCAAAAATTATATGTCAACCCTTAGCTTGATTGGGATGAGCTGAGGCTCGAACCTAAAACTTTCCTTACGAAAAATGATGGGTAAGTTAAAAATAATAAATAGTCAACGAAATATTTCGTTACTAAAGTTTACACTGACGGAATACAGGGATATTTTTTAATAATAATAACAACAATAACAATAATAATAATAATAATAATAATAATAATAATAATAATAATAATAATAATAATAATAATAATAATAAGAGCAAAGTAGGAAAAGTTGTAAGAAAATATTAAAACAAAAATAATATAAATCATTCATTTAAACAAACAATTCGACCAACATTTTTGTATTGTTAGAAACCTAACTTTATTACCTATTATTATAATTATTTATTTATTATTTATTTATTAGTAGATATACAGATGAGTAGATTATTACTCATTCCTTCCATTATTCTCACGATCTCCATTCTACTCTTCCTTAAAAAATAAAAAAAAAAAAAAAATAAAAAAAAAACATAGTAACTAGTAATCTCTTACTTAGTGGTGTTTGGACTGATTGAGTTAGCGGGTTTGACTATTTGATAACATTAACTGTTTGTAAAAAATTGCTTGGTAAATTAGATGTTAGTTGATTACATATATATATATATATATATATATATATATATATATATATATATATATATATATATATATATATATATATATATATATATGCAAAATGACTTAGTGAAAGAGGGGAAAATATTGACAAATAAGCACTTATCAATTGCTAGAGACCTAGCTTTATTGACTTTTATTATATTTATTAGTAGATAGATATATAGATTAGTAGATTATTACTCATTCCTTCCATTACTCTCACGATCTCCATTTTACTTTTCCTTTCAAAAAAAAAAAAAAACATAGTAATTAGTAATCTCCCACTTGGTGGGTGTTTGGTAAATAACTGTTATTAGCTGATTGAATTAGTGGGTTTGACTATTTGATAACATTAACTAAGTGTAGAAAAATGTTTGGTAAATTAGATGTTAGCTGATTACATAAAATGACTTTCTAAAAAAACTTATCGAAAAAGCTACTTTGAACAATTTTTTTGAATTTTAGCATTTTGGAGTAATAAGTTGTTAAAAAAGTTAATTAATCAAACACTTATATTAATTATTTAAATAAGTCAAACATGTAATAATTGTCAAATAAATCAAAATTAACTAATAAGCTAACTAAATATATATTACCAAACATGACCCAACTCATATTACAACATACAATAGGGAAACCATCTTTTAAAAATTAACTAAATAATCTAGCGGATCGACACCCGGTCCACTTACATGACGGGTACCAAACTACATACTATCCAAAATTCCAAATACTCTTATCACTACCAAACATAAAATACAAGCATTCCATGATACATACCAAGGCTCTTTAAATTTCCATGCATTTTTGCCTAATTTTTTACATAAAATTGTGATAAAACTAGGATTAGGGACAAAGATGCTAAGCAAGTGGTGAATTACTCATTCCTCCTTTAAACTAAGTTTCTATCCGTTTATTTCTAAGAGAGATTCAAAATAGTGTATAGTACATTCTTTAGTCTTTAACCTACCAATTCTCTTTTTATAATGTCTTGCCTTATATTGGTCAAGATCTAAACATATATCACCATACGTGAAACTTCCCAGACTTTAGAATTGCATGCAAATCTCCAAAGCCTCGAGCGATTTTACATGCAACACAAAAACATCCATCCAAAGGCTGATGGATCGATGGCATGCATATATAGTGCAATATATATGTAACGACAACATCCTTGATTTTATCGAAACGTTCCATCCACGCTAAAACACAACATAGTTGCAACAAAATAGGGCAGTCCAATCAGGTTGTGCAAGTAGAATGTTTTTTGCCATTCCTGGGATAAAGGAAAAGCAGCCATGCATGCTGTTTTGGTACTGTGTTGTGTACAAGACTTGACGATACAGAGAGTGGGGAGATCGAGACGTTGCACTATTCTATCTCCAACGCCGTTGATTATTCATCTCCGATCCTCTCCGTTGTCACTGTCAACCTTTAAGGCTTTAACTTTGTTCTACTGCTTCTATAACTTTACTTGGGTCGATTCAAACGTAGTGTTTCAGCGACGTTAGATGCATTATATTGTTCATTTTATTATGTTTTTTTTTTTGTTACCTTTGTCGGGTTCTGAATTTTGATATTGATGTCTCACTTTTTTTCTTTACTTCTCGAGTTTGAATTCAAAGATATTTCTAATTTTGCAGTATACAAAGATAAGAACTCTGGAGCTTATCAAATAAATTTATTAAAACACCTTAAATGGATTAAAAAAAATGTTAGTTGAGGTTGTATTTTTGGTAAATAAACAATACTTACAAAAAAAAAAAAAAAAAAAAAAAAAAAAAAAAAAAAAGGTGTATACCCAAGTTTAGGCATGTTTTTAATGAATATGAAACGTTGTGAAACCGGGGTGTGGTTGAGTGTAAGGGACTCATCCATCCTTAATCAAATGTTAATGGTTTGATTATTGACTTTGGGTATGGAGCAGCCTTAAATCTTCAGGCTAGCTGTCCGAGATTAATTTAGTCTATCCTCTAAAAAATGTTGTTGCATACACAAGTTTAAATTTGTAACCTCACATAACATATAGTAATTACATTTTGTGGGATATATAATAACAGTTTCCTAAGGCCAAAATGTATTTATGGAATTTGTCGTTGCCAAACATTCGTCTAATTTGTATTATCGCACCTAATCTCTCTTCTCCTAATCACTTTCTCATTATAAAAGGATTGCTGGCAACACCAATTTTTCTTAAGCCCTTTGGTCTTCAAATTACACATATTGAAAGAGCTTCACCTGCAAGAAAGGTTAAAATGGCACTGCTAAGTGTTCAACACTTGGCCCTCCTCTTTGGTCTCCTCGGTATTATATAATTAATCTCGTTGTGTACAAAAATATCTCTGGCCTCAATTATTACTAGTAAAAATTTGATTTAGTGGAGTCAATATATATATGATATCTTCTTTTTTAATTTGGGCAGGTAACATTGTGTCATTTTTTGTTTTCCTAGCACCGATGTAAGTACCCGTAACTTTTAAATTACACGTTGTGTATGTTCTTGAATATTTTTGTATATAGACCGTACCTTATGAATTAATGATACATTATTTGCAGACCAACCTTCTACAAGATTTACAAAAGGAAATCATCTGATGGGTACCAATCCATACCATACGTTGTTGCACTTTTCAGTGCAGAATTGCTGTTGTACTATGCTGTTATCAAGACCAACGCATATCTAATCGTCTGCATCAATGGCTTTGGTTGTGCCATTGAATTGGTTTTTATCTCAATGTACTTGTTTTATGCCAACAAAAAAGATAAGGTCATCTTCAATTCCACCCTATTATTTTTATTTTTAATTTTTCTGGGTGACGAAAAAATAACCCGAGAATGTGCATTGAAACGAACTCGACCAAAAAAGTGTTGGCAGGAACTGAACTTGTGATATTCTAATATGAGAATCATATTCTACCTACTCTGGTAACCCTTTTCGGACATTTTTCACCCTATTTAATTAATTATTTTTGGTGCAGATCTTTACTATAAAGCTACTGTTGCTGGACATTTTGTTTTTCGGGGCGGTGATTATAGTCTCTTTGTTTCTGGTAAACGGGTCAAAAAGAATTGCCCTTGTGGGATGGACATGTGCCGTTATTAACGTTGCCGTCTTCGCTGCCCCCTTGAGCATCATGGTAATAAACAACAACATCGTACCATATATACACACAATTTTTAATCATTTTAAGCCGTTAGTTGGTTACGTTTGATTAACTTAACTGTACTGTACTGCCACCAAATTATTTTGCAGAGACAAGTGATAAGAACAAGGAACACGCAGTTCATGCCGCTCACTCTCTCCGTCTGCCTTGTATTCTGCGCTACAGCTTGGTTTTTCTACGGACTTTTCTCCAAGGATTATTACATTGCAGTAAGTCAATAACTATTTCTTTATATACCGTCACATTTTCGAAAGGCAAGATACTGATATTGAATCTTCACCGATTTCTGCCAACAATTCCCTTCCCAACCCCTGATTTGACATGACTCATCATTTCCTTATATACAGTCACATTCTTGAAAGACATAGTATTGGACTTGGTCTTCATTGGCCTCGATCCAATATTCCCAATTGCTGGACTTGGCCATTTACGGACCTCCGCACAACAATTAACTTCTTAATTACTTACAATAAACTATCATTGCATGCAGTTTCCAAACATCCTGGGATTCCTGTTCGGACTAGCCCAAATCGTTCTGTACTGCATGTACAAAGACTCCAAGAAAGAAGAGGATGGAAAAGGTGCAGAATACAAGGAAGGAATAGAGATTCAAGTCAAGAATGACGGACGACGGTAAATCTAACAAAGAATTGAAGTAACCGGCCGGCGGTCGGACGTACTACGTACGGTGTTAATTAAGCCTCACCATGCACGACAATTAATGATGTTCCAACTTAATTGTCATGTGTATTTAATTAATAATATCAAGTGACGATCAATCATACTCGTACTTAAGAAACGGGTATTTTAATTCTTGATCGTTGCAGTAGTAATTGTAAGAAATAAAGGGTGTTAATTCTCTTTCTGTCTTCGTGTATGGAATATTATTTACAATATATGTTGTACGTAAAAGTTTTAATGGATCTATATTTTGTGTTTTATTTTAAGTGCTACCGACTCTTTTACTGTTTTGTATTTCATAACTATTTTTTTAATATACTGAAGCACAAAGAATCAATATCAACCTCTTATTTAGGGGAATCAATTCGTGACACTAGACTACAAAATCATAATTACACATAATTTCTTTACGGAAAAAAAAAAAAAAAAGAGTAAAATTTTTGTTTTTGCCTATGAGAGATGTACATATACTCCAACATCATTGGCAATTAAGCACATTCACGCGGTTGGTGTCAGAAGGATACCCGTCCAGGAAGATAAAAGCTTTTAGTACGTGTACTATATATCTGCATTTCTGCTTGTTTGCTTGAATTATTATTTATTACTTGAGTATTATTATTTTTATTTTCTTTTTAAAAAAAAAAAATTATTTTCTCTGTACAAAAAGTTGCCCGGAAGTATACTAAAAATAGGAACGCCAAAACACCAGCTAAAATCCACAAATGTAGTACGTAACCTCGCTTTCAATGCTGATATCGATCATAACCACATGTCGATTTCAAATATATTATTCAAAAAATAAAAAAATAAAAATTTAAAGGCGTAATTCATAAGTAGTGTCACGGTCCAAAGAATTGATTTATTTTGTTATGGCATGGATTCAATATGTGGCCATATATGTTCTTTTGGAATAAATATATGTTTTTTAGAACCTTGTGATTACCGAATCAATTGCTTAGGCCAACCAACTCGGTTGGGGTTAGTTCATTTACTTGTGTATCTCGACACTCCATAATAATGTGGTTGGCTCAACTGTTGGCCAGGTACATTATGACCGCAAATACTATTATCCCGGCCTATTTACCTATTAATTAACCACTATTACATACTTTCTTTCTTTTTTTTTTTTTTTTTTTTGAATACTATTGACTCTACTATTACATACTTGAAGCACCACTATTGCACACTTATTTCTACTATCATCCTCGCATACTTTCAACCACCGTTACATGCATACTTACCCGATTACCCCTCCCAAAATTTACCTATATATGTACCCCATATTTACCACCTTTCTAAAACCCGATTACCCCTCCCAAAATTTACCTATATACCCCATATTTACTACCTTTCTAAAGCCCACCACCACAATTTTTGTTGAGTACTTAACTATATATATGTTACAATGTAGTATTTGTTCATTTCTACTTTTTCAGTCTACTGAAGCATAAAGAGTCCGTACCGCCCTCACTAGGGCTCGAACTCATGACCTCCCATTTGGGAGGTGAGAGTACTTCATGCTATTATATTAGATCACAAGGTCGTCATATTTTACAAACTAAATGCTCAGAAAATTAAATATAAGAAATCTGAAATAAAAGTAGAATCATATCCTTTAAAAGCCTAATTAAGATGTAAGAAGGTGCAGCTTTAATTTCAAGGAAATATAGATGGCAAGAATTGTGCATAATTAATTAAACAAACATCTCATGCATGCATTCTACGAATGTTACATACATATATATATTTATATATATCATGAAAGCTGGCCTGCCCACCATGAACTAATGATCAATGATGATTTGCACCTATTAATAGGATTATGGAAGCAATTAAGAGGCGAATTGATTAAATTCCGGCAATACCAGGTGGTTGTTGATGATCTTGTTCTTGTTGGGGAGTGTTCTTCTTGGCGGAATTTTTGTTGTTATGCATCCAAACCTTAAAAACTTGTCTCTTCACTCCGACCTCGGCGCAGAATGTTTGCAGTTGAGTGTCGTCTTCTCTGGGGATTCTCCACCCTAACTTCTCCGCGAACTCCAACATCTTGTCTTTCTGTTCTTGCGAGAACTTTGTTCGGTATCGTTTCTTGGCCAGAATCAATCCGGACTGGGAAGGAATGGCGGAGGAGGAATGGTAGGCGTTGAAATTCAGCTCTTCACTGGAGGAGTCTGTGGCGGCGCTGCCGCCGCCGCTGCCGAAGGCCATTTTCACCGGCTGGGCGGCGAGGGAGGTGGGGGCACCCCAGGGGGTATTCCGGTGGTGGTTGATGGATGACGGGGAGGGCATAGGCGGACCACCCGGGAGTTGAAGCGGGTGCACCACTATGATACCATCTCCGCCGCCGCCGCCGCGTTCTTTGCGGTGGAAGTTCCGGTGGCAGTTACAGGCGGCGCACTTCAACGCTTCCAGCGTCCCCTCTTCGCCGCTGGGCATGAACTCGCCGCACCCGTCCGTCACGTTCCCTCCGATGCTTGCCGCATGGTTCTTAAGACATTCCCGGTACCTTGCCCTCGGCGCTCCCGCGGTGGTGCTCAGCTTGGACTTAAATACCCCGCCGCCGCCTCCGGCGGCGGCGGGGGAAATATTGGTTGCACCGGCGTACTTGTTCTCGTGGCCGCCGTGCTGAAGATCCTGCGCCGCCTGCGCCTGATCCAAATCCTCAAGCGGGTTGTAGCCGGCCAGCGAGTCTGACATTCTTATCTCCTTATCCTCTCCAGTTAATGCCATCATTTACCACTAATTAATACACACGTTTAAAACCACAAAACCCTAATTAGCATCACCCAATAAACACAACATCTTACTAAACCCCCCCATATTAACACATAATCATCACCCCCTAACCCCAGTTTACAATCTTCCTAGCTAGCTAGCACACCAACACCAAGAACTCAGTCTCAGTTGGTTCTTAACTTAGGCGTTAAATTTCTTGCAAAGAATTGAAGTGAGTTTCAGATTTCAAAAACACCCAAACTTAACTAAATCTATGAGTCTTCTTCTGACACAAACCCTACACTCTACTTGCTTTCATTAATTTCAAAAAGTTTTCTTGAAATTCATTAATACCCAAAACTCAAGAAAAGCCATGCCAGCTAAAAGATCCAGCAAGCAAGGTAGCTAGATGCATAGATTAATAAAATAGTAATAAATTATAAATCAAAGAAGATGGAACAGTAGCAGTAAAAGGGGAAGCCAGCCAAGATGGGCCCTAAAGAGAACTGAACTACCTCAGAATTGAAGTTGGAAGCAGTGGAGCAGCAGCAGCAGCTTAATTAGCATGATCTGGGGAGATGATGATGGAGTTAAATTAGGGTTTAAGAAAAGATTTTTTTTTTTTGGGGAGAGGGAGAGAGAGAGAGAGATCTCGAATCTAGAACTCTAGAAGAGAAGGAAGGGAGAATAAAGAAGGGGATGGAGGGAGGGGGGGAGTACAGTGGTGGTTTACTTAAAAGAAAAGTGGTGTGTTTCAGTGGATCAAACAGGAGACAGGTTGGTTGCCTGAGATGAATCTAATATTATGTTTCAGATTTGTGAGGCTAAGGTAACAAAGCAGTGTCATTGAGTGCGTAAAGGGGTGTTTGGTTGACGAGATGGGGGGGTGGGTTGGAGATGAGTGGGAAACAACTCGAGGGTGGGCCAAAATATTCCCAACGTATTCTTTGAAAGCTAATCCTTATCCTCACGGACACCTCAGTTGATTCTTGAATAATACTGTAATAGATCGTGTATGAACACATAAAATTGAGCTCTAATAGTTTGAGAGTTACAGTACTTAATATAGTGGACTGAACAGACTCCTTGTGAACACCATGTACTGATCCTCATATCTTAAAGGAACCATGTGTTACCTTAATTACCTAAACATGAAGGGTTTTGTTTTTGGGGAGATTAAGGTTGTCAGCCCACCACCTTAAACCTGCATTATTCTAGTATAATGTAATCCAAGTCTTGATTAATTAATTAACACCAGATGTATGTATATGTAGAGAGAGATGTATGTATAAGGAGAGAGAGAGAGGGATGGGAGGAGAGAGCATAAAAAAAAACAACCGACAAGGTCATGTTCAGTCCTCTCCCACGCCCTGCAACACTTACCCCATGGGCATGGTCCCATCTCCATTTCTCCATCTTCATTATTGCTTTCTCTCCTCTTTCTACTGCCATTACTTATTTCTGTAAAAATTTCTTTTCTTGGCCTGCTTTCATTTCCCCTCTCCCCCATAGTTGTCAGTTGACACTCCATTTTTACGCAAACACTCTGATTCTGCCTGCCTGGACTTTTGACCCTCCCCTCCCCTCACCCACTCCCATTTTTATTCTCCTCCATTCAAACTTACCTAGCTATTTTTCTTTTTATTTTAATTATTCATACATTGTTATAACTTTAGTAGAGAAGGTTCAAACTTTACTAGATACCACATTCTGTCGTTAAAATTGAGTTTTAAGTGTAACTTTTCAATTACGAAAATCACTAGTGTCCCGAGGGCATGGACAGCTTTACTTGAATGGGGGATTGGAGAGTAACTTTAATTATTTTTGTTGATTTTATAGTTTTTTTTTTTTTTGTGTACTCAAAGTTTCCACTATCCGATACTGACTAATTTTCTCACTGAATTGTAGACACCTCTTTTGGATGGGACAGCTAACCTAATATTATAGCTTTTTTTACTGTAGAAATTATATTGAAAAGAAATACGGAGTAAATGGGAAGGGTTAGATGTGAAGTTATGAACCCAGTCAATATTGGGCAGTTATTTAAATGTTTCATTGTGACGTAAACGTTGCGTCAAACATATAGAGGTTGAAGGTGAAGGTGCAGATGAAGTAGTAAGTACTGTATTTGTTTTTAACCAATAAAGTAAAAATGAAAAATAAATTTTCAAGTGGGTTGGGTAGAGGGTGGGGGGGGGGGTATGTAGGGTCCACCGGCAATGTGACTTGTCCTAGCTATCTTGATATATATAATACGGAGTGTATATATATTATATAATAATGTGTGTATACATATGTAATTATATATAGGGAAAATGACACTTTTTCCCCCTATGTTATATGCTTATAGCACTTTTTCTCCCTGAGTTATTCATGCATTCACATTTGCCCCCTCAATTATTATAAAAGTGGCGGTTTTTCCCCCTGATAATATTAAATAGACATTTTTACCCTTAAAATACATATTTTATTTATTTCTCTTGTTCAACAAATTATTGTTTATACGTAGGGATGGCCACGGTTCGGTTCGAACTGAACCGAACACTATAGCAATCAAATAAAAAAAAATTCAGTTATGATTCATAACATAACCCAATATTTGGATTTCCGTTTATTAAAATTGTGAAGTGGAAAAAAATAGATTCTGAACCGTGAACCAGAGGTTCAAATCGGAACAACTACTAGCAATAGCTTAAAATTAGAATTATAATATTTGCAAATAGTGTATGTTTTTTTCGCATTTATATTGACTCTCACATATAAGTATATATAATCGCGATTTGGTTTTTATTTTGAATCATTGTTTCACAATTTCGGATCCAATTTGAACTGTTGGTTCAAACATTATTTAAAAAAAAATTTTTTTTTTAAAGTATTCTAAATTCAACAATTAATGTATTTTATTTTTTCAAATTGTGGTTATAATTTGTTGGAGAAGTAAAATAAATGAAATATTTATTTTAAGGGTAAATATGTCCATTTAATATATCAGGGAGGAAAATTACCACTTAAATAATATAGGGGGAAAAAGTGCTATAAATATATAACACAGGGGGAAAAAGTGCAATTTTCCCTTATATATATTTAATTTGTTGGGTGATGTTGAAGGGTTACTGTACGAGTACATGGGATTTCTGAGCCTCTGAGAACTCCATACTCTCCCCAAGCAAATTTCTTGACCTTTATGTGATACAATCGATGCTCCCATGCACTTCTCTCTCTATCTCTCTACACACACATATATATATACGGAGTAATATATATGTATGTACACATGTTACTTATGTATGTAACATATATACGATTATCCGCAGAGTCCGTTTGGTATCATTATTTTTCTCATTTTATCTACTCAACAACCTTATCTTAATGTTTTCAATAACGTGCGACTTTTGAACCCAACACTAGACACGTATGTACCACAAGGGAATCTGGGCCTGTTCTTAGGATTTTAAATGCCTCCTTCCTTCAGTCCATATGACCAAACATGGGGTGTCTTTTTATTTTCTAGCCATGTCATATGATAAGTTTGATTATTATATCGTAAGATTAATTGAATTTGTCTCGGGTTACTGAATCAAATCGATCATGAAATTTGTCTTTTTAGTTAGAATTAATCAACCACGAGCAAGCCTAGTTTATTGTTTTGTAGTAACTGAATTAATAATCTGATGACCAATTTGACTGAAGTTGTTCTTATTTTAACAGTTGAACTGACTTTATTATTATATATAGTGGGTCTAACTAAATTTATATTTTATTTTATTTTAAAGGAGAAGTAAAAGGTGAGTAACAGGAGTTACATGCAGCCTTAGAGGGAGGAGAGCAAGGTGGGTTTATGATTCTGATTATTTGGCAGTGAAAGAATCATATTCTCAGCTTCTCCATGCAGTGATGAAACTCTTCCCTTTATGCTTTCTTTTCTTCCCACTTTTACCTCACTTGTTTGGACCATATTCTTCTGCAGATTATGGCCTCCATGATCGTGGAAGTTCACCTGGGCTATCACTGCCATTATACCTTTCTCCAGTTTATGCTTCGCCAGCCATCTTTGTACCTTCCCAGAAGTAGTCTTGGGAACGCTTCCACTCTTTACAAGAACCACAATTCCCACATTAAGATCATTCTCTTTGTTCATCGCTGCTTCTCTCATGGCTTCGCACGCTTTAACCAGAGTGTCGAGTCCCACATCGGGTCTCTGCAGCTCTGCAACGAGAGCTATGGTGCTTGAAAACTCGAAGGCGGCGAGGCAGCCGCCGCGGAGGAGATGAGGGCAGGTGTTGTATGCTGCGGTTTCTATGTAGTGAGGGTGAAATGGTTGTCGGTTTGGGAGTTTAATGGCGTCGGAGCACCGGCCGGTGACGTATAAATACCGTTCTTCCCCTCTGACAACTCCCCTGTCGCCGGTCCGGACAAAGCATTGACGGGTTACGTAGTTTCGGAGCCTCGCATGAAAGACTTGGCGGGTTAGAGAAGGGTGGTGTAAGTAGCCGGAAGCATTGCTCGGAGATGAAACCCAGATTTCTCCTTCCGTCCCGTCGTCAACTAACGCCTCCGTTTCCTCGTTCACGACTAATATTTCGATCTCTTCTTCTTCCTCGCCATTGGTGGGAAGCTTGGCACTGGGTAATAGCTGATTGTAGGTCGGGAAAGCGCAGCCATTGCCAAGTCTCCACGCCGTTGAAACGAAGGTGCAGTTTTCTGCTAACCCGTAGGATGGAGAAATGGCGGAAGGATCAAGCCCGTATGGCTTAAACATTTGGACGAATTCTTGAATTGCCGACCAGTAAATTGGCTCGTTGATGACGATCAAATTCTTCATGCACGAAAGGTTTATAGAAGAAGTAATAGAACCGGCGCCGCCGCCTTGGTCCACCCCTCCACGGCGCAAAACCAGTGGCAACGCGAAAGACGGCACCGGAGTGCAGGTAGCTTTGTAGTCGGTGATCATCTGGAGCCAGATTCTGGGGCGGCGCACGAATGCATTGGGAGATGTTAAAACGCACGTGGCGCCTGAAACCACGGTGAGAAGTAGAAACATGAGGCCGCAGTCATGGTACTGCGGCAGCCACGACACGATAACGCTGTTGGGGTGAAGATCGTAGGCTTTTCGTGCTGTTCTAACGTTGTGTGCTGCGGCCCCGGCAGTGACGAGGACGGGCTTAGGAATCCCAGTCGCCCCAGACGTGTACTGAATCAAGTACACCTCGTCAGCTCTGCACCCATTGTACGAAAACTCATCTTCCTTCTCTTCCTTCTTGGTTCTGATTTCCTCGACAGGAATCCATTTCAGTTCCTGCAAAAGCTCCGACAGCCGCGTGTTTGAAGAGACGGCGGCCGATATATACTGCCTGATATAATCACTTTCTGCAATGGCAGCTTTTGGCTTTGTCTGGGAAAGAACTCTCACGAGATGATGAAAATTTTCCCCAGAAAAAGATGGGTCAGGAGGAGAAACTGGAACCACCAAGAACCCAGCTCTTTGACACGCAAAAATGATCTCCACAAGTTCAAGACCCGGAGAACATAAAACAACAACTGTGTCACCTCGTTTTAAGGAAACCTGCAACAACCTTGAAGAAATGCACTGAACTGAGGTGTTTAATTCCTCATAGGTAAGCCCAGAGATGTTTGACCGGTCGCCGTGATCTTCATCAACCCAGATAAACGCCGGTTTGGACTTGAAAGCCGGAAGCTTTGCCCATGTCGTGAGGTAAAGATCGACCACCGGCTGATCGGGAAAATAAGGATCATAGTTTTCGTGTTTCATGGTTGGCTAGGTAGCTAGCTCTGATTCTTGTTTTTGGTCGGTTTAAGGAAAGTGTTGGATCGTTTGTTCATTAAATACTGAGATAGGTAAGATGTGAAAGGTGTTTGACAGCGGCGTGTGAAGATAAATACGAAGGAAAGAGAGGGAATTTACCCAGATGCGAAGAGGATATCCTATGAGACAACGTTGTAATCGGCGTCGTTTCTGCATGTTGTTAAGCAGATCCCCGTCATGTTTGACGCTTTATAGGAATCTTTCCGTCATCTTCAATAATGGCTTGCCGCGATAGATGTGACTCCTTCCTTAGCTTTCCTCCTAGTCTATCTATCCTTAACAGTAAGCAGATTCAGTATATGAGCTCCGATCCGTTTTAAAGAACATGATTGAAATATATATATACGTTTAACCCGACACCGATCAGAATATATTATTAATGAATTCTCCAATGGGATCCATGGAGAGAATATTCTGTAATTCCAGAACTTGACGTTTTCATCATCTCTCTTTCTTTCAAAAGAGATAAAGGGAAACCAACAAAACTGCAGATCGACGTTTATTCTAATCTGCATCTCTTCTCCCCTTCACACTATATTTTTATTTTCATTCCTGGCCTGGTTTCAATTATTCAATCAAGAAGTGGCTCAAGACGATATACAAAAGCTACATACAATTAATTGTTTTTTTTTTTTTTTTTTTTATAGTATGATTGGATAAACCCAACTGAAATACATGTGTTATAGACTCGAATACTTTATCAAGATAGTATTGATAAATATTATACTCGTTAAGAAGTAAATCTTTCAAAAGATTGAACTCCAACCTGACAGAGCATTTGGGAAGACTGCCTCTAACCCCTCACTTTCGCGCGGGTGAGACTCGATCTCTAGTCATTCTTCCAACTTTTCACCTGCCCCTCAATTTCGCTGGTGAGACTCAATCTCTAGTCATTCTTCCAACATTTCACCTCTATGACCATTTGAGCTGCCCATACAAAACTCTACATCAAATTGTACATTTCTAAGTACAATATTCATGATGGTAGGAATCAAACCTGACGTTTTAAGTGAGACTTCTTGTTTGCTAAGTCAATGCATGGGGGCTAATTTTGTCATTGTAGTCCGTTGTGGACTTGTGGTCGGGGTGGAAGGGAAGCCGTGATTGGCAAATGACAAATTATTCTATGAATTCGGATCCACTTTATAAGATCATATCTAAAAATATATAATTTACATATTGAATGTTTACAATTTAAATTGTGAACATTCAGTATATAAATTATGAACATTTAGTATGTAAAATTGTGTATTTTGGATCTGAATTCACCTTGTACCATGGTATAACTGTTGTCGGCAAATGAGGCGTGTTGAGTGTAATTTGGGCTAAGAAATATGGGTCACTAACAAGATAAAAGCCCATTTTAATTTGGGCTTTAGTGGGTCTGGGCTATAATTTAGGCCTTTTTATTTTTTATTTTTATCTTCTCGGCAACCATCCATAGAGAGTAAAGTGCGACATTGCTACTCCGGTCTCCGCCAGCGTATACGGGAATCTCTCCGCGCAAAATGGAAGGAAACACTTGGCCATTCAAGGTGATTATAGTAATTTTCTCTTCTTCATGGCTAATGGCGGCTTGTTAAGGTTCCACAACCATAACTAGGAATTAGCTGGATTATAACGATGATTGTCTGCTGTTGTCTATGCTAATCTTTTGTAATGACACCAAACATTTTTACTTTCGTTTTTCGTGAGTTATTATTATTATCATTATTTTTTGGATTTGAATTAGTATATGTAAAATTCAATTTATAATTTTCGCGGTTGCAGCTAATATTGGGTTCTGCTTCAGCACCACGTCGACAAGTTTTAGCTGAAATGGGGTATGAATTCATCACCATGGTAATCCGCCCACAATGTGTTTGTCAATTGTCTGGAAGTACTTTCGTTGTTTCTTCTGGGAATCGCAATGAGTTGTGTTATGGCTTAGAGTGCAGACATAGATGAGAAAGCTATTCGTAAAGAAAAGCCTGAAGATTTGGTTATGGCTCTTGCTGAGGCAAAGGTTTGATCTTTTTCAACTTAAAGTTGCAAACTTTCTTGTGTCTCCACTAGGATCTAAAATGCATTAATTTTATAGTACTTGTTACATTGTCCCATGTTTCCATACCATGTTTCTTTGGAGTACTATATATATATTGCTGACATAGACTTGTAATTGGAATGTTTCATCAGGCTGAAGCCATCATACCCAGACTTAACATTGATGAATCTATGGAAGATGCTGAGCCAATGCTTCTGATTACATGTGACCAGGTGCATAACATTTCTGTTGCTGTTATTTTTATCGTTAAATATCTGCAATTCATCATACTTACTTGAATGTGATTGGTTTTTAATTAGCTACGTAAAGAAAGAAATATAGTGTAGTTAATGTGTGACTCTAAATTGCAAGCTCTTCCTGAGCGGTGGTGTTGGTTGTTTCTTGAGCTTGTGTTATTAGGATTGCTGCTAGTGCTTCTCCATAGAATTTCCATTTTCTGGACTAACTCTAGGAAGCAGATTTTATAGTTCAGCCTTATATTGCATGTACTTTTTGTCCCAAGGCACATTGGTGGAATAGAGCATTTTTCTTGTTCTGGGGTGTTTATTATATTTCACTTCATTAGCTCCTCCCTCTGTCCTCAACAGACGCACACCCCTCCTCCCTCCCAGTTCAGGTGAGATCTTTCTGTGCTAATGTTTCTTACTGCTAAATTGAAATTATTGGAGGTGGTGGTGTATGAGGGTATGATCAGGGAGAAACCAGAGAACAAAGAAGAAGCACGGGAGTTCATTAAAGGTCTGCTGATGATTTTGCACTGATCCTTGCTTTTGTAGATTCATTTTTTTTTCCTTGTGTTCTTACTCTTGTAATTTCAGATTACTCAAATGGACAAGCAGCAACCATTAGTTCTGTTCTTGTTACAAACTTGAAAACTGGGAAAAAAAGAGGTGAATTGGACAAAGTAGAGGTACTGCACAATTCTAAACGATTTCTATTTTTATTTATTCTGATTTTTTAATTGGGCTCCTAGATATATGTTTTTTTGTTTATGTATATGGAATTTACTCAATGATTAAAACTTTATCTCTAAACTGGCATAGATATTGAATATGTAAAAGAGGGAGAAATTCTGCTTGTTTCCTCTTTCCTTTCAATTTTCCAGCCCTTGAGAGTTCATATACATACATTGTCCAATGCAAACTCAATTCTGCACATCTAACAAACCGAAGAAAAAGCTTTTCTGGTTTTGGGCAAGCGAGTTTGCTCAAAGTCAAAATGACCACCATGCTATTATAATACCAAAGCAAGAATGAAGATGGGTGTGGGGGGGAATGTGAGTGACCCTTAATTTTCAGTTCTGCCCTTTTAACAAACCCCAATAAAAGCCTTTGATGGTTATTTACAAATGTCATTATGGTCACCGTATCACTGCAATTGCAAAGCAAGAATACTGGTTTGGTGGCAGAAGAATCTCAAGTCCGTAGTGGCAGTGAGGCAATTATTATGAATTACGTCGAATTCTCAGCTTGCTTTTTGGTTCATCTCTCATTTGTGAAGGAACACGCAGAATATGTTGCCATATATGTCCTTGTCAAGCTTCATGCTTTCATTTCCTGTTTTCTACTAGATAAGAGTAATTCTTTTTCATGTTTTAAAAGTTACCGTAATGTTTCTGAATTACAGATTTATTTCCATGAAATACCAGAAGATGTCATCGATAAGCTGGTAATAGAACCTTTCTATTTATTTAATATAATACTTGTAAGATATTGTAATCGATTATGTATGGTTTCATAAGTTAGTTGAAAGATAGAAGATTTATTTAGCTGCTTGAACTTTCCTTTCGTCTTTTTTATCAGATTGAGGAAGGGACGGTGCTCTATGTAGCTGGCGGCCTGCTAATTGAACATCCCTTGATACAGCCTTATATAAAGCGAGTGGTAAATTACAACAACTTGACCTTTCTTGTAGCCATTGTTTAAGTAATGCTTATATCGTGACATCATTGGAAGTACAAAATCCGTGAAACATGAAGAATTATAACAGGCAGTTTGCATGATTTATACCTCATTAGGATCATGACACGCTACTTTAATTGATGTACAGCCTGTCTTAAGAATAATGTGCATGCTATATTGCACCTTTCGTACTTCTGGCATCCCATGATGCTATTTACTCAATAGTTGCGAAAATTGTATGATATCCTGCTTTGGACAGGCTGGAGCGACTGATAGCGTGATGGGACTTCCCAAAGCTCTCACGCAAAAACTGATAACGGAGGTTCTCTAGAACGTCTAGCATCAATCAACTCTGGAATTACGCTACTCGTGCTACGAAACATTCAAGGACATTGTATTAAGCTAAAATGGTTCTTTATTTGATGTGCACTAAGGTCTGAAACTCATGAATGGTTTGAAACTGAAATTAAAAGATTGATTCAATTATTGACTGAATCAAGGTACTATGAGGTTTAAAATTTTTGTTTGTATGAATATTTCTCATTTGACATGATGGGTTCTGCCAAAAATGTGTGTATATGATCCCTTTAGGCCCCATATTTGATCTCAACATAGCTCTGAGCATATTCTACAACTGACAAGTCTTTTGGGTCATTATACTTGTCAGGTTTCTTTTAGTCTTAAGCAGATCAAACCAAAGTTGAAACTGATTCTAGTCGGCAAAGGATCACAATGAGAGAAACTAACTTAAGTTGTCCATAGGCCCACAGCTGACATTCCCAAGAAGACTACTAATCTTGTGATCTTAAAGGGCAAGGGACTATAATGAGGTAAAGTAGTTTAAGTTATCATTGGCCTAAAAAGCCTAATAGGTAACTCCCTCAAGGAGTCGATTGCCAACTGATTGGCTTAAGAAGATCACTGGGCTTGTGACTCTAACCAGTAAAGAACTAAAAGGAGATAAACCAACTAAGATTACTATAGCTGACCGAGAAGGCCAAGGCAACTCCCTTGAGGAGTCAACCGACAAAGGACTAAAAGGAGATAACGGACCGAGAAGGCCAAGGCAACTCCCTCAAGCAGTTGAACACCAATTGTTCGACTAACTTGACTTCTCCGATTCCAACTTTATGGAAGGAGTGAACATGTATCTATCATCTGGGAAGAGACGTGACATGTAGACAAACTAGTACTAGAATTAATTACGACAACATAATTAAGTACGATACATGAATATGTTTTCCGGTCACTTTCCAGCAACGTTAATAACTTCAGAGTTCATGGTACATTGCTAATTAATTAATTAATTAATTAATTAATAATATAATCTCCTTCGAGAATTTTTAGGAAGCAAAAACCAGAAGCTAGCACAATCTTCTGGTGTCATTTTTATTTTGTTTACATAATAATAATAATAATGCCTATATATCGACTTGATCCTCCGTCGTCCTGGAACTGCTTGTGCTTTCCTCCGGCCGCCATTAACGCTCTCTACTGAAGCTTCATATATTGCAGCCTGCCAAGAGTAATCACAAAACGGAAATCGATCGAATGAGAAAACTGCATATCAGAATACGATGGTGTTAAAGATTTAGTTAAAGTAGTTACGAATTACTTCTTCTCCTGCTGCATCAGTGCATACGACGACGACGACGACGACGACGAGGAGCCGTTGGCGGCGCCGGCGCCGGCGGCATGCGCGTCGTAATTCGGCAAGGGGACTTTCCCGGACTCAATGTGGTTGATATCTTCCACGAGCATCTCGTAGTGGCGCTTGACTTCCTCCTCCGTCTTCCCGCCGACCGCCCTGGCCAGGTTGCGCCACCGGTCCGGCGTGTCCTTGTCGTAGACAGCCAACGCATTCTCGAAACGCTTGTTTTGCTTGGCCGTCCACGCTGAACTGGACGCCATTTCAAACAAGCTAAGATAGAGATGAACAGTACAGTACAGTACAGTGGTGGCCTGGGAAGCTAATTAGATGTGAGTGAAATAATGGTTTGTGGAAACAATAGTGTCATGGCTGCTCTATATATAGTAGCATGGAAGGATAAATGGTGGGCCGGTGGAAGTGCTTTTTAGCGGCTGAGAAGTTGTTTTCAGTGGCAAAGTAAACCAGGCCGGGGAGATTTTGTAAAAGCCATCATGATAAGACTCATGTCTTTAGCCCCCCGGTTCAGAAAAAAACATTATACGGACTAGTATATTACATTTCAGACAACCTCTGGTACGGTTAATTTCTCCATCAAATTCTTGCTTAATCACTTACTTTTCAGTCTAATTAATGCACGATGGTCGAGTCGACATTTAAATTTTTAAATAGGAGTCTCGTGTATATATCTTTGAATTTCACCAAACGTGAAAGGTACATTACAGGTAAGTGCTGAACAGATACAGTATAAATAATAAATGTGCGGTCAAATTATTTGATAGAACTCGCTTTTTAATTTGGGTCAGATCAAAATTGCAATCCGACTCTTAATTTAGATTTTTAGTTGTTCGTTTCAAAATTTTGATGCATTGCGCGTGGTGTGAATTTGAAAAGGTTTAAGCTAGTCAGTCATGTTTTCAAACCGTCACTTTACATAGTTGAGTTGGCATCCAATTTTGGAATCATTTAGAGTAATGTAGCAACACTTTATTTTTTATCAGCATTCTGTCAAACATTATATTAACACTCACGTGATGATCAAGTTGACATTCAAATATTTAATCAGAAATCTTGTGTATGTCCAAGCACGATTCACCAAATGTAACATATATAAAAGGTAAGCACGTTACGTATTGATCATATAATATATAATAAAATAAACATAAAGTTTAACTATTAATTTAAATATTTAATTGAGACAAAAAATATCATTTAATTTGATACTAATTTAACTCTACAGTCCGACTATATGTTACATATTTTTCCATTTCGAGGGAAATCTTAACTGTGATAATGCATGGTTGTACTTTATTATTTACTATATATGTTGCATAAGCAGAACAATGTTCCAAAACTCCAAACGAGTTGTAGCTGGCGTCCGTACTCTAGTTAGTACACTCATACCACATTACTCGATAATCTTAATCATATGAGATCCAACTACTCTCCTGGTGATATAAATTTTACTTTTTGAGTTCACTTATTATTTTCCGTACAAAGTATCCTCCCCTACTTTTTTCACTGCGAATGTGTATTACAGCAAGACAATAGCCTTTATTATTCTCAAAATAGTGTTTATTCCTTGTACCTTTAACATTAAGACCCTCATTTTGTATGGCTTTTTCCACATAAGGAGATGAGAAAATTTTGACGTGAGGCGACCAACACAACCATGCATGCTAAAACAACCTCATCTCATAATGCCTGTTTGCTAAGGTTGCCTTTTTACTTGTGAACTACCTTACAACTTTTTGGTGGATCCTCCAACCTGGAAAACCTTGTCTCTTTCTGGATGGGCTCCTGGTAATTTCTTTTGCCCGCCCAGACAGTAAACAGCACGGCGTATGATTATGTCTCAGTAATCACAGGGTTAAACAAGGTTAATTTATGATTAATAAGAAAGGGATATATGGGACAACCCCAACCAAGTTACAGGCAGTTAACTTAATTCTTAATTAGTGGGAGTGGTCTACTAGCGTTTTGGTTTGAGGCTATCATCAGTTATGAGCAACCTAGCTAAACTGATTTGTCAACTAGGATCACAAGGCATGATTTACGTACCCAGGGCAAACTTTCGATTAGGTAGCAGCTGCGAGTTTTTCTTGTCGATCACCCAAATAAGAGAGAGGAGGGGATAGAAGATGGAGTTGAGGCAAGTACGTACATGGACCACTTGTTTTTTGTTGTTTGTTGATGATAGGTATATATCCATGGCAATGCACAGCTGCCTGCTGCCTGCGTGCATGATGAATATATGTACATTTTCAGATGGATGCATGCAATATAATTAATGATTCTGGTCTTTGATGGCATCATGACTGCTGAAATGATTCAACCAGAGACACAGCAGGCATTATATTCTTAGCAGACAAACAACAATAACATTTGTAAACTGATATATCGTCCATGGTTTCCCCGTTTCAATACAAACCATATATATATATTTCTATCAAGATTATGGGGTGAGAAAAGAGCTGTGTTGTACACTAATGACACCCGGAGAATTCATTAAGATTAGAGGATGGAGAGATTGGTCCAATCTCTCATTGATAATTATATTCAGATTGAAACCCTAACTCCACTATATAAAAGTTAATTAAGAATAAAGATTTGACTCAACCGTTAATGTGGAATAGTGTCATGATCAGTTTATAATTAACTTAATTATTCTCTAAATTTATTTGGTTATTTTAGGTCTAACAAGGGAATCCTTATCATATATATATATATATATATATATATATATATATATATCCACGTGGATGTGTCCAGTAAAATTTTCATGGTTGTAGATATACTACCTTAGCTTGTCCTGTCTCACTCCCAAGCCTATAAAGATGAATTATCCTTTTTTATGTAGTTATTTTATTGGATGGCATAAAAATTTGCAAGTTGAAGTTAATTGGGCTCTCCTATCATAAAATCTCTCTATTCTCCAATGGTATATGGGGTGTGGGCCGTGTGGATTCTTCATTGATTGCGACTCCATTGCTATTGTCGCATTGCAGTTTAATTGAGCAGTAGGATACATGGGGAATCGGAATCAATGATGTCTTCTACAACCTTAGAAACACAACAAAACACAACACACCATACACCAATCAAAGCTAGGTTACACACAACAACATATATATATATATATATATATATATATATATATATATATATATACATACACGCCTTCACCAATTTTTCCATTATTTTCTATATGTTATCTAGCTCATATAATTCAAATTGTTGGTTGTTGCAGATCTGAGAGCAATAGAGGTCGAATTGAAAGGAAGAATTTTGTATGTATTATTCGAAAGAAAGAAAAGCCTTTATACAAAGAAGCTTAGCTGCCTAACTGCCTTGTGAACAGTATAACTGCTACATGAACAGTGTTAACTGCCAAACTAACTGCTAAGTAAACAAAACGAATTTTTACAAAGTAACTGAGGACTAATTATTGAGTTTATATTCCTAAGACCCCCCCTCAAGCTGGATTGTATAGGTCCATCAATCCAAGCTTGGAAATGTAGTGATTGAATGACTTAGGACAGTGAGATTTGGTGAAAGGATCTGCTAGCTGGTTTTCTGAAGTGATGTGGAGAAGCTTGATGATCCCTTTGCTTAGTCTTTCCCTTACCAAATGACAATCCAACTCAATATGTTTTGTCCTCTCATGGAAAACAGGGTTTTCTGCAATTGCAATTGCAGATTTACTATCACAATACACAGATGCAGCCCCATTGTGATGAATTCCTAGCTCTGCAAGAATGAAGAACAACCACTGTATTTCACAAGTGGTGGCTGCTAGGGCCCTGTATTCAACCTCTGAAGATGACTTGGAGACTGTGGGCTGCTTCTTAGATTTTCAAGAAATTAAAGCATCCCCTAAGAAAATACAAAAACCAGTTACTGATTTCCTTGTGTCAACACATGCCCCCCAATCTGAATCAGAAAAAGCTCTCAGCTGTAGATTGGAAGCTACTGGGAAGAAGAGCCCTTGGCCAGGAGCAGCTTTAATGTATCTCAAGATTCTGTGGGCAGCTTGAAGGTGCAAGTCAGTGGGCTTGTCCAAGAACTGTGATAGTTGCTGTGTTGCAAACCCAATGTCAGGTCTAGTAATGGTTAAGTACAGAAGTTTGCCCACTATTCTTCTGTACTGTGTGTTGTCTTCAAGAGGTTCACCTTCATTCTTGCTCAACTTATGTGAGAGGACAGTGGGACTATGAACTGGTTTAGAGTGTATGAACCCTGTATCAATGAGTAGTTCAATAGCATACTTTCTTTGGCAAACAGCTATGCCCTTTCTATGTCTAGCCACCTCTAGGCCAAGAAAAAACTTCATAGGCCCTAAGTCCTTAATTTGAAACATGTCATTCAACTGGTTTTTCACCTCTTGGATGGCTTCTAAATCAGCACTTGCAGCAACTATGTCATCCACATATATCAATAGGGCTATAAAAGACTGACCTTCTCCTTTTGTAAATAAGGAATTATCAGGCAAGGATTGCTTGAACCCCATCTTTTGCAGTGCAATATTCAGCTTAGTGTTCCATTGTCTGCTAGCCTGTTTGAGCCCATATAAAGATTTGTTTAATCTGCAAACTTGTCTGTCTGTATTAGCTGGTAATCCAAGAGGCAAATGCATATATACTTCTTCTTCCAAATCACCATGAAGAAATGCATTGTTTACATCCATTTGGTGTAGATGTCATTCCTTTGCTGCTGCTACTGCCAGAAGTGTCCTTACAGTAGTCATTTTTGCCACTGGACTAAATGTGTCCAAGTAATCAATTCCAAGAGTTTGGTTGTAGCCCTTTGCCACCAATCTTGCCTTATATCTTTCTATAGTCCCATCAGCTTTATGTTTGATCTTGTACACCCACTTACATCCAATTGGCTTCTTGGATGGGGGTAGATCCACCACTTCCCAAGTATTGTTCCTTTGCAAAGCATTGATCTCTTCTTGCATGGCTTTCCTCCAATGATCATGCTGAATAGCCTCCTGGAAATTTTTTGGTTCAGAATGGCAGGATATATTCATAACAAAAGAGTGGTGTGAGTCCTCCAATCTTCTATAATCCATGACTTTGGATATTGGATGGGGAGAAGTCTTGACTGTAGCTTGACAGATATAATCCTGTAAATAGCTAGGGGTTTGTCTCTACCTGGTGGACTTTCTGTTATTCTGATGACTTGAGCTTTCTGTAGCTAAGTGCATATCTGGAACATCAGGTGCTTGTTCAGCTGATGGAGGGGACCTGGTTTGTGTATCATTGCTACTGCTAACCTGACTTTGAATGTGCCAATCTCCTATTGGCTGCTCAGGGCCTTCTTCACTTATACAATGACTGAGCTGGTCATGAGCTGTGTCAAAGTCTTCAGGAGACATGGTGTTCATGGTGGGGAGGTTGATTTGACAAGATCCATTTGAGCTAGTGGTTTGCTGAAAAGGGAACACTTGTTCATAAAAGACCACATCTCTGGAAATGAAAAGGGTCTTATCCACAACATCATACATTTTATACCCTTTGGTGCCACTGGCATACCCAAGAAAGATACATTTCTTGGCTCTAGCATCCATCTTTGATCTAGGACCAACTGTTGCTGCAAAGGCTAGGCATCCAAACACTTTAAGGTTTTGATAGTCTGGGGCCTTCTTCATCAAAACCTGGTAAGGGATCTGATTGTTGATGGCAGCTGAAGGTAATCTGTTGATCAGATAGGCTGCATGTAAAATACATTCCCCCCATAAGTTCTCAGGTAAACAAGCTTGGAATCTAAGGGCCCTAGCAACTGATAGCAGGTGTCCATGTTTCCTCTCCACCCTGCTGTTCTGCTGAGGGGTGTGCACACATGAAGTTTGGTGTATAATACCCCTCTGATTATAAAAATCACCCATCCTGAATTCCAGGCCATTGTCAGATCTAATACACTTGACCTTGACCCCAAACTGATTTTCAACCAAGGTGCAGAAGTTTATGATTAGATTTCTCACTTCTGACTTTTGTTCCAACAAATAAATCCAGACATCCCTGCTGTGATCATCCAGTATGGTAAGGAAGTAGTGATGATTGTGTATGGTGGCAACTTTGTAAGGACCCCATATATCAACATGCAACAATTCAAAACAGTTAGCTGCTGAGGAAGTACTAGACTGGAATGGTAACCTTTTCTGTTTGGCAAAATGGCAATTATCACAAATCAGGCTTTTATTCACATGAATCATGGAATCTAACTGTTTCAACAAATGTATTTTGACATGGGAGGCATGTCCTAGTCTAAGATGCCACAAGGCACTATTATCTGTACTGGAATTAGAGTTGCATACAACATATGAAATAATAGGTTGGTTTGTAAAAATTCTTCCGGAGTTGTGCTGTGCTTGTATTCATCGGATTTCCTCCCGGAGTAGGGAGACTGGTGGTGTTGTTTGTTGGGACGGAATGATTCCCGATTGTAGGCCACGCCGTTGCCATTGAACACAGAGCGAAAGGATACTATTGCTCAGAGAGATCCTGATTACAACTGCTCTGATACCATGTTGCAGATCTGAGAGCAATAGAGGTCGAATTGAAAGGAAGAATTTTGTATGTATTATTCGAAGGAAAGAAAAGCCTTTATACAAAGAAGCTTAGCTGCCTAACTGCCTTGTGAACAGTATAACTGCTACATGAACAGTGTTAACTGCCAAACTAACTGCTAAGTAAACAAAACGAATTTTTACAAAGTAACTGAGGACTAATTATTGAGTTTATATTCCTAAGATTGGTCCCACACCATATTGTGTGGGCCATAATTGTCGAATGAAATAGTATAATTAATTAAAATAATACTTTAATGTTGCTATAATGAAACTAGTGTGCGTGAAAAATGAAACTAAAATTCAGAGTCATACAATAACATATATTGTCAAATGAACATGAAGTGTAATTGAAATAATACTCCGTTCTTATGTATTATTACTATAATTAAACTAGTATTTGTGAAAAAATGGAAGAAAAAAACAAAGCTCATGTAATAATGTATATTGGATGTTAAATAAAACTGTAGTAGAATTAAAATGATACTTTGTTATTGTTATAATAAAATTAATGTGTGAAAAATGAAACTAAAATGTAATTTAGATAATACATATTTCATGGTCTATGTTGCTATACAGACCATGATCCATAGTAAAATTTATCCATATAATTATGACATGTCAGTTTTAGATTATATGGCACGTACAACCCAAACCCGAAAGCCCATCTCTTCGTGCAGTATTAAAAGTATGTATGCTAATAAATTAAAAACACCCGTATGGTTAACCAAAAGGGGATGTAGCTCAAATGGTAGAGCGCTTGCTTTGCATGCGAGAGGCACGGGGTTCGATCCCCCGCATCTCCACACTTTTCTCTTCCATGCACTGTGAAGCTAAGTCTGCAACTCTTCTGCAAGCAAACTCCTGCAGATGGAGTTTTCTATGGCCCGCAGCTCTTTTAAGATATGTATGCAACATATATATATGTCTGCGTTTATTTCCTTAGCCATTTACTCATTTAGTTGGTTCGAATACAACATATATATGCCAATCAATACACAGCAGCATATTAACCTTAGCTTGAATTGGAAAGGAGCATTATTCTAATATTCTAGCTTTCAGCAATAATGTTGTCTATTATATATTCTTTCTCCATGACGTACAGTCCGAGGTATTTTGTACGTGTGTTTTTCCCTGTTTTAAAAAATGATGCTTATATATCAGAATGAAACTCCATTTATGCATAGACTAAAATGATTTTTTGTGCAAGATAATCAAGATTTGGGCTAAACAATAATTGAGCTAAGCGTGATGACGAGCAGAAAAAGATGGAGAAATAATATTCAAAGAATCGTAGGACTTTTAATTTTTTCTTCATTAAATAATACGAAGTAACATTTTGTACGCGAAATGCCTAAAAATAACGCTGCCTACTTTTTATCACTACTAAAGAGAGAAATTATGGAGAAAAGTTATCTATTACTTTCTAAAAAATTGTAAAAATTTCTTTATAAAGTACCAAAAGTAACGTTTTTATAAACTTAAATGACAAAACAATGTGAAATTATGAAATATTATATTTGTCACGTCACTTTTCTTCTCATGCAATATGTTGTGTCACAATATATCTATCACTCTTAATAAAAGATTTGATGGATTCGTTACTCGAACTAGTAACTCTACCAAATTATTCTATTGGTATGTATTTATGGTCTTCCTAAACTATCTATTACATTCCTTTTTCTATTCCGGACAAATCTAATTGGCTCAATCTATCAAGCTAAGATATAATTCTAATGGTCTAATATTCTAGACAACGATTAAATTTTATTATTTGAAGCTATTAAATTTTCTTTTTTCATATTTACTTTTTGGAAGAAATAATACCATAGTAAGATTCAATTAATTAAAAAATGAGTTAATACTCAAAATGGTCCATCGACTATGTCATAATTACCAATTTGGTCCTCAACTACCATTCTTACCCAATTAAGTCCTCAACTATGTAACTTTTACTCAATTAAGTCCTCAACTATACAATTCTTACCCAATTTAGTCCTCAACTATACAATTCTTACCCAATTTAGTCATCTGTATTAATTTGATTGTTTGTTGTCAAAAGTCGGGATAAAATTATAATTTTACAAGATTTCTCCTTCCTCTCCATTTAGCAGCGCCAAACCATGCAGCAATACACTCCGATCAAATTTCGATCGTCAAAAAATCGTTGAAAATCAAATTCATGGGCTATCCGATGCATAACCACTACTTCGATACTGATAGGTTTAGAACCCAACCGGAGCTTATTACTACATGGTTTGGCGCTGCTAAATGAGGATGAAGGAGAAAACTTGTAAAATTACAACTTTATTTCCACTTTTGACAGCCAACAAACAGTTAAATTGACAAAGGACTAAATTGGATAAAAATTGTATAGTTGAGGACTTAATTGGGTAAGAATGATAGTCGAGGACCAAATTGGTAATTACGAAATAGTCGAGGGACTATTTTGGGTATTAACTCTTAAAAATTTAAAGAATTCTTAGGAATCCTATAACAGTTTATTCTATAGAGTTTTTTTCCATTTTTGGTCCCTCGACTTCACTTGTGGTGACAAATGGGATTCACGACTTTTATTCCGGACATAATAGGTGCTCAACTTCAATTTTTTTTCCACATTTGGTCCCATCCGACCAAGAATCCGGCCAACCCACCGGAATTAGACTCAACCCTTGTTATGTTAAGGGTATTCTAGTCATTTCTAACCCACTGTGACATCAAGCCCCAGAACCTCCTCCTCGACAAGGACGGCAATCTCAAGATCTCCGATTTCGGCCTCTCCGCGCTGCCGGAGCAGATCCGGAACGGCCTCCTCCACACCGCGTGCGGTACTCCGGCCTACACCGCCCCGGAGGTGATGATCAGAAAAGGCTACGACGGCGCCAAGGCCGACGCGTGGTCTTGCGGCGTCATCCTCTTCGCCTTCGTCGCAGGGTACCTCCCATTCGACGACAACAATATATCAAACATGTACCGTGCAATACGAAGCCGCGCGTTTCAGTTCCCGGATTGGATCACAAAGTCCACCCGGAGCATAATTTTCCGGCTGCTCGATCCCAATCCGGTAACCAGAATGTCCATCGAGGAACTAATGAAGCTCCCGTGTTTGACAGACGAACATCAATTCGGGAACCAAGAGTTCGACAAAGATTGCAAACACTTAACCAAAATGAACGCATTCGATATCATTTCAATGTCTCCCGGGTTGGATCTATCAGGGCTATTCCAGGAGGGATTGAACAAGAAAGAAATGAGATTCACCACAAATTCCGAGGTAGGAGAGGTTGAGGAGAAGGTAAAGAAGATCGGGAGTGAAGCAGGGTATAGGGTGGAGAGGGGAAAGGGAGGGGGAATCAGACTGGTAAAAGCAAGAGTAACGTTAATGGTGGAAATTCTTCAAGTGGCGCCGGAGCTATGGCTGGTGGAGATAAAGGTCGTCAATGGAGAAATGGAATTCGAGGACAAACAGTGGGTTAGAAATGACTAGAATACCCTTAACATAACAAGGGTTGAGTCTAATTCCGGTGGGTTGGCCGGGTTCTTGGTCGGATGGGATCAAATGTGGAAAAAAAATTAAAGTTGAGCACCTATTATGTCCGGAATAAAAGTCGTGAATCCCATTTGTCACCACAAGTGAAGTCGAGGGACCAAAAGTGGAAAAAACTCTATTCTATATATTTTATATTTAGTTATTATAGGTACAAAGTGAGAAAAATATGATCACTGAAGTACAAGAATCAATTAAAGTCAGAAGTTTGAAGTTTAACTCAGAGATGTTGTGTAGGGGTAGGCAGGGCTCATCCTCCATTAGAGGTGAAAAGGAAAGTGAAAGATAAATCCAGATAGTCAAAAATCCACATTTAAAACGAGAGAGAGAGAGAGCGAGAGAGAGGGGAAAAAGAGCATAATTACAACATTCTCACATGCTAGAGAATCATGCTTCTGGGTTGAGTAAATCGAGGAAAATCTCGTGTCTGTGTACGCCTGAAATAAGTTAAAGAAGTGAGCTTTGGCACCCCAGAAAGCTCAAACAAGACAGAGAGATGGCGGCGGAAGAGTCGTGCTGCACTGCGAAATTCTCGCTGTATGTTTTGGTGTGCATAGGATTGGTGGCGTTTGCCGGTCTCATGGCCGGACTAACACTTGGCCTCATGTCTCTCGGCCTCGTTGATCTCGAAGTTCTCATCCAGTCCGGCCGTCCCCAAGATCGTATCCATGCCTGTATGCTCTCTCTCCCCCAGATTGATGTTTATGATTTCTTTATTATTTCATCTATTTTTTATTGATTTATCTATTATTGTTTCGTTTTCCAGCAATTCTTCCCTTTTCACTTGCTTATCCACTAATATTTTGTTTGTCTCGTGTTTGGGGTACTTTAGATTGGTTTAGTGGTGAAGTCTATGTAGTTTTCTTGAGAACTAAATTAGAAAGGAGGAACATTTTTTAACTTAAATCAAGAGCTCAAGAATGGTTTCTGTGTTTATATTTGTGCTTAAATCAGGAATTTTACTACTCTTTTTTTGTTTTTCTTTTGCAGCTAAAATTCTCCCAGTTGTGAAAAATCAACATCTTTTGCTTTGTACACTCTTGATTGGCAACTCTTTAGCAATGGAGGTTTGTGGGACATGGTTTACTTGATCTGGAGTAATATAGTTCTGTGTGATCTCATTGCTAACTTATTGATTCCTTTTTTTGTTTGGTTTCTCGTCTAGTCTCTGCCTATATTCTTGGACAAGCTTGTGCCTTCGTGGGCGGCAGTTCTAGTGTCGGTTACACTCATTCTCATGTTTGGTGAGGTGTGCTGCTGTTTCTAACCTAATAATTGTGTGGTTCGATTCCAGATTTAACTGTTGTGTCATATGGTTCTGTAAGTATTCGTAACTGTATTTGTGAGTGCAGATATTGCCCCAGGCAGTTTGCACTCGCTATGGATTGACAGTTGGAGCGACAGTGGCACCTTTCGTTCGTCTGCTGCTTTGGCTTTTTTTCCCGGTTGCTTATCCAATTAGTAAGGTAAAATGGATATGCAAGCACGTAGATTTAGTATTGTGTGTATTGCAGAGTTTTGTATATTTCTAGGAAATGTCTTATGTTTGGTTTTGTTGTTTCTAGGTTTTGGACTGGATGTTGGGAAAGGACCATTCTGCTCTCCTACGCAGGGCAGAGCTGAAAACATTTGTTGATTTTCATGGAAACGAGGTTTGGTCCTATATCATGTGTACAAGGTGTAATGTCTTCCTTAATCTCTCTTTTTCCGCTTAAATTACGCCTAACTTTGGTTTTCTATTCCATGTTAGGCTGGGAAAGGAGGCGATCTGACTCATGACGAAACAACCATTATTGCTGGTGCTCTTGAGCTGACCGAGAAAACGGCTAAAGATGCCATGACACCAATATCGAAGGCATTCTCTGTTGATCTGGATGGAACTCTTGATTTGTGGGTTTATGCTTTAACCGTTCCCTCGAAGCTTTAAACTTTGTGACTATTTTACGTACTGACCTTTACGTTTTGATCACTTTCTTGTGTAGGGAGACGCTTAATTCTATAATGACAATGGGGCATAGTAGAGTACCTGTATACTATAGAAATACAGCAAATATTATCGGACTTATTTTGGTAATTCGTTTCTGTGCTTTGCATAAATTGCAATGTTCGTTTATCTCAGTATTTGCATAAAATCTTTCGTTAATAGACCTTGTTTTCTTACAGGTAAAAAATCTTCTGGCAGTTAATTCAGAAGATTCGGTTCCTATAAGGAAGATGATTATAAGAAAAATTCCTAGGTATTGTTAAGTTCGGGTTTATCTTTTCTTCCACCTATAATTCGTTGAAATTTCTGTCGAGTTCTTATGGAATGCAAGGCCTTCTTTTTAACGTTTTTACAGGGTTTCGGAGAACATGCCTCTCTATGATATTCTGAATGAATTCCAAAAGGGTCACAGTCACATTGCCGTTGTTTACAGAGATCTGAATGAAACAAGAGAAACGTGGACCAAATCTAAAGGTTTGAACTTTGAATTGAAACTAAGTGGTTAATATCTGGTCTCTCTTTACTCATGATATTTTAGTTTGGTTTATCAGACCTGTCTCTAATCTGATTTCAAGTCCTTCCTCGTGATTTGTTGTTTCTTTGCTGCAGATGCTGAAGATACTGGGGCTAAATCCGTTCCACGTGATGCTGACAAGGCATTGAGTAAGGCTGATGACGATCAAATTGCTAAGAAAAGTCCCCCGCCTACTCCTGCTTTCAAGAAGAGACATAGGGGTTGCTCGTTTTGCATTCTGGATCTGGAGAAGACTCCAATTCCCGAGTTCCCTCCCAACCAAGAAGCTGTAGGTGTGATTACTATGGAAGATGTGATCGAGGAGCTTCTTCAGGTGCACAAGAAAGAGAAACTCAGTGTTACATTTTAAAGATCATTTCTACATTTTATTGATTCATGCCTGTTACTATTATTGCGTTCTTTCAGGAGGAGATTCTTGATGAAACCGACGAATATGTTAACATTCACAACAAGTAAGATTCAAACCATGCAGTTCTTCTGGACCTTCTTTAACTATATTCAAATCGAGATGTGAACTACAATCGTGTGGCTCTTTTGTTGCAGGATAAAGGTAAACATGAACGCGTCACAGGAGAAGTCTTCCGAGTGGAACTCCACACAGACGCTTCTGCCATCCGGCTCAGACTCTACTGGTCCACAATGATAACCTCGAGATTCAAGAACAGCAAAGTGTACAGTTCAAGTGGAAGAAGACCACTGTTAAGAAACCTCAAAGAGGCATAGTTCTTGCCATTATTTTGTATGATTATGAAGGTTGGACTGAATCTGAATACTGGAAAAATAGGAGTGTGATGTAGTAGACTCTTGTAGAGGTTAGCTAGCATTTCTTAATCAAGTAACTGGTTGAAATTTGTGCAGTGGTGTTATTAGAATCAAGAATGCAGAAAATATTTGTTTCCCAGAAGTTAAATGCAGAGAGCTACCAGTGTGTTGAAATTCTTGAGCTTCAAGATGCAAACATTAATTCATAATTCAATAACCTATTAAACTTAGTAATCACAAGGTTACAAGTTCGACTCCTGGGAGGGGGTGTGTTGGTCTATCAGTCTTGTTAATTTGAACAGATCAGTTATAGACACCCTAGGCTGGTTTACCTAGTATACACCTTTGGGCTGTTACTGAATAATAATAACAATTTGCCATTTCAAGAATGCTAACTATGGAGTTCAATCAGGCAATAACCATTTCCTTTGAAACTGAAATCTTCTTCCTAGCAATAAGAGGGGAGTAAAAGATGACCACAAACTACACAGCATAATTATCCCAAAAGAGGGGATTCAGAAGAACAGTTTAGCTGCTCTTTCTGGGCTTGTTTTTTCTTCTAGCTCTGCTGGTTCTAGGCTGCTGTTTTTGTGACAAATCTTTTTCTTCCAATGATCCCTCTTCTTTCTTGGAGGATGTTGATGAAGCAAACCCTTCTCCTACTTTTCCTTTATTTTCTGATTCCTCTTCTCCTTGGAGTTTCTTTGCTTCAGTAGTCTCTGCAACATCTTGAGCTTCTGCCTCTGTCTCTTCTTCTTCTTCTTCTTCTTCTTCTTCTTCAACCTGGGCTGCAATCTTCCTAGGCCTGCCTCTCTTCCTTGGAGTCGGCTGTTGAGGCTCTCCACTCACTGAACCTACTACTGACAACTCCTTTATCTTCCTCACAGCCTTCTTCTTCCCCATTATCTACAGCTCCAAAACAAAAAAAGAAAAAAAAAATCCAATCTTGAAAACAAAACCAAACTTGAAACTCTTTTGATATTCTATTCTTCCACAAACAACCCTTCACTCAACAAAACAAGTTGACAGTGGTAAAGAGTATAGAGATATATTTCAAGAAGCTAGCTCATTTATTCAAATCATTAAACCTGTAATTCCAACAATCCAATCACAGTTCATAGGGGAAGAAATTCAAAACAGAGCTGACCCTTTGGATTCCAAAAAAAGTTGCAAGTTGCTGTTTGGGCGACTTGCAATTTACCTTTTTGATGATTTTGGATAGAGTTCTGGGGCTTAAAATTAGTACGAGAGCTGGAAAACTAATGTATCAAAAACAAAACAAAAAAAAAACCTGCAAGCTCTTGTATTGCAAGTGAAGACCAAATGGAAAGGAAGTATTGGGATGGAAGAAAATGAGGCAATATATGAAAAAGAGGAGCCACTAAGCCCCCATATCTTTCCTTTTCTCTGCCTACGTGTTTTTCATCCCATCCTTATTTCTTTAATGCTCCTCAGATGGATTATTAAAAAATAAGAATAATTAATAGTCTAAAGACTAAAGGTGTGTTTGCATTGCTAGTCGGCGTTTAGGATAAGAAAGCTAAAGCATGGGGTCAGGAAAGTGAGAAAAAAACTAAGGCAGGAGAGAAAACTATTTCGTGGCCCCAAAAAATATATCTGGAAAATGGACTCACTTCATCACAAATTGGTTTTTTTTTTTTTTTTTTTTTAAAAAAAAATGCTCTGTAGACAATGATTTATGACTATAAATTATAAAATTAGTAATTGAAAATTGAGAGAAAATACTTGGGAAAAGACTATGGCTAATTGGCTATGTTTTATCCAACCAGGGTTTGTTTGGAGTTAAGTCAAGGTGGGAATAGTGGGGACACCATTCCAGTCTGAGTCCACTGTCGTTATGCAATGTTGTGACTTGTGAGCTATTGTCCCCCTCTCTAAAAGTAGAAAAGAATGCAAGCCTTTTTTTATTTCCAGGATTTTTGTTTTTTTTCTTCTTAATCTTTATGATGATGATAAAATTTTATTGATGGGCCACAATCAACAGAAGAAAATGGGAACTTTGATTGGCCACTAAAATTTGGCACTACATACTTGCTAGGCCACACCTAAAAAGTAGACTCTATATAACACCAGCTAAAAAGAAAACAAATAAATAAGAAAAATACTACATGGAATTCATTTCTTACTTCCACTTCACTCTCTTGTTAATATCAACACTCATCGTGAAGGACGTACCATGTAGTAAAACTCAATAATACGGAAATACACCTAAACAAAACCAAAAAAAAAAAAAATATTATAAAATACAAAATATAGACCGTAAAATAACATATATATAATTCAATAGCCTATCACCCATTTCATAACACATAGAAGAACTTAATGAATTTTATTGAACAGCAGAAAATCTAATAACATGCCCACGAAAGTCAATAGGAGTCCAGGTGGATTCGAACCACCATCCTCTCAAATGCAACATTTGAGCGCTCTTCCAACTCGAGCTCCTAGACCCATCCTTACGAAATATCAGGCATAAACCACTTCAAATGCACTTGTAGCTATAAACATTAACCTCATAATTAATTTAATTAAACCATGAACTTTGTACTCTGAAAATTAAATCATGAACTCTAGACAATTCAAAAGATTGTTTTATTTCACTACCATATATAAATACGTCTACTATTGTAAAAAGTTCTCTTAACTCTGTAATTTGAAATGGTAGAACAAAATTTTTATTAGAACTAATAAAAATAAAAAATACTTCTAAAAGAAAAAACATACGGAGAAATAATAACTCAAATAAAAAAATGATCATCGTCAATGTATCGCCAACTGTTTTCAGGTATTTTACACTAATTTTTCTCAGAAGATTCTTTAAAAAAGGACAGGATAAATAATAAAACCACCAAATTTTAAAAAATTCAGATTTGCATACTAAACAAACTAAATCCAACCCAGTTGAGAATGCAACAAAGACTCAGGCAATGTCAAACATCCATTTTGACTTTGGAGTATAATTGCAAAATCACCCAAAGTTGATGTAAATGCAAAATAAAACATAGTATATATAGCGAGAAAATTAATTCACAATCATTGCTAAGTTGCCATGTCCAGAACACAACATCCATTAAACAATTACCAATGATCTTTCTTCAGAGACCTCAAATCTTCCGCGGAAACATCCAAGTATAGTTGATACTTCCAGCTTTACATGATTCCATTATCTTTGAGAAGTGCATATGAAGAAGGTGATAAGAGGCAGAGAATACTTCCCTTCTGAGAAAGAAGAGTGCATAACTAAAAGGATTGCCAGTGGTATCATCATTAACTTGAAAACTGTCTGCCAACAATAGAACAAGTTACACACTCACTTTCTCATCTATTGCTATATAGCTCTTTGGCTTACAAGTAACAAAAAATCTAATCTAAATCTAAATATTTATAATGATACATTGTACTCTGCAAAGAATATTAACTGCCAAACAATTACAATATCAAGACGATGAAATGTATATTCCAAAAGTAGTATGAAGCTTTTATCACTTTTAGTCCCCATTGTCATCAAGTTGAAAATGATGTGAGAAACTCAGTATAGCAAAATAACCAATGCTAAAAAATAACATTGTGTTTTTGGATATATAAATCTAATATACTCACTATTCAAAATACATGAATGTTAAAATAAACCTGCTGAAATCCGTGGATAATTTGAACTTAATAAGTAAGCTGACAAATACATAAGTAATACTAGTAATAGCTGACAACTGCATTAACGTTACTGGAGAATGATGGAAAAATAGAATCCATTTCTTTGTGTAAGTTGCCTTGATCGTGTTAATATTTGGGAATTTCGTGCTTAATAATAAAAATATCTGAAATCAACATTTTATTACAGAATTCTGAATAATCAAAATAACAAAAAGGGAATTATATTGTGTACCTTGAAGTAGTCGTTCAGTGGTGAACTGATAATACCTTAAAAGTCCCGGTAGTTGATAGTTTTCTTGCTCTTGTTGGTGTCGTACGGATATACAATTGTGCTTTAAGTTACTTTATCCATGATATGTGTATTTATTCATGGACAAGCAAGTGAAGCAACAGAATAGTTTGCTCTGAAGGGTTGAGAACTTGTAGACGGGAGCAGGAGGCAAAGAGAAAGAGAAGAGGAAAAAAAAGAGGGACACGACACACCGGAAAGGAGAGCCGGGCAATCCCGTGCCATCTCCTCTCCAAAAACAAAAAACAGAAATTTTATTAGGGTTGTTGACCTGCCATGCGAGCGCACCCATCATGGCAAAGGTCGATAGACAACAGTAACTACGTAACACAGTTATCAACTCATTATCCTGCCTACCGTATCGCCTCGTCTCTACCTATATTATACAAATGCATGATTATCACCATTCACAAGCTTAAATAAAGAGCGAAACATAAATCAACGGAACAATCAATAAACCATCTTAACCTTGATCAACACAGCACTTCATTTTCCCAATCTAGACCATCCGATCAAATAGGTCACATTCGATCAGCTCCGGTGGTCCAAAATAGAAACATCCACATAGCCGATCAAACAAAAAACCAAGCAATCATAGTTGCTTTCACAATGATCTGGAAATTCACAGGATAAACTAAATCAAAACAAAATGCTACAAAACCTTTAACAGAATATAAAATCGAAAATCATCAGCCGATAAGAACACCAACCTCACCAAATCGGTGAGAGCGAACAATCAGACAGCTAATAGAGGCGAGAGAAGATAGCAACCGCCATGTCCTTCGCGACATCACGGAAACTCAGGCGAAACAACTCGAAAAACAGTAAAACGAATTAGAAATTACAGTAATTGAAGACTAGTCAGATTACCTCCGACGATGCAGCACCAACCGTCATCAGATACGGCTTATCCTCCGATGTTCATCAACTACCAACAAAATCATGCTCAATCAATAGATCGTCGATCGATCTATAAGGAAATTAAGGAAGCATCGACGGAAAACATCGCTGGTCGCATAGATCTGAACAAATTTGCATATCTGCAGAGAAAGTACAAACGACAAGAGGCCAGACGGCTGTAAAATGCGATAACAATTTCTGAGGCGTTACGTAATTTATTGAGGGCGTGGAAGGATCTAACGGCTGAGATTGGAAGAGTGGGTGGATATCTTTATGGTGTGATAAGCATGGACGTAGATTTCGGGGCGGGTTTGAATAAAATATTGTGGAAATAAATGGACGGTTGGCGATAGAGTTCTATTGGGGGAAAGTTTCGTGGTTTTTGACTCGGAAAATAGTATGAAGTTGCAACGTATTTTACTTATACCGGTAAGTTAAGAATATTATTGGGAAGAGGCGGTGGAGTGGGTAAAATATGATTTTTGTTTAGTTTTTGTTACATATATTTTTAAGAGGAATGCTATTTATTCTTAAATTTTAATTTTTTGAGAAAAAAGTTAAATAAATTACTGAACATTATACGATAAGTCAATTAGACTTCTAAATTTTTAAAAGCGTTAATATTCAAAATGATCCTCTAACTATTAGCTAATACTCGCTTTGTCTCAAAGTATTAACCATACTCAATTTAATCCTCTAACTTTTAAAATAGTACCCAATGTAATCCTTCGTTAGAATTTCCATCCATCCACCGTTATTTTTAGGGCAAAGAAGTCAATTTACTTAGTCCAAACTCATTTATTCCTCTAGTCAACGTCTTGGAGGCCCTGCGGCTCAGCGAACAATGAGCACCCAAACCCAGGCGACGACGCAGTTGCCATCTACATGGAGTCGGCGACGGCGGTGGCAAAACCGAAGGGTAGATAGTGCGTTATTTGCAATGAAAGACGCGCCACCCTGAAACGCCCTAAAACTCTTCAACAAATATGCAGGGAGTGCTTCTACGAAGTTTTCGAGGATGAGATCCATAGGGTTATCGCTGACAACCAACTCTTCAAGCCCAGCGAACGCATCGCTATTGGCGCTTCTGGCGGGAAAGACTCCATGGTTCTTGCTTATGTCATGTCAGAGTTGAATCGCATGCACAATTATGTCCTGGATCTCTTCCTGTTATCTGTGGATGAAGGTATCACTGGTTACAGGGATGATTCTCTTGAAACTGTTAAAAGAAATGAAATCCAGTATGGACTTTCAAGGAAAGTTATTTCCTATAAGGATCTGTATGGATGGAAAATGGATGAAATAATAAAGTTGATAGGTCTAAAGAACAACTGCACTTTTGTGGTGTTTTCCGTCTCTAGGCCCCTGACCGTGTTGCTGTATTGCTAAAAGTGGGCAAGCTAGTAACTGGGCATAATGCAGATGATATAGCTGAAACAGTTCTTTTGAACATATTACGTGATGATATTGCCAGGTTGAGTAGGTGTACATCTATAGTTACTGGAGAAGATGGACCTATTCCTAGATGCAAGCCTTTCAAGTACACATACGAGAAGGAAATTGTTATGTATGCGTACTTTAAAAAGTTGGATTACTTCTCCACTGAATGCATTTACTCTCCAAATGCATACCGTGGCTTTGCTCGTGAGTTCATTAAGGATTTAGAGAGAATCAGACCACGATCCATACTGGATATCCTTAAATCTGGTGAGGACTTCAGGATCTCGACTTCCACAAAAATGCCAGAACAAGGAAATTGTGAACGATGTGGTTACATATACAGCCAGAAATAGTGTAAAGCATGTGTTTTGCTAGACGGACTAAATCGGGGTTTACCCAAATTGGGAATTGGGCGTAGCCGAGGACTTAATAATAGTGAGAAACGTAAAAAAAAAAAAAAAAAAAAAAAAAAAAAAAGAGGCGGGGAAGAAGGGCTTCAACTAAAATGACGTATACGCCATTCAAAATAACGGTGGATGGATGGAAATTCTAATGGAGGATCACATTGGATACTATTTTAAAAGTTAGAGGATTAAATTGAGTACGGTTAATACTTTGGGACAAAATCGAGTATTATCTAATAGTCGGAGGACCATTTTGGGTATGAACTCTTTTTAAAATTAACAATTAAACACATTAATTTTTTATGCTTGTGCATTTAAACCTAAAAATCAAATATTTACTTGTAAATGCAGGTAACCTCTTACGTGGTATCATCTGAAATTGCTACGCATGCAAACTTTTAAAAAAAGTTATTAAAATTAAAAATCATCTATATCTATAATAATAAGTAAATAAACATTTTCCCTCACGATTTGTTTGTTGCTCGCCGCCGCCATCGGTCAGAGAATAAGAAGGCAGCCATGACTATAGCTACCTTCAACCTCTTCTCTTCTTCTTTTTTTTAACATCTTTCCCTTCTTTGTTTTCAAATATGTCGGCCATGGCGGCATTCAAGCTTCAACCTTTTTTTTTTTTTAAATAAAAATAAAATCATTTCCTTCTTGGAAGAATGAGGAAGAAGGCAACCATAGCTGCTTTTGACGTGAATGCTTTAAAAAAAATAAATATTATTTTATTAATAAAAATGACACGTATAATGCCACATAAGATGCTACATGCATTTACAGGCAAATATTTATTTTTTGGGTCTAAATGCACAAAAGTCAAAAGTTGATGTGTTTAATTGCTACTTTTTTAAAGTTCAGAGGCCTAACTATTTTTTCGTATAAAGTATGGAGATTTATTATTGGTTTGGCATGGATTGCATAGGCATTGAATTGCAATTCAATGAAATGATAAGCTATATTTTTTGTTGGAGAGAATTGCAATTCCCTCATAGGCTCTTTGGTTCACGGAATAGGCCTGGAATGTCATAGCATTCTCAGTAATAGGCCTATTACTCTGTTTGGTAACCACTTGTATTCCCAGAAACATTGTTCCCGGGAATGTCGTATTCCCTTTGCAAGGGGAATAGAGATTCCTGGGCCTCCTGGTATTAGGCTATTCCTGAGAACTTAGGAATAGCCTAAAGTTTTTATTTCCTATTTTACCCCCCAATTAAATTTATTTCCTATTTTACCACCGCCACTACCATCGCAGCGCCACTGTAACCACCGCAACAACCGCCGTCGCCGCCAGCACCACCATCACATATTTTTATAAGAGTATTTATGTATTTTAAAACATATTTCATTTCTATTCCTTAAATCAACCAAACACTGTAATATAATTCCTAAAGTATATTCTTTCTGCGAACCAAACAATATAATACAATTCATATTCTATTCATTACATATTCCATTCCTTATGGAATAACATTCCTATTACTTCAAAATTCATTCCGTGAACCAAACGTGCTGTCAATTCATTGAATTGCAATTCATAGATCCCATATGAATTGCAATTCATCCATACAAAGAAAAGGGAAAAGGAAGAAAATGACATATTTGTCTTTGAATGTTATTATTATTAATATTATTACATAATGGTATTTTAGTCTTTATATCACTTCAATTCATAGATCCCATATGAATTGCAATTCATCCATACAAAGAAAAGGGAAAAGGAAGAAAATGACATATTTATCTTTGAATGTTATTATTATTAATATTATTACATAATATGGTATTTTAGTCTTTATATCACTTCTCTCATTTCCATTCCCCCTTAATTCCTTCCTTCAAACCAAACGCCCTGTTACATGCAAATATCCATTTTTTGGGCCTAAATACATGAAAGTCAAAAGTTGATGTGTTTAATTGCTACTTTTTAAAGTTCTGGGGGCTAACTAATTTTTCGTATAAAGTTTAGTGGCTTATTTGACTCTTTTCACTTTTTTTTTTAATTTAATTTTTATCTTGATATGACATTGTTTGGATGGTTATTTTACTTTTTTTTTTTAAATTATTATTACTAGTTAGTGGATCAATTACTCGAATGTTATGTCGGATAAGAAATTTAGGAGGGATATGAACAAAATAATATTTTAAAATGTTACTTTTTAATGTATTTTATAGACTATTTCATATAAGAGCAATATTTATCTCGTATACGCTTTGAAGTAATGAGAGCTGGCTTCTTTAGCTACCCAAAAAATATTATTGACAATGAAAGCATAGACTAGGAAAAGCGGTGGTGCCACGTATTAAGATAACACAAAATACGTGTCAAATAAAGTTACGTTTCAACAAACTCTATATTTTTTTTCAAAAAAAAAATAAAAAGCACCCTATATATCTTAATGTGACAACACGTATAATGTCTTTCTACTCATTTTTGCTTTTAGTATGACAGTTGTAACCAAAGAGCAGACTTGATATCACATTAATTAATTAATTAATACGATTAAAAGAGCTATTGTCCTTGCAATTACTACAATTAAAAGAGCTATTGGTAATGATAAGCTGGGATGGGAAGAAACGCGGTTGAGAACGACTCAATGGTTGCAAATTTGCAATTGAACAGATTAAACAATAAGGAAATAATTTTGATTTATATGTTTATCTTCTTTGAAGTAATTAGATAGATTTTGTGTCTAAAACAGTTCAATTTTTAAATTTAAAAATTAAACATATAGTATTCAAAATATTATATTTCAAATGATCAAAACACTTTTTTTTTACATGAAGGGAAATCTTTATTAAAAAGACAACAACAACAAATGCAAAATACATGCTTACATCCTTCAACAATTAAATCCCGAGCACACATCAAACGGGTGTTCTAGTACCCCAAGTTTGCTAATAACCAAAATAGCATTACAAAGTTCTTGAATCTTCCCACTAGCTTCCTTAATCTTCAAAGGTTCAGCAGGAGACTTTTCAAATAAACCATCACACTTCTTGAAATGATTCAGAAGTGAAAAAGCTTGAGATTTTAGTCCCTTAAAGTCTCCCGATCCCAATTTCAAAGCATATTTGCACCAAGAAGCGTCAACAATTGCCTCATTGCAACCATCCAAGCACGTTGCAAGCCGTAATTGTTGATTAACGGGTAAATTCTGTTTTAAAATCACTCGAATAACATCTTTCATAGAAACCACTCTTGACTCCACTTTGTCTAGTAAAATTTTGGCCAAAGTGGTGTAATTTGCGCCAATGGAGCGAGAATCTGATCTCAATTGTTGTGAACAAAAGCTAGGCTTGAGAGTTTTCAAGCAAATTGCATCGATTAAAAATGGATTTGCATCTATAGCAACAAATTGAAGGCAAATGACAACCGAAAACGCGAAGAACAATGCGTTTTTGCAATGAGAATCCATTTCTGAGTTTTCTTTCACTGAGTGGATTGTGATGTAAGAAGATATAGGAGGATTCTTATACATAATAATTTTTCTTTTTCTGTTTCTTTTTATTTTACGTGCAAAACCTTTTGTTTCGGGATATGTTGGTTACAAATTATTGTTACTTCCAATCATTGACCAAATCAAACCCTTTCTTCTTTTCATCATCACTCATTAATTCTGGTGGTGAATTTTTTATTTTTATATTTTTTACTGTGTCAATCAGCATCAGTGTATGTTATGTTCTGTTGCTTCGATTCGGTCAATACTGCTACAAGTTGTGTCCGATACAATAAAATATAATATATCATACTCTTTACACTTGTCGGGATAAATAAAGTAGGAGGCAACCCCAGCTAAGTTGGTAGCGATTTACCTCATTATGGTCCTTTACTGGCTAGAGTCACAAGACAAATTTCACTCAAAATACATATTTGGATAGTGACTGTGGACTTTCTATATCAGAGATTAACACCACAAATTCAAATGCAGGGTTGGAAGTTTGTGCAGAAAAATGTTTGTATGCTTTGTTACAAAGGCAGCATCAATGCTGTATGTGCAGAATCTGCACTTTTACTAAACAGAAGATAGCCAGCCAGCCATCCATCTCCACTAACCAAACTGAGAAGTGCAAATCATTCCCAGTGTGAAAAAGGAACAATCATATATATTATGCTGCAAAAACCATGTTACCCATGTTAGATCTCACTTTAGTGGAAGAAGAAGGAGAAGAAGCAGATTCCAGTAAAGAAATCTTTTGTCTGAAGCTGTTGAAACTTGCATACATTGCTTGGATTAGAATAGAAGTAAGATATATGCCTGGTGAAAATCCCCCAACTTATTCTTATCATTGATTTTTCCCCAAGCTCCCATCTTACCAAACACTGAATAAGGCTTCCCACCTAAGTGACAGACATTTCACCAAGCCAAAACTCAATCCAAGAAACATTCCCATTTCCCATTCCCCAGTTCTGCACTTTCCAGTCTTACTGAAAAAAAGCTCCATCTTCGCGGGAAAACATGGCAGCAAGATCAGACTTGGCACAGAAGCTGCTGCACGATCTCCGGCTCAGGAAGGAACGGATGGGTGCTGCTCAGAATTCTGGGAATTCACACTCCGCGTCAAGAGGTAAATACTCGGGCAGATCATTTATTGCTTACCAAGAACCAGAAAACTTATGAACTCTTCCATATTTATATAATGGCAAAATGTCTGTAGAATGATAGCATGTTAAGTTGTTTAACTCTATGACTACCTGAAACCAGGAGGATATGCAAATGCTGGACAACCTCACCGGGGTTCTCGACAGATAAAAACTCTAGAATCTGTAAGTTCTAACTGCAGAAAACTTGGAAGAGTTCTTTATCTTTGTTATGAATTATGATAACATAATTGAGTAATTTCACTTACTCCATTTACAGGCAGGTTCAAGAACAAGGAATTCACAGATATCTGGGAGGGGGGGCAACAGATCATTCCATGTTCAAGAATCTGCTGGGCAGATTGTTCCTTATGCAGCTGGAAGAAAGATAGATCTGTCCATGGCAATCACATTTGCCATCGAAAATCGAGGGAAGTTTACGAAACTCAACTCTTCATCCAACAATTCAGTGCTGGGATTTATCCATCAAATCGGGCAGAGATCACTGGACTTGGGGAAAATGGAAAGGAGAGGTCATCCTTCAAGCAGCCAGATTGTTACTCTCTCAAGTGTTCAAGTCAGCGAAATCTCGAAAGGGATACAGAGGATAAACCAGATCCTCAAAGCCTGCTCGGATGGCGTTAACTTTGACAGATACTCAGTTGAAGTTGGGAAGGAGCTCTTGAAAGGTGCCATGGATTTGGAGTCATCCCTGAGAATGCTTGTAAATCTGCAGGAAACATCCAACTACATGATCAAACCTCAACGAAAGAACCGGATAACGTTGCTCGATGAAGATGAAGATGACGATAGTGCTGCAGAAACAGCAGACCAGAAGCTTCAACTGGACCTTCCAAGATTCTCATTTGATAAACCCTCCAGAAAATCACACAGCAAGAAGGAGACGAGTGAACCGCGACTTCTAGCCCTGACATATCCAAATGAAAAGAAACCTCTTTCCCCTTCAGTTTTTAAGGCTCTTTCTGCAAATTTGGAGCCCAAAAACCAGCCAAATTCATCAATAACTGGAGCAGAAAAAGGGAGAATTTCAAATGTCATTGCAAAACTTATGGGACTGGATGAAGTTCCCCAAACTGCAGATATGAAGGCATCAAGACAGCCATCAACCTCGAAGAAGAAAGAATCTCCAGACCTGAAGAAAACTGCACATTCCAGCGTTCGATCGACTGCTGATTCAGAAAACAAGCCACCCCACAACATTGATAAGAAAACTAAACAATCCAAGAATGTGTTGCCATCTCTGGATGCCATAGTTCCCCTTAAAGATGGTGGTTCTGCCATGGTTGCCTCTGATACAATAATCTCACATCAGAAGGGTGCGAAACAAGCAGTTAGACAGAATCACCAAACCAACATTGCTCAAATCTATCAACTCCCTGGAAATCTCCTGAAAATGGAGAAAGAGCCACCGAATCATGGAAGCAGTGAAACCATCTCGAAGAACGAGGCACAGCCAAACCTTCCACAAAAGCACAAGATGGAAGTCGCTGAAAACTTGTCGCCGCAAAGAACCAAGCACAGGAAGAACATACATCAGACAGAAAACAAAGTAGCCGACAGATTTCTCCCGGAGAACCAACAAACTCCCCTGGAAAAGACTGAAGCTCCTCGACTGCAAAAGCCAAGAAAACCTGATGGGATGGAGGACAAGAACCAATCAGATAGAAAAGAGCAAAAATTGGAAGTCAGGAAGCCCAATGGAGGTCAAGTAGAGACCAGAATTTCACAAACATTAAGGAATAAAACAGGTAGTGTTCAAAAAAGGCAACCTTCACAGAACCAAGCCCAAAATGGCAAGTTTGCAAGGCCTCAGAAAGATCTCTCAAACAGCATACACCCTAAAGAGCTTGCCAAAAATGGGAAATCTTCAGGGCCTAGAGCCACTATGCAATTAACACCTAGAATCCAGAAGGTTGCACAAGAGAAGCCTATCAAGGTGCCAGTCATAAAGAAGAAAGAAAGTTACATTCAAATCCACAGAAAAGAAGCATCTAAAAATATAAAAGGATTGGATGGTAGAAAAGAAACCCCCAAACCCATGGCTGGGCCATCGAAACAGCAGCTACCAATATTGCAAGTGAAAAAACAGACGAAACGTAATGTGAACAGCAGCACAGCCGTGAAAGCAGGCAAATCGAGCGAAGAACATTCCAAGGAATCAAATGGAAACATCTCTGAATTTGAAACATCAGAAGTAGCCAGTGAACCAAAAGACAAAGAGCTTAAAATCACGCCCACCAAAACTCCAGGTACTTACATATTTGTCTTTTTTTTTAGTGAATCCAATTAGAGCAAAGAAACAATAACTCTCTGATTGTTGCAGAAACCCCAGCAGGACTAAAAACTGAGACTTTTGCATCCGCACTGCCCGAGCCACTGACTGAATCAGAAAAACATCTTAAGGAGACACTGATCAAAAGCCATCTATTCCTCAGCACTGCAGAGGCGCTTCTGAAGCTCAACTTACCGATCAGCGTCCTCCATGCCACTGATCATATCAACCAAGGTGCAGACTTTAAGCTCACAGAAGACTGTGGCTATGAAGTACTGAGAAGAAAAGCAAGGAGGCAAGAACTCTCACTCCATCCCTGTGCGAAAATATGCATCAGCTACACCAAGGTAAGATCTTTAGATGATCTGATCAAGCAACTGTGCAGAGACTTTGAGAAGCTGAGCTCCTATGGCTGGGAATCGTGCGATTCATCGGAGTATTTCAACAATATGCTTGCGAAAGACATGCGAAATCGCGACCCGGACATCAACTGTATGTGGGATTTTGGGTGGGATGAGACCATGTTTGGCTTCCTAGAAAAAGATGAGATTGCAAAGGATGTTGAAAAGCATTTGCTTAAGGGACTCATAGATGAGATCACCATCGACTTATTATAATGCCTCTGAAATAAGCATTTAGTTCTGTAAAGATTGAAATGAAACCATCAAAGCTGATTTCTTTTCTTCAATAGTTTTTTTATTCTTGAAATCAAAGCTCATGAATGGTTCAGTATATGCATGTCCTCATTTTGAAGATTAAAAATAAGAAAAAGTCAAGGGCTTTGTGATCAACTGATGATGAACTAAAACAGTACATAATATTGCTGATTTTTGCAGAAGAAATTTTAGTAGTAGCATGCAACAGGTTAAGAAAAACCCATCAAGAATCTGGCTTTTGAAAAAGGATGTTACAGGCAACCGGCCAAGTTGGTCGGATAATAGTATTGGTTTCAAATTTAACTTTATGTTATAACTGCGAGTTAAATTTGCAAAGCTAGTTTCACTTTAAATAGCTTTGCAAGCTTATTAAAAATGTTATTAATGAGGCAATTAAGTCGAGTTGACTAGTTTTATTAATCAAAATATATAAATTCTTTTATATACCCAGCTTCGAGATTCAATCAAAAATTTTGTTTAAAGGGAATCAAGCTCCCTCCACTTTTTGAATCATATGTTGTTGGTGAGTGGTAATATACTTAATTTAGATAGTTTAAGCTATAGGTTTGATTATAACTCAAGATTTGACCTACATGGGTCCATAGCCATTGAAATCTTGCATTCTAATTAAGGTATATGGATGGATATTAAAAGTCTGTGAATTTCTAAGATGTTAATTTACATTTACTTTTTTGTACTGATTCGAGTACAACTAAATATGATATATCTGATTAAATCGCCTATTACAAAAACAAGTGTTTATTATACTCATGCAATTCAAATAACAGATATACATATATAATTGTACTCGATACAAAAGACACCTTGACATCAAAAAAATCCCTTTTATGGTTTGCCTTGTAGTGTTGTTTAGGCATTTCTTATGAACGAAGTATGCGTGGATCACCTGCCTAAAGTGGACTCCACTTTATCCCTTTGTCCTTGAAGTGTTAACCAATCCCAATTCTATCAGTGTTCTACACAAAATGCTTTAGACCAAACCTCTTTTCCATCATATTCTTTTGCCTCCACTTAGAAATGTCCATTCAATTACAAGTTAGAAAAAGTTGACACATTGGGAAAATATTATATGTATTAAAAGTTAAAAATATTTCTCAGTTTCACAAAATTTTTCTAGTATGATTTACTTTTTTGGTATAGTTTGCAGGCCAGAGTGGAATGAGATAGGGAATCCTTAGCATGGAAGGATTCGAAAATGGAAAGAGTGAAGGAGCCTGCAGTGCATATTAAAACATTGTTCCTGGTTTAAAAAATGTCATCATTCCATCGTCGTCCTCCCAAAGCCAAACAGATTGGAGCATTACAGCATGGCAAATCTTCTTTACAGTTCATATTTCTTATTTCTCTTCCTTTTCCAGCTTTCAGGTAATCAAGATTGTTTCTTTTTTATGTTTTACTGGTTGGTTCTTCTAGTTCAGATTAATTGAGTAGTTTTCATGGCAATAATGCAGATGCTCAGTCATTCATTGGGGTGAATTATGGCCAAGTGGCGAATAATCTGCCGGCGCCGGAGGCGACGGCTAAGCTCCTGCAGTCTACTTCCATTGAAAAGGTTCGGTTGTACGGAGCGGACCCGGCGATGATAAAAGCGTTAGCGAATACGGGCATTGGGATCATGATCGGAGTGGCTAACGGTGATATTCCGGCGATGGCCGCCGACCCCGGCTATGCCAAGAGTTGGATAGGTGCCAACGTTCTTGCCTTCTACCCGGCCAGCAAGATCATGACCATCAACGTTGGGAATGAGATTCTGTACTCCGGCGACCGGAATCTGATCACCCAGCTCTTGCCGGCGATGCAGAATCTCCAGAACGCACTTAATTCCGCCTCCGTCGGAGGGAAAATCAAGGTTTCGACGGTCCACGGGATGTCTATGCTGGTCTCCTCGGAGCCGCCGTCGTCCGGGAGATTCGATCCGGCCATAACGGACTCCCTGAAAGACTTGCTCAGCTTTATAGACGCCACCGGCGCTCCTTTCTTGATCAACCCTTACCCGTTTTTCGCGTTCCAGAGTGACCCCCGGCCGGAAACGCTAGCCTTCTGTTTATTCCAACCAAACGGCGGCAGATACGACGCCGGCTCAAAGATAACGTACATGAACATGTTCGACGCGCAGTTGGACGCCGTCAGGACGGCGTTAAACGCGATGGGGTTCAAGGGAGTGGAGATTGCGGTGGCGGAAACGGGGTGGCCGTACAAGGGAGACAGCAATGAGGTTGGTCCCAGCGTTGACAACGCCAAGGCCTACGTTGGCAACCTCGTTTCTCACCTGAGGTCCATGGTCGGAACTCCATTGATGCCGGGAAAATCAGTGGACACCTATCTGTTCGCATTGTACGACGAGGATCTGAAGCCCGGACCAACGTCCGAGAGATCCTTCGGTCTCTATAACACCGATTTAACCATGACCTATGATGCTGGACTTTCAAAATCATCCACCCAGGTAATCTCACTCACAATTGCCCCTTAATTGCCTCTTCTATGCTTCAATTTAGTATCAGAGTCAGCTCCATTGTTCCTTGAAGCCCATAAATATGCAGTTCAATTATCAGTTTAAACTTTTAGTTGAGATAGAGCACATGCTTCAGTTGAAACGCTAGTACGATAATTTACATGATAGCATTTTTGTTGAATAATAATATAATACAGACTCCGACGACGCCAAAGAGTGCTCCGGCGATCGGTCCTCCGGCGTCAAAGAAGAATAGTAGCTGGTGGTGCGTGCCCAAGGGTGGGGTATCAGATGCCCAGTTGCAAGCAAATCTAGATTATGCTTGTGCACTACAAGGAATTGATTGTAGCCCAATCCAGCCCGGAGGGGCCTGTTTCGAGCCCAACACAATCGCATCTCATGCTACATACGCCATGAACCTCGTATACCAATCATCGGAAAAGAATTCATGGAATTGTGATTTCTCACAAACAGCCACCCTCACCTCCAACAATCCTAGTAAGCTTCGATCTCATCCCCAACTTTTTTTTGTTTTTTTTTTTGGGCACGGCTAAACCCAACTTTATCTTTTGTTGTGTAGGTTATAATGGATGTAGCTATCCTGGGGGAAGTGTCTGATCTGAGAAGGCTGTGTAATCAACTTGTAGGTGTCCATGTTTGAGTGGTTGTTTATTCTTATTGTTGTGTACTACGTTGGTGAATGGTGAGGAAAGTAGATTTTGCGTGGATAAGAATGAAGGATTCATGCAAACAAGTTTTCTATTTATGAGTGATCTTTCCTTAATGTAAACTAATGGACTTCCAACATTATTGTGTGTTACGTTGTATTTTAATGGACCTCAAATCCTTTGGGCCTCTTTTGGTTATTTATTGGACTTTTTTTTTTTGCATTGGATTCTCACTCTGGATGCCCAATCAACAATTCAACATTCAATAGAACATGATTCTTGTACCAAAAAGTTATGGATTTGATTCTTACCCACATCTTCTTGATTGGTGTCTTGTTTTCTATTTCTTGCACTAAATTTTTTTGGTCATAATAATTAGAGTCAATACCCAAAATCGTCCTCGACTATAGTGGTTTTTCTCAATTTCGTCCTATACGACTTTGGTGACCTAATATCGTCCCAGACTTTTGTGTTTCGCGCAATTTTGTCCCAGACTTTTGTGCTTTTGCTCAATTTAGTCCATCATTTGTTATTCTGTCCATTTGGTGTTAAATAAATAGACAATTAAGTAATTTTAATATTGGCATCTCTTTACTCATAAACATGTGAACTGTGAAATCCCTTTTTTTTTTACGAATTACTCCCAGAATTACTCCTAAAACTGCGAATATAAAATTTGATTTGCAAGTCCGGGAGTAATTCTGGGTGTAATTCGTACAAGAAAGAGGAATTTCGCACTTCACAAGTTGAAAGTAAAGAAAGATCAATATTGACATTACTGAATTGTCCCTTTATTTAACACCAATTTGACGGAATAAGAAATGAAGGACGAAATTGAGCGAAACACAAAAGTCTGGGACGATATTAGGTCACCAAAGTCGTTTAGGACGAAATTGAGAAAAACCACTATAGTCGAGGACTATTTTGGGTATTAACTCATAATAATTATGTATTTAAAAAAAATTTAATTCATTATTTCTAACAAACACAATTCTTTCTTTTGTAATCAAAGAAAACAATGAGAACAATTTGATATGGATCTTATGAATATATAAACACTCCATTCACAACTTCCGTTGTTGTCCAGCGGTTAGGATATCTGGCTTTCACCCAGGGGACCCGGGTTCGATTCCCGGCAACGGAATCCCTGCAGTTTTTTCTACCGCCGGCGAAGGTTAAATCCTTTGGGCCTGTTTTGCTTTTGGACATTTGTTGCATTGGGCCCTGTATGCCCAAAAAACAATTCGACATTTAAAATTCATAAAAACAAGAATGATCAATACTTGTCATGAAAGGATGAGTGAGTAAATATAGAACATGATTTCTGCAAAAATTTGTCAACATTTTCTTGATTGATGTTTTGTTTTTTTGTTTCCATTATCTGCACTAAATTTGTTTGTTCATTTTAATTATATATTTTTAAAAAATTTAATTCATTATTTCTAACAAACACAATTCTATTTTGTAATCAAAGAAAAAACAGAACAATTTCATAAGCTGTTAAAAAGATATATAAACACTCCCTTCTCAACTTCCGTTGTCGTCCAGCGGTTAGGATATCTGGCTTTCACCCAGGAGACCCGGGTTCGATTCCCGGCAACGGAATCCTTATTCTTTTTAAACTACCGGCGGCGGCATATTTGAGCTTTAACGTTTTCCCGTGTTTTTCTCTACATCTAATCTCATGTTTTTTTTTTTTTTTTTTTTTTTTTTTTGAAAATCATCTAATCTCATGTTTGTGTTCTTAATTACCAAATGTTTTCGTCAAGAAGTATGCCTAACTTCTATTAATTTAATACGGATTATGCCTAACTTCAATTAATGCCTACTAAGTACTAATAGATGTGTCACCTACAACAATTTTTTACCTTGAACAAATTCATGAATCATATATTTGTGCAGGACTAGACAAAAAAAAAAATGTGAGTTTTGTCCAAGTAGCAAAAACATCTTGAGTCTTGAATGGCTTAAACTCAACCTTAATCAATAAGAACAACAAACTCAAGTTATTCAATTTTAATAAAAAGATAACTCTGTAGTTTATAGTTTAATATTTTAACTTAATTTATGTTTTGGTCTATCCCGTTCTTTCGCTCACAACCAAAAGCTCTGTCTAAGCTGGGAGAGACTAACGTTGCTTCATTCATATCCTCATAGGCTATGTTTTCTTTTTATAATTAGTATATTTACATCGAGTTCGGACTCTTGATATTAAATTCATTAACGACTAATTTTAGGGATTTGTTGGTAGCCCATTACCCATGATTTAGCACGTATACCCCCATCTTTGAGTACATTGATAGTTGCTTAGAATGAGTATAAATACACATGGACACACCTTTATATATGCCATATCTTAACGCACATCTCAATTATAAAATTTTATTCTCACATACATAGAATATTTAGTGTAGATAATAAAATGGTTTGTTTTTCTTCAGTTGTTGAGCTTATGATGTGGGTGCTTGGCGGCTACTACTAAACTATTATCAATCCACAACGAATCAAAGGTGCGTTCTATTTCAACTTAAAGTATGAACTAATAGTGAAACTACGCATTATATTTGATATATTGTATGTTCAACACCAAGATAGGGTTACAGGTCGGGTATTCGGGTGTTTTGTTAAAAGAAGAATTATGTGGAAATGTGAGTGTTCCAGCAGCAGGATTTATGGTGAAGAAAGAATGCATTTTGAGTGGTAACCAAACAAAAGATATCTTAAATTTCATGTAAGTAAATGACATGAAGTTTGGTTCCTGTTGCTTTCAATTTCTTCTACTTTCTAGCCTGATCCAGGGGCTATGATCTGGTTTCTTAGCTGCATCATGAATTCACCATCATATTCATTCTCTTCTTCCCTCAACTTCTTCTCGAGCAATGGCAATGGCGTTTTCTGGAGTTGAACTGCCGCCTCTTCTCTCTTTCTTCGCGATTGCATCAGTTATCTTTGTGTACGTGGTAATCTGCTGCCTTATTCTTGAATACATTGGGGGAAACGGGGAGTCCCACGAGGAGCCTTTGCCAGCAGATGCAAGGTTTTCGGGGTTATCAAATGAAGACCTGCAAGAGATGGGCTGTTTTTATCATCGAGGTAAAGAAAAACCAACCTGCGCTATCTGTCTGGATTGTCTCCGGGAAGCAGAACTGTGCAGAAGTTTTCCGGGTTGTAACCATGTGTTTCATGCTCAATGTATCGATCCTTGGCTGGCAAGAAGGCACACTTGTCCTACTTGTCGAGCGCCTTTTCAACCAAAGCTTCTGTATTGAATCAACAAACTCTGCAATTCTTGTATATGCATAATCCAAATCTAGCAATTTGTATCAGTTAATGGTCCCATGCTATTCCAATGATAAAAACTGCAACCAAAAATTGACAGGAGATGTTTCCAAAAACTATGATTTATTGATCAGGATGAACCCCAGAGTGTTCATATAGATACAATGTCATAGTGACATCGATACTTCTATTCTCATCTCAAATCAAAGATCAGAGTAGATGTGATACAAGTACACAAACAACAATTATTTTGCAACACAGGATGGTGGGTGGTTCACGAAATCACCAAGACGATACCAATTGGCTAAAAATCAGGGAAATAAATAAGATGGTTGAAGACTAAAAGATAGTAATGCTCTTATGGTTTCATGATCATTGATAAACCTCAACAATCTCAGGAGTGGCGTGGAGCTCTACTACCATCTGTGCGATTCTTTCACCGACCTTCACTTCATAATCAGTATCAGCATGGTTGAATAAGATCACGAATACTGGATCTTTATCCAAATCAACCACTCCAGCTCCAACTTGAAGGGAGTATCTCCATGCCCTACTCGATCTTCCAGCTGCAAACCAGAGCCACCAACTTTTCTTACGAAAAAAAAGAGGTAGGTACATTCATTCTAGACATAACTATATTGTGACAATGAAAAGAATTAGAGACATTAAGAAAGGGGAATCAGAAAAAAAGAAAAACACCGAAAGGAATATACCAATACGACCATAAGTTCCAGGCGGGAACTCTATACTTAAATCAGTAGGAACCTTAGCTTTACCTCGGGCTGGTACTACTGTATCTGCAGCACTGCACAAAACGAAAGATTAGATTTTAGATTATGATCGGGGAACGGTTTTTCCACAAAGTTACATTTGTGTTAAACCTACATGTTTTGAAGTAAAAAATATTGCTAATGTTTAGTTCAAACTTGAAACACAAGGACCTCACCTTTCTTTTCTGAACTTAATACATCCCTTTACTTATGAGAAAGTACTGTTAACTAAATAATGGCAACTTTTCATCTCTCTTTCCTAAGCCCAGAGCCGCTAGAAGAGGTAAATCGCAACACAACAGGTTCTTAGTGGAATTCGAAACTTCACATTATAACTGGAGCAAAACTTTAAGGTGATCGGTCAAACCAATCAAGATACATGGAAATTATAAACAAGGCCACAGAAAAGCCAGCATACATGTCTAATACACCATGTTATGTTTAAAAAAAAAAATAAAAAAATCCCCTTATTCCCCCTTTGTCAATGTTTCGAGGGATTAAGCATGAGATTGAAATTTTGGAGCAATTACAGAACTTTTTGATTCACTGACCACTTAAAGCTCAAACAACCCTTAATTAAGACATTCAACATTCATTCCAATGTTGGAAACACACTTGTTTTGGGCATTTCATCGAACAGCATGGGGGCACAGTCAATGCAGATGCATCATGCATTGGTGAATCCTGGGTCGGATCATGAGAATAGAAACAGAAGGAGGAAGGTTTACCTGAAAAGATCATACGCGGCGGACTGAGGAAACATTCTTTCGGGCAACATGGCCTTTTCAGAGAGTCTTGTCACTCTCAAAACCGGAATCCATTTCTTGATGGCTTCAGCTAGGTCCAACTGATGTTGCGTCGTCCCCACTGCCTCCTCCGGTTTGTTGGAGCTGTTTTCTTTGGCCATTGCTAAGAATTCTGTTGCTAAATGGAGTGAAAGAATGAAGAGTTTTTCCCTTTGAAATAACCCTTCTTACTATCTAACTGCTACCTACGACGACCTACGTACTATAATTCTCTACAATTTTTAGAGTTCATTTTCTGTACCCAATAAATAAATAATATTTTATTATCAAGCATCTTTGTTTCAGACTCTGACATTCCTTGAAAAGTTTAGGATCCAAATATGGTGGAAAATTAACTCTTTGAATTATAACATATACAAAAGTATAGAATAAATACTATTTATACAAGAGTCAATAGTACTTAAAAAAAAAAAAAAAAAAAAAAAAGTCTCATGAACCTCATTTATTTATTATCCATTTAAGTATTATATTGGTCATAAAATTTTGATAATAGTTAACACATTATTAGGCTTCATTACCTAAAATGAGACAACACAAATATTAGAAGCTCTTTTTTCAATATACTCAGGGTTTCCAAACACACCGTGACTAATCCTTTAACTGAATTGTAAACACCTCTTAGGCACCTCTTTTGGATGGGACACACCTCTTGTAGGCTCTATTCCCAAAGCTAATAATCGTACCCTTGACCTTTGGTTAAAAATGAATTAGCAAATAGGAAATAAACCTCAAGCCTAAGCCATGCTCTAATTAGAGATGCTCAAAATACTGAATCAACTATAACCCCTAGCCTTCTAAGCTAACAATGCGGGTTCGATTCCCACTACCCGCTATCTTTTATATCTATTCTATTTTATATATAGTTATAGTTTCTATTTCTATTAACTATTTAGATTTAACTATTTATATTCACATTAACTGCTTATAATAAATAATAAATAAATAAGAAAATGCCCATGGTAGAATTTCACAATTGAAGATAATATTGAAATAGAATTTCAGAATTTATATAAATCTAAAATGAAAATATGAAAATATATTCTATAAATATTTAGATTGCATAAATGTAAACGGGGTTCAATTCTTACCATGAACATTAAAAATTCAAATTTGACTCAACATAATATTTAGTATTTTTTACTTATTTTTTAATTTGATTTTGTGTTTAATAGTACTTTAAAGGTATTTTCGCCTCATTAACCGAACCAAACCAAAATTAGATTGATTCAATTTTCTATTTCACAAATCAAAATTGATTTATGAAGTTTAGACATTGTCAAGCAAATGCAGAAAGCATGGAGTGGTGAAATTTGAAAGACGAGAAAAGCAAAGTCATCTTAGGAAACATTTGCTGTCGGCAACAATGGCTGTCGGGCAGTTGAATTATTGGGAGCGCAGGCCACTTGTTGGAAGACGAGAAATTTGAAAAACAAACGCTAATTGAACTTTATTACATGAAATGGAAGTATGTATTACAATCATCATTACAACAAGAATCCTTTTGTCAATATTGCACTTTATTGTTCGTATAATTCTATGACTCTAGAGATGGTGCAGCTTCCGGACTGGCTATCCCTGTTCTGCAGCTAATTACCTTTCTTCTTGCCAGTTCCACTCTCCAATTCTCTGGTCAGATAACAATACAATACAGATTGATTTATGTTAAAGGGAATTACTTTTGAATAGCAGTGATGATGATGAATTCAAGAATTAGAGATGGCGGCACCTGGAATTGGATTGGATGGGAGGGGATTCTGGTTTGGCTTTGGAGTGAAGAGACATCTTGGCAATCTCAGTCACTGCAGCATCCCGGACAGCAGAGGAATCGCTCATCATATCCTCATACGCCGCCTCAAACGCTTCTTGCCAGAACTTTGGCAATCTTGCAGTTCTACTCTCTGTGTAGACATCCCACATATGCCTCACCACCTTCTCTCTTTCCTCCACTTCCTGCAGAAACCCAAAACACCAATCAGTTCAAGAAAATCTTTAACATATCAAGGGGAAAATGAAGAAATATACACATAATTCATTCATACCAAGAGATCAAGATCCTCATGGATGGCAGGAGAGTGAGGTTTTGCAGAAAGATGTTTCCAGTTCAGGCTGAGAGTGATGGAGCCAGTGAACATGGTCCAACCAGCTAGCAGAAGAATTGCAGCCAATACCCATAGCTTGTATTTGAAGCCTTCTTTCTTCTGAACACCATTAGTCTTTACTTGCGCCTCTTCGTCTCTCATCTCTTCATACAACAATCAAAGTACAGTGTCCTAAGTTGCCTGCTCAAAATTATTTGGAGGTGAAAGGGTTGATGTATAAGAGATTTACTACCGCTCATACACCGACGATGTAGTTGCCTCGGGACCACTGCTAATACATTCAAGGATCCCTTTTACATGGGGAAACTTCAGGCTTTAGGCTTATACAAACACAACAGCAACAAGAACAAAACAATTGATAGAAAGACACCTTTTTTATCATATCTGAAGCACAATATCAAAAAAGACATCAAATGCTGTTTCATTCATAATCTAAAAACAAAGGGACTTGATAGTTGATACTGTTCAAGTAAAAAGAAGATTTTCTAGAACATTTTAGGGAGTTACAAACTTGCAGTGTCACTATTTAATTCACCATATAATAAAGCCATAAATTCACAATAATGGAGAAGGCACACCGACAGATCACATGACAATCTATTCTGAATTGAGAGATGGTCATTTATTGGCAGATCACGTGAAAAGAATGTAACTTTCTATCATTCAACTCCAGTAGAAGAAATTGATGGTACCAAACATCACCATCACAAGTATATTGTATACAGTTAATCTAAGAATACAGTACAAGAATTAGAGCAAGATGGACACAGTAAAATCTTGATATACAACTGGGCTCAAATTTGTGTACTAAGAAGGTTTCCTGTTGTAACATCTATTTCATATTTGATCCATTATGTTGATGAATGGTCACAAGTCATCCGTGTAGTTATCAGCTCAAGAAACCCTTAGTTGCAACAACTCCAGCAGTCCAGCATTCTTGAAACTTCTGGTCCTGAGTTTTCCATAGGGATCACATGTTCTTACATATTAATTCATTATTAAACACTGCAAAATCCATTCACTTCAAAATGTTTATTGATACAGATCGTGAATCAGCTCAGAATTTGCTTATAATCAGAGACAAATTCATATGTCCAGACATAATTTAGCAAGTTCATCATTGAATTTCGGTGAAGTGAACCCAAAACTTAATTAAAAATGGACTCATATGTGAGATAAAAGTAACAAACACAAACTAAAAATACAAGTCCCTCAGAGCATTTCCATATAGGAAGAGTGCAGACATTCAACACGGCATCAGGTTCTGACCGCCCGTCTGCTTTTTCTCATCACTGAGAAATACTTTCAAGCCAATATCAAATGGCCAAGAACATAACTAATAACTAAATTAAAAAAAAAAAAAAACAAAACAAAAATTTAATCATAAAATGAGAAAGAAAAAAAAAAGGAAAAAAGAAAAATAACGACTTAATCAAGGCATCAGATAATAAGCGGAGTTTTGATCTACATCAAATTTCAGTGTGTAGGATAAGATTACTCGTCATTTGCCTTCTACCGATTGAATAACATCAAATTAACCAGTTAAAAACTGTTTTTACAGAAAAGAGAACAGTTTTAGCAGAAAACAGCAGTGAATATATCATATATCGCACAATCGAATCCAATATTCAAAGAAAAAAAAGGTTTGGCAATTGAATATGGGAAGGTCCATTTGACACCAGAGCAAAACAAAAATGCAATGGGCTGGTAAGCCAACCTATGTTCGATTTCTGCATCAGATGCATCTCCCTTACGCCATTGGAGACGCAAGGAGAGTGTAAATCCAATGCATTTTTTTTTCTAACAGCATATTCCCGCATGGAAAACAAATGCATAAAGATAACAAATTCTCCGAAAAAACAAACAAATTGAATGAAAACAGAGAGACGAGAAGCGTATCTACTTGGGCGGCCAGTAGCAATGTATAAATAGGATTTTGATAGAGGCTAGGGTTTCAACTTATTTGGATCAGCTGTAACATAGGCCCAGCAACTTATTTCCTTCTTTACTTCTTTTTTTTTTTTTTTAAAGTAAAATTACATTTTAAAATTAAAGTATTCCATATTTCAGTCATATATTTTTATTTTTAGATTACGAGAAAAATCTGTTGCAAGTAAAATGTACTCCGTAATAAAAAGATCTTGGGTAATGAGCACGATTGAAATATTACTAATAAAAATTAATTTAATGATACTTTGTATTTAAATACAAAAATACAAAAATCATGTTTTAATATTTTATTTTTTTAAATATAATTCAATAATCTAAAAGCCAAACTAATAGAAGTTGTATAAGACTTAAAAATGTAATGTCCGTGATAAAGTAAAATATGATTGTAGTACGATTGTATTATTCTTCATATGTATAAAGGCAAGTTACAAGAATCAGCTAACCGGACGGGTTGCCTTTGTTACTTGACATACAGGCCTTAGTGATGAAGTCTGGTAAACGTGACAGTGAGTTTCCGAGCTCTAGATTGTTGCTTTGGTAAACAACTAAAAATCCCATCTAACGGCATTAAATGCAGTATTTATAGCGGTTCAAGGAACAACTACCGGTCCTTCGACATGTTGGCCGCGTTACGGGCACACGGCTATGCATCGGGGTCAGAAATCGGTCTGGTCGAAAGGAACCACGTGTCGATAGATTCCTGAATAAACGTAAGATCAATCAATCTTCCGCAGCAGTCCGGCAATGACCTAGCAAGGTCGGGAGAAGGCGATGCTCCGTTTAGGACAGTATATCTCTCGAGGGAGCTCGGTGAACTTGTGTGATCGAGAAAATTAACTAATCGGTCCAGAATTGACCGATTTAGGCTAAGTGTAACTTGTGTTTACAAGACCGGTCAACAACATGACGTAAATCGCGAGAAATAATTCCTATCAGTTAGAAATCATTTCGAGACAAAATTAAGGACACAATGTTAGCGCATTCAATTCCATTTTATAAATAACAAAAATTATATAGTCACTATTTAAAATTACATACTGATTATGTCTATCTTATTTAATAATGTGCAAGACTTAATATAACAAACTGGATAAAGAAAATAAGAACTAAACTAGTAACTTTTGAAATCATGCTTTGCGGGCATTAGCATCCAATTCATTGTTCACCATGCTCATTGCCCATCTCAATATCCGCAGGGGGCAAAAAGCTCTCCATACACAAACCACAAATGTTAAAATCGATCTCTTCAAGCTTCCATACCTCCTCAATCTTGAGCCTATTGCTCCTGTTATTCCCATACCTGTAAATCGTTGCAGCCGTCTTCCCAGCATGCGCGATGTTCACACCTTCCACGTATTTGTAGTCTTCAAGCGATGATTCCATGCTTGTTTCCCAGAACACAAACTCGTTATCTCCCTTGCCTGTCTTCATCTTCACCAACTTTGTGTCGCGGAATTGGATTAGCAGCCCTGTTCTTTGGCTAAAACTTCCCCAGATGGTGTGGTGAACCACTTTTATGTTGGGTGTAGTTTGTGCGTCCAGAATTTCCGCCCCCGTCTCCAGCTTCAGGACGAAACACTCTTCTCCCTCCACGCCCTTTTCTCCAATACAGGCACCATTCAAGAACAAATTCGCGGTTGATCTGGGGTCTAACCCCTATACATACATCGTGCGTTTAACGTGTTTGTTATAATGCCTCACAGACAAATGAGCGGGATTTTTAGTGTTACCTGGAAGAACATTCTGAGAGGCCTTGGAGGGCCTCTGGAGACATTAGAGTTGGAAGAAGATTGGGTCCAAGCAACCTTGCCATCACTGCCGGCACTGATCTTGTGACCTGAGATGACCAATTCTAGGAACCACAAATCAGGGTTCTTCTGCCACAGCACAAATCCTCCGACCTCGAGGTTGGGCGTAGAGTTGAAAATGTCGCTCTGGTTCATACACGAGGTTGTCATCTTCACCTCCCCCACCGCATACATGCTGTTCATGGAATTTAGAGCAGCATTGCCCCCTGTTGCAGCTACATATTGTTGCACTATATACTTCGCTGTTGAAGCCTCCTGTTTAATTCATTAGCGCATTCTATATTTCCATTTCTAATTCAACATATATACGAACAGGGAAAAAGATACATACAAGGGAACAGTCTCTGACAGGCATGGAGATAGCGTGGTCGGATTGAACATTGAAAGGGATGAGCGCGGAGCCAACGATCTTAAGCAGGAAAAGAACATGTTCGTTGCAAGATAGAGGCAAAGAATTGTCAGCATATTGTGCTGCCCTTATGCAATTCCGGAGGTTGCGCCACCCTTGGGTGGTGGCGCTGTTGTTGTTGCTGCTGCCGCTGCCGCCTATCTCGTCAAACATTTCATCCGGTACCGGAACCTCAAGCACCGTGTCCAGGCCATCTTCGTTGCCCAAATTTGGACACAGTTTTCTCATAGGAAGAGGAGAGAGGGTAGGGGGTTGCAATGATGGGAGGAAGAATCAAGAATGGTTGAATTGGGGAGAAAAGAAATTGTAGGAAGATGTATGCATGGACGCATGGTGACTAAGGCCTAAGGTGTTCCTTGTTTATAGGGATAAGCTAATATGTTTCTCTTTTTTAAAATAAATAAATAAATAAAAAGGTTTAAGGGAAATGAAATGAATATCAGTAAGCAATGGATTAAAACTGCAGTAAGCGAATGTATAAAATGTATTCCATGTACACTCAAGAGGTATGTTTACGGTACAACACATTCAAACAACAAACTCAGGCAGCAGTGCTCATAAACCATAAACCTTTGGCACCTAAACATGAACTGAGAAAGTTATTTGATCAGTTACACTACAAGAATGGAATGGGCGTAAGACAAGAATTGTCCTAATGATAACGAAAGTGAAATGCCTGCAAGCTTCAGCATCTCCGATTCCTTTGCTTTGCTCAAGCAATGAATTAGACAGATGAACAAGTATCAAGAATGTCCGAAGTTTTGATACCTTCGCAAGTGTACTTTAGCATTCTTGTTTTTCACCACAAGGCGGCATTGGAGAGGTTACAGCATCATCAAAGTAGTTCACGCTGCAGAGCATGCCACCAGCTTCATCCGCAAAAGTTATTTTTCTTTCCTTTTGGGCAGTGCCACTAGAAGAAGGGCCACAATTTTGATTCAGTTTCCGCATTTCCTGTGGCATTAAAATAAGATTAAATGCTAAAAATGTACTGAACAATAAAGACAGGCACTTGTGTCAGTGTGTGAGCAGAAATTAAAATAGAGTTTAATTTTTATTGACCAATTGTAGGAAACAATACAAACCATGATTTTACAAAAGCGGGTGCAGTCCCTTGTCATCAAGGACAGCCACTTCTTTGCTGTTTCTTCAACTTTCTTTGTGTTATTTAATGCGTTCCTCACCTGCATTGACACAAGATTGTATTCAAGATTAAAAAAGATACTACTAGTGCATTTCCATCTTGGATTAAATACAAATGTGGCACAGCAGCACTTCTGAACTTTAAATGGACTATACATTATCCAAACTTGTACCACAAAGATAAGATAGGATATCAGGCAATTCATTAATCTAGTTATGGAATAAAATGTGAAATATGTCAATGGTAACATACCTCATCCGCTTCGTTTTTCAAGTAAGCATTACGATATGCTTCAAAGAGCAACTTTTCTTCCACCATCTCTTTCATAGACTTCAACTCATCCATGAGCTTCATTGTAAGAGACTCAAAGTCATGCATCTGCCGTTGTGAAAATGCTATAGCACTTTCAGAACAGCTGTCAATAGAGGTGCACCCTGTGCTAAATTGAGGTAGAGATCGAGAAAATTGGGGATTGTCTGAATTGCTTTTATTTGGGGAACCTTTTTGGCTAATAATCTTCAATCGTTTAGCAATGTCCTTGCGCTTTATGATAACTTTTGGTTGGCGAACTGGAGGAGATAATTCAGAATTTTCATCTTTGCCACAGCTGACAACACCTGTCCCAACCAGGAGTTTTTCTTTGCATTCTGAAACAAATTTGTGCAAAGAAATACTGATCAGTGTGCTTGAGAGCAAATTGAAATTGATTTATTCTTAGAAATTAAATGTATGAAGCAATGAGTCAATTTGCATCACATAAAAGAAATCATGGATAGTGGAAGATTTTAATACTGATTAAAATGGATAACAAATTGAATTGATTTAGAAATGTTTGCTCTAATAGCAACTTGAAAATTATTTATTCTTAGAGACGAGTCAATAGCAGAAATCATGGACAGATGGAACACTTTAATAATTTAGAAGAAATGGAGTGCTCAAAATACAGTACAAGTGACCGTGACTTACTGTAATTTTCTGCCTCATCAAACGAATCTGCAGAGGTCATTGCCTGACAAAGTCCTGCTTGGGAAGATGGGGAAATAGCCTAAAAAAAAGCAACACGGTTGTGAGCTAACTTCAAAAATACAAACAAAGTCAATATCCATAGTGTATAGAGGGACCTAACCTTTCGCATAGAAGGAAACCTCTCAGGAGTTTGTTGCAGCTCTGATGTTGATACCAGACTTGCAACATTTGAATATTGACTTTTCATAGTAGAACTTTTTTCTTCAACCGTGCATGGAGACTTCTTTCCATCCACCTTTGATGACTCAGATTGTAGTGCATCATGATTCAAACAACTATTTGTTGTATCAGCAGAGGAATAGTTTGAAAGTTGATTTAAGGAAGAGGGGCTGGCTTTTACAGATATTAAATCATCATAAGTGCTTGAGTTAATATCGGAACCCCCAGATGAGAAAATATTCTCAAGAGGTCTAGTTGTAGAAACATTTTGCTCAGTTGAACAAAATTCTTCCTTGGTTTCATCTTCAGGCATGTAAATATCACCTGCGTGATGAATATCAGCAGAATCAACTTTACCAGTTATTGTTGCATCAGAAATGCAGGATTCAAAATTGCAGCTGTTTTGCCCTGAAATCACATGCTGATTCAAATGCAAGTCCAAATTTTTGTCCCTAGAAGGTAATACTATTTCCAGATGGCCTCCATGAGGATGTGGCTCAACACATTCCATGTTATCATTGAGAGTACAACATTGCTGTTCTTCAGCAAACAACATAGGCCCATTTCCCTGAACTTCAATGGTTTCAGGAACTTCAGTAGATATCAATCCACTGCAGCTGAATTCTTCATGACAGTTAATGGAAGAGCAATCAGTAAAAGAATTTGTGCTTTGATTGGCAGAAAACTCAGGCTTCTGAACCTGAGCTTCGAGTTCAGCCAACGACAGCAAATCCACATCTGATAACACAGGTACTTCTGAGGGGAAACTTGCGAGAGAACTTGTGCTTGGGAAGTTAGAGAACTCGTGCTCAGTAACTTCAGCTTTGACAGTTGTAAGTGAAGCTGAATCCCCTTCGAATCGCACAGTAACATCAGAATCCATAATTTGTTCTGTTTTGACTGAGATAGAGGTCTTAGAACAAGGAAACATGCTGCTGTTGGTGCACTTTCTCTTAGCTTTTGAGTTCTTTGAGAATTTTGATTTAAAAACTCTGAGAGGGACCTTGAGATCTTCATCTTCCTCTTGCTGAGAATTAACATCTTCCTGTTCTGGACTTGCATCACAAAGACTTGGAAGTTTCCTTTTCTTGGATTTGCATCTCTCCTTGAGTTGTTTCAGTGTCATCTTTGCAAAAATATAGTCATTTGAGTCACTGTCATCATCTTTATCATCACTGCCACAGCAAACAATTTCATTAATTTCAGTGTCAATCTCCCTTAATGTTCTATCTGCAACTGGCAGTGATTGGCTTTCACCCTTGACACTGGTAATGCCACACACTGAATCGGCATACTTTTCTGGGGAATTGAGAGAAGTAAAGGCTTTAGATCCTTTAGTATCTTTGGTTTCATATATGTCCTTCAGTGCTTTGAAAGCAAGAGCAGGTTTGCCATGGGAGTTCACATTGCACACTTTTACCACCAACCCATCCCTTATAGTTTTTATAAAGCACAAATTACTGCATCTCCTTAGCTCCATTCTCTAACCAGTTTAACTATTGCTCAGTTGCACACACTGCTATATCAGGAGAAGTGTGGCATCAAAAATTCCAATTTATTCACCTCTGACCCAATGAAAACAAGTAATCCCAGAACCTGAAGTGAATATAAATATTAGGGTTACTATGCCCTGTACTGGAAATCTATAGAACAAACAAAGACAGCAACATTTGATAAATTATAAACATAGTTCATTTCAACTCAGAAGCAGCTGAGGAATCCCAATAAACATGTTACCAAACAGACAGAAGTGCAACATTTTACTTAACACAGTTGATTTTACTCTAGAATGGAAGAACAAGCAACATAAAATCCACATGGAGTAATAGAATAACCAAACACTCAGCAGTCAAGTTAAAATGAAAAAAAAAAAAAAAAAAAAGTGCTGTAAACCATGGCAAATGTAAACTACCGAATATTATAACCCTGACCTTCCTATTTTAATCATGTACAGGAATTTCAAGAAAACCACAGAAAGTCAACATAAATTACTCTTTTGAAAGGGGTAATTAAGCAGAAAACACTGTCCTTTTTTATTTGGCCACCTGAAGTTATTTAAGCATTGAGTGTGAAACTGGAAACTGCAAGGAAATCAAATGACACTCTTTAACACAGCAAACACATATTTTATTTCTTCAGTTTACAACTATAGATCTAGAAGCTTTACCAACATATGCATATAGAAATTAGATTCACTTGGTCAGTAAGCGGGGATTTCAATGTTATTTCCAGACCGGTGAGTGGACTGACTTACACAGTGCATATCTGATTACCGTCCGAATCGTTGTGGTTCTAAAAGCAATCAGTTCACTTGCAAATTTTATAAGATGTCGGATACAATGTATCAAATTTCATGCGTTTATGCTTCAAAATCAAATAACAAAAGCACGCAAAAGGTATAACACTATGAACAAAACCCTAAATCACTACGCAGTCGAATTGAATCTATTGAAAGACAATTGTACCTTCCAAAAGCAAACACCAAGGTAAGCTAAGAAACCAAAGCCTGAATATCACAGATCTGTCTGAAAAACACGCGATTGATTGAACTCCACTGCTCTCTGACCTGTATTCGCGAGGATTTGGAGGACACTATAAGCAAAGAGCCAGCGAGCTCGAGCTATATGCAGAAGAGAAACTCGCGCCAACTATTCGGCGGGAACTAGGGCTTATATTTCAAGGAGGAAACTTTAAAAAATTCATTGTGTACCTTTACTCTTTTGGCCATTATAATAGGGATAATTTCACTTCGACCCCTTCATATTTATGTCAGTTACAAAACACCCCCTCCCACTTTTATTTTAGTAAGGAAAACTTCTATCTTATTTCTTTTCTCTCTTTTTTTTTAGTCAAAAAGAAAGCACAATCACTACCGTATAGTATTTGTGGGATCAACATTATTTTACATAGGATAATTAATTTGATAAATTTGCAATAGAAAAACTTTGTGTGATAATTGATAGGATGTTGACAATAATCAAAATAAAATAAAATAAAAATTGCTACCCATGTTTTTTTTTAAGGATCATATAACACATGCTATATTATTTATTTATTTTTTAAGAAAGGTGAAAGTTCAAAGTAAGCTTTGGAACGGCATTATTCTCTATCGAAGGAAGGTTTTTTGGCTGCCACCAATGGTCAATTACGTTGTCCCAAGGACCCCTATTCAGCTGAAGTTATGGCTTGTCATGATGGCCTCTCTTGGTTGAAAGAGCAATAGATAACTAGTGTTCGGGTTGAATTTTATTGTGCAAACGCCATCAAAAAGTCTCACCAAAATGAGGAAGGATATGTCTTATTATGGAGTATGGACACACTTTGAAACATTGTTTCAGACTATTAGCTAGCTTCGATACTATTAGTTTTTATCATATTAGAATGTCAGCGAATTTGGTTGCCCATATAACGCTAAGGTTGTGAGCACTCAATATGGCCCTAAGAGTTGGAAAAATATTTCACTAGACTTTATTATACCCTCGTAATAATATTTTGTTAGTTTTTGGTTTAACAAAAAAAAAATAATAATAATAATAATTTTACCTTTTTTTTTTCTTTTTTTTTTGGTATGACAAGTCAACACACGTCACTACTCTATAATATGCACTAAATATGTTAATAAATCCTGCGATATGTGATAGTCTGGAAAATGTTTTTAAAAAGATGTAAATCATATTGCATAATAAATTCGGGTATAATCCTCATGACATCTATATAGTAAAGTATGGATCGTTATGCTGTGCATCCGTATGCACCATGCATGGTGCATATGAATGCAAAAACGACGTCGTTTTATTAAAAACGCGCATCCCACTTAAAAAAAAAAAAACCAGTTTGGATTCCCCTTAACAGTATTATGTTGTTCATTCATTCTGAAATTTTAGTTCATAGACTCTGAAATTTTAGTTTATAGATTCTGGAATTTTTATTCATTGATTACAGATATTTAGACGTGAATCAAAACAGATTTTTTTTCATTCATGCTGGATATTTAGTTCATTCATTATGAATATTTAGTTCATTCATTATGAATTTTTAGTTTATTAATTCTGAAATTTTAGTTCATAGATTCTGAAATTTTAGTTCATTGATTTTAGAATTTTAGTTCAAATTATGCACAATATAATGTTGTTGCTGGAAATTGAAACTGATTTTTTTTAAGTGATACGCGCGTTTTTAATAAAACGACCTCATTTTTACATCCGTATGCACCATGCATGATGAAGATGCACAACATAATTTGCCGTAAAGTATTTATATCACATTTCAAAATGGGCAAGAGACAGCGGTCACTGACTCACCGCACAGCAGACATTGCTTGCTTGTGACACAACTCTGTCTCTGTCTATATTCTATTGCCCTAAATCCTATTCTCATTGTTCCAACACAAAAAATCTGTGTATATATAGTAGCCTGCTACTCGAGTCAGCCAAAAACGACATAATCCGACAACTAAAGTCAAGATCCGCGATTCCACCACCGCATTAGCGCAAAAGAGGTAGCTCTGACTGAACCAAGCAGCTGATCATCTCCGATGGCAGCCCATCAACAAGGCAAGTCTTTTATGTTCTATCTGATTATAACATGCAATTTGCTGCGCATCTGTTGGGTCTGCGCATCGGAGGCGCCGATTGTGATTGAGAAAGAGCGTACAAACGAGGAGAGATACAAATTAAGCGATGGTTTGGATGTATTAAACAGACACCAAAAACAGCTGGAGAAGCTTGAGGAGTTGGTGAAAGATCTTAGTGAATTGGTGGGTAGGTTAGAATCAAGAATCTCCCACTCCCAGTCCCCGAAAGGTGAAAGAGTGGATTCTAAGAAACCCAGTATTGGAAGGGAGGAATTGGGAAGAAAGAAGATGAAAAGTGATGAGCTTTCGGGGAAATTAAGGGAGGAAGGAGGGTTGGGGAAGAAGGGTGGGGCAGTGTCGGTTACAAAGTACACTGCTTTTTGGTCGGAGAGGTTTCAGTTTATGTCTGCCGTGAGATTGGAATCGGTTGCTACTTGCATTAACGTGTTGCCGTTTAGAGATTTTGAGGGGTTAAGCAAGTATGTTGCGGTTGGGGATGCAGAAGGGTGGGTGTTTGTGTTTTCAAGAAATGGAGATGTGGTGGTTAAGTTCAACACTTTGACAGATGCACCAATCACAGCTCTTACTTCATGGTTATCACATTACAGGAATGAAAGCTTTGTGGTTACTGGCCATCACAATGGGGCTCTTCTAAGGCATAGAGTGTGGGAGGTTGTGCAGAACGGAGATGAATGGGGTTCTCTGTCCATGGAAAATGTTGGGGAGTTAGCTTTACCAGAAACCGGGGAGGGTGCAGAAGGTATAGCTAGTTTGGAAGTGCATCATCTGGGGCGGAATAGGTTTGTCCTGTCAACAGATGTTAGCGGGAGGGTTAGAGTGTACTTGGAGAATGGGACGGTTTATGGATTGGCAGTGCCAAGAAGCAGGCCACTCGCGTTCTTGAAACAAAGGCTGTTGTTTCTGACAGAGACGGGTGCAGGGTCGTTGGACTTGAGGACGATGAGGATTAGGGAGTCTGAATGTGAGGGTTTAAACAGGTCTCTGGTTAAAAGCTATGTTTTTGATGCAGCTGAAAGATCAAAAGCATATGGGTTTACGTCGGATGGTGATTTGATTCATGTGTTGCTTTTAGGTGATATAATGAATTTCAAGTGCAGGCTGAGATCTAGGAAAAAGCTGGACACCACGGATGAGCCTCTGGCGTTTCAGGCAATCAAAGGGTATTTGCTCGTAGCTAACCGACATAAGGTTTGGCTGTATAATGTATCATCTCACCATTATGTTAGGTCTGCAGGGCCAAGGCTGGTGTTCTCTGCAGGCCTGGATGAGATCACTGCATTATTTCTCAATCACAATTCAACAGATTCAAACGAGGAGAGAACGACGGTTCCTCTTATAGCCAGTGACCGCGAAAAGCTTGTTATAATTGGTCTGGGGAGTGGGTATATTGGGATGTATCGTCCCAACCTTCCAGTTTTCAAGAATGAATTCAATACCATGCTATGGACAAGCCCTGTATTGTTGTTTATCCTCTTCCTACTTGGCGCCTGGCAGTTTTTCGCCTATAAAAAAGAAGCGTTTACCTCTTGGAGTCCAGACGATCCCTTCTTGTCCACATCAATTGCAGGTGAAGCATCATTAGGAGCCAGTCAGGGCGATGACGAAACTTTCTCAGTCCCAGATTCTTCAAGGAATACAGGTTTTATAGATCCAAGAAACAGTGATCTAAGAGGTCCTGCAGGTAGGTATGTCTCTCCAGCGACTCCCTTTATGTCTGCCACTTCTGAAACAAGTGCTAGACCATCTTTGATTGATTCCAATTTCATAACAGCTTCGCAGTTGAAATATAGGGGGTCAAATTTAGAAACCACTGCCTTTCCAAACAGGAGAGATAGCTTGTTTATAAACAGTCAAGTCGTGGACGATACCAATACTGTTAGATCAGAGCTGTGAATAAGTATGCACTGTAGTAGGAATAAAGGACTAGTTTTCTGTATCTTTTCACCTTTTTTTTTGGCTGTCCAAGTAATTACATGTAACAATCATGAAACCAATTTTCTACAGACTTAGTAGGGAATTACAAAACGATGTTTCTTGAAATAAATTGAATCATGAAAATTTCATTCAAAGCAACAGGGAGAATGTAGTGTAAGGGCGCCAATTTGCAGAACAAAAAATACATCCGCTATGAAGTTTGTTGAAAGTAGAGAATACAGACAACGCTACTGCAAGAGACTTGGGATGATTAGGGACGCCCTAAAGGGAGAGTTCCAATCAACAACAATCCGCAATATGGTTGAGCAATTATATGGGAATAGGTAGGCCCTTCTTTGCCATGCTATCAAGAACATCATTAAGAGATTGACACAATCCCACAATCTGCACAAATTTACAGAGGAAAGATTAGGGAAAGAATGCAATTATTTCCCATCAATCACTTTCTTTGCATGTAGAATATTAATACTAAAAGTGCAATGCAGGATCCTATAATAGGTATATTCTTGTATTCTCCTGAGGGTTTTTTAACCATAATGGTATAATTGAAATTCAAATGGCTATTTTGAGATGGAGGGACTAAATAGTTCACCTGTTGATCCCATTGTTGCAATTCCTCAGTATCATCCTCAAAATGTATAACAGCTTCAACCTGAACCCCAATATTAATAAATCAATTTTATCACAAAACACGTAATACATCAGAATGAGGTTGGACACTTCATTGCCCATTATGGACTGCATATAATGTAAGTTAACCTTGATTCAAACATATATTTTCCATAAGAAAAGTTCAGCAGTATCCTAGATGACTGGACTTTTAGCATCTATAATACAGTTAATACACAATAGCACTTTTAGCAATAATATTCCAATTAGATAATAATGTTTACCTGATCAATAGACCCTCTCATTCTATCTTCATAGATCATTCTTGATGCTATTTTCTCAGCCTGCAAAGGATGGAACATATTAACATGCTGAGTAAGATTATGAGCTTAATGCATCCAACATTCCAACTACCATGGTGTGTAATGTTTATGAGAGCAGAAAATCACAGTTGAATCACAATGAGCATAAATTTAAAATTTAGGATGAGAAAAAATGATTGTTTTTCTTTCTAGATTTACATTCAAATACTTGGGGATGTTTGGTTCATGGAAAATGTTTTCCAAACCTTGAAGTGAAGGAAAATGTTATTTTCTAGTGTTTGGTTCATGGAATTCATTTTCCATTGGAAAATGAATTCCTCAAATTTGAGGAAAACAAAATCCTTGGTTGGACCAAGGATTTTGTTTTCCATGGAATATGGGAAGAAAAAGTGAATAGATTGCCTATTTTACCCTTGCTTTCTTTTTTAATTATATTACTTTTATTAATTTGTAGGGGCATATAGGTCTTTATACTCATTATTCCTTACAATTCCAAATCTAACCAAACAATAGAATTAGTATTCCCGGTAATTCTTTTTCCACCAACCAAACAATGAAATTCATCTTCCTAGTAATTGTTTTTCCATGGAATTCCAATTCCACTTCCCTTAAAATATTTTCCGCGAACCAAACGAGCTCTTAATGTCAGGCTGCCGGCCATTATAAAGTTAAAACCATTTTTCAAAAGTAGTTTCTTAAATGCTACCCAATCATGTCACAGGAATATAATGACCAACATCATAGGAAAATTCTAGAGACAAATTTCTTTAGCAGAGCATCTTATCTGAAAAGGTAAAATAAGAGACCATGAGGATTGAGCTTGGCCTCCTCCATTGTAAACAAACTTGAAACATCTAACTACAAGCCAAGTAATGATGTTCTATAATTTAACAGAACTGTTTGAAGATAGTGACTAGTGTGGTACCTTTTGAGGAGGAATTCCCAACAGTGTGCCCAACTCATCAAAGCTGCCCAATAGATGAACAAGGACAAAGTTATTAGCAACATCCAAAGAGAAGTAACAAAGCAATAATAGGGAAACTGGAAACAACAAAGGGGAAATCTAAAAAATAATAGTATTATCCCTTTGACTCTTACCTTATATTTGTATAAAGTTTGCTAGCACTCAGTAGGTTATGCTCAATCATAGCACGATCCAGAACAGTAAAGTTATCTGGCAGAAGTGCTTGCTGTTGTAACAATTAGGTTACGAATTAGATTTTATGCACTTGAAATCATATAAATATAAATATTAATAGTAATTAAACCAAATAAAAGGAAACCTGGTGTGGTTTTAGTTCTTCAGCAAAAGCATCAATTTCAGGTTTTCTCAGAATTCTCTCTAGATAGACCTGAAAAGTGAAAAATGCATATTATGGCAACCAAGACTATTCTTGTGCTCCACTGACATGCTGAATACACGAATATACCAGTATTACTTAAGCAAATATTTCACTGGGATGAACAGTTTGAGTGTGTAGGAGGTAAAGCAGAATGTGGAATTTACGGAATTATGGAATCAAAACAAGCAGGAGCATACCTTCTGCAAGATTGGATAAATTTTCAACTTTGAGCAGCGCTCATCCTGAGGAATGATAAAGAAAAAATTAGCCAGATTCCAGAATGTTACAAAATAAAATCCATGTACCAGTCCAAAAATGATGTTCTTAGCACTCAATGCAGGGTTTCAAAAAATATAATGCATGGATTAGAGGAATGATAAAGAAAAAATTAGCCAGATTCCAGAATGTTACAAAATAAATTCCATGTACCAGTCCAAAAATGATGTTCATAGCACTCGATGCAGGGTTTCAAAAAATAGAATGCATGGATTCAGGTGACTGCATGAAGACTAGAAACATGCAATTAGTAACACAAGTTAGGACTGAGTGCAGCAGTACTGCATCATGAAGGATCTATAGAAGAAGATACACACAACCTTTATTCAAGCTACAATATGAAGAAAGTTCCAAACAAAACTAAGTTCTAGTTTTAGCACAAGATTATTTGCCTACCTAACATATAAGAAACATAATGCTTTAAGAATACAGAAAATAAATAAATAAAGTTAATGGTTTTGTGTTTACTTTATACAATGTGGCAAGTACACGGGAACGTTGAGGGCCAGCTGCAGCCAAAATTGTGCATGTGACAGCAGCAGCTAGAGCTTGCTCAAGAGCAGCTTCATCAATTTCTCTGTCATAAGAAAAGATCAATCAGGAAACATAGAAAAAATGCTTTCAGATTACAATTATTTATTTATCTACTAAGATAAGAAACCCACTCATCTCCAATTTGTCGCTTCTCAATCTGTGAGATGTCATAATAACGCAAAGCAGCTTCCAAAAATTTCCTCTTCAAATCTAATATCCTAGCATAGCATACCTGGTAATGACAAAGCATTTGCAATGTTTCAACAAATTGATGACAAATCCAAATGAATAAGAAATAGTTTCTCTGGAATAAGGACCTTGTACTGCAAATTCAATACTTCATTTTTACTGTTGCTAACTAAAAAAGATGCCTTGTTTATAAAAGCTTCAGCATTGACAGCATCATCATCCTGGCAAACAAGAATCCGTGAGCATTAGAAATTTGGAACTCAAGAAAATGTATGATGATGAAATATAAACGACCATCACACAACTGCATCTGCATGTTTTCTTTGCTATTGTTCCATAAACTGATATAATTATTCCTAACTTCTTATCAATGGGAATTTGATAGATGAATTTAAATCCCCAACCCTCCTGGTGTATTCTCAGAAGAGGCCATGGAGTACATATTTAAGGGAAAAGAGCAAGAAAAAAATACCTCAAGATATAAACGTGCAATTTGGACACATTTTGAAAGCCTGAAATTGTCATCAACAACTCTAGAAGCAAACATAAACATAAATATTAGGGTCCCAATTCTGAAAAAATTTAATAATAAAAATTCAAAGATAAAATCCTGGCACAAACCTCATTCCAGATTCTAGATCAATGCCACTGAGCATCTGGGCTGCTTTAGACCACTGTTGTTCGGACTCATACAGTTCTGCTAGTTTCTCTCTAATAATCAACACCTAAATCCAGCAAACCTATTTTAGCAGCACTTTACAATAGAGAAACCAACAGGTGCAACAACAACCAAAAAAAAAATGCAGAAAAGCAGAAGATAACTTGTTCATGAAAAAATGAAGACAATGAATAAGATACCACTTACTATGCTCCTAACAAGTTGAGTGTGAGCAAATAGTTTCTGAGAGTTCACTTTGTAGCTATCAGCTATACAAATCAAACCACATTTTTTGCACATTACCAATTTCTCTAAATTACAAACTTTTACAGTCCATCAAATTCAATAAAATAAACACACAATTATGGTGGACAGTAGCAGCAACAAAACACCAAACCATCAACTATACATCCACATAATGAGTTGCATTTGACAAAAGGTTTCTACTACATGTACTCAGTGAGTATACAATAACAAATATAGCTATAATTAATGCGTCATTGGAAATTTTTTAAATGAAACTGAATAATATGCAATTACTGATGAGGAGTATAAGAATTACTGACAGTACTAATAAAAATGATAGCTATAATTAATGCCTCTTTGGAAATTGTTTAAATGAAACAGCGTATCTAAAAGCTAACCTGCTCTTCAAAGGAAACAACTCTAGGCTGAATCTGGTTGAGTGTATAATGTGCAATTTCCTTCTGAAACTCCGGCTCCAACTTCCCCAGTTCCTGTGCAAACGTATGTACAAGCTGACGCGATACCACCAGCGGGACATCATCGGATAGCACTGCAAAGTCAAATTAATTTGCAGGAGGTATAAATTAACTTTCCAAAATTTTAGACCACCAAAAAATAAAAGCTTAAAATAGTGAGTATAGTGAATGTAACTGTGATCAATGAAGCGCTTGGCCTGTACGATGTCATTTGAGGCAAGCACGGTGGAGAGAATGTGCTTGTACTGTTCGATTTTCTGACGCTGGTCGCTGATCGCTGAGGCACTAGCGAATGCACTATCCATTTTAGGTTTTAGTTCACCCGGTCTGAATTTGAGCCCTAATTTCCAGCGGTGACGACGATTCTTCTTCCACCGGACTCGATTGCGACTTACGTAAAGCTCTTGGGGATCATATAGTGCATACAACAATTGATAGAATCGTTGTCGATGAAGATTCGATTATGAAAATTTCACTCCTTATAAATGTGAAAAAAATATGAAAGTTAAGAACATTTTTTTTTTTGAAAAGGCATAAGTGATTGTATTTCATCATTGTGATGGGCGGGGTAGAAGTGGGCGATTTATTGGGCTTGCAACTTCAGCCCAACTATCCGCAACTTGTATTCTCTTTCTTCTTTTTAATCTTCTATACTTATTCGGCCCAACTTTACTTATACAAAACATAAAAGGAAAAAGTGTCAAATTGGCCCCCGAAGTCGAGTGGATAGTGCAATTGGATCCCCTAAATGAAAAAAGTTTCATTTAAGCCCCTAAATCTGTAAAATTGTTCAATTAAGTTCAAGTTAACTTATTTATCAGGTTAAATGTATACGGTGTTGACACGTGTTCTTGTTTTATTGTTGACACGTCCTATAGCATACTTATACACAAATAAATCAAATCATAAGAATTTGTGGTGTCCACTAAATAACGATTTAAGTGGCTAATGAAAAGGTTGCTCATACTTATGCATCCGTGAGGCCTGAGCGTTTTCGAATGCAAGGAGTCGTCTAACCGAACACAAAGGTACCATCAACACCCCCCCCCCCCCCCCCCCCCCGGATTGTTGTTGTTGCAATAAAGACGCTCGCATAACTATATGTATAACTCTATATCAAGAGAAGAAATTGAAAATTCAACGATCTTGAGTAGATTGTGACCAGGGACGGAGGTAAGTGTATGTTTAGGGGGGCCTTGGCCCCCCTCCCCCACCCCAAAATTTTTTAATATTATATATGTATTAAATTTTTTTAAAAAAATATTATATAGAATTTTAAAATTTTGTTGTTTTTTCAAAATATTTGGCCCCCCTCCACTTAATTAATCTTACAGGTAAAGTTATAAATTTTTTCATCTTCTCAACTTTTTCAGTTCTCTCCTATTTCAAATTATGTATTCCATATATTGTTGACTCACATTCAAATTAAATTTCATTTAACCTACTTACTAGTTTCTCTGCGTAGAACCATGCATATATGCGGCATATACGTTATAATAAGATAATTTGTCATTAACAAAATCTATGCATATTTTTCAAGTTATTTTTTATTTTTTATTTTTTATTTTTATTTATAACTACTTGTTTGGTTAATTTTTGTTTCATATTCTATTGTTTATCTTAAATAATTGTTTTGTTTGATTCTAAATCATGGATATCAAGTGCATTTGTTTGATTAATTATGTAAATTTGTGGTTGTGTGATAAATTTTGTATTTAATTTAAAATGCATAATAATGTAACAATTGTGTAGTATATGTATTTGAGAAAACAATTGCTATTATGTTATGTTGTGAAGAGGGTTTTTCAAGAAATAATCAATAGTCTTTTAAAACATGCGTGAATGTTTTCATTCTTTCAACCGTACAATGCAAAGTAATGTGCATTGAAAAGCATATTGCAAAATAATTTAATATAGATTCAATTATAAATAATTTATTATAAACTTTATTGAATTTGTAATGTAATAATTATTTTGAGATATGTTAACGAGATATCAATGTATTTAATTTAGTACTTCAATCGTAGTTCGGCCCCCCGCATTGTTCCGTCCTGGCTCCGTCCTTGATTGTGACGAAAATAGATCTAAACGAATTTGGTCAAATCCCGTGCAAGGTACGTGTATATAGCATATATGAAAAAAAAATAAGTGAGAATGTGATGTTTCGAGGAAGATAAGACACGATGTGCAAGAATCGGAGATGAACAAGCTTAATTAGTAGACCTAAAACAAAAATTCTAGCTTAAAGAAAAAAACCCCAAAACATTTTTGGGTTCAATTTGATAAAAATAGAAAATTAGATGGGTTTGAAAAAGAACTTGTTGAGATTGCTAGAATCCGCAATTGCAACAAGGTTTTTTTGTTTTTTTTTTTTAATGAAATTTAATTTGGTAGATTTGAAATTTCTTAAATATTTTAAAAATTTTGTTGAACACAGACCACAGTTAAAATTCTGGCATCATTTCTAATCTAGAGTTGTATGTCTCAGGTTATAAATGCCGGCTGCAAGTCGTCGATCTGGGATGATCAACATCTCCAAAGTAATGGTGTGGTGGAAAGCTTTAATACTTGCTTGCTACCTAATAAGAGAGATAAATCGCATTAGAAAAATTCTATGCAAGGGACTTGATCAAGAGAATGTTAGCAAGAATTGAACTCGTGACTTTTCAGTTAGTTTAACAGCTCTTCAGTTTTCAGCTCCGAGCTTATAGCTTTTTAGCTTTCAGCTTTTAGCTTATAACTTTTCAGCTAAAGTTTGCCAAACAGAGCTTTTGAGTAAAGTTTAAGGGCCTATTTTTTCTAATCTTCTACATATTAAATATTTGTATTGATTTTTTTTTTTTTTTTTAAACAAACCAAGCACTAAATATATTAAGAAACCATAACGTTTATACACAAGGGGACAAAAATAAAAAGATGAATAGAGTCAAAACACTCAATTCCGTCCTCCCCTACATTCCGAAGCGCATTGAATGTTCAACTAAATATTTGTGGATTATGATCAAGGGACAAAAAAAAAAAAAAAAAAAACGTATCATTAAATACAGCTGGTTTCCAGTATTTTGAAAAATACAACAAGTTTCAAGTTCCCTTTTTAGTCCACGTGAATGAATCCGCATTCTCACTATTTGACACCAATTTTGTCCTTTCACCCCCCCCCCTCCCCCCCCCCCACCATCCTTATTCTTCCGCCGCACACGACGGCGGAGTGGCATTCCTGTTATTTCCCCCAAATCCGTGCCCCTCATCGAAGCCCTTCAAAGTGTAACGTATGCTGGTTTTGCTATCTGCTCGACACCAAGGGTAAAGCCATGCAAGTTTTTCCCCTGATTTCCCGTAAAGCCCTTACATCAGCAAAGACCACCTCGGACAGGTGTCTTTTAAGGTCCACGATCATGCAACGTGGACGGCCGGATGCTGCCACGTCCGTACCTTGGAAATTAAACGAAGGAGCGCAGCTGAAATGGAGTCACCTTGAGTCACTAACCGGGGTTGATGGTTAAAGGCTTCGGCTTTAACCCAACTGTGGTTAGTCTCTCTATATAAAGCCTCGTCTCTTTCAAACTCTCCATCCTCACTATCCCAGCTATCTCAGATATATCAACATAGCAGACATATAAACACTCCTCCAGTTCTCAGTTCTATGCTGAGATTAGATTGTTCTAGCTTCTTTCAGTTCACCATCAACTAACTTTTCAGTCAGAGAAAACAAGAAAACAATAGCTCCCAACACCTTACGAGGAAGCGTTTTTCCTGCTCCAAAAAGAGTTTCTTACTTTTCTGTTCTTTGGGTTTTCTCAAACTTTTACTGTGCTTATCTTCTACAAAAAAAAAAAAAAAAAAAAAAAAAAAAAAAAAAAAAAGAAGCTAGCTTCTTGGTTCTCAAAGAATTTTTTTTTTTTTTGGCTGAGTTCATAGTAAATATATACAATTTTTTTTGTAACCTTGTGGTCTAGTGGCACGAAGTGACTCTCCAGACGGTATTGACTCTTTGTGTTTATAGAGTCAGTAGTACTCAAACAAAAACAAAAATAGCATTTTAAGGTTTGAAATTTTGTATTTTCTTGGAATAAACAGGTAAAAAGGTGGGAATGGAGGATCCAAGACAAATGACTACCGTTTTACCTGGAGAAGAATCTGCTCAGCTTAGTGAGCAGACGGTGAAACCTAAGAGGAAGAGAAGCACGCCGGGAATGCCTGGTAAGTTCAATCATACATCATTTTTTTTTGTTTGTTTGGAGGAATTAATGAAATATAATATGTGTGGTTTATTATAGATGCAGAGGTGGAGGTGATAGCATTGTCGCCGAAGTCGCTGCTAGAAACGAACAGGTACGTGTGCGACGTGTGCGGCAAGGGGTTCCAGAGGGAGCAAAATCTGCAGCTCCACCGCCGCGGCCACAACCTGCCGTGGAAGCTGAAGCAGCGGGGACCGGAGGAGGTGGTTAAGAGGAGGGTGTACGTGTGCCCGGAGACGACGTGCTCGCGTCACCACCCGTCCAAAGCTCTGGGGGATCTCTCCGGCATCAAAAAACACTTCTGCAGAAAACACGGACATCGGACATTCAAGTGCGAGAAATGCAACAAAATGTACGCTGTCCAGTGCGACTGGAAAGCCCACATGAAAACATGTGGCACCCGCGACTACATTTGTGACTGTGGAGCGTTATTCGCTAGGTATATAAATTCTCATTATTCATTGATTAATTTTAATTTCAAATTTTCAATAATAAAGATAATAAATAATTCTTGGTGCCATTTTTCATTGATGCAGGAAGGACAGCTTCATAGCGCACAAGAGGGTATGTTATGCGTCTCAGGCATTGACGGTGACGGCGCCGTCAGCGAGTCCCCCGCCGCAACCTCCAACGCCGTCAATGGCGGTGCTGTCTCCAACCCTCTCCCTCCACTCCATTCAGAGCTTTGGTGAGGGAATTGAATTTAAAAAAAAAAAAAAAAACGTTGAAAGCTTTACGAGTTGACTCACTCAATCACTTATAGAACAAAAAAATACTGAGTTTTCACTGTTTTCTTGATTAATTCAAGAAATCTTATTGGTTTCAGAGTTGCCAGAGGATAGGGTGATGGGCGGAGCCAATTATAAGGAGAGAACCCAGGCGCCCTCTTCATCTTTTGGTCTTGTTATTGGGGATAACGGTGAGGAGGATTTCAGTAGCGTTTTCCGGCTGTCGTTGCGGTCAGGGAATGAAGAGGAAGCAACGCCGGCCTGCGCCGCCATTATGGAGCGGCCGGTGCCTCTTTTGCTATCAACTCCTCCACCTGTCTATCACGCAAGCAATCCGCCGGTGCTGTCAGCGACGGCATTGCTTCAGAAGGCAGCGGAAATGGGCTCGTCGTTTTCCAGTGGCGGCTCATTCTTTGCAGGCTACGGGCTGACCATGCCTGCCACACCCGCACAGTGGGGCATGCATGCAAATGCTCCTGAGCTTGCGCTTGAGCTCGCCCTCCGGCCTGCCAGTGCGGCGGCCACTGCCTTCGCAGGCTCCGTCTTCAGCAGCCACCGCCAAACGCTTGATTTTCTCGGCAGCAATCTTCCAACACTCGACTTTCTCGGAGAGGCCAACCAATCTTCTTCTTCCTCGCTGCTGAGCTCAACGAGTTATGCAACCCAGTTTGGCATGGCTTCATCATCTTCATTTGGTGGAGCCCTGGGTGACCCGTGGGACGGCCATGCAGACAAGAACTGAAGCCTATCTCGGTTCCTCTAACAATCTGCTGTCATCACCTCTAACAATCTGCTGTCATCACCTCCAGCCTATTGGGTCGAGTGGCGTCAATATTAATCTGAAAAAAATACTAATTAAGAATAAAGTATTTAATACTTATCAAATAAAATGTAATACTTTTAAATCAAAAAGTAAAAGTATTATATTTATATATATATAATTAATAAGTTAAACATTTCATTTTGACCTGTCTCGTCTTACTGATAAGGATTTGTGAGACGGTGGCAAATTGAGTCGAGTCAATATTAAAATGTAATGCTTGTACTGAAAAATGTAATACTAATTAAGAATAAAGTATTTAATATTTATCAAATAAAATGTAATACTTTAAATCAAAATGTAAAAAAGTATTATATATTTTTATATATAATTAATAAGTTAAACATTTCATCTTGACCCGTCTCGTCTTACTGATAAGGATTCGTGAGATGGTATCACACAAGTTTTTACTTCCCACGAGTGCTTACTGTATTGCAAGGAAACCCATTACGGTATCACACAACTTAAGAGAAGAACATGACATTTCCCATTTCCTTTTTGAGTGTTATATTGCATAATTTAATGAATTAATTCAGCTTAATCACACAAGGCATTTAAGAGTAATGTTATCTATCCCCCTCCGATCCAATCCCCTATATATCCTTAGATGACATTTTTAATTAGACAATTAACTTTCTTTTTAACTAATGATTGGATCATTTAAGCCATAACTCATAAGCACTAATGATTTTAAGTTATATCATGAGAGGAAATATTAGGAAACAAATTTTGAGGAGAAAATATCATTATCCTAATCTTAATTCCTGTAATTCATGGTTGCTTTGCGTGATGAACTGCATGAATATGGATGCATTAATGAGTGTCATTCAGTGGACAGCTTGGAAGTCAAAGATGCTTGCAGGATTGAATGTAGCATTTTTTAAAGCTTGTTAAAGAATATGCCAAGTGTGATCTCAATTAATAAATAAATTATATATATATATATATATATATATATATATATATATATATATATTTTACATTGAAATTTTTATTAATTACAATATTTCAAATTTTAAAGATTATAAGAATTTACTAAAGAAAACAAGTGAACATTAATTTACTCAATTAATAATAAAGACACTTAAATCTCAAATTCAAATATTCTTTTTGAAAGATAAATCCTAGCTAAGTTAAAATATGGTAATTGGCTAGTATCATACTCCGCCTCTAATGAATTTTTATGGGGCAAGTGGACATAAGAAACCCAAACTCAATCCCTTTTTGCATTAAACTTCCTTAGTTCAAAACTTATTTCATCTTTAAATTAATTTGTAATTCATACTTAAATGCGCATACAACTATAAATAAAGTAGTATTTATTCATTTTAAAATAGAGTTAATTACCGATTTGGTCTCTCGACTATGAGGATTTCACAAATTTGGTCATCGACTATCAAAAGTTTTCAATTTAGTCCCCCGATTATGCTTCTTTTACACGAAATGGTCCTCAGTTTAATTTTCTGGTCAAACTACAAGGGTAAATTTGGAATTTTAAAAAATCATCTCCAACCCTTTGCCGGAAAAATTTCTCCACTATTTGCCACCAAACGCCATACCCAGAGAAGGAAAAATTCTCCATCCCTCATGAAGAACATAATGTCCAAGTCTCCCCAAACTATTTCCCATGAGGACTCACCGGAAAAGGCCCAAGGGAAAACATTCCAAATCCAGCCACCAACTCCCCTCACTGTGAAAAATAGAAAGCCATAAAAGGAAGACCATGGTATCGTCAAGTGTTCTACGTACCATCGGAATCCACACAGCGACCGGAGACGCACAACTTTCAGCGGGTTAGCAACAGAAAGAGACCCACACACCATGTCGCCTGAGAAAAACTCTCCGGTGAACTTGAGGAAGACAACTATCTTACTAACCATAATACCCTCCACTCCATCTCTTATTCTTCATGACCTTCATCTCCATTGCCTTCTCCGAAGATGCCGCTGTCATGTCCAAGCTCCTCGCCGCCCTCTCTCCGGCTCCTTTCGGCTGGTCCTCGCACCATTCTTCACTTGGACCAACGTGAACTACGACAAACATGTCTACCGGCAACGACGTCTCCATCAACCTCGACTCTAAGTCCATCTCCAGCACCCTCCCTTCGACATCACCCAACTTTCTAATCTACAAACTATTTCTGTCCAGAAAAACTCCCTCATCGGAACCTTGTCGTCGTTCGCCAACATGTCAAACCTCCAGGAGCTCTACCTGGACAACAACCAGTTCAGCTCAGTTCCCCCAAGATTTCCTCTTCGGTCTACCCAAGTTGCAGACTTTCAGCATCTGAAAATGGAAATCTAGGCCCTTGGCAAATCCGTACTTACTTGACTGAAGATGATTTTTTAAAATTTCAAATTTACCCTTGTAGTTTGACCAGAAAATTAAACTGAGGACCATTTCGTGTAAAGGAAGCATAGTCGGGGGACTAAATTGAAAACTTTTGATAATCGAAGACCAAATTGGTGAAATCCTCATAGTCGAGGGATCAAATCGGTAAGAGAAAATTTAATTTTGGTTCACTGTCTATTGGAGTTGTTTTAATTGTAACACTTGACTTTCAAAAATGTTAATTTAGTACCTTGACTATGCAATTTCTATCAATTTTGGTCACGCCGGCCAAATTGTCGGCCAAATCTCACCGGAAAAATTTAATAGATCAAATAACGAGGATATTTTAGTCATTTCACTCACCACCCCTTTCTTCTCCGATGAGCTTCTATCTATTTCCGGCGAGAATTTCTTCTCCCATAAGATTATTTCCATTTCCAATAAGAAATCGAACCTGTAACAAGGTTTATCAACTAATAATATAAATCAACAATAATATTGTGTATGTTGTGCACTCCCAATTTCAAAACGTCGCATATAAATCAAATCCAAAGACCTCTTTCTGTATTCCTTCTGCATCGACGACCTGAAATTATTGAGGGCAATTGAAATTATTGGTTGACCAATTGACCAGCTCTACCTGATTCGGCGACAAAAAGAGCCCAACAAATATTTTGCAAAACAGAGCATGTTCGTGTGTAGTGCTAGTATATATCTTCTTTCGACGACAAAAAGATGAGTAGGAGCGGTTGAAGGATTCATGGAGACCTTCGATTGCGGCGCGTAATTCGCGAAGAAGAGGCAGTATTCGTTGGGGAATGTGATCGGATAGGGTTTAGGGTTTGGCCGGTAATGTGATGTGATCGGAAGCTCATCGGAGAAGAAATGGGTGAGATTTGGCCGGCGTGACTAAAATTGATAGAAATTGCATAGTCAAGGTACTAAATTAACATTTTTGAAAGTCAAGTGTTGCAATTAAAACAACTCCAATAATCAGTGGATCAAAATTGAAATTTTCTCAATCGGTAATTAACTCTTTTAAAATATGCTCAACTAAAAATATGTTAACCAAATTGAACTCATGATTTTAGGTACGATATTCATTATAATACTACTAGTTTAATTTTTATTTTTTTACATCGAATAGGAAGGGGTATACCTCAAGAGGAAAATTCGTTCCTGTCACTATGATCCCAGCTGACCAAGCCCAACAAAAATGTTTAATGCCCCTCGTACTTAGCGTAGTTGTTCTTATATGACTTAATATCACAAGTGAAGGTACCAATGTGAGGGAAAAAAGGTTTAGATAATGAAAGGTGTGTATTGGATCTATGTGCACACATAATCAAATTAGAGTCTAACTGGTGAGCTGATTGTTCGATATAAGGTCCTATAAGTTTAAAATTAGTATGCCCATATTGTAATCACCTACTAGGACTATGTGGTCTAATGGTACCCGGATTGGACTTTCATTTGGAAGATTATGAGTTCGAGCCTCAGTGAAAGCGTTGTCATGAAAATATATGAACACATATTACAATGTAATAGAACCAGTAACTTTCAAAAAAAAAAAAATTGTAATCACCTAAATACTTGTTTGTTATTAAATTATAGGAAATAAAAGGCAGAGCTGCAATAAATCAGTTTTCAACGCTGCGAATCGGATCACGCACGCACTGGGCCCCTCCGTTTCCATCATCGTCTTCTTCCATGAAAACGAAACCAAACCTTCTTTCCATCATCACTGTGCTGTTCACGTTTTCACCATGGATTTGACGGCGATCACGCTCGTGTCGCTGCTACTATTCCTCCTCTTCTTCATCACCAAGTCCATTTACTCCCTCCTGTGGGTCCCGCTAAGCATTCAGCGTCACTTCAGGAGGCAAGGTATAGGCGGCCCCGCCTACCGTCCAATCTACGGAAACACGGCGGAGTCCCGGCGGAAGATGATCGCCGACGCGGAGGCAAAGCCGATCTCTTCCATTAACCACGATGTACTTCACCGGGTGGCTCCGCACTACTACAACTGGTCAACGATCTACGGGAAGAACTTCCTGTATTGGTTCGGGCCGGTCCCCAGGCTGGCAGTTGCTGAACCGGGCTTAGTCAAACAGATCTTGCTAAACACTGATGGGTCGTTTGAGAAGACTAAGTTCAACCCTCTCTCTAAGCTGCTGCTGGGAGAGGGCCTTGTTGGGCTTTCCGGCGACAAGTGGGCTCTCCACCGTAGGATCACTACCCGGGCATTTAATTTGGAATATGTTAAGGTATTTTTTTTTTAGAAAAAATATTATGTATACTCTCAATTTTTCAAGCTCAATAAAATAATTAATGTACCAACTAGGACAAAGTTCTAAGTTTAAAATCGATCTATTGACATTGTAAGTTTGTGTTCTTTTGTCACCTAAAGTTAGAATGCTAACTTCACTTAGAGTGCACTAATTATGTCTTTTTTGTAAATCAAGGAATTAATGTAACAAATCTGGGTCTGATTTAGTTTATACTAGTGTTGCAAAAATCGCGCTTAGGCGCTAGGTGGTCAGTCTTCTAGGCGCTCTAGGTGTTCTAGGCTGTCCCCAGGTGCCTAGAGGGACCTAGCTATTTTTTCAACATTGGTATATACTAATGGATCGTTCATTATATTATATAAACAGGGGTGGGTTCCAGAAATGGTAGCTACTACGAGGGAGTTATTAGAGAAGTGGGAAGAAGAAAGAGGAGAAAGAAATGAGTTTGAGGTTGAGATGCACAGGGAAATGCATAACCTCTCAGCTGAAGTGATTTCCAGAACAGCTTTTGGGAGCAGTTTTGAAGAGGGGAAACGCATATTTGAGCTCCAAGAACTGCAGGTGAACCTGGTTTTGCAGGCGATCCGAAGCGTGTATATCCCGGGGTTCAGATTCTTGCCTACCAGGAAGAACAGGACGAGGTGGAAACTGGAGAATGAAACTCGAGAAGCAATAAGGAGGCTGATTAGGAAAACTTCAGAGAATGGAAATAGTCTGCTTTCGCTGTTGATGTCCCCGTATAAGAATCAGGATGGTGAAGATGAGAGATTGGATACAGAGGAGATAATAAACGAGTGCAAAACATTCTATTTTGCAGGAAAAGAAACAACTGCAAATGTTTTGACCTGGGCTTTCCTGCTTCTGGCTTTACATCAAGAATGGCAGGAAAAAGCTAGAGAAGAAGTTGCCCAGACCTGCAGAAATAAGCCACCCACTGCAGAAAATTTACCAGATTTCAAAACTGTAAGTATGATCATAAATGAGAGTCTGAGACTTTATCCACCGGCAGTGATGTTGATGAGGCAAACGTCCAAGAATGTTAAGCTAGGGATGTTAGAGATTCCTGCAAACACACAGTTTTACTTGGCTATGATTGCCATCCATCACGACCCAGAAATATGGGGGGAAGATTCACACGAATTCAACCCGATGAGATTTGCAGAGTCGTCGTCTCAGAAGCATCCTGCTTCTTTGTTTCCATTTGGTTTAGGTCCCAGAATCTGCGTTGGCCAAAACCTTGCTCTCGTGGAGGCTAAGATTGTCCTGGCCATGATCATCCAACGCTACTCTTTTGTTGTTTCTCCGTCGTATGTTCATGCCCCCATGCAGTCCATGACCTTGCAGCCTCAGTATGGCGCACAAATCCTCTTTACTAGGTTGTCAATTTGAGGATAGACTTCCTTCAAAACTTCACTGTTGCCCTATGTTACTAAAACTTATATTTAATTATAATTGTATAATCACTCTGGTTTGCTGAAATTATCTTATTGGACCTTTTTTATTTTGAAAGGAAAGACTAGAACTTTATTAAATCAAGTGTACGAGACAAATAGGAACGGGAGAAAATCACACAGAGGGATCAGTTTGAGAACGAGCAGCTCTAGTTAAAGCCTGGGCAAGCTTATTCACTGATCTATAAATGAAACTAACTGACACTACTTCAAAGTGTCTTCGAAAATCCTTGCATTCATTGATAACGCAGCCGGCATTGATAAGTCCACTGGAGATCCATTAAAAAGATTACACACCGTCTGACAGTCAGATAGCACCCTTATCCGCTTATAACCTTCATATTTTGCTCAAGACAATGCTTCTTATTGGACTTTGATTAACCAAAACATAATATTTATCCCCAAATTGTAAACTACAGTAGAAATATATAATATTAAGAAGATCTTAAATTATTAGGTAAACATAATATTTACCCCCAAATTGTAAATTACAATAGAAGTATATCATATTAGGAAGATCTTAAATTATTAGGTAAACTATAAACCATAACTTACAAATTGCATATAAAAAGTTAATCATACTAAAAACTTTGTGCAACAAGTACAATTGAGAAATTTTTTATATAAATTAAATTCATCCACAAAAATTACGATTCTTACTCCAATTGGTAGGACTTAATTTAGATCTGACAAAAAATGGAATTATTAACAAAATATTGAGGTTGGTGGCGAGTACTCAATCGTAGGTGGTTCCACGAGTTGTCGAGATCCACGAGATTGGGTGGACGATGGCACGTAAATGGCAGTCCCACAAAACTGGACGAAATTTTATTTTAAGGATAATGATAAAACAGTAAAACCGACATAACTTTGCAGGGAATGACTAAATTATCCTCAGCAGTATCCTTTTCGGAAGGGCAGTATGGTCACGAAAGAAGAACATTCCAGCTTCTATTTTGACTATGAGCAACTATTTACGGGTTTACCCGTTCCATGATTTGATTGGATATGATTGAAAAGTCAAACTTCCCCCAAATTTTTAGGGTTTGAGGGAGATTAGCTCAAAGCTCCCAGAACTTTCACCTGATCAGTTTTTCTGCCCGGTGTTACCCACACCTGGACTTCGCCGTCTCTACGATCAACACCATCGTTCCGCCATAGCTATCGAGCGAGAGAGCTATTGCTTTGGCGGGAAAAAAGGGCGGCAGGCTCGTCGGTTGCCGCTAACCGACGATCGAGAGATTCGTGATAGTGAATCGACGAACTCAATACTTTGGCTTTGATTATTGGCGTTCTCTTTTGATCTCTTTCTTCATTCGCAAAGGTGCTCCATTTTTATAGGTTTCATTTCTTGGTTTCTTGGTTGTTATTATAAAATATAAACCAGTGATTTTAACGGCCCTTTCATTTTTTTTTTCTTTTTCTTTTAAATAGATTTGGTGTTGAACTTAATCAGTTTTGTAATTTGGATATTTATTTACTGTTTTCGTTTTTTCGAATTTATATGAATTATTTATTTCCCTTTTATTAAAAATGCTTTTGGATTGCTTGAAGGTGTGGTTACTTGGTTTGACCACGCTCGTCCTTTCTCCAGGGCCTATTGAACCAGAACTACAGATATATAATGATCAGAAAATATATTAATTTCGTTATGTCATGTTTGGGATGAAGAGAACTTGATTTGATATTTTCAAAAAAAAAAAAAAAAAAGAACTTGATTTGATAGGCCATTTTTTTTTCTTAAATAAATATTTATTGAATTGTTGAGGCATTCCCAATGCATGTCCGAATACTTCTGTTTGAAAATTTAAGATTTTGTTGTTATGAATATGAATTCTGTGTCTATCTTGTGTTGCCTATTAATCTATTATGCTATACATACAGGTGTCTGGATTTCGTAATTTGAGGTGTATTAGTGCAGGCTGTTCAGCAAACTGATTTTCTACTGGTCAGTAAATGTAGTTAGAGTTATGATATCTTCTTTTGCTTGTTGGGTTGGTGGTTCTGTTTCCATGTGTCCACATATAGTTGGGTGCAAAGGAACCTATATTTTTTGAAGAGCCAATATGCCGTTTAAAAACCTGTTGATAGTACGGAGTGCAAAAAAGCATGGATTTGAAAGATTGATTTTTGGCTGTCAAAGTGGGTGTCAGGAGTCGGTGGAGATTTTGGTTGCTCAGGGTAGATTGTTGTTATCAGGCCATTCAAAGCTGTTCCATTCACTGCCATCTGCATCACTTGCTGGTGTGCATGATTTTGTTCGACCTGGAACTTTAGCTGCTGCTCAGGCGAATCTACATACAGTTAATCGAAGGAAGAATCTTTCAGTTGTTGGCGCATTTTCTCGTGCAATTTCTATTCCATCAGTGTCAGGGCCTGCATTCCAGGTCTGTGGCTATCACATTGATCAATTGATATCCGATCCGACTAAGCTTTCTTCAGGCATTGAATCTCAGAACACACCAATGGCTGCTTGTGGTTCTGGATCTTCTCTTGTGGACTGTTCATTACGTAAAATTTCCTCCAGGCACCTTCAACCTGGTGTATCGGGGAATAATGCTATTTTTAACAGCAATAGAAGTTTCGAGAATTGTAGGAAAGCTAGCATGAGTCTGAGGAGTAAAAATCAGCCCAATTCCTTTTTGCTGTATGGATATTTTACATATATTGTTGCAAAGAGAAGCGGCAGTGTCAATCCACATGAAGGATTTGGATCGAATAGGTTCAACAAATCATCACCTGCATGTTTCTCTACTGGCACTGCTCCTGATGTGTCCTTTGATAACTCTGTGCACAGGGGGCAATTTGAAAATTCAGCAGACTCTTCAGAAGGGTATTTTGTTTTAGCTTTACCCCTTTTACTTTTTGGGAACTAAAACAATTTTTTTTGCCATTATTAGCTTTCCTCGTGCAAATAGGAATTTACCCAGAAATGAGCATTAAAAGTTCCTACACATGATAAAGTTGTACATCACTTGGAGTGTTTTTTAGTTTGTTTAATCTGTTAATTGGTGCCAATTACAGGAAGATCCACATTGGCAGGAACCTGAAGCTTAATTCTGGATCGTGTTACTTACCTCATCCCGACAAAGAAGAGACTGGTGGAGAGGATGCTCACTTCATTTGTGGTGATGAACAAGCAATTGGTGTTGCTGATGGTGTTGGTGGATGGGCTGATGTTGGTGTTGATTCTGGGCAGTACGCACGAGAGCTAATGTCTTACTCTGCTACAGCAGTTCGGGAGGAACCAAAGGGTTCCATAGACCCTGCCAGGGTCTTGGAGAAAGCTTACATGTGTACAAAAGCAAAAGGTTCTTCAACTGCTTGTATCATTGCCCTTACAGATCAGGTATGTACCCTGAGTTATCAACAAACAAAATCTTGTCTTTTGGTGCAAGTATGAGATTCTAGCAATTACAGGGAAAATGAAGTCATCCTTCTGTTCCTTGAATCAAAAGGACTGTTTTAGAGGGTGATAATTAGAATGTCATATCATTTTAAAACAAATGTTTGGTTGAAGTCTTTCTTGATTTCCCTGTTTACAGCAGGGTCTCCATGCCATCAATTTAGGCGATAGTGGATTCATGGTGGTGAGGGATGGATGTACTGTTTTCAGATCTCCTTCTCAGCAGCATGATTTCAATTTCACATATCAATTAGAATGTGGCAACGCTGGTGATCTCCCGAGCTCTGGACAGGTCAGTTAATGCCTCCCAGTACTTCATACAAACATGTCTGCAATGAACCAGAGACCTCGGTGCCTTCCCACACAATTTAGTTCTCTGTTAAGACTAATTATTTTGTATTCTATAGGTGTTCAAAGTTCCAGTTGCTCGAGGAGATGTCATAATTGCTGGTACAGATGGCCTCTTTGACAATCTCTATAACAGCGATATTACTGCAGTTGTGGTTCATGCTACAAGAGCTGGCTTAGGGCCACAGGTGACTGCTCAGAAGATAGCAGCATTGGCACGTCAGCGAGCACAGGATAAAAACAGGCAGACACCTTTCTCTACCGCAGCCCAAGAAGCCGGATTTCGTTATTATGGTGGCAAGCTGGATGACATTACCGTAGTAGTTTCTTATATTACCAGCGAGAACAATGTACGAGTTCTCTCTCTTATCCCATACCAATCTCTGTGTGTATTCTGTCATTTTAACCACTCGAGACGCATAGGTCCTTTAGCCGCTGAATTTCATTACTGTTCTTTGATTTGCAGGAAAACTCGTCGGCATCACACAGATCCAGCTAGCAGTTCCCTTCCATCTGATGTGGGAAGCCAATGTTCCTTTTTAGCATTAAATCCAACTTTTGCAGTCTTTTTCACAATTCAGCAGCAGTGAAAACTGAAAACCTTAAAAAGTGTCTATATATGTGGGTGCTGATGATGATGAAATTGCAGTCTCTTGTACATACACACTAGTTTTGGCAGTCTTTATTCCATTCTTGCCCCTCATTTTGTCTCCCATCTTCTCCTTTTCTTGGGTAGCAATGGTGGGGGGTAGTATTAGCAAGCAGAATATGTCTTTGTTTGATATTTTGTAGTACCAAAGATCAAGAACTGAGAACTTCCATGGTTCCATGCATGATTGATTAATGATTTATCAAAAAGCTTCTTTCTTTATAAATTTTCAGCCTCCTTATTAAAGACCCTTCTGGGTTTCTGGTAATCTCCAACTTTGCAATATTTTCTTCATTTCAGATTTAGATTTTCAGATAACCATTCTGTAATTATTTCATATATATATATATATATATATATATATATATATATATATATATAATGTGATTAAAAAAGAATCATTATCTGAGAGTGTATTGTGTAAATATAATCTGGTAATCCTGGTTGGTAAATGGTTATAAAGAGATAAAATCATACAGAGATAAACTGCCTTAAATTGTTTATAATTAATTGAATTAAATAAAAAGACTAATAAATTACTGAAAATTGAACTTCTAATTTTGCGATGGTTAGGTGAGCCCCATTCCATGCGCCCATAAAAACATTTCTATAATCTGCAATTTGCACAGAGGCTAATAGTCAACGATTGTTCCACGTCATCGGCTGTGATTTTATAATCGAAATCTAAATGTTGTCGCGAACAATCATCGGTTGTTACATCCTTAAACGACAACCAGAAATGCGTTGCGTGTTCCGCGGAACACAAGATCGCAACTCACTACGCCAGCGACTCGTACCTGCTCTATGCCTCTATACACGAGACCACGACGGTGCCACTCCCAGCACAAAAACGAAGACTTTTAATCTTAAATCTTAAATACGAGTGATATATATATAATAAATACGATCGGGACAGAGCTTTTAGAACCAAAAGTCAAGAACGTATTCAAGTTTGGATTTTTATTTCCTTCTTTGCAAAGTGGAGTAATCTTCACTTCATGGTCTAGAAAGATTTTTTCCTGTCTTTGGGAGAAATAAGAGAGGAAAGTTTTCTTGTAAGAGAGGAGGAAACATGGCTGGTCGGAGAGAGAAATCCGGCCAATCTACACGCGGATCTCGAATCGGGGCCGCGATAGCTTTCGGAGTTCTGATGGGTTGCGTCTTCGCTTTCCTCTACCCTAATGGATTCTTCTCATCCAATCCGCCGCAGACCCAGACTCGCAAACTCTCCAAATTGAATCTTCAGGTCTGTGTTCATGGATTATTATATTACCAGTAATGTATTCATTTTCTCGTTGATATGCATCATTGGTTGACTCTAGTGCATGCTGTTTCCGTTAGAAATTTAGTTCATCTTACTGAATTTTTCTTATGTGTTGATTCCGGATAAGCTGTCTGATTCACGAGCTCTCTGCGATGGCGTTTTTGAAATCTAGGTTAATATTTAAAAAAAAAATGAATAAATTATAGGGTTTAGTTTCCTGGGACGATGTTTATCCATTTCTATTCGAGCTGATTTTTGAAGATCTGTTCAAGCAATTTCTTGTGAAGTGAGTTTGATAGGTATATGACCATCTGTATTGATAGTTACGTTAAGAAAGTTTCTGGAATTGTAAGGAAGAACATCATCCACTTCTGCCTGAATAAAAAATGTGGTGTCATGCATTTTAGATTTGAATGAAACGTGGGTCGGTAAACCACAATGTTACAAGTTCGACTCCAGTGGGAGTGGCCTATTGTCCTTCTTGGTTTGAGTCAGTCAACTAAGGGCAACCAGGTTGGTTGTTCTTTGCCGGTTAGGGTCACAAGGCGGGGTTTACCTGGTGCACACCCTGTGTAGTGGCTGCGGGTTTCCCTCGTCACTCAAAAAAGTGAATTAGTAATCTGATGCTGATATAATTGATGTCATGGTCGAGTGTATGGTTCTTAACTTTTCATTTTCCTCCTAGGGCGACTCTTCCTCGTGTGAATCTTCTGAGCGGGTAAACATGTTGAAATCGGAGATCATGAAGTTGTCTGACAGGAATGGTGAGTTGCAGAAGCAGGTGCGGGGGCTAACTGAAAAGCTACGGCTAGCGGAGCAGCAAAAGGGTAATGTAGAGCAGCAAATTGTGGTGTTGGATAAACCGCAAAAAGCTGGGCCTTTTGGTACTGTCAAGAGTCTGAGAACTAATCCTCTTGTCATTCCTGATGAATCTGTGAATCCGAGACTGGCTAAGATATTGGCGGAGGTTGCTATTGGGAAAGAGATCATAGTTGCACTGGCTAATTCAAATGTGAAGGCCATGCTGGAGGTCTGGTTTACGAGCATTAAAAAAGTTGGAATCCCCAATTACCTGGTTGTGGCGTTAGACAACACTATTGTGAACTTTTGCAAGGAAAATGAGGTGCCTTTCTACAAGAGGGACCCGGATGAGGCCGTCGATTCTGTTGGAAAAAGTGGAGGTAACCATGCTGTGTCTGGATTGAAGTTCCGAATCTTGCGAGAGTTTTTGCAGCTTGGGTATAGTGTCCTCCTTTCAGACGTTGACATTGTCTATTTACAGAATCCCTTTGATCATTTATATCGGGATTCGGATGTGGAGTCCATGAGTGATGGCCACAATAATATGACAGCTTATGGATACAATGATGTCTTTGATGAACCTGCAATGGGTTGGGCCCGCTACGCTCATACAATGCGGATATGGGTTTATAATTCCGGTTTCTTTTATATAAGGTCAACGATTCCTTCAATTGAACTCTTGGATCGAGTTGCTGACAGGCTTGCTCGGCAGCCAAACTCCTGGGACCAGGCAGTTTTTAACGAAGAACTCTACTACCCATCACATCCTGGTTACATCGGACTTCATGCTTCTAGGAGAACCATGGATATATACCTCTTTATGAATAGCAAGGTCTTGTTCAAGACTGTGAGAAAAGATACTAATCTCAAAAAGCTGAAGCCGGTTATAGTTCACGTAAATTACCACCCGGATAAACTTCCTAGAATGCAAGCAGTCGTCGAGTTCTACGTTGATGGGAAGCAAAACGCTCTCGATTCATTCCCCGACGGTTCTGAATGGTAAAATGATGGAGCTTTTGCTGATTTTTCCCAGACAAGTTTTCTTTTATTTGCCAATTCTCTCTTCATAAAGATAGCTTGCACGAGTGTCTTTCTGTGCTCATGTGTATTATTGACTTTCCCTACATTAATCTATATTTTGCTTCTATGTCCAAATTGTCTCCTTGTAACTTGTAAGAGTACATTTTAGTTTAATACAGATAGAACAGCCTTTTGTTGTTTTCAATCCATACCCGATTTTCTTCTCGTTTTAATGCATCTGTTCAACAAGTGCCATAACTGAAATCCTTTATAGCAGAGAATAGAATGTTGTACATTTGTGTTACAAGAAACTGCATTTAGCCAAGAACACAAAGATGCCATTGTATTCGACTCAGATAGGCGAGGATAATCCATCAGCTTTCATTATGGAAAAGTATTTGGATGGGGCGATTGCGCCTGCCTTAACACATATATCTATAACGGCTGGAGAATGTCCATAGTAGTTGCGACCTTCATCCACGAGTACTGGAGGATCTTGGGGTCTCTGGTACCAGACTCTCTTTGCAGGAACCAAATCATCCACTCCCGCCTTCTTCCAAAGGTGAGCTTCGTGCCAACTTTCATGTATTCTGCAGATTCGAGCCTTGTTCCCAGAATGTTGTCCCACATGAACTTCTGAGCAGAGTTTGCAGACCTTTACTGGGAACACCACTAGCAGCTTCTGAACTCCATTTCTAAGTGCTTCCCATGCCTTTAGTGTCTCTATTGCCACCAGCTTCATCTCCTTGTCAGATGGAGCTTCTGCAAGTTCGAAACCAGTTCTTGATTCCATATATGCACTTTGATCACTTGGATTGGCTCCTGCATGTAAGCACAGTTCCACAATTGCTGGGATTCTGTCCTGACCAAATCTTTCTTGGGGTTTGGTGACATTATGAACTGTGTTTTGCACATGAATATGATATGCTTCCACAGGAACCAGAATGTCATTCAAGCATGCTTTGATCCATTCATGAGCCTTGATCTTTGCAGCCTGCCTTCGATAACCGCCACAAGTTCGAATCAAATGGCCACTCTCCCCAACATACACTTCTGGACAGTATCTGCAATTCAACAACCAACTCAGAGCTTATCTCTTTCATAAATCACATTTCTCTCACTGCAACTCCAATCGTTTGTAATAAAGATAAATTAAGAAAGGCGAAATCCCTCAGGCCCTAGTGCCTCACATTCTAACCAAATAAGATTGTGAAAGAGTAAATTACAGTGATTCAGTTAAAGGCTTAATTCACAATATATCATCTGAGAATTAACCGAGCTACCTGTGCCAGCTTTTGTTACGATTTCTGGCACTTTGAAGCAGCTAATTGTGGCAGTGAAAAAAGCTTTTTCATAAGGAGAGATAACAATAGGAAGAGCGATTTACTTGCACGTCCAGACGGGCAAATGGCGGAGGAGATCGGAGACGCCGCGGTAGAGTAAACCTCGCGCGTTGAGGGTTTCCTGGGCCAAAACCGCCGTGGCTTTGACCGGATAATCATTGGCCCGGTTCCGAATCTTCTCCATAATCATTGGCTTTAGCGTTTTCAAGTCCACCGCCTTCGAATTTGAGCTGTAGAATCGGCGCCATCCCTTCGGGGTTTCCAACATCATCGCACTTGCTTTCCATAGCTCCAGGATTCTCAAACCCATTTTCGGCAACTGTGTATTTCGCCACCAACGGCACCGTTGGATCATTCGGAATCCGGCGGCGGTCAGTTCACCAGACCACACGTGTGGGCTTGACTAACCTTACCGGGCCTCGTTTTAAATTGATACAGTTGTTTTGGGCCACTGCTTATATCCAGGGATTTGGCCCAATAATATTGCTTTATTTGTTTTATTTTATGGGTAATGACTAATGAGGAAACTCACACTTATGTAACACACAAATTACACATGAAATGTATATTACACTAACAATATTTTGTGCTACAGGCTCAATCGATAGAAGAGCAATAGTTATGCTGTACAACCGAATACACCATGCGCTGATGCGCATGGTGCATACTATACAAAACGACATTGTTTTGCCTAAAAACGCGCGTCCTACTTTAAAAAAAAAACAGGTTTGAATCTCGGCAATAACATTATTGTGGATATATAGTTATGAATTTCTGGATATATAATTATGAATTTGTGGATATATAGTTATGAATTTATGGATATTTAGTTCATTCATTGTAGATATTTACTTCATTCATTCACTGTGGATATTTAGGTCATTCATTGTGGATTTTTACTTCATTCATTCACTATGGATATATAGTTATGAATTTATGGATATATAAAAATGCTATTGCCGATAATCGAACCTGATTTCTTCTTTAAGTGGGACGCGCGTTTTTAACCAAAACGACGTCGTTTTACATCGAATGCACCATGCGCATGGTGCATTCGGTTGCACGGCATAATTTGCGATAGAAGATATAATAATCAAACTCATCATTTCGTATGATAATTATGTTCTGTCGCTCGATACAAAATATGTAATTGAAATATACATTTGAAGTGCAAATATCACTTTTTTATGAGCATTATTGTCAGACATTTTTACTTGAAGTGACATCTTTGAATGAAATAGTGCATTTTTTTAGTGACTCTAATGTGACGAGATCTTTGACACAAGTAAGGTCAATATGAAAATGTATTATATTGAAAAATATAATATTAATTAAGAATAAAATATTTGTTACTTATAATTAAAAAATATAATATTTTTAAATTAAAATATAAAAATATTATATATTTTTTAAAATATTACTTTATTATTGATCAATATTACATTTAAATATTGAATCGATGTATGTCACAATTTTTTATTTTTAAGCATATAGAATCCGTTATCGCCATTACAATGAAACTAATTTGAATTTAATTCGCATTCAATCTTGATTTTTTTTTTTTTTTTTTTTTTTTTTTTGGAAAGCGCAAAATTTCCAATTTGTAAACTTGAAAGGGGTGAAATGTAGGAATTAAAAAAATCCAATTCGCAGGCGTCCCTTTTCTTAATTCTTACGAGTCAGAAGTCAGAACAACGAGAAAATTAAAAAGAAAAACAATTCCATTTCCCTTTTGTTTCTAGTCTAAGTTTACAAGAAGTTGGCACCAAAATCAGATCTTGGCAGCTTTCCGTCAGTTCTTTGTCCGGTCACCGGGAAATCTCCAAGCCACATTGTATGTATCTTACTATCCGTATATTCAAATTCTGGTTTAAAGATTGATTGCATAATCCTTCAGATCCGGTTATGCAATTCGCACTTCGATCGTGCATAGCTAAGCTAACTTTATAATTTTGTGTTATCTTTCTCAAACTCTCATCCGCGTGCCGTGTTTGGATCTAGATGTATGTGTTTTTCTTTGGTTGCTTTTGTTAAGATTTACTCGTGTTGTGAGGGTAGAATTTTTTGTTGCGAGTTTTGGAGATGGAAGTTCATTTTGTTTCTTACACCACTGTCTTATGCTCGTGCTTGTGTTGGGTATATATTTTTTCTGCTAAAAAACAAGTAATTTGAAGCAAAAAACCTGTTAGACTAAGCATCATTCTAAAGGGATGGCATTTCCTAAATGGGAGGTTTATAATTGGCCCTGGTATTGTATTATGAGGTCAATTCAAGACATGGCCTTTCCTAATCAAAATTCTTAACATAGTTCACATAGTTGCAGTGCTGTTGATTGAAGTCATGTTTTATGGATTTGGTTGGATTGCATTCATCTTCAATGGATACTGTTAAATTGTACCCAAAAAAATTCCAAATTTATGGTTCAAGTTTGTTCATGGAGATTTATGAAAGTTGAACTCAAAATGGTAGCATTTTTTTTTTTTCCAGAGTCTTCAATAGTGAACTTATATAACACTTTACACTTCTATGCTTCATGTTGAGTTAGTATTTATCCAATCGAAGGGGAAAGGCTTATCTTTCTGCATTTTTTATCCATTGTAATTATTCTAATCTTTGCCTTCTTGTCTTCTGCCAATTGATGAGATTCAAATATTCAATCATCTTTCCAGTAGCCATTATGTTTGAAATGCTTATTTATTTTTCCTAGTTACAAGTTTGGAGCAGGGGAGGACAACTACTTAAATTCTGGTAGTTATTCTTTCTTCTGCTACCTCCATCTATGTTTGGGGGTCTTGTGACTACTACTACTGTTAACAGTCCGCATCTTCGGAAGTCTGGAAGCCGAGTAGTTGTTTCTGATCCTGGTAAGATTGGGTTTTGCCTTTGAGCTTGCAGCAAATCATGCAATTGGTTACCTTCTCTTTTGTGTATTGGTTATGCAATATGTACTCATAATGGTTGCAAATAAACTACTTTGTACAGTTGAACTGGGAAATAGTGTTGAAGTTTTTTCGGATGCAATTGAGGTGAACGAAATGAAGGGTGTGAGCACACCACTGAGCACCACGGCAATATTGCCATCTCCAGTCTTGCTTTGGAGATTTAAGGTGTCAATTTCATCATATTCCTCACTCAAAATTAGGCCACCAGGATAAGTTTACATTTTTAGCCTTTTCATTTCAAGTTCTTTTGCCTTTTTTTTTTTTTTTTTTTTTTTTTTCTATGGCTGTTGAAAGGAGATCTATTAACATTGTTTACTGGGCATGTTATTTGTTGGTAGCAGGTTAAAGGTTTTCTGCAACAACAACACACACACACACACACACTTAGTATGGACTAAATGCATAAGATGAATGTGAAATATAATTAATTTTGCAATTTTCTTTCTTGTTTTTTTTTTTTTTTTTTTTTTTTTTTTTTTTTTTTTTTTTTGAAAGACTTTTTTGCAATTTTCTAGTTACTTGAAACATTGAAATAGCATTGGATCGAGTGTTTCAGTGTTTTTACAAAGCATATTCTTGAAAGCCAAAAGGAATTTTCTTTTCCTTTTGCCATGCTATTTCTGTAGTTTTATGTATGCATGCCTTGTTGATTATGTTTCTGCTTTGCTTAACCCTTCTACTTTTTAAGAGTCTAACAAAGATCATATTTTCAGGTGCTTCTTTTTTTCGTGTGGGGTTTTGCTTGTTGTAAGGTCAGTATAAAATCTTTGGTGTTTTCACTTTTCACATTGTTGTAAGGAATTATTTTTTATAACCTCTGCCGGCTGATATGTGAGTTTAATTTGCAGATTAGTTGGGATTCAGTTATGAGGATGAGTGTAAACTTGAGAGATTTATTTTTATATGAGGCTTTTCTGTACTATAATCCTCTTCTTCTTGTGGTTAGTTTGCGTTCTGATTTATTATAGACTTTACAACTTTTAATGCTTTCTACTCTGCTGTCTTATAAGATTTTCTTCTCCCTTTTGGTCATTGCAGACTCTGATGGTTTGGTTTTGGGGCGTGAACTTATGGGTTTTTATGCAGTCTAATGTCAACTATCCTAAAATTTTTGATCTTGACCAAAATCATCTCAGTCACAGAGAAATTTGGAGGGTATATGTTTGTTTTATCTATCTACATTGAAATTTACTGTTTCTGTATGTTGACTTGCTTGTGCTCGCTTCATATTGCAGTGTGCCACCTGGATGACTATTATCGTGCCTACTAGCATGACGGCCTATCTATATCTTTATTCACATGGAGAGGTCTCTTTGGCTGCCTCCCAACCAGTGTAATAGATGCTTCCTCTCCTAGTTGCTAAGTTTTGCTCTTACATTTACTTCTAGTACACCCTTTTTAATCTTAAACATTCTTAGTAAAGTCCGTAGTTTTTCCTAGTACCCATGTGTATATTTTAACATTAGGTCTCCATACTAATTGAGAAGTAATGCAAGTCTTTACTCTTTGCACTGACCATATCTATCCACTGTTGCAAAAATCGGTCTAGGCGTCCCTAGGTCAAGGCGATTTCCCCCCTAGGCGCCCGCCTAGGCGACCGGCCGATTAGGCGCCTGCCTAGCGCCTAACTCAGCCGACTAGGCAGCCACCTAGTGCCTAACTCGGCCGAGTTAACTCGTCCATTTCGGTCGTGTTAGCCGAGTTAATCTGGTCGGCTTGGTCTTGCTAATTTTTTTTCATTTTATATATATATATATATAGTTAGCCGCATAGGCGCTAGGCGCTACTCTACCGCACGACTAGCGCCTACTGCAACCATGTATCTATCTACTCTAATAATAAATATTTGGTACATTCTATTAAATTTCACCTAATGCAAGTGCAGGTTCTCTTATATGCTGCTTTGTCAATGGCACTGATATCTCCCTTTGATATTTTTTATTTATCAACTCGCTACTTTTTCTTGAGGACCTTTTGGAGGATAGTTTTCCCGCTACAAGTAAGTTTGCATCTTCGCGGTCTATGAACAAAATGTTTTTTTTTTTTTTTTTTTTTTGGGACCCATGGTTTCTATAGCTTGATGTTACAGACATCCAACAGATTCCCACCGGTCAAAACTTCAGATGCTTGATAGCTCTGTTTGCTTTCTTAACATGAAAATAAATATTTCCTTATCTAATTTTGATTCTATAAATGCAGGCCATTACTTTTCCTGACTTTTTTGTGGCCGATATATTTACCTCCATGTCAAAGGTGTGCATTTTTCTTGGTATTTACTAGGGGATGTAGATGTGTCTATTGCTTGAAGTAACGTTTCTGTATGATATTAATTGCAGGTCTTTTCGGATTTGGAGCGTTCAGTTTGTCGAATGGTTCATCGCCAGGTTAGAATTTCTATTTTATCTTTACTTAGTAGGTCTCGAGAATAGTATCTGAAAGATATACCTTAAAATGTGTAGGTAGCCACCATCGCGTGGTTTGAAGCTGATTCCGTTTGTGGAAGTCACTCTGTTGCAATTCCTATAGTTCTTGTGTTGCCATATTTTTTTCGTCTCTTTCAATGTCTTCGGCAATACAAGGATACTAGAGAGAAAAACGCCCTATTCAATGGTATATGGCAATATGGCTAGCTCTCTCCATTCTTTTTATTTATTTATTTTAACCTTTATCTTATACACACACGTACATATATGTGTATGTAGTTGACAATAAATGTGATACTAATCTTGTTTGACATATGATTTCAGCTTTAAAGTATTCGACTGCAGTACCGGTGATATTTCTATCAGCCCTTAAGTATCATGTCTTCCCCGAAAACTGGGTTAACATCTATCGACCTTTGTGGCTACTCTCCAGTGTTTTGAACTCTCTGTACTCGTTCTACTGGGATCTGAACAGAGATTGGGACCTGAGGTAAGAAATATCTTCTTTTTTTCTAACCATTGAAGGGCCTCAAATGCTTCTTTTTAACATTGATTTTGTGCTAACTCGAAATATTTTTCTTTTCTGCCAGTTGCTTCACTCGAATCTTCAAGTTCAACAAGCCTAATTTCTTATCAAATGTGTTATATGGACGACAATGGGTAAGACCATTTGCTTTACTTCTTATGGCAGAAGATTAGGATATCCAATTCTGATTTGGAGTTCCTTATGAACATGTGATTCGGGATCTTGCAGGTTTATTTCTGGGTAATCGGGAGCAACCTGATACTACGATGCACGTGGACATACAAGTTGTCTGCCCATCTGCGTCACAATTACCTAACCTTGTTCACAATTACCGCCTTGGAGATTTTCCGACGCTTCCAGTGGGCATTCTTTCGTGTAGAAAACGAGTGGAACAAAATGACCAACAAATCGAACGTTCCGCTCTCCATGACTGATATGTCGAGTGACGAGGAGAAATTACTCAACTCCAAATCATAATGTATAGGATGCCCGGCAGTATCATCGGAATCTTCTTTATACTGAACAGAGGAGAGATTGGATATAACAATGCCAGAGATTCCATTCTTTTTGCTCATTTGCATATAAGAATTCTTTCAATAGTATAGGATACCTATATATAATAGATGATGAACTATGAAGTATGAAATATGAACTTCCTTCAAAGAAGACACGGCCAATCTCTCGAGTTCTTCCATAGGAACTTTTTTGGAAGCTATTATACAATCATTGAGATCTGAGAAATTTAATACATTTCTTCAACATTTAACGTTATTTCAATTCTCTAGTTTTCTATTCTTTATTCTCAAAGAAATGTAAAGTAAATGCTTTTTACTTTCTGTTCCTACTGCAACAGTTGCAAGAAGTTGATACAAATGGCTAAATGTGTCGGCGGTGGCTCAATGGCCTTTTAAACTTGCAAGGCATATGCAGAAAGTTTTGGCATTTGCAGTGGTTCTGGGTGCACAATTCGGTTACGGGGCGGCATTTGCGGCTTAATTGCGAACGGGTTGTACTGATTGAATGCTGAGAGCCCTTTCCATAAAGTTTTAAGATCTATTCCTTTGCCAGCCGTCACTAATATACTTGTCACACCTATTTTAGACACCTGAAGTGAAACCAACCACAATTATATAAAGTAATATTGAATAACAAAACATGTTGGCTTGTTGGTCGGGAATTATAACACAACACCTATAGCTAATTAACCATTTTCAAATGCAACTAATTTTTTTTTTAGCTAAATTAGTCTAATTTCATGAGACGCGTGAGATCCATACAAACCGGTAGACTTGGGGGCCTATTTCAGTGCATTCAAGGGGCCTGGTGGAAACTACTGCTTTTCAGTGCTTGCAGTCATGTCCCCACGCAAGGCCCTCAATGACTCAGGCGGTGGCTGTGGGTTTGCAAGTCCAGAGAGTGTTGGAGGCGAGCCACCACCTGAGTCATTGAGGGCCTTGCGTGGGGACATGACTGCAAGCACTGAAAAGCAGTAGTCTCCACCAGGCCCCTTGAATGCACCGAAATAGGTCCCTAAGTTTGTCAATTTGTATGGATCTCACGCATCTCATCCTCGGTATGCCGTCCCGCCCTTGTCTTATCAGTCTTTCAATCCAGCTCAACACCGCTCGCCTTTGGTCCAGGGAGCGTCTCTAGTGCAACACTTCCAACACCACCCTGCCAAACTGATGCACATCTTCCTGCGTTGTCCATGGGGCGCCTATTGTTAGGATACACATGAGTAGCAAAATAACCATTCCCAGCAGCGAGCAGCTTGTACAGCCCGAAGTCATTTAGCTTGCCGTTGAATTCACCATCTAATAGGATGTTCCGGGAAGCAATGTCGCGGTGAACAACGCCCCCCGAGTGAAGATAAGCCATCGCTTTCCCAACGCCTATCAAGATGTGCAACAGTCTTGGCCAGGAAAACGGCATTGACGCCCATTAAGATATATGAGCGTCTAGGCTTCCGTTGGGCATATACTCGGAAACGATGGTGGTGATCCCACAGTCATTGCAGCGCACACAGCCCACAAAGGTAACCATGTTAGGGTGTTGGAACCTGGAAAGCACAGCAACTTCCGTGATGAACGCCTTTTCCCCTTGATCGGACTCCGCGTTCCGATACTTCACCACCACCCATCGCTCATGAACGAACCTTACTTTGTATACAGTGACAGAGTCTCCATTTCCTAGGACATGGCTGAAGTTGTTAGTAATTTCAGCGATCATTTGCCCCGAAAATTTCTTCTCTCTGGGTAACCAACTCCATATCTCTTCCCTAGCTCTGTCCACATCCATTCTTTAAAAAAAAAATAAAAAATCTTTTTATAATAACAATAACAAAGACAAAATAGTAATTCACCTCGAAATTGCAATAAATCACACGAATCAAACAGGAAATTATAATTTCAATGGAGCTCGAAAGAAATAGACAATTCTATCGTCCTACCAAAAACCCTTATTACAGAAACATACATACAGTGATACAGACGAATATATGTATCTCAAAACTAATACACACATTATCATTGCATGATCTCTAACAGAATTGAAGAAACATGCATCGATCTCAAACGTATATCAACAATCTATACCATATGCATACCTTCAAGTTTCTTTCTTTCTTTCTTTCTTGACTGCTAGCACCACAACACTCAAACTCAGCTGATGACTGAGGTTTTAATAGGGTTGAAGTCTTGAAGGCCATGCTAAGGTTTGTCTATACATATAGCTATATATATATATATATATATATATATATATATATATATATATATATATATATATATATATATATATATATATATTGCTCAGATATATATACGTGCGCGGTGCGTGAAATAATTCATATTATATATATATATATATATATATATATATATATATATATATATATATATATATATGAATTATTGCACGCACCACGCACACATATATATCAGAGCAATAATTTATATATATTGCTCTGATACTATGAATTATTGCTCTGATATATATGTGTGCGTGGTGCGTGAAATAATTCATATATATATATATATATATATATATATATATATATATATATATATATATATATATATATATATATTGCTCTGATACTATAAATTTTTGCTCTGATATATATACGTGCGCGGTGCGTGAATTGTGCGATCGTCCGGCATTGCACGGCTGGCCAAACCGGCTAGCCGCAGGCGATTACGAGTCTCTTTCAAAAAAAAAAAAAAACGAACTTACTATGGCAGCCAAGGGCGAGCAGCAAAAAAGCAAAAGGAAGGAGAAAATCAAACAAGGGGGAAATAAAGAGAAATGGAAAGATGAAGGGGCATATATAAATGCAGAAAAAGAAATAAACAGCCCCTTGCGTGTGTCAGTATACTATATTAATATTAGCTTGAATTCATGCCAAGGACATTGTAGTCCAATGACACCAAATTGCTCCTTTATATGGGAGGTTGTGAATTCAAACCTCAGATACGATAATTCTAGTTTCAGAATAATATATTCAAGAAATTTTTTTGATTAATTATTTGTTCAATTCATAGAGTTTCTAAATAAATTATTATTTTTTCTTTAGGTTTATAATTATGTCTTCTAAAAAATATTCACCTAGTCAGATTTGAGAAACGTAAAAAGAAAAGAAGAATTGAACAACTATCTCATCCTGACAAATTATGCTGTGCAACCGTGTGCACCATGCAACGTCGTTTTGACTAAAAACGCGCGTCCACTTAAAAAAAAAAATCAGTTTCAATTCCCGGCAACAACATTATGTTGTGCATAATTTGAAGTATATATCCAGAATCAATGAACTAAAAATCCATAATAAATGAACTAAAAATTCATAATAAATGAACTAAAAATTCAGAATGAATGAACTAAAAATCCATAATGAATGAACTAAATATCTAGCATGAATGAAAAAAAAATCAGTTTCGATTTCCGTCTAAAAATCCAGAATCAGTGAAAAAAAATTCAGAATGAATGAACAACATAATGTTATTGAGGGAAATTGAAACTTAATTTTTTTTTAAATGGAATGTGCATTTTTAGTTAAAACGATATTGTTTTTGCATCCGCGTGCACCATGCATGGTGCACATGGATGCAGAGCATAACGATTGTCTATCCTTTAACCATTTTGTATTCCTAATGGCAAGACTTTAATAAAGGAATAAGTCAAATTAAATTTAGATCGTACAAACTCAATTACTATAACTCTACTTTTAATGAGTTCCGGCACATAGTGGTGTCTAGACTTTCAATTGAAAACATCATTATAAGCTTTAGCTAGCGTTGTAGCACTATCACAATGGGTCATGATTTAAGACATGGGCTTGGGCTAGATCAAAATTTCATTAAGTTCAACCTCTTTGCAAGCCAAAGCTAAGGCTATAAACTCCGATGTCATAGTAGAATCAGTAATGCAAGTTTTTTTTTTTCTTCTTGAAAGTCTAAAGAGATAGAATCTCCTCCAATCCAAGCAAGAAAACTCAGATGAACTATCCAATCCAAGCTAAGGCTATAAACTCCGATGGCAGAAGATTAGGATATCCAATTCTGATTTGGAGTTCGATCCTCATCACGGGAAAGCTGATCTAGTGTTCCAATCTTTTTGCTCATTTGCATATAAGAATTCTTTCAATAGTATAAGATACCTATAGATAATAGATGAACTATGGAGTATGAAATATGAACTTCCTTCAAAGAAGACACGGCCAATCTCTCGAGTTCTTCCATAGGAGCTTTTTTGGAAGCTATTATTATACGTCTATAACTCGTCGCCAATCATTGAGATCTGAGAAATTTAATAGATTTCTTCATACATTTTGATGATGATTATGATGGAAGTGAACATTACATTACTGTTGCTACTCATATTTCATAGCTTTTTCACCATGACTGGATTCTCTCTGCATGTGCTTTGAGTTGTCGGATGCGATCACTTTGAAATGATTGAAAGGAGTTACATTCTTGGAATTGATTGATTGCTTGCTAGTTTTACAATAATTGCAGATTTGCTGGCAACAGATCCAGTTTGAAGTACAATAGTTTATGGTTGATTGTCGATGGATGGGACTTATCAACCAGAGAACTTGGTCTGTTGGTTGTTTCTGCTTTTTTTTTTGAGTCTCAAACTGTTGCATTTAGGCTTTGTCCATTTGGTTTTATCTTACAAATTTTCTCCCATCAACTATACACCATTTAAATTGATTTACCTCTTTATGATCCTTTGTTGGTTAGACGCATAAAGTGGATTTTACTATCCCAATTGTTATAAGCAAAATTGTGTTGATGATTGCACTCTAATCTTGGGAGACCTCACGTGTCCCTACCTTGAAGTATTGGTGGAGATCGACAATAAAATGTAAGATCTATCTCGAACTAGGGAGTGTGAGACAATAAACTATAGGATGTGTCTCGAACTATGACAACGGGTTAAATAATATTAGATACCTGATCCTTTCAAATCCTAATAAGATGAATTTAAACAAGCAAAATAATACCCGTCACATGCAAACTATTATTTAGTTTGAAATATATTACACGGGTTATATAGTACAATTTTATATTCTTTTAAATACTATTCTTGTGATTGTTAGTAAAATAGAGCTATTTACTATGTCATGGGACCACAAAATTGTGCTTAACCAATAACCAATAACCAATAACCATTATTTGTTTTGGTTCAAGAAATTGTGCTTAACCAATAACCAGTATTTGTTTTGGTTCAAGATTGAGATGTCATGAAAGTGACACAACCTCTAACATTCCCTACAATAAACGTACACATCACTGTAACTCCAAGCATCCTTCACATGTTTCTTCTAGTCTACAACTGGCTCTTATCTTATCATTTTGGTCCAAAACCAAACTATGTCAAATTATCAATAATGACTTGAACTTGAACTGTAATCTCAAATAAAAATTTTGCCTTGAACCTGAGAATCTGAGATAAATCATGGGCTTAGGATAAAATTACTGTGAGGAGAAAAAAAAAAATTACAGAAAAGGAAAACATGGTCAACAAGCTAAGGCAAATGGTTTCCAGTTTGTCTTTTGCAGAAAATTTTCTCCTCTTATCCAGAGAGTCAGCAGCCCTCAAGATTTCCTAACCATTTTTGTGGCTCAGTTTCACCATAACTAACCTCTGCTGTCTATTCCAATACGCCCCCAATCTTTGTCCAAATCTCCCCACTGTTCAACCTTATTCATGCAATTAACTTGAGCCACTAATTTATTTCCAGAAAAAGAATTTCAAGAATCTGAAAATGGACTGCAAATCCAAGAGCCTCAGAACTCAAAGGTGCACACAGTTTGTGCAGCACTCATTAATGTCTTCCATGCTCCTCCTCCTCTTCAATGAGAAAGCTCCTCCTCTCATCTCAGATTCTCTAGTAGTGTTTCCCGCCAAATATTGGTTTTGAACTGTGCTTTTAATGCTTGCTGTGAGCCATCACCACCATGGAGAGGCTTTTGCAGGGTTCATTTGAGACCACACGTGCAGACAACATGGATATGGATTTCAATGATGTCTTTGGGGGGCCTCCTAGGAGGTTCTCAATCCAGGAAGTGAGGAAGAGGAACAGTTTCAATGATCAGATGGAGTCCGAGGAGGATTCAGAAGCTGTCGTCCCGCGCAGTTCTTGGTCTGGATTAACCGAGAAACCGGTTTTCGGGGCAGATAGAAGATGCAGCCAGCAGGGCAATGAGTTTTATGATGATATATTTGGAGGTGATGAGGCTTACAGTTCACCAAGGAGGATGGAAATGGAGGCTTATGGTTCCAGAGTTTTAAGCCCTGCTTGGCCTTTGCCCCCAAAGGCTGAACCTTTTTCCACTTCTCTCCCAGCTCAATTCAGGTAAAATCCCATTCTGCATTACTTCTTTTTCCAGCCATTCATTTTTCTCAACTGTATAATCTTCTCATATGTAGCTAGGAAGAAGAAGTGTATATGTATAGGCTGCGTTTACTTCAATTCTTGAATTGTCTGTTTTTTTTTCGTTTTTCACATATACTAGTTAAGTTTTTGTGTTTCAGTCTTCCTGCTAAGGTGACAAAAGCGACGGAATATCCTACATTTGGTTCTGGCAATCGTAGTCCATACCATAATAGCAAGGATGGCGGGTCGAATGGCTCCCTCTCTAGATTTTCAAGCCAATCGAGGCAGCGAGAGAATGGGAGTCAGATGATTTTCAGGCAAAGATCTTTATCCCGCGAAGCATCTCTCAGTGGTGATGAAAGATCTTCTGGTGAGAAAGATTCAGAAGAAGCCCAGTTTCACTTCTCTATATACAAGTGGGCAGGCAAAGGAGTGCCATTGCTCATCCCTCTTATGAGAGGAAAGAACAGTAATAAACCAAAGGAGAATAATAGCAGACTTGAAAGATGTCTGAGCTCCAATGCAAGAGTTCAGTGTGATGAACCCGATGGAAAGCTCAACGTATCAATTGCAAGTAAGAAGCAAGAGAAACGGAATGAAAATGATTATAAGGAACCCGATTTTGTTGCCACTGAAGCAGTTCCAGAGTTGAAAAACCTTAACAATGCAAAAAATAAGGTTGTTCCTGAAGGGCCTAAGTCAGGTTCCAAATTAGAAGGCGAAGAAGAAACTCGTTCTAAGATCAAGGCAGAGTTTAGAAATGGCATACAGAATGAAGGTTTAAGGAAAAAAGAAACAGAATCCAAACCTCAATCTATGTTGCCACATGATGTTCACCAAGGCCAAGGTTCATTGTTTGCAGGAAATGGTGAGACAAACCAGGTAGCCAGAGAGAAGAACGCCCGAGCAGATGATTCAAATGCTCGTTTCAATGAAACGATGAAGAAAAGGGAAGTTGAGGCTAAAATGAATGGGAAGAAGAGTGGAATAACTAAAAATAGAGTAGAGGTCCAAGATATGCCTTCAAATCCAGAAGAAAAGTCCACTAAAGTTGGAGTGAAGGGAAAGGTTCAAGAATTTGTTAAGATCTTCAACAAACAAGAAGCTACTCCAGTCTCCAAAGGGGAAACTCGAAGCCAAAGCTCGAGATGGAGAGGAGGCAACTTCAATGCAGTGGAAAAAGAAACGGGTGACAGTACAAGACAGACGAACGAGGAAGTGCAAATTCCTAGTATGAATAAAACAGCAGCAGATGCTTTTCAAAGGGTATTAATTAAGATACTTAAAGATCTTCCCTTTAATTTGTTTCTCTGATAAAACGTGTGTGCATATCTACTATTTATACCTCTCTGATCTTTTTAGGTGGAGCAAATCCTTAACACGAAGGAGAAAACAAATAAACATTCTTATAAGAAACCCTCGATTCATCAAACTACCACTCATCCTGCTGATCAGAACAATGCTTCATCATTTTCTGGTTAGTTAATTTGATTTTAGTCTGCTATGTGGGAAAGGCCACTTCTTTATCAATTTCGATTTCTGTTTCTTGCTTATATGTTGAATACAATTGGTGTCTGAGATCAATACAAGTATATTTTCCTGCAAATATAATCATTCAAGGCACATTTCACTTGATTTTTTATATATGAATGAGATAGAGTTGTTGATATGTCATTTCCAGAACCTATTCGAAACGGTCTGAGGCGTTCAGTAGGAAGTGCAGATGATCTCTTCCATGGAAGCTTTGTGGTATGCATTAACAAATAACTTGAAATTCTGGCATGGATGAATGAAGAAGATAGACTGTTTTACTGATGAACTAGCAACTTTGTCCCTTTACAGGTAGAAGAGTTATATGAAGATGAGAGCAAACCATTACAGAAGAGTGGTGAATCTCACGACATGAAAGTAAGTCCTTTTCTTTGTAATATCTGAACCGATCGAGTTGAAATTAAAGGCGAAAGCCTTAATTGTGACAGTTAATAACTGCCTATCTGCCTGCAACTAACTTAAATGCAGGCTTCAGATGCAAAGATTCAGCAGTGGTCACAGGGGAGGAAAGGAAATATTCGGTCACTGCTTTCGACCTTACAATTAGTAATTCTTTCTCCCCTTTGACATTAGTCTATATATCATTCGAATGTAACTGTAATCAGCTCTGATCTGCAAAAAAAAAAATAGGTTCTTTGGCCCGAGAGCGGATGGAAGCCCGTGCCTCTGGTGGATTTGATAGAAGGAAATGCAGTAAAGAGAGCTTATCAGAAAGCCTTGCTGTATTTGCATCCAGATAAGCTCCAACAAAAAGGCGCCGCTTCTCATCAAAAATACATTGCAGAGAAAGTCTTTGCCATTCTGCAGGTAAGCACCACATAACATATATCATATCATCACCTTATTAGTCCCTATTAGACCTCAAGAATTGTGTAACACACATATATATATACGCTCTTTCGAGCAGGAAGCATGGGATCATTTCAATTCGCTTGGTGGGATCTGATCAGAATTCAGAAGCGAAGCACACAAAAAATGGAATCTCATATATTGCCATGTTACAGTGATAGATACACTTCAAAGTTCAAACTTCAATTCAGACAACCACACAGAAATAATCCCTCTGATCTTATTCTTTTTTTCCCTGTAAAAATTTTATGTTTTATCGACGTGTATGTTGATGAGTTCTTTTGAGATTACACAATACATACATGATACCTATATGCAGCAGGCTTGCTAGCTGTGCTGGAAGCCATTATTAAACCAAGAAATTAAGGTATCCAAGGCAATAAAGTAGCTGTTCTTATTCACAAAACAGCTGGCAAATGCTAGCAGATCCAGCTAGCTCAGTAAGTTGACTTCCCTTCATTCCTCCATAAATAAACTATCCCTTAACAGCTTTTTACTTTCTATATATCCTCCTCGATCACGAGTTCGAATCCCATTGAAAAATAACATCAGAGTTGAGTTAATGTTTTGGGGCCGGGCGGGGGTGGTTGGTGAAAGAAGGCAAAATACCTGTTGGCCATGCTGCCTTCCTGCCGGGATACACACTGTTATGCCACTATATCTTCACGTGCTGCACAATAAATACAAATCACTTTTTTTCTTATTTAAATAATATACGATCCATTTTTCAAAATAATAATAATAATAATAATAATAATAAACAACGATGCATGCATACTGCAATATCATATAATGGAGGTGGATTTCACGTTAAGCTATTATTGTGTTATACTTTTCGTCCTTAAACTATACTAAAGTTTCAAATTTCATTCTTAATGTTTTGTTAGTAAATGGACAAACGTGTAACACCAATGGTAGATTAGGGACGAAAAATGAGTATGACCAACAATTAGGGGCGAATTCTGCAATTATCGTATAATTTAGGGACAAAAAGTATAATTTTCTCAAAAAAGAATGATTGTTATGCTACATTTCTTTAGTATAATGCAATGTGCAATTATTCAGTTCATGAGTAACTAATAAATCTAAATAACAATATTTTTCTGGTACATTTAATAAAAATAACAAGATTCATATACAAGGTTATTACTTAAGTACCATCAAATTACGCTTAGAAATCCTTAATTTATGGGAATCATCCTAATCATGTGATAAAATTCGTTGATCGATGTGGTCCCATTTTATTATATATAAAAGATGTGTACAAAGTTAGATGATGAGATTTGAGACAATTTTTTTTTGCATGTTGCAATTTCCTAATCATTTTATGGATAATGAAAATAATTTACAATTATCTTTTAGAAAAGTTTACAAATCCAATACCCACTCTACAACATATTATTATTAATAATTTCTAATTATACTTGTATGAAATGTTAAGCCAATATGTGGCTAGTATTTCTTTAATTGTTATTTATTCTATTTGTGCTCTTATAGACTAGTTGTATTTGGTTGTAACTTCCTGCTATCTTCACTCTTCCATGTACTATATATAGGTGTGCTTTACAATCAATAAACACAACAGTTAAGCTCTTCACATGAAATACATAATAACAAATTATTATGATAAAATTATGTACAACTTCAATTAAGTTAATTGGTCAGACAAATTGATTTGTTTAACCACAAATGAGATTGTTCTTTGCCTTCTCAATTTGAGTGTCATTTACTTTTCAAATTGTTTATCCCTCATAAAAATCAAGAAAACTTTTTCACTTGGGAGCAAATTAAGTTGATTTAGATATTTATTTAATAGTAAAGTCGAGTTTTGAGTAAACCCTTTTATTAACTGGTTGTTAGTTTAAGGGTTGAGCTCGAGTGAAGACGTGAGGTCAAAGGATCCCGAGCTATATCGTAGTAGGTCAAAAGAATAAAAGTCCTCATTCTAGCATTGAATGCGTATTTATAGCAACAGAAAAGAGAACACATGTCGGGCTCCCCGTATGTCTGACACGTGTCGCACATGCAACCGATTGGTTTAGAAACAGTGCCCTACCAGGTTGCTAGTCACGTGTATCAATATTTCTAACTACCCAATGAGATATATAGTCGGGTTAAAGTTAGAAGCCTAGGTTCAAATCTACAAGTCACCTAACTCGGAATGACCGTTCCAGCCTAAACGGGTCGGGCTGATCCTAAGACAATGAAGTACTAGTGCAATTACGATTCAACTAGGTCCTAAGGTTTCAAGTTGGAAATTCAACGGAAAGAACAAATAAACCCATCCACACTTCACAGAATTGTCTGGTCATCTCTAGTCTAGTCGACAAGTCAGGGATCTGAAGACGACTAAAACGTCAGCACAAGAAAAAAAAAAATGAGGGCCATGGTAAAACTATTGTCATTGAAAGACATTTTCACTCTTGTCACTATCTACTGTTCTTAAACTAAAAATTAAAAACCATTTCTTTTTCACTGCAAAAAACAAAGGCTGTAAAATGGAGAGGCCCTTTCTGCTTATCGCCATACTGAAATGGAATGATTTTTGGGGTTGGGAAATTTGATGAGGTCCCTCCTCGATCTATCAAAGATTGGCCACCGCTACAGTATTATAGTACTATGGATCCACCCTACACAGTTTTTAAAATAAATAATGATACAGCCTTGCAAATTTAAAATGCCAACTTGATTCTAACAAGTTTACATTAGACCCGGGATGAATATCGTACAACATAATATGATGTTTATCCTAGAATTTATAGATCAAAAGTAAAAAATAAAAAAAAATAAAAATTAAAGAACTCTTTATAGGCTGCTTACGGTCTTGTTAAACTTGGTTTGTCTGAGTGTAACTTTATTCTCTCAAGCTGTAAAAAATCAACACCAGAAAGAGAGAGAGAGAGAGAGAGAGGGAGTCTGTGTGTGTGTGTGTCTTCTTCTTTTCTGTCAGTTTCTTTTGCCTTGTGTAAAATTTTTATGGTGTCTCTTCAGATACACTCTTCTTTCTTTCTTGATATTCTCCCCTATCTCTAGCAGCAGTAAAGCTCTACAATATTCCATCTGCTTGTGCTCTAAACGACTTGAGCATTCACTGTCTCAGAAACTTACCTGAATTCTGTGGAGAAAATGTGTCTGTTTGTTAAATAGACACCCAGAAAGAACACTCATCTCCTGCAGGGCTCTCTTTCTCTCCTCTCTGCTAGCCATACCTGAGTGCCTGGTTTTCATGCTCAAAAGAAGCTCAAACCTAGCTGCTTTTTTGAGGTCCCTTCTGATGGCAATTTGTGAGTTTGCCACTTTCTTTCTTCTTCTTCTCCTGTTAACATTTATTTTGCTTTATGGGTGCTTCTCATAACTGTTTTTATGTGTTTGGCCTTTTCAGTTCTGGTTAAAAATTGAATCTTGAAGTCTGTTAGTGCAATTTAACTCTTTGGGAGTGTTGGGTTCCCTGCTTTGCTAGTTTACTGAATGCTTAGGATGTTTCTTCCTTTCAGATTTCCCAATTTGCCTATTAGATCTGATAGAATTATGGTTTTCTTATGAACACAAACGACTTTCTATTTTTTTTGGGTAAATTTCTCATTTTATTAAGATTTAAGGCATTGATGCAAATTCCACTGTTAATTGATGATACACTTCACTTGTTTTTGCTTCCATTATGAACTGTGCAATTTTCAAGACTCAATATTAGGGTTTGATCCTTTAATCCCCTTCTTGCCAGAGGCTATTTGAGAAATGGAAGAGAAAGTACTTAGTTTGGAGCTATTTCTCATCATTGTTTGCTGACCCTTTAATTTAGTTTAATAAATGAAAATTTGCAGCAATAGTATACTCACCATCTTTACTAAAAGTTGTATGCCATCTCACTGTTTGGTGTATGTATCTTTGGTTGGTTTGACCCGAATATGTTGCCAGGTAAAGAAACATTGATTGAGTCATAATTGTTTCTCCGAGCTGGCTTTTGTTTGTTGTCTTCCTCTTTTTCCTCTTATGTTATGGCATCCGGTTTGCTCACCTCAGCCAGTTGCATAAAAACCAGAAATCTTCCTTGGATGCTAACCATTTGGTGTATGTATCTTTGGTTGGTTTGACCCGAATGTGAACCAGGAGGAATAAGAGAAGAGGTTAATTGGACTTACGGTAATGTAGTTTCAGTAAATAGAGTTGTTGACATAAATTGTGAGATTATTAAAATTTTTGCTTCTTTAATTATATAAGGGATGCCATGAAGAAGTGCTGAGTAGTGGCACACCACTCATTAGGCTGTTGTCTTTTCTTGGAAGTTGAAAGAGAATATTGTTTCTGTAGTTTATTGACCTTAACTTTTCAGAAAGAGAGAGTTCTGTGCTTACTATATTTCTAGGATAGCTCCTGACTTTTACAAGGTCGACTAGTCTGAGGAAGTTGACTAAGCTTCTCGTGCAGATGTACAAGATGCAATTTGGCCTTGATCTCGAGTGAATTCTAGTGAAAGCACAATGGCGTTGAAGCCAAAGAAAGGATGGAAGTCGATTGTACCACTTCGTTTGAAAGGCAAACCCGCAATCCACTTCTGTTTCCTTCCTAAAGCTAAGTCTGATAGTTATGGCCCTGGCGATACACCGGTTTATCTTAATGTGTACGACTTGACACCTATGAATGGTTATGTATATTGGGCGGGCTTTGGTATCTTTCATTCCGGAGTGGAAGGTAAAAGCCATTCTCAGTCTTGCACTTTTGCCTGTTGATTTCGTGTTTCGTTTTTTTTTTTATAATTGTTGTTGTACTTTTCAGTGCATGGTATAGAATACGCGTTTGGGGCTCATGACTATCCTACTAGTGGTGTGTTTGAAGTTGAACCGCGACACTGCCCGGGCTTCGTGTTTAGGAAATCAATATTCATTGGGACTACAAAGTTGAATCCTACCGAGGTCAGGGAGTTCATGGAGCGCGAAGCTGCTAGCTACAATGGCGATTCGTACCACTTAATCGTGAAAAACTGCAACCATTTCTGCAAGGACATATGTCACAAGCTTACTGGCAAGAAAATCCCAAAATGGGTGAACCGCCTTGCAAAACTAGGTAGCAATCGAGCACTCACTCCCCTTTCAATTCATTTTGGTGCTTTTATTATAGTTTAAAGATGGTTTCTTGTCTTGTCCACTTAGGTTCAATGTTCAACTGCATGTTACCCGAGGCTCTAAAAATCGCGGCAGTTCAACACGACCCTACTGGAGCAGAGTACGAGAGTGAGAAGAGAAGGCTGAGAAGTGCTTTTAGTTGCCTTTCTTCGATTTCAACAAGGCAGAGGCAACTCTCGACATCCTCATTGTTTCTACAATCTCCATTAAAGGGCTGCTTACCTTCGTGGGAACTAAGAAGGTCAACCAATCGCTCCCTGAAGGAAAGGTGATTATGTATATCAATTCATAATTAATTTTCCCCGCTTTTCATGTAGTTTTAGGATATATGGGCAGCTACACATTGTTCATCTAATGTAGAATCAATGAATCTGGAACTGAATACTGAAGTAGAGCATGAGTTGATGATGTAGTGTTAAATGCTTGGCAGTTGTGATATAATGATGATTTTAGTTTCCTCATTATTTACACAGAACACAATGAAAATCAAACACAGACAGATCAAACAGACAGAACGACACAAAAAGATTAAGGAAAAGGAAAAGGGTGTTGAATGTTTGGATTAATGTTGTCTCAAAACACCAGTACACCAGCAAAAAAGTTGTAACAGCAGTGTCATAATACTCTCATCTGAAAGGTACTATTATTGCACTTAAGTTATACAAGTCGTACGAAATGTATACTTTGTTGTTTTAGTGGTGTGGGAGAGACCACCCACCCATGCTTATATGACTATATATATATATATATATTGATCGCTAGTGCAACTAGGAAAGGTGTAGCCATGTTCGTTCTTATCAGTCGTCTTTTTTATGCGTGGTTTTATTAGCATTGAGAGCAGCATGGTATTCCCGTTTCTCAGCCAATCCAATATCCGAGAGAATGAGACAACCCTGCATTGTGAAATGGGTGAGAGATATGGAATGTAGTTATAGTTGGTAAATGAATGAAAGCAGTTAGTTAGTTAGTTACCTCATCAGCCATAAATTTACGGACATTTTCTGCATAAAGTTTAGGATCATCCTTTTCTTGTTGTGAGGGATAGTATACTGGTAACCAGATCACTTCCATATTATTTACAAATTGACACAGAAGAAGAATCAAATGTCTAGCCTGCAGATAAATATATACTCGTCGGTTTATAAATTCCAGCCAAGTTGGTCGGGCTGAGTACAAGTGTAGAAGACGAAAGGGTTGGAAGAACAAAATTAAAATTTGTGGAAAATAGAATACAAATTACAAACCCCTGATATGGAATCCCAGGCAGGGCTGAGTCTCTGGTAAGTATATCGTATGATGACAGGACGCACTGGAGCTTTTGACAAAAATGCACCAGTCTTGAATGGAAGGAGAAAGTCTCCATTTGTAGTTGTGCCTTCTGTAATAATAGTTAAAAATGTGTAATTTAAAAAAGAAAAAAAACAGCAATCGGACTGTCAAAATAAAGATCTACACTTTGAGGGCACATAACATATAACACAAGAATAGTAGTCACCTGGAAAAAGTACCATCATTGGGGAAGACTTGCTTTGGTGAGCTTCCTGAATTCTTTGGTTTACCATCCCTGCAACCAAAAATTAATGTTTCTTGAGCATATAAACATGAATGTGCATTCAAGTACCAGCTAGAACGCTTCAATTTAGTATCAGAGTCAGATCATAGATACGAATAAATTTGAGCTTATAAAGTTGTTGAAATGCACCTGATACACCTTTTAGTTGGGATGACTTATCCTCTCGCTTGACATAGATACACCCAAGGCACTTGCTGTGCAAATTAAAGACGGTAAAAGGTAGTAAATAAAGGATATTCTTGGCAAGACCAAATCCAGTAATTAAGCATATCATTCATTAATTATTAATTAAGCAGGCAAATTAAAAGATATCCCTGCCGTTAACTGACAGGAAACAATGAAATAAATAATGTCTCGCAGATCTGATCTCATCTATTAATGATTAGAATGAAACCCAACCTGACGAGCCCGACAAGCGGAAGATTCGCCACTGATTTCTTGGCAACAAAGCTGGCAGAAGAAGAAGACATATGGTACAAGATGTCCACATAAGATACATGATTCGACACTATCACCCCAGCCCTTTCAGCTTCTTTATTCTGAACCAAAGAAACAAAAAGATCCATGTTTTCGGAAAATTAATCCAGTACGTAGAAGCTAGCAAAGAAGTTAACTGAAGTACCTCGGCGGCATTGGTACCATGATGTTCCCGGTGCGTTTCATGAATCCGATAAAACCCGAAGGAAAACAGCAACGCTCTGCCGGCGAACTTGGCGGCCCGCATAATGATCTCCCGTCTCCAACCGCTCAAATGCGCGTAATCATCCTCCTCCCCGCTCGGCGACCAAAACGCCGTAGCAATCCGGCACCACAAGTTGCAAATCACCACGAACGTCGTCGCCGCCGCCACTCTCAGAGGCAGCAGAACCACCAGCGCCACCGCCAGCAAAACCTTCTCGGTCCAAGGAAGCTCGCCGCGTCCCATAACCCCGTAGCAATCCCGCCTAACGTACGGACCGTACTTTTTCTCCAGCTCCTCTAGCGGGCTCTCCCGGGAGTCCTCGGTTTCAACTTGCGGCGACCCGTTTACAGACTCGGACTTCGCCGACCGCCGCCGCTCATCTTTGGTCGCCGTGCTGTCGTCCATGGATTCCGGCCTCTCTCGGTGCTTATGCCGTATGGTATCGGATCCCGGAGGTTGAGCGTTAAGTTTATACTGTTTTGCACGTACCTGCAGCTATTTAAATGAAGGTAAGTACCTCGTGAATGCCGTCTTGTAGCAGCACGTAAATCATACCATGGAGTAACATATATCTTGCATGCTAAAGCTTAGTCCAAAATAATTTTGAGATTATATGTCTGTATTTCACATATTTTATATTTATCAGTAATTGTTTTTGTATTTGTTTAAGGGCGAATATATAATATTTTAATTACAGACACATAATATATTTTGTATTTACAATTAATTTATGTGTCCGTAATTATTATTTTATGTATGTGTAATTAACATATTATGTATTTTTTAATTTATTTACATGCATCTAAACAATTAACTACACTTACATAATATATTAACTGTAAATAAAATTTTTGGATTAAAAACACACACACATTTATTTATTTAAATCTATAAAGCAGCAATGCCCTGCCACTTTCAAAAATCTCCAAAATATATTTTTAAAATTGGTCACATGTTACATGAATTGATTATAAAGAATTGTACTAAACATATCAAATCTCACTTCAGCACCACCATTTTATTTACTCCGTATTATTATTATTATTATTATTATTATCATTATTATTATTATTATTATTGTTGTTGTTGTTGAGAAAATTACATCTTTTGTCCTTAAGTTATAAGATAATTGTAGAATTCGTCTCTTAGTGTTGGTTGTGCTCACTTTTCACCCTAAGTTATCATTGGCGTTGCACTTTTCTTCCTTTTATTAATTACTTTTCGTTCCTAAGCCATACAAAAGTTGCAAATTTCGTCCCTGATATTTTGTTAGTAAATACACGAAAAGTGCAATGCCAATGATAACTAAGGAATGAAAACAACCCTTATGGACGAATTTTATAATTATCGTATAACTTAAAAACGAAAAATGTAATTTTTCCTTATAATTATTGTTGTTGTTGTTGTTATTATTACTATTATTATTTTGCAATGTTTTACTGATTACTCCGTATTAATTTGGACCGAGTATAAGCAGAACTTTTTTTATAGCATTTTTTGGTACATAAATATAGCAATATTAAGAATTTGAGTAGGTAACCAAATGTTACGGACTTCTTTTAATTTTTATTTTTTTGTTGGTTTAAATAATGTATAGTAGCTTGGAGTCATGGACTAGTTCGATTGTAGGGAGTATAAACTAAAATAAATTGACAATTCTTATTAGGTACCACTATACCTTGTGGTACGGTACAATTTTTATTTTTTATTTTTAATTAGGAAAAGGGTCAAATAGGCTCTCGAATTTTAGCTTAAAAGTCAATTAGACCTCTAAATTTTTTAAAGGTGCAATTACACCCATCAACAATTCATTTAGGTGCAATGAAGCCCAAAAACAAGTTAATGACCTGCTATCACAGGTCATTAGAGTTCAGGCCACATTCCGGCGAATTTTTCGGCAAAAAAAAGTGACCAGCAACCGACCCAGATTTGCCGAAAATTGCGCCGGTCACTTTTTTTGTCGGAAATTTTGCTTGTCAATTTTTTTTTTTTTTTTTTTTGTCGAAAAATTCGCCGGAAGGTGGCCTGAACGCTAATGACCTGTGATAGCAGGTCATTAATTTTTTTTGGGCTTCATTGCACTTAAATGAATTATTGAGGGGTGTAATTGCACCTTTAAAAAGTTTAGGAGCCTAATTGACTTTTAAGCTAAAATTCAAGGACTTATTTGACTCTTTTTCCCTTTTTTCCCTTTTTAATTAAAAGAAACTAGGAGCCGCAAAGCCCCGCAGGTCAAACAAGAAAACCTTACCAACAGTTTCATATAGCTTAAAGAAATTGAACACTCCACAATAAAGAAATTGAAAAGCATGCATACCAAAATTTTCATACATAATAGAGATTAGAAAAGAAAAAATATGTGTACCTGCAGAAAAACTACATATTTTATGTCTTGATTTCATTAGTGGAGAAAAAATATAATAAAAGTTAATGAGAGAAATTCAAAAGAAGAGTACGAGCAAACGTGGACCTGGTTCCTAAGCTAGATTATTATAGGATGCCCCACCCTCATTCGCGTGAGTTGTTATACCATGAACCATCCTATGTACTTTTAGTATGAAATTGTGAATTTTTAGAATATAAATTATGTTTATAAGTCAAAATATATTACAGTTGTAGAAGAGAATTTGTGAATATAATACATAGTCATCAAATCATAATCTGTTAATATTGTGTGATAGTATTTGAAAAAAACTTGTAAATACAAAACAAAGTAATCAATTACATATGTAGTATATGTTAACATTGTGTTCATAGTATAAAAATTATAAATTTTTAAAAAGTAAATTGTAAACATTTAATTTAGACCTGCGTCCATAGAATAATTTATTCATTCGAATGCTAAAACACTATCTTAGAATATTTATTATTATTTTATTCTTTTTTGACAAAGAAAACTCACCCTCATTATTCTCGAAAAAAAAAAATAAATATGAGCAAAGATGCATAAATTATTATAGGATGGTCCACTTTGGTTCATGCCACCTTACCAATGCACTATGATAGAGAAATTGTGATGAGAAAATTAGCAAGTCCTATTCGAGAAGGGTATGAGCAAAGCTACTTATATTATTATAGGATTGCCCACCCTCATTCAGTGCCATTAATGCACTGTCTTTGAGCTCATTTACTCTGCGCTTCATGGCTATGGCTTCCTTTCCTTCCATCGCCAACTTAACCACCCTCTCGATCTCTGCTCTTCCAATCACTTCCTCACCGGCCGCCGCCACTGGCCTCACCGCCACACCAACCTCCTCCGACAACATGGCGGCGTTCATCTTTTGCTCCGCGTAAAGCGGCCAAGCAATCATGGGGACGCCATGAACTACGCTTTCTAGCGTCGAGTTCCACCCACAGTGAGATAAGAAAGCCCCGGTTGAAGCGTGGCCGAGCACCGCCGCTTGTGGGGCCCAGTTGGGCACCACAAGCCCCTTGCCGGCCGTCCTATTCGCAAAACCTTCCGGCAAGTAGAGTAACGGATCATCTCCGTCGTCGCTACCTCCGGCGCGGAAGAATGAAGCAGATGAGGTAGCGTCGTTCGGCTTACGCGCCACGAGAATGAATCTTTGTTGGCTCATTTCTAACCCCCAAGCTAGCTCGGTGAGCTGCTTGGTCGATAAACTCCCGCCGCTCCCAAACGCCACGAACAAAACGGATTCCGGCGGCTGATCATCAAGCCAAGCCAAAATCTCCGCTCCATTTCCGTTAACTTCTTCGTCCTTTTTGATCAACGGCCCGATCGGAATAACACGCGGAATCTGAATGCTTTGAAAGAAAGCGTTTTCTTTCAGAGCGCGAAGATCCACTGGCTCGATATCCTCCCAACTGTTCACGAATATTCCGGCGGCTAACGGCAGCCGGCTAACATGATAATAGTACCACTTGTACTCTTCAATCTTCCGGTTCGTTAACTGATCTATAAGGTCTTTGGGGCGGATCGGGTTACACCCCGGAGCCTGAATTAGCCCCGGAAGATCAACGAACTCGCCGACGACTTCCCGGTCGAGCGTCGGAAGGTAGAGCGAAAGCGCAAGCAGGCAAGTAGAAGCGGTCCAGAAAGAGAAAATGGGGATGGAAAGCTCTTTGCAGACATCGAAAGCCTGGGTGCAGAACAGATCGATGACGAGAGCTTTCGGGAGATCCGGGAGCCGCTTAATAATGGACGGAAGAATCTTGATCGACTCGCCGGCGATGGCCGAAATCCGAGTGAGGACTTTCATGTCGTCGTTGAGAATCCCCGACATGTCAATGTCTGGGATTTCGACGATGTTGAGGCCGGCGGGGAGAGACGTTGAGCGGCGGAGATCGTTTTGAGCGGCTGAGGCCTCGGTGGAGATGAGGAAGAAGGTGGCGCGTATGCCGTGATCTTGAACCAAGCGTTTGGCGAACTCTAACAGAGGGATTATGTGGCCCATTCCGGGGCTCGGGAGGAATGCAACATGAGGTTTCAACATACTGCAGTCAGTAGTAATGGCCGCCATTGATGAACTCTCTGAGAAGGAGACTAAAGTTTGAGGAAGAAGAAGGAGAGGACGAGTAAATGTTGAAACTGCATGTGCAAGTGGAAAGAGTTTGGAATATTATTTATAGAACCCAAAAAACTGCAACTCTGCATGAATGACAATTCGATATATAACTACCAACCACTCAGGAAATAAAGCCATCTCTTATGAACAATAAAGCCATCTCTTGTGACTTCTCATATTGATTATTGAATATAACGTAATAGCTTACGGCAGATAATTTGAAAAAGAAAAAAGAAAAAGTTTTAAAAATAGGTTTATTGTGAAAAAAAAAAAATCCAAATTTTCTTCTCCCAAAAGATTGAATCCTCAACCCCAAGACTCCCACACCATGGCCGGACAAAGCATTTTAGATGATGTAAATTACGGTGGCTTAATAACTTAACAGACATGGTCAAATATCCGTGCACACAAAGAATTTGTCCACTTTAAACATAATTGCACACTTTAAATTTATATATATACACTTAAAATTGACAAGAAATTATATCCAATTTTATATGGATGTGGATTACTCAGTAATCTCTGCAAGGGTAGACAAGTTTGACCGCTAAGGGGCAAATTATGCTGTGCATCCGTATGCACCATGCATGGTGCATACGGATGCAAAAACGACGTCGTTTTAATAAAACGCGCGTCTCCTTTAAAAAAAAAAAATCACGATTCCCAGCAATAACATATGAACTAAAATTCCATAATCGATGAACTATAATTCCATAATCTAATCTATAAACTAAAAATTCTAGAATGAATGAACTAAAATTCCATAATCTATAAACTAACATTTCAGAATCGATGAACTACAATTCCATAATCGATGAACTATAATTCCATAATCGATGAACTATAATTCCATAATCAATGAACTATAATTCCATAATCAATGAACTATAATTCCAGAATGAATGAACTAAAATTCCAGAATGAATGAACAATATAATGTTGTTGCCGGGAATCGAACCTGGATTTTTTTAAAGGGGAGACGCGCGTTTTTTAATAAAACGACGTCGTTTTGGCATCCGTATGCACCATGCGATACGGATGCACAGCATAACTATCCCCGCTAAGGCATCCTCATCAGTTTGGGTTTTTTCTCCCTTTTTCGTGGGCTTGAACTTTCACCCATCATCCACTATCTCACTCAATTCCAAAAATCATTTCCCTCATTAATTTTATGTTTTTTTCAAAATTTTTTGTGGACACACACATTTACAAAAATCATTTTATAATTATTTTTTTTATTTATTATCATTTTAAAAAAATTTACTTTTAATTATTACTATTTATATTTAAATTAAATTTGTCAAAATTTAATGTAATTTATAATTATAAAATTTCAATTCAAATAATATGGTATCAAAATTATATACTACATTTACATTACATAAATTAAAAAGAATTTAACAACAAAATTTTTTCGGATACCAAAAGTAGTCGGAACAAGGCTTTCAACTTGATTTAAAATCACTTTCAGGTGGTCGGAAATTCCATAATTTTCAGTAGTGTATATAGAAAAATTCTATAATATAATTACAGTAATATTGAGTACGATAATTAAAAAAAAAAAGTAATAAAATCAAATACATATAACTCCAATATTTATTGATTACGATAATAAAAAAAAATACAATCAAATACATATAACTCCAATAAAAAAAAAAAAAAGTAATAATGTGGTTTGGCTGTTAGCTTATTATTATTATAGTAATAACGTTATCAATTAACCGTAATAATTTTTGGAAATTAAGATTGGAGACTAAAATGGGGTAAACACTAGAGTTTTATCGTAATCAATTAGCAATGATTTTAAGTAAAATAATTATGAGTAAAGGTTTTTAAAAAAAAATTATGAGTCAAAGTTTGACAAATATGCCCCTAAGTTTTGGGGGTAAAACTTTTCCAGGCACTTCAATTATATATATATATATATATATATATATATATATATATATATATATAGAGAGAGAGAGGGGGGGACAGAGCTAGAAATTTAATTGAGGGGGCGAAGAAGTAGGGACGGATTCAAAAAAAATTTCTAGTAAAGACGAAATATTAAAACAAAAAAGATAATTAAAATTAATTAATTAATTAACTAACTAAGAAATATAGTTGTAAATATTATTGGATATGAGCGAAAATAAAACACATTGAAACTTTATAAAAATATTCATAACAAAATATGAAACATAATTAATTTGATAAAATAATTTGAATAGCAAACACATTATAAATTACACATCTTATTATTAATATAAAACAATGTTGTGTGTGTGTCTGTGTTAAATATTTAAAAAAAAAACTATTAAAAACATGACTGTGTTGAAACAATAGGGGAATGAGTCAAAAAAAAAATTGTAAAACTATGTTAATCCTAACGATTTGAAAACCCTTGATCTTTACTCTTGCCAAACATATGTTCTACCAACTATTGCCATTGAGTCATCGTGATTTACGGCAAATTATGTTGTGCATCTGTATGCACCATGCATGGTGCATACGGATGCAAAAACGACGTCGTTTTATTAAAAAACGCGCGTTTCACTTAAAAAAAAAATCAGTTTCGATTCCTAGCAACAACATTATATTGTGCATAATTTGAACTATATATCCAGAATCAATGAACTAAAATTTTAGAATCGATGAACTAAAATTCAGAATCTATGAACTAAAATCAATAATCTATGAACTAAAATTCCAGAATCCATAATCAATGAACTAAAAATCCAGAATCAATGAACTAAAAATCCAGAATCTATGAACTAAAATTCCAGAATCTATGAACTAAAATTCCAGAATCTATGAACTAAAATTCCAGAATCTATGAACAACATAATGCTGTTAAGGGAAATCGAAACTGATTTTGTTTTTTTTTTTTAAGTGATATGCGCGTTTTTAATAAAACGACGTCGTTTTTGCATCCGTATGCACCATGCATGGTGCATGGTGCATACTGATACACAGCATAACGATCCGTTATTTACATCATCCTAAATGCTCTGTCGAGTCGGGGTGTGATTGTGGATTCAACATTTTGGGAGAAGAATATGAATTTTAACATAAAATTATAATACAAATAAGAAAGTAGAAAATAATATATTTTATTAGAAATTGTATTAGACTATTTTATTAGGAATTGTATTGCACTATTTTTCAATATTAGAATATAAATTTTAAAAATTGGGCGGGAAGTTATAGTAGAGGATTTTGTTTTTGGCTATCTGTACGAAGTGACATTTAATACGCATCTTTCTCATTTCTCTCTTTTTTTCCTTTTCCCTTTTTCTTTTTTTCTTTTCCTTTTCCTATGCCTTTCCCTTTTTTCACCTTTCAAAACCACCCATCATTATTCATTATGATATAATTAAATTATTATACATCCTACCCTCTACAAAAGAGTATTTCACTTTCTAGTTTTCACCACATTATGTGACTGATTGATTCATTATATATTTGATTAAGAGTTAATTCCAGCAATGGTCCTCTGACTATAGTGATTTTCCAAAATTAGTTCCCGACTTTTAATTTGGACACTTTAGGTCCCTTGACTTTCAATTTCTTTCCAATTGAGGTCCTTTCGTTAGAATACGGTTCATTAGACTTTAAATGAAGGGGTAAACTCGTCCTTTCACCTGCCTATGTATTATTTTTCGTATTTCTCCCTTCGTATTTCGCTGTTATACCTTGTAAACATCTCAATAATAGAGGAACGCATACACGAGTAGTCAGCAAATGGGGAACAACGAGGAACATTTTAGGGTTTCGACTAAGATTATCTTCATATATATCACGTATACAATGGAGAAATACTAAGAATAATACATAGGCAGGTGAAATGATGAGTTTACCCCTTCATTTAAAATTCAATTAACCGTATTCTGACGAAAGGACCTCAATTGGAAAGAAATTGAAAGTCAAGGGACCTAAAGTGTCCAAATTAAAAGTCAAGAACTAATTTTGGAAAATCAATATAGTCAAAGGACCATTGCTGGAATTAACTCATTTGATTAATAAGCATATTTGTCTTTCCCTTTTTTAACCTTTCAAAACCACCCATCATTATGATATAATTAAATTATTATCCATCCTACCCTTTATAAAAGAGTATTTCACTTTCTAGTTTTCACCACATTATGTGACTGATTGATTCATTATATATTTGATTAATAAGTATATTTTTTAATAAAAAATTATAATCTAGTAATACTATTTTCTTATACAAAATTTATTATCAAATGTCAAAGCACTCTTGCAACCTTATTTATAAACTTTTTAAAAACTTATTTTTATATGGATGATGAACTCAGTTGCTACATTATGATGTGCATTAGATAAATTGTACTTGTTTAATAATCTACAAATTACACATGAAAATAACAGGAATTAGTTTTCTTGAAATAATATTTTTGATTTAAATAAAATATACCTAATTAAATAAATAAATAAAAGAGTTATATTACATTGCTCCTAAATCTTACTTACTAAATTTTACTTTTTAATGTGACAGACACTGATAAACTACTTTTTTCATGTGGATCTTAACACAAATATTTACATCAAAATTTTGTATGTCAAAATAAAAATTAAGAGTAAAAGATGAATACATTATTTTCGTAAAAAAAATTTATCTCATTTTAAAGAAATACTCCACTGACAAAATAACAGGAATCCCATTAGTATGGGTTTGTGCCATTTCCTTTACCCAAGAATTCAAGATATGGGTCAATTCAATTTGGTTGGAAATTGGAATATATTCCATATTGTTGTCTATCATTTTCATGGAATAAGGTACCATGTTTAGTGGTGACAAAAAATCGGATCGAACGAAAAATCGACGATCGAAATCGAAGATATGAGATATTAACTAGTCGCATTTTAAATTATCATAATAATTAATACATAGTTCACATTAATTTATTTTGGTACCAACTTGAATGCAATTTTAATAACAAATATATATTACAACATAACTTCACACAATATTTATCTATTTAATTATAGTGATAAAATTATTGTAACAAATAATTACTCATCGCAATTATTATTACATTAGTGACAAAACATGAAGTCAATACAATTATTGTCACAATTTAGTAATTTTTGTTATGAAATTATAGAGTGTCACAAATATTTGTAACAATTTCATCACAAAAAATAACAATATAAGTGAGAATAGTATTTTTTTTGGCACAATTGTATGTCATTATATTTCTAGTGTATGTTTATTGACAAAAAAAAAAAAAAAAAAAAAAAGTTGTCACAATTATTAAAAAAAGAGTGATCAACAACTATTTATCACAAAAAGTACCAAATTTTGTGTCTACACTATATTTTATCACAATTACCTTCGTTCCCGCCATAATTATAATGTCGCCAAAATGTACATACATTTAGTGATAATAAATAGTAACAACTTTGGTTACGACACTATCATTTTAGTAATAGTGACAACTTATTTGTAACAAATACTTAGATATCACAATTACAATATTACATACATCAGTTTTAACCAAACAAATAAATCTAACATTTACTGCAATTCAACATTCCCTAAAGTAATATAATATTCTGTGAACCAAACACCCCCTAAGAGGTAAATTCATGAACCTTAAGTTGGAAAGTGATGCACCTTAAGCTTTAAATTTATGCACCTAGAATCCAAAAAATTGTTATTCATTAGGAAAAAAAAGTGTGCAAGTCTGGAAGTCGTTATTCACAAGGAAAAAGGGTTGTGCACCTTAAGCTGGAAAATGATGCACTCACCGAACAAAAATAATGAACCCAACTAAAAAAATTTAAACTTACACAAAATTCCCATTATACCACTGCATTTAAAAAACAAAAAAAAAAAAAAATCTTCATTTTGAACTGTTGATTTTAACTAGATCAATGGCTGAGATTTCATTATGTTTTTTACTTGAAAATTCTTTCACATTTGATATATATATATATATATATATATATATATATATATATATATATATATATATATATATATATATATCCACGAAACCATTCAAGCAAATAACTTCAACTTCCAAGTTACTTGAACAGGAACTCAAGCAGGTCGGTGTATTTTGTCGATATGAGACCTTATTTATATAGTGGTGTAATAAGCTTAAAGAATCGATATTACTGCTAATGTTTTAAAATTCAAATTCCAGTACGAACAATTTAATGTATGTATTAAGGATTGCAAAAATAATTTTAGGTTTTCTAAACATTTATTAATTGCAATTAGCTTGATTGGCGTGAGTAGCCGTGCACTCTTGTCCCTTAAGAGAGGTCGAGAGTTTGAATCTTCTCTCGTCTAAAAAACTAATATGGTCAGTACTTTGTCTCTTGGGTCGGTCTGAACGAGAATTAGTATGATAGGAGTATGCTCAGGACACTTCGTGATCTGACAAAAAAAAATACATACTTTTCCAAAATACGAAGAGTTGACAAAGAAATGTCTCTACATGCTTGTAATTATTATGCATGCCTCCCAGCCCAACATCGGCCCATTAGAAATTGTCTAGTTCTTCTGCGTCTTCTTAGTAGGCTTAATCGCTCTCCCTCCACAAACCGTGATCACCGCCTTCGCAATTTAACCTTCAAAAATTTCTCAGAATTCCTCCATTACCAGCGTCCACTCCCAAAGCTTGTACTAACCTTTGCACCTAACAATGTCGGTGGCGACCGGCGTGCAGCGGAGCTCCGAGCGGCTGTAGAAACGGGTCCAGGATGCGGAAGAGCGGTTTCGAAGAAACCCGAGAGGTCCATGAAATTGGCTGCTCAAACCCTGAGATGGGATAGATCGCGACAAACACCGGTAATTTACCGCTATCAATTACTAATATGTGTTTTTTTCGTGTAAATTAATTATGTTTATTGCATCTTCTTGGCTGTTATGATCGATTAGCTGCCATAAATTACAAATGCATTCACTATCAAGTCCGCAATCGGTCATAGAGTGATCTGATAGTAACTGGAGAACTTGCAGTATCAATTTGGTGCTAAGCTAATCCTTTGTATGGATCTGATTAGGTAACCTGTTTATTCCTTAGCATTGAGTTTGGATTATTAGTCAACAACTGCTGGCTGTTTGTGAATCACAAATCTCTACAAGGAAGATTTAATTTCAATGGTTTAAACACCAAACTCAGAATTGATGGCGAACTATATGATTTGAATATGTGGTGCAGGGGCCTACCATTGTTGTCTGTTCATTCATGCATGCAAGCTGCCAGGATGGTTAATGAATAATGATCATCCCGTTACGTTGATACAATGAATGTAGCAATAATGCCAAATGGAGAACAGTTTGAAAAGACAGATGTTCAATAGCTCCCCAAGGTAAACACTAAACACTACCCAACCACAATCAATAATTAGCCATTGACCACCTGAAGTTCTTCCTCTATCAATATGAAGCACAATTGACATGTCATAAGCAGAAATCCTCTAGAATGGTTTCAAATAGTCAATACTGACTGCTGAGCATGCAGTAAGTCCTCCATTAATGAGTCCATTCCATTCAACTGTAGGGGCATAGCTCAACTAGTTGACCAATTCAAAAAGGGTTAATAGCTCTGGTTATTGGAAGCCGTAAGCCTGTAGGGTTTGAGTCCAAGGAAACCCATATTATAGGTTATTGAGATACACTATGTGATTTACCCCTCCACGGCTCCACCAATGCTCCAAGGTAGGAACAAGTAGTGGCCCTCAGGATTGGGTAGCTCTGCTATACTAGTAGCCACAAGCCTGCAGGGTTCGGTTGTAGGTGAACCTATAGGCTATTGAGATACATCCTGTGATTTACTCCTCTACCAAGGCACCAAGATTAGAGCAGGCGGGACTCTCAAGATTGGGGTACAATCACGAGAGTTAATAAGGAAATGATGATAACCAGCTTAGTTGGCGTGAATGGCCGTGCACTCTCATTCCTTAAGAGAGATTGGAAGTTTGAACTCTCTCTCATATGGAAAAACCAATCTGGTCAGCACTTTGTCACTTAAGTGGGCCAGCCCGGTGCAAATGGGGATTAGTCTGAGTATGAGTATGGTACGGGCTTAAAGGTTCTTCTTACAGTTTGGACATACTCAGGACATCTCATGGCCTGACAAAAAAAAAAAAAAAAAAGGAAATGATGATGATTTTGGTTAATGGTAAACAAATTATGATTCATTATTGTATCATTTGTTCTCTTTACTCAAGATGTTGAAGGAACTGTCAACTGTGTATATTGTGTCATTAACTTTGCCATATAAGTGCAAACATAGCAACAAGCAATACATGTGAACCCAGTGGAGTATACCAGCAAAATGATAAGGTTTTTGTTGGAAAAAATTATGGGACATACAAAAGTGGCCAAACCTCTTATAATTTATAAACCAGTTAAACTACTTTGGGGTGCATTTATTTATTTTGTTTGTCTGCTCATAGGTATAACATCCGTGTGCATGAACATGCCAGACATTGAAATCTCAACTAACAATGGACCCCAACAACACCTAAAAAAATGATGGTCAAAGGTCATAAAGAATGGCATCTTAATAAGAGGAAACTCATTGAAACAAACAAGGGATTGTTAATCAATGGCAGGTATTAAATTCCTTTAAATCTGCCTTTGTGCGTGCATTTTTGTCTTCCAGGAATGTGACAAGACATGATGGGTAAAAACAAAGGTATTTTACTGAACAAGGAATGCAACTGTGATGAACATGAATATCTGGTACAAATTTGCAGAAATATCTCCACTACAATGAAGAGAAGGGAGCAATATTACTCCAAATAATAATATAATATATCTATCTACATGTAATTCTTGTAAGAAGGAAAAAGGCAAAGAATTTTAAAGGGAGTTTTTAATTACTACAAGGAAATGAAAAAAAAAAGAAGGAAAAAGAAAAGAACTTCATAAAGAATTAAGAGGAGACAAGCAAGGGCCGATTCGATGAACTACTCATGAGCGAGCACTCCCGCTCCCAAGCGTGAGCTCCAGATCATCCAATCCTACCTCGTGAATTCTTTCACCTTCCCATGCCTTCATTGCAACCTTCTCGAAGTCAAACTCCATGCTTTTACCTTCCTCGGTGAACATTGCATCACTAGACGGAATTTGTTGAGCAACAGGTTTCATGAGGTTAAATGTCGGGGAAGTTGGAACCACGCTAGGTGCATACTTCTGAAAGCTCATCCACTGGCCCGAATCAATGGTGGATGTGTCGGATTCATCGCATTCAGGAATAGTGGCAGGGAACCGATGCCCACGAGTTGGGCTGGTGGGGGCAGAAGCAAAGAAAGAGATGTTGAAGGCTGACATTGAATCTTTGGCCAAAGTTTCCAGATTGAAAGTCTGCTTGAGAACCCTGGTTGGGGAAGAAAGCGGTGGGGTTACAGGGGCACTGTTCGATATCCTTAGGGCAGGTAGTGACGAAGGAATGCTGTTATGGAGAAATACAAATGGATGTGGAGAAATATTGGCATCGCCTCGTGTTGGACTGGGACATGCCGAGGATAATGGACTAGCTTGGTAAGATGGAATTGGACTAGCAAAGTAGGAAGATGGAGGGCTTGGATTGCGCGACGAGCTTGGGGTGATGTTCGCTGAAGTGCCTCCAATCTCCATTGGGATTGGCTTGCATCCCTGAATGGCATTCTAGTAGTTAGCTCAGATCAGATATCTATCTATAATCTATTGATTTCAATGAACTTTGCCAATCTATTCTACTCATCAGATATGCAAATCATAACAAGTTGAACCCAAATATACTTCAGTCCAAGAGAGAATTCATCATAAAAGCATCAACAGCTAGTTTTAGGTTTCAAATCACTGAAGCTACTAGACTGGAACAACACCTCCATCCAAGATTTATCCCCATTTTGGAGAAACAAATTCAGACAACTTTTCATCTCTAAAATCTATTTCCTTTTCTGGGAGAAGTTTTCATTAAATCTTACCAGTTTTGGAATTCTGGAATTAGAATTCATTAAACCCTGCCAATTATGGAAGTTCATAAATTCCCAGATCAAAACCCTGAAACAGTCTATCATCATACCATATATGAGAAATATTGATTAATACACTGCAATTCCACCTGAGAAACCTCTAGATCTATCCAAATCAAAGAAAAATCCCAGAAATGCAGATCGAGAAAAAAAGCAGAAATCCGAGAGAGAGAGAGAGAGGGAGAGAGATTTGGGAAGGAAGGAGAGTAGAACCTTGCGATAAGTGGTGCCATCGGGCTCGACGATCCAGCCAGCTTCAGTACAGAGAGCCTTGAGGACCTCGTTGTTATCACAGTGCTTGGGAAGATTATAGTTCCCCTGAGCTCTCAGACCCGTATATATCTTCGCAGCTATGGCTCTCCTCCTCCTCTCTCTCCGCCGGTTGTTCTCTCTCTCCCTCCACGACGGCTTCCTCCTCCCGCTACTACTACCCCCAACGCCACCCTCGCCGCCGCCTCCCGACAACGATGCCGCTGATCCTCCGGCTTCCCACATCATTTCCCTATCTCTCTCTATCTGGATGAATAGTACAGAGAGAAGAGAAGCGTATATGGCGTTTCAGAGTGCTCACGAGGAACACGATCTCACAGCCTCTGCTTTCTGGTATTAGAAGAATCTCTCAGTTTCTTACTACGGAGTACTTTTTTTGTTCGGTGTATTTTGTTGGGCATTTATATAAATAAAAGCATTTGCATATTAGACAGGATTTGCCTCATTATTGTATATTGAGCAACCACATGTGTATTGCCTACCACAAACTCCCAAATTTCACATCACTTTATTAATACTCTCAATACTTCAATTTTGTGTGTATTTTGTTCCTTATTTTTTAATTTTTGCGTAAATTAAAAAATTTCTCGGCTCAGATTGCCCATAACATTTAAATCAAAAAAACTAATAGGCAACTCTCAAAATGAATTAAAATTTTGTAGTTACAAAGGTAATTGTCCAGCCAATTTCGATTGTTCTTTATTTAAAAAATAAAATAAAAATTGAGTCATAATAGGATAACATCAAAAGTTTAGTTACAATTTAGGCAATATAATTTAGAAATAATAATCTAGACTATATTAATATAGTTTTATGATCTATGTTGTTATTATACATTTCGAAAGTGATTTATTTAATCCTTACTTCAATTATTTAATTAAATATTTTTTTTAAAAAAAACATACTCTAAATAATCCCATTTTCCATGTTTGTCAATGATTATGTTAATTAGTATAATAATAATAATTATTATTATTATTATTTTGTTATAATTTGTATGTGAATCAATAATACATAAATGAGTTGACACTGATAACAAATTATTTATAATTAGAATCATAAAATATGATCAAAATAAATAATTGTGGATATGATCAATTCGGCATAATTATTGAGATATGAAGTATATTACAACAAGGGATGACAAGAGGGTATGACAGTGTGAGATGGTTTACTGTGGTTTTAGCTTTTCTTGATAGTTTGGTTGTGTGGAAACTTAGGCTGATGATGATTGTGGTGTGGTGGACCGGGCTGTGCTTAGGGATTCATATTAATTTTGAATGAATTTTTATTACTCCACTCCATATCTTTTTTTTTTTTTATATATAAAGTAATATATCACAAATTTTATTTTGTCTAACTTCATATGCTTTGTATTTATTAATAAATTATTAATAAATTAATAAATATAGTAAGGAGCTCCCGCCGCCAGTGAGACTCAATCCCAGATCATTGTTCTCAAATTTCATCTTTGTGATCAACTGAAATGTCCATACGGACTATTTTTGAGGAAGTTGTAAAGAAGAGATGATGGGGTTGGGGTCTTTGGCTTTTGACATACAAGTCAAAGTCCAACAACTATTACGAAAGTTGGTTGCGATGCAAAGCAAATGTTTTACTAAAGCAAAAGTGCAAGTAGTAGCAGTAATGTGAAACCGTAGCAAAAGTGAGAAAAAGGGAAACTGCGGCCAGGCCGGTTGCCACTTTGGCCCTGTGTGGATGTAGTGGTCAACCACCCAGTTGCTTTCTGCCACGTAAGCTGTGGGACCCAGACATAGACACCGCACATGAACACTCTTGTAGCTGATGTTTGACGATTGATGAGATGTATATGTATCTACAATCCTGGATCCTCAAATCCTCAATGGATCTCATCACCTCGTCTCATGTTTAAAACAAATCAATTTAGTTTCAGAGTCAATGATGTATATTTTTTGTACAAAGAGTTCAATTTAAACTTAAATTTCAATATTCGTGGTTGAAATCGACCTATCATACTATTTAAAGCAAATTTTAAATTGGATTTCTCATATGCTGAAAGCAAACTCTACTTTTTTTATTTTATGTTACATTTTATCATTCACAACAAATTTTTGGTTTATTTCCTTATATTTATTCATCAGCATGACATATACATACAATAGTTGATTATCTAATATTATACTTTGTGGTAATTAGATTAACAGTATGCTCACCAACTGTTATAGCGGAATGTGTTAACCCAAACTGGAAAATATGGACACCATGTGCAATAGCAAATTTAATTTATAAGCAACTTCATCCAAACAGAGGTCTATCTCTTATATCTCTTACAAACAAATCGCATTGCAACAGTTTCACATCATGCACAATTAAGTTTCCAGGCCAAACTTTATAGGCTTCTGATGTCAAGACTTCACAGCAACTGCACTTCTGGCTCTAAGATTATGCACAAGAAGGAAAGAATGTCTGTCCAACGTATCCTCCAGCCATTGCCCGTCTCACATTGGATTCAAACAACTTTGGGTTGTCCCGCAACACAGCTGCTGCATCTGGATTGAGGGGATCCTCGTGATTTGGTTCCTGTACAAATACAAGCTCCGACTATTACCATACACTTGGAAAGACCTCGCATTTGAAATTCTTAAATGTATATGATACATACAGTGAAGAGATGATATAGGCCGTAAATGATGGTGTTAATGTTCAGCACTGGTTTCCAGTCTTCTCGAAGAATGTTAAGACAGACATTCCCCTCCAGGTCAATGTTTGGATGGTAAACCTGAAATAAACCAGTTGTCCAGTTTTATGGGTTCATGGTACCAGGAAGTCATGAAGTTATGTCTTTCAAAGCTCAGACAGGAACAGTTTCAGAAAACACTCATAAAATACAACATGATAGGGGCAACCCCAACCAAAGTTGGTCGGGTTGTTGGGTTGATATCCCATTAAGGTTCCAAGTTCGACTTTAAATGGGAGCGGTCTAAGACTTCTTGGTTTTAGTCGGTCAGTTATGAGCAACCTAGACTACTTTATTTCATTATGGTCCTTAGCTGGCTAGAGTCATAAGGTGAGATTTATTCGGTGCATACTCTCAGGTAGTGGTTGCGGGTTTCCCTCGTCACCAAACAAAACACACACACACACACACACACACACAACATGATAAATATTTTCTACAACTTACCTTTGTCTTGCATTTAACCTTTGGTGCTTCGTGAGGATATATAGGAGAAATTTTGAAGGAGAATAGGAATGTGCCACCTCTAAGTACAAGAAATTGAGATCAACACAAGCATAAAGGCATAAAAATCAATTTGCAATGATGGAGATCTCTGAAGATGTTTCCTAAATATGCACTGTAATTAAAAAGAAAGATATACTTACGAGTAGTATCCTTCATCAGGCCAAATTGAAACCTCAAAGTTCATGAGGTCATCTTTCCCATTAGGGAAAGACATATTACATGTTTTTGGCAGGTTTAGCTCACTTATATCTACATCAAATACAATAAAGAAATCAATGCCACCAATATCCCTCAAAATACAGGTAACAGAGAGAAAATCAGCCTTATACCCTTGTATAAAAACACTTCTAACAGAGTACAAAAAGAGTACCAGAAAATGAGAGAAACAATAATCCTTTTCAAGTAAACAAATGCATGGATAAAAATGAGAAATACTCATAGCAGTATAAGGAATAAAAATAAATGGACATTGATCACTTAATAAACAACCTTTATGAAGACGGAGTTCTCCTGCACTTTGCTTCTTCACAGGAGGTTTCCCATTTGCATTTTCAGCAATCTCCCTTTGTTTTTCCTTTACTTTAAACAGCTTAATCATGGTCTCTACCTGAGATAATCATATGATCAATCCAGAGAGTCAAACAGAACACATAAATCAGACGAGACAAATGAAACAATTTCTGCCTATTCATATAGAATTGCAGTGTTGGGATGCAAAACAAATTGCTTCACTTACACTGACACTGCATAACCTAACAGATAAAAGTTCCTTGCAAGCCAATAAAATCATTCATAACAAGCATTCAACTTAAGTGCTTGAGAGCACCGTTAGGCTTAATGTGGGAAATTCTACAATGCAGACACCATACAAGCTGAGCAAATAGTTATCAAATTGTATATTTGAACTCCAACGCTCAATACGTTTATCTACTCACAGAAACAACTAAAGAAGAAAGTTCAACTCTTAGCAGAAGTGGCCTATTGGCCTTCTTGATTTGAGCCGATCAGTTATGGACAACCTAGCCTGGCTTACTTCCTTATGGTCATTTGCCAGCTAGAGTCACAATGTGGGGTTTACCCGGTGCACACCATTGGATAGTGGTTGCGGGTCTCCCTCATCACTCCAAAAAGAACTGATCTTAGCAAATAATCCATATCAAAAATACTAAATCCAAGTATTATTAGCTTCAATTCAATTCATAAAAAGGGAAAGGTCAATTTCTAGCAGCACTAGGGCTTTACATAGATTACAAATAGAAAATATTAAAACAACAATAAAAACTAATACAGGCACCAAATCACCAATACAAATTAGTTAAGCATGGAGGACATGGCATTTTCTTTTTAATTTTGTTGCAATCATGTCCTAATTCCTAATGATGAACTTTTTTATTTATTTATTTAAATTCCAATACAGGCAGGCCTAGTCAAACTGGGTAAATTAATAATCCCGCAAATAAATAAACTACGGATAAACCCAACTAAACAATTGAGCGTTCATTTTATGAAGAATCAACGACCTAAGATCAAACGTTGAGGAGCCAGAAATTATAATTTGATTAAGGAAATAGGAATTATGAATAGGAACTGAACAGGAATCGATAGCAGCGTAGAGATGAATCTACGTATTGGTAGAGAGTATTATGATATGCATACATATAAGATATATATAAGCGTATTCAATGACAAAGGAGATTGGCTTAAACCTATTCGATGAAAAGCCGCACAGAAGCTGAGGCCTGATGATTGATTAATGATATCCAGGTTCGGCCCTAGAACTATAATGAGAGAGAAATGGCTATATTATCTGAGAATCTGAAATGGACATATTAGGACTCTCTATGCTAGTCTCTCTAATTTTTATTGTATATATTTATAATTTCTACCTTTGTAATTACATTCATTAAATACAATTCTATCAGTTTTTATTTTAGGGTTTTGGTTTTCTTTCTTATGACTGACGGATTTATTCAGAACAGACCGTCTCGAATGTTGGAATTTCTTCGGTCACATTTCTTGTTTATTGCTCATCACTTTATCAGTATCAAATTGACCTACAATAATTTCCTGTTCTGAAAAGCTCAAATGGTTCCTTTTCTTGACGGTCGTGATTTAATGGGGTTTATTAATGGTCCGGTTCATTGATGGTTTGAACCCGTGTCTGCCGACTTATCTCCGTGTCGAAGAAGGTGCGTCGACGCAGCCTAATTCCGTTCATAGAGTCTGGGTTCGACAAGATCAGTCTCTCTTGTCCATGGTCATGTCCTCGTTGTTCGACGAGACTAAAATAGTAAGTCATAGACTGATTCAAATACATAGAGTCCTAATAAGACATACGGAGCGAGGTATATTTTCCAGAAAAAGAAAAGTACTTTTCTCTTTCTCTCCATTTTGTACGGATTTGAGTTTAATTAATTAAACTTAAAGGAGTATTTAATTTTCTTTTGAATCAAATCTACAAACACTATTTGAAGCTGTTCACGATATAAACTCTGCTTTTATATTATAATAATAATCGCTACACGTAAGAAATCATACAATGTGCTAGATCAAGAGAGTGTTAATAAAACTTGAACTCGTGATAGTAAGAAAATTATGTTTCCCTCACCTAAACACCTGTAATTATAGGTCGAAGAAGAACGGATCAATATTGACCTCTGGACCGATTTGGGCTGCCAATATCTAGCTTAGGCCCATCTAGAATTATAGTCCAGCCCATTTGTGAAGATTGATGAGCAGAATCGGGTGTAAGAGCAACTCCAACGAGACACCATTCCGCCAAATATCAACGCCATTGCATCATCCCCTCATTTTTTGGAACTCCAACCCACGGCAAATCGCCAAATAATTTGGCGATGATGAACAGTGCTGCGCTATATTTGGCGCAACACTGTTCATCCACGGCATTTTCCTGGAAAAAATTTAATTCCTGTTTTGCCCTTACTTTTATTTGTTAATTCCTTTTGTATTCTTTATTTTGTTTTTATCTATTTATATATTTTGTTAAATACTTAAATATAAATATTATATTATTATAAATAAATTATATCATTTGAAAGATATTATCAAGACGATTAAAACGAGACTAATATTGAATATATATTAATTAAAAATTAAATAAATCAAACATAATAACATCATAAAAATAATGTTACTAATTTTTTTTTTTACATCACAAATTATTATATTTTATATTAAACTAATTAAATTCGAATTAATAAAATTTTAAAATTAGAGAAACCATATTATTTTAGTGTAAAATAACATTTGATGTAAAAATTTGGTGTTTTGGTGTAATGAGTTGGAGATGAATACAATTTGGTGTAGAGAATATTCTCTTTGATGTGACATTTAGTAGAGATTTTTGGTGTTTTGGTGTTAAATGGGTTGGAGATGCTCTAACCGTGCAACGACAGGAGAATATAGCGCTTTTCCGGCAAATTATATTATGCACCGCGGTGCATAATCGATTATGCACCGGGCGTCTTTTTTTTTTAAATGAAAATAAACAGTGTTAGTTTCCGCCGTTTCGCACCCTTTTGCAAAAAGTAACTCTGTTATTCAGTGTCATTTTGTATACACTGCAGTTTCAGTTCAACACAACTACAGTTTCATTTCAATATAACTATAGTTTCATTTGATATTTATAGACTCAAATATGTGAAAATGTTATTTAATTTTATTTTATATACACTATAGTTTCATTAAAACACAACTACATGATTATTTTGATATAATTACAGCTTCATTGTACAATATACACACAAATATGTGAAATGTTATTCAGTTTCATTTTATATATACTACAGTTTCATTTCACTATAACTATAGTATCATTTTGATATAACTGCAGTGTCGGTTTAAATATATTATAGTGTCAGTTGGTGTTTAATACACCAAACAAGCGGACTTTGTTAACTCTAACGGCGGGCCGTTTCTTCACTTAAAGAAACGGCGCCGTTTTTGACCGCGGTGCACATGCACCAAGGTCTATAATATAACGACTGCGCTTTTCCGGAGAGTTGCCGGACCGGACCGGACCTAACCGAATCTTCTCCCGCGTAGTACGCGGTCGGATAAGGTTCGGAATCCGTACAAGCGGGCCCAGTTGCTTTGGATTGCCGCTTGCGCTATTCATCCAATAGTACTTCGCCACGTGCTGCGCTTCCAGTGATCAACGCGCCAAACGCCACACCACCGAGCCGCCAGCAGTAGAGCTCACACTGTCACTCGCCAGTCGCCACTTTTTACTGTAAATTTCGATACTTTTACAGTTAAATTTTAATTAATTAACTTAATTTGAATTATGCCGTTGTTAAGTTCGCTGAGCAACGAAGTATCAAGAAAAATTTTCTGGGAAAAGAAGAAAAAACAATGTCATTGGTCAATCAACTAACCACGGTTCCAAAACAACTCGACAATCTCTATATAAAAAGCAAAAGCGGTGGTTTTGATTTTGAGTAGTGGCTAAGAGAGGTGAGAGAAGGAGAAGAAAGAGAGAGAGAGAGGGGCAGAGTGAGAATCAAGGTTTGTATTTTCCTCCGAATTATCCTTAGCCCACTTCCAAAGTTCAAAGCTTTTACCTTTTTGCATTTTATTTTCCTTAATTCTTGGTACGGATAACCTGTGATTTACTTTGTGCCTGATCCCTGATTCTTGGATGGTTTTTATGATTCTTGTTTTGTTGTTTCCTTCCTGATTCTTGAACGCCTTTGATGATTCTCATCTTTAGATTGCTCTTATGTTTGTTGTTGAGGAGAAAATTTGGATTTTATGAGGAACATGGGTTGTTTGGTTTTCTGTTAATATGGTAAATTCCAAATTTTGTAGAGGTATAGGGGAGGGGGTTGATGGTTTTCCCATCATAGGTTGAAGAAATTTGTTGAGCCTATATACAAATTTGTTGTTAGTCTTTTGGAGTCAATGCTAAGTCAATGGGTCATGCTGTTGCTTCATCATTTTTAGTAAATTAAGCTAATTTTGGATTTCTTATAAGATCTTCTTTATTTGGTTCTTTACCTTTTCTGTTTAAACTCAATCTATGAAGAATTTAGTTTAGATTAGATTTCTTTAACAAATCTCTGTGACACCCCAAGATTGATAGTTTGATATAATTGGATGCGATGGTAGGATCGAGTTGTAAGACAGTAGTTGATCAAGGGATTAAATCAGTTTTGGCCTGCTTTTGCTTCGACCTGTTGCTGTTTCCTATATGTTGTTCGATTTCTTTAATGAATCAACATATGTGACATGTTCTGTTTTGTTTATGGGTTTTCTGAGAACATTCTTTTGATCTATGTAGACGGAGGTGTGATTCGTTGTTTGGTTTGGTTCTCCTGGTTGTTAGCCATGTGCCCCCCTGCAACTACTCCTCCTGATGCTATTGATTTGTATTGGACTGATGAGCAGATATTTTTACTTCTCGAAAAAGTTAAAAATGGGTCTGCTCTCCCAAATAACGTGTCTGAAGACATAAATACATACCACTTCCTGCCTTCAAATTTGCCGTGTAAGCATAAATTCATGTAACAGATTACTTTTGAGAATTGCTATTTTACCAATTCTTTTGGTGCACAAAGTTCTTGAAAAGATTGGCTATTTTACCAATGGTTTGTGAATTGTGATGTGTGCAGCTAAAATATGGTACCTAGTACAACCAACTGAGTCAAAGAAGTCGGAGCATGGATTCTGGAAAGCAAAAGGGGAAGCTAGTCGGATATATCAAAATGGTTCCATTTATGGTTGGAGGTCTACGCTGGAGTTTTTTGAAGGCCCTAATGGACGAAAAACTGGCTGGGTTTTGCAGGAGTACAAGACCGAGAAGGGAGGATATAGTGAGAAGAACCCGAAGGTGTTCACTCACACCATATTAGTATTCTTGATTTTCTTTATTATTGCTATTATCGTGGCAAGCCCATTAGTGTATTGATGGTTTGGTTTGAATTGCAGCAATCTAGATCATTGTGCACGGTTTTCCAATGCTGTGGTGGGAGCCCTAACGACATGCCATCGGTGAAAATGTTGTCGAGTGCTCCCAATGCTAACCGGGCTTCAGGAGTAGGTTCCACAAGTGAATCTCAGGTTCTTACTGCTCAAATCCCTTCGGTTGTTCTCTGTTTGAACACCTTATATTGTAGTCTAAAATCCCCGGCTTCTTCTGTAGGCGAAGAGCAAGGATGCAGGCAGCACACAATTGCCTGGAGTTGATGAAGCTATTGATGATCCTCGTAACGAAGCTTTAATCAATCAACTGCTGATGGAAGACGGGTTAGAACTGGATGATCTTACTGGGAACATTGGGGCATTGCCTGCAGCCAACAAAGCTGAAGATCCTGAAGATATAATAACTGGCGACTTCTTGGAAATGAATGATCTTGATGGCAAACTCTCCCCTTCCTCGAGTTCAGGAAATTCAAGTCACCATAATAGCTTCGCATCTGAAGATGACTTCTTTGCCACTGTGAGAAACATGGATGATGACAACAATAATGGAGACCCGAAGGGAAAGGGCTCCAGCTACAAGTGCAAGAATATGGGACCGGTGAAACCAAACGAGGTGATTATTCAGCTCGCCCCATCAGGTATGTCAAATTTAACGACTATAATTGTTCAAGAATCAAGACTTATATTCTTCCATTTATGAATCGATAACTCTGAAAACGTGTAATATAATGGCATTGACAGGATCCCTCGTTAAAGCCACTGGAAGCAAGGCAGCAGTTGAAACTCGGCCAACTTCATCAACCAACTCCAACATCCATATAAAGCCGCCACAACCCCAGCCATTAGGAGGCCGAGGCCCTCTTCATCGAGCAGCCACGAAGAACAAGTTTAAGAAGTACCTTTGCTTTCTCCCTTTCTAGATTCTCAATGTTATGCTATTAGCCTTAGCTGTGGCCTGTGTGCCTGTGAGAGAGAGAGACAAATAATAAGCATAAAGAAAGGTAGAAGATAGTTTAAATTAGTGAGAAGTGACAACCATTATCCCCCTAGCTAGAACAGCTGTTTATTGGAGGACAGCCACTTAGCCAAAAGAAAACAAGTTTTTTCTTCTTCTATAGTGTGATGAAATGTCAGCAGACCACAGCTATTTACAGTTCATAAACTTATAGTCAAGCAGTATAAGCCTTAGGTCTCCATAGGAAAAGTCTCGAGTTCAATGCTCGTTTCCCTCAAGTGTACGAAAAATTCCCCATAAAATAAAGCATTGTTCGATATGGTGTTATATATTTTCATTTGAAGGTGTATATTTTTGTCTTGCTTTGCTTATTTTACTCGTAACATAACTGAAATGTGAAAATTATTTTTGTATCTCAGAGTACATGGAGTCGCACAGAAACTGTATTGTGATCGTAGAAAAACTAAGGAAACTTGAGCGCGGGTGTTCTTTCTTGGATTCGTGGTAATAAGTTATTACTATGAGGTCAAGAAGGAACACACTCGGTCAAGTTTCTTAGTTTATCTGCAATCACAATGCCACTAAAGGGTCATGTATGAAGAAAATGCTCTACAATTGTCACTGATTTTCTTAGCTTCTTTCAGGGGTTAATACCATCTGCAGTCCTCCGAGTATAGTGGTTTTGTCATGTTTAGTCAACTTTCAAACTGACCACCCGTGGTCCAAGTTAACCACTCATGGTCCTTCAACTATCAGATTTTAATCAATCATGGTCCTTTCAGGATTACCACGACTAGTTAAATTTTGGAAGTTGAAGGATTATGGGTGGTAAACTTGAAGGTGGTAACAATTTAAAAGTCGAAGACCTATGGATGGTCAATTTGAAAGTTTAAGACTAAACGTGACAAAACGATTATACTCGAAGGGCCCTATACGACAATAACTCCTTCTAGTTTCATATTTTTAGTAGTTTGTTGATGTGTTATAAGTTCTCAACACTCTTGTAATAGGTTGCTATTTTGTGAGTGCCACACTTTTAAACGTGACTCGATATGATTCTTATTTTTATTATGATGTGAAATTCAGTACATCACAAAACTTTCTTAAGTTATAGGAAAATTGTACAAGTTACCTATTACCACTTGACAACGTGAACTTTGAATCCGATGCATCTAATATTATCAGGCAATCGATGCTCTTACATGTAAGAAAAAAATGACATGTTTTGGTAAAAATATATGATGTTTATAAGTTTTATAATATGATTTACACTCAAATAGTCAAATTTACTTCAATGTTTATTTTTTTTTTGGAAAGAAATTTACTTCAATGTTAAAAATCATTTGATTCTCTTTGTCAAATTAGTAACTTTTAGTTATTCACACGATCATAAAGTACAAAACAACTTATGTTGGACCATATAAAATATATTTTTATTCAAAAATGAAGCAATCGAACTTATGTCGTATTTGTTGGATCCAACTGGAGGTCTTTATTATTTTTATATTTTATATTACTATAAATTTTTACAAATATTTACTCATCTCCGGTATTCATTGACTTCCTTTTGTATTCTGTTATTGTCCCTATCATATACTCCGTAATTGCCTTTATTATTATTTTCTTATTGCAATATGCTTTTTCAGTTTTCAACATTTTGATCATTACAAATTTACACAATTTTTTTGGCAACAAGAAAGACTCGCATATACAGAATATACTATAGTATATCTGAAAGTATACACTTAATAAATTTTATTTTTGTGTAATATAAAGTATATATTAAACAAGAAAAGTATATTGTATTATAAATATTTTGTGTGATGAGTTTTACTATAAGGATTTTGTATTGGGAAGCCAAGTACCTAAAATAATGTCCCACCTTTTCTTATTGGGAAAAAATTGTATGAATTGTAAAATGAGTTGGGTCAATATGAATATAATACTTATATTATCAACGGTTGTTATACAGTAGACCATGGTCCATAGTGTTTGTAGATCATTGTTGTCAAATGAAATTATAGTATAATTAAAATGAAACTTTAGTGTTGTTAAAATGAAATTAGTGTGTGTGAAAAATGAAACTAAAAAACATATCTCATTCAACAACGTATTGTCAAATGGAACTGTAGTATAATTAAAGTGATACTTTAATATTGTTAAAATGAAACTAATGTATGGCCAAGATCTTATGGTCTCATGGCACAAAGATTACACTCCCATATGAGAGGTTGTGAGTTTGAGTTTTAGTGGATGTGTTATTGTAATAGAGTTATACTAAATGTATACATTCAAAAATCATGATCAAATGTAATACTTAATTAAAAATAAAATATTTATTACATATATGAGGAAATGTAATACTTTTACATTTTAATATAAAAGTATTAAAATTTTCATCAAAAGTATAACATTTTCCTTTATAAGTGCAACATTACTTATAAGAGAAAATATATTACTTTTTATTTAAAAAGTAATACTTTTACATCAAAATCTAAAAGTATTATATTTTCCCTTATAAGCAACAAACATTTTATTCATGATTTAATATTACATTTGTATATTTGTTTGACCCGACCCGACCCGTCTCACATATAAGATCCGTGCAATAGTATAACACACGTGTGACATTTATTTGTTTTGTTTTATTTTATTCATTTTCATTTTAAATATCTACTTCTATTAACAATATTTTATTTGTATTGTTTAAAATTTAATGTTTATAATATTTAATATTAATATCAATATTTTGTGTACTTAGAAATTATAGGAAAATTACATTTTTCGTCTCTAAGTTATAAGATAATTGTATAATCATCTCTAAGTGTTGGTCGTGTTCACTTTTTGCCCTTGAGTTATCATTAGCGTTGAACTTTTCGTCTTTTTATTAAATATTCATGGTCACTTTTCGTTACTGAGGTATACTAAAGTTACAAATTTTTCATCCCTAATGTTTTGTTAGTAAATGGAGAAAAAAGTGCAACGCCATTGATATTTAAGGACGAAAAGTGAGCATAATCAACACTTAGGAACGGATTTTACAATTATCGTATAATTTAGGGACGAAAAGTGTTTTTAAAAAATTATCTTAAAAATATAATTAAATACAAAAATTAAATGATTTGATTAGTGAATAATAAATTATGATAGAGAAAGTGCGATTTTTGGGGCCGGTTATTTTTGCAATATTCAATTATTTTTTTCACCAATCGTAAGCTAACTTAATTTTATATTTCGCTCTCATCAAACTTTACTATGCTTCATATGCTGTCGGTTTCAACAGTTTATATCAGATTTGATTGACTTGAAAATTTTCCTAAATAAAAAATAATCAATTTGATTAAAAAAAACAAATGTCACTATAATAAAGAAATAAAATATGGATTTAAATTTTTTACCTTCAACTTTTAATGGTTTATTTAATTTATATAATGTGGATATATAGATTTTGAATAAATTTCACTTTTAGTCTATTGATTAATATATATAATTCGCTAGGAAATTGAACGGCATGATCAAATATGATAAAAATTACATAGTTATGTACATAATTAAATAATTTTAATAATTAAGGACCTCATATGATTCATGGATTATAGTCAATGGATCAAAAGTGATTTTTTTTCTAAAGCATTCACAACTTTGTGTATGTATGTATGGAACAAAAGAAGAAAAAGATGTGACAAAATTTATTATAAAGTTAAATCTGTCACTGCTTTCGTAAATTGTATAATATGTTTCAATTGAACAACAAAATTAAATGTTTATTTTTTGTGATTAGTCAAATTTGAATAATAAATCCTATAACGGTTAGTAAAGCAATAATTTTCATATTTAAGACTAGTTAATTGATTTTTTTTTTTTTTTTTTTTGAAAAAAATAAATAAATTTGAGTTGGTTTTTTCTTCTTTTAATTGAATTATACAAAACCGACGGGCAGTAGTGTTTGTCGTGCAGTGGGGCCCTCCGACAAGTTTTTGGTAGGGTGACCTTTTGAATTTTGATATTCACTTCGATTTTTCAGTTTCAGTTTGTTTAGTTTAAAAAAAAAAAAATGAAACCATTTGATTTAATATTTTAATTCGGTTCGTTAATCGTTAATCTCAATTTTGGTTTAGCTTTAGTTCGATTGTTAGGAACCTCAATTTTCAATTTTTTTTAGTGTTTTAGCGTAAATAATTATTTATTTGTTTGTTTTTTTCTTTTTATTAATAATTTAAGATTAAAAATTTATTATGCATCTATTGAGTTCAACTAAGCTCATTTAATGAGATTATAACATGTTTAAAAAAAAAAAAAAACATTGGAGAACTCTAATGGACCAAGATAGAGTATTTTTATAATTTATTTATATAGTGCAACAAACTTTTTTGCTCATATCCAAATCAACCAGCAAGATATAATTAAAATATAAGGAAAAAATAAAACCATCCAAATGAATAGAACATGGCCATAAGTCAATAACCATGAACAATAGTGTTTTACTCATATATGTAATATTTTCACTTCAAGTGTCATACAATGGCCACACAGATTGACATCATGCATCAATTCTCATGCTCAACAATGTGGCCTGTTTGGTTGGGCGTAATTTGACTGTATTTGAATTGCAATTCAGTGAAATCCACAATTACGCTGTTTGGTTGGAGGGAATTGCAATTCCACATAATTGCAATTCCCTCATTTTGCTGAATTGCAATTCATGGGCACCCCCCTATGAATTGCAATTCGGTGGTTATGGGAAAAGAAAAAATGGATGAAATGACAAAAGTACCATTAATTATTACTACTATTATTATTACACAAGGACATTTTAATCTTTATATCACTTCTTTCATTCCCTACCCAATAATTCTATTCATCCCTACCAAACAATGTAATTTGAATTCCTACTTTATTCCCACCTTATTCTTTTCCCACTGAATTTCAATTCCTTACTTCTAACCAAACGCCATGTAAAGTCACATTTTACAGACATACAACAAAAATTAAATTCTAATTTTATTGAATGCATTAATTATGTTGACCGCCTAAATTTAACTAATGAGAAAAGTTCATATACATATGCAAGCATATGAACTTGGCGAGGGCAGCAGGTGAGGCTTGTTCGATTGCATATTTGCATTCGGTTCAATACAATTCGATTTGATTCGAAAATTTTGAATTGAATTACCTGCCCTAATTTTCGGTACCGTTACACCTCTTTTTCCGTCTTGTAACGTTTTCACATCACATTATTTTTCTTTTCCGTTGGAGACTTTGGGAAATTGTGCTTCCCTCCAAGTACTCCATTGTCGACACATACGGTGTAAGACTGTGGGAAGGTCACCACGCTATAACCTATATGCGGTATTATGTACTCACGACGTTTAGTAGTTGACCCTGGTTTTCAAAGAAATTACAATTTGTACTACCACTTATATATGCCAAATGAAGGGTTCGGGTGAGAACACTAATCCGGTAAGAAGTGCCGACACATCTACACCATTCATAAATCAAATGTTAGAATCTTACCATTACTAAAATTTTTAAGTTTGCAATAATTATAGAACAAAATATGCTCTTAAACTTTTTAATGTTTATAAAGTTGACATCGTGTTTTTTTTTTTTTTTTTTTTCTTTAAACAAAAATCCTCCAGCATTGATGAACTTTGATAGACAGTTAAAATTAGTCATTACTTTTTACTATGTTATCATTTGATTATGTATATATAATCGATATTCTCGCTGCGTAATCTATATTAATAACATAAAACATAAAGAAGAAAAACAAAATTAGTCAATACGTTATGAAATAAAACAGTAGCGGGTCAACAGGCTGAATCAACAACTTTTTGCCTGAACGCGTTTTATCTTTAACGGTTAAGAAAGTCTTGAAAAGTTAATTGAAAATATACATTTATATTTTATAAGAAATTTCTAAAGTATTAGTAACGAAAAGCTATTGCAAAAAGTTCAAATTCTGAGGTTGTATTGGATTGAGCTTATATCCTATGCAAGAAAAATTAGCGTTGATCAACATTGTAAATTTTTAAATATTTTATGTATTATACACTTAACAATATTGATGAAATTGAAACTTGAAAGTATATTAAATACAATGTTTAATTAAGTAGCTTGTAGCTCAATAACATCTATGTGACTGTCTTTATCGTTAAATACAATGACATTTTGATTTTTTTTATATAAAGTAAGTTGACTAAAGAAAGTTGATGGAGGACCAAAATTATTATGACATAATAATATTAAGACTAAAAAGATATTTTGAAGAGGAAAACCGACAATATTTTGAAATTAAAAATAAAAAATTAAAAGTGAATTATCTATAAAATATAAATTTAGGACAAAAAATTGAACTAATTCTTTTGTTGTTATGTGGTGTACTTTGATTGGTTGATCTGAGCTCATTGGGATTCATAGCGTAGCCTACTACAGCAACGAAGGAATTATTATTACGGAGTATATTAAATTAAATTATTAATATATGCAAAAAAAAAAATAAAATTATTAATAATAAGGGGGAGAGAGAGAGAGAGAGAAAAGAGGTAGAAAAAACACACACGCAACACTGTCACTCTCATCCTCTCTCTGTCCACTTTCTCTCTCTTCAACCACTGTGTTTTCTTCTTCTCAAAAAATCCCAAATTTCGCACCATTTTCCTACTCGTTTCCCTCCAAGACTGCATTTTTTCAACTCCACAATGCGCGATCTCTCTGTGGGTTCCATTTTCCTGGGCTGAATTGCAGGATTTCGCGGAGTTCTGAAGCAAATTCTCCCGGCTGAAATAGGGAAGAAACATGCTCGAAACAGTGCAGAGTAGCTCAGTGCATCGCGTTGGTGGGTTCTCGCAATTGCAGAGCTGCGGGGAGAGCAGTGAGGAGGAGCTCACGGTGCTGCCTCGCCACACCAAGGTGGTTGTCACCGGAAACAACCGTACCAAGTCCGTGCTCGTGGGTCTTGAGGGTGTGGTCAAGAAAGCTGTTGGCCTTGGTGGATGGCATTGGCTGGTAATTCCCTCCAAAAAGTTTGATTCTTTTCATGTTTTGGAGTAATTGCATTAGATCTTGGCTTAATCTGCTTCCAATGTACGCTCTTTAATTTGAATTTTTATTTAATTTATTCACTTCTTCTTTTTACTGTTTTTAGTGCCCTGGTATTGTCTTGAACTGTGATTTTCTCCATTCTCTATTATTTATCAATGCTTCAAGATTCCCTCATCGAATACATGGGAAAAGGGACTGTGAATTCTGTTGTTTTTGTGGACTTTTGATAAAGCTAAATATCTATCTTGCAGATTGGCATCCATTTAGTCTTTATTGGAATGGCACAAATAAAATAATCAATTGAAATGCTCTATTCACATTTGCTAGTAGTGTGGATTGCACACTTGCAGTGTTTAGTTATAAGATAATTCGATGAATGAAATTGCAGGTGCTTACAAATGGCATAGAGGTTAAGCTGCAAAGGAATGCTCTAAGTGTGATTGAAGCTCCTACTGGAAATGAGGAAGATGATGACCTTGAATTCGAGAATTTTCAGTGGAATGGTTCTGATATGGGTGAGTGAATTATTCATTCTCAGTGGTAGATTCTGATGTGCTGTCATATTTTATTCCATTTCCGAGATGTTTTATTTGGTTGTGTTTCTTTAATTTGAGTGTTATGTTGTTTGTACAGCCGTGCAATTGTGCGAATAGAATGAGAGAATGAGAGAAATATATGTGTCTGTCTCACCAGTGGATGGAATTAGTTATTGCAAAATGATTTCTGATATAAAAACTTTCTAGTGTTGTAAAAAGTTGGTAATGCCGGCATGACTTTATCTTCATGATTTGCTTTTTTTGTTTGTGAAATTTTCTAGTCATGTGAAAGTGGCTTACTACTATTCTACTCTGTATATGTTTTTTTCTACGGGTTGTAACATAGGATTCTTTATGCTCTTTAGTTGTGTTTTCACAGTTCTTTACGAGTTCTTTTTTCCCCTTTTCTCCTTTTGCTGACCACTAAGTAATCCATGTACTTGCTGTTCTTTATTTCTTTAGCATCTGATGATACTCAAAAGTCCAATAGATCGAGGCCTCGCATGCTTAAATCGTCTGGGCAGTCTCACAAGACCATGTGCCGGTCTCTCTCATGTGACGCACAGTCCAAAGGCTCTGTTCCTACTCAGCGGTCCATGGTATGGAGGCTTTAGAAATCAGTAACTGCTATAATCACGTTTCTTATTGTCTCCTGTTAACGCATTTGTTACTGTCAAGGAAAAAAAGATACTTTTGTAGGCCGACTCTGGGCCAAATTGCACTATTTTCGTACTGAAAATATCTCTCTTGTGGTGCAGAAAGTTGACCTCAGCAAACTTGAGATGGCTGCACTGTGGAGATATTTGCGACACTTTAATCTCGTGAGTCTCTATCTAAAGTTGCGAGATTAGTTTTAGAATTTGTTTTATGGGGGTATGATTGGATTCCTCTATCCTTACTTTTGTGCTCCCTTTTTTAGGTGGGTTCCATACCTAACCCGTCAAAAGAGCAACTGATTGATATTGTCCAAAGGCACTTCATGTCACAGGTGCTTATTTCAACCGAGATTAGGGAACATAATTTCCGTTTATATTAGCTTAGCTTAACACATCATTTGGAGTCGTTGAATTTGCGTTTTTGAACCCTCTGGTCTAATGCCACTGATTCTTGATTTGTTCTTCTGTGGGTGAAGCAACTGGACGAGTTGCAGGTGATCGTGGGGTTCGTGCAGGCGGCAAAGAGACTGAAGACGGTCTGCAAATGAGAGACGAAAACCTTAGAGAAGAAACGTTTTGGTCCCGACACTAACAAAAACGCAGCAGAGGATCTAATGTTCACTTCCTGCTGTGCTATTATTATCATCTTGTGTATTATATATATCTGAAGTTGTGTTTATCCTTTCGACTTCAGCTCTTTTAGGCTGGTTATGTTAGTTATAGAGGATTTTACCTACCTGTCTTTGTAGCCGTAGATTTTGTAGATAATGTTTGAAGATGGGTGTATCAACTGCTTGGAGGCTTTCTACACTTCCAAAGATTTGGTTGAATATATGGCCTTTGCCCATCCACTTCAAAGTGGTTGGTTCAAATGTATAGCATTATCTGTTATTTACTTAATTTTATCATATACACATATCAGAAAATCATGGTGACTTAATGGCTCAGCAGACATAGCCAAATGTCAGTGAGCACAAATACTACTTACTGAACCAGTGAGTTAAGCTTGTACGAGCAAATTACGCTTAATTATACATTAAAGTGCATATTTAGAGACTTGAAACACAAATTTTGTTGAATAGTCATACAAATGTTTGACACATTTCATATCCTTCAACTCTTTCGAATTTTTGTAAAAGATCAACAATAACAATATTAGGGGAGTCAAGAACCAATGATCATGCATAAAAACGACTTTCCTAACTAAAACATAGGTGCCAAGCACCTTTTATGGCTCCTCTTGAGGGATGGTCACATGATCGAACTCTACTGATGGGGTTTTGACTCTTTAGACTGCAATAGATTGAGAAAGTATAGAACGGATACTACCTTGTAATGGCGTCAATAGTATTCCAAAAAAAAAAAAAAAAAAAAAAAACATAGGCTACACAATTCACTCAATTAACATTTAAGGAACAAAAAACAAATACGAGGAAAGCACTTGGCAAGTTCTTTGATGTCATCAACAATAAAGCCAATGGCAAAATTGGAAGAAGAACAATGAAATTCCCGGTAGACTTGGATGTCGTCTATTTCTACTTGAATATAATTAATCATTTTTCAACTTCTCTTTTAAGACATGAAAAAAGAAGTGAAACATCCTCGAAGGATTTAATTGACGAAATTAAACAATTCAAAGATCAAATTAGTTGAAATTGAAAACTATAAACTACATTGACAATTGGGAAACAATTGAAGGGTTAAAATAGTAATTTCCCCTTTGTTCAATTAAGAATTGGGAGATCACATTTTAAAAAGTACCCCGTAATTATTATAGAAATAATAATAATTTAAAAAGTGTACATTTTCTTAAGTGTAACTAGGCATTTGGGATCGGAGTAGCTGGGCATTTAATGTTGTCGCCAAAGATTTTCCAGTTTTAGGGGATGTTCAATTGTGGTCCGTAAATAGATTTGATTTTTTTTTTTTTTTGAAATAAATCAACAACCACTCATCAAGCAATGACACTCATCAATAGTACTATTTTAATAGCTCTATGAACGTATGGTTGAGTAAGTGAAATAAGATCTCGTACTAAAATATCATAAATTTTATTTTGGTCAACACCCTATCAATTAATTTATTACATAGAGTGTTTTTTAACACAGTTTATCTCTCATCAAATCTTACCATTTTAGTTGTCATCAAATGTATAAAACTATTCGGACCCTAATAAGCCGAGTAAAAAAGAACAAATGCATGTATTTGTAGTTATTCATTTAAGAACCTTTTTATTTCACTACTTTGGTACCATATTAAACTTGGAAGACTAGAGAATATGATGTTCCTCATCGTTGGTATGTCACTTTCACATAATTACAAGTCACTCCCATGAACCATTGTCACATGGATGGAACCCATGTCCAAAAAAAAGGTGTGATCCATTTACGAGTCTCAACATCTAGAAATTAGTAGATGAGATAACTTGTGAAATATATTTATTTTAATTTTAGATATGATTCTAATTATTCGTGGTTATTAATAAAAGTAAAATTTCTGAACTTATTTTAAATTAGTTGATCAGTTAATGAAAGTTTATCCAATTTCAAGCATATATATATATATGGTCGTGCTGCAACAAAGTTTAAGTCGTCAAAGATTAAACTTCCTGTCAGCACATGACGACATTAATTGTTATTATTTTTTTTAATAATAAGAAATTTGTTCTGGGAATTAAAAACTTAAAACATCCTCAAAATCTTACCTTTGACTGGTTGGGTATGTACGGTGCTAATTTCAGGTGACCATCATCATCATCATAATGTAATATGAGCAAGACACGACACGTACTATAACTATATGTTGTTTGGGTTTTTCCTATGAATGGTAAATTCGGATGGGGAATATAAAAGTATTTTTAGGTACAAACATATATATATATATATATATATATATATATATATATATATTAAAATCGACATGTTGTTTTCGAATCATAAACTTAACCGCTTGTTCTAGAGACTAACGGAGGAAGTAAACAGTGAAATGTGCCCACAAAAACTTGTATACAAAGCTAAGTAATTTGAGTCGATATGATGTATATATGGGTGACTTATTTGTACTTTGGGCTTTATTAATTTGTTAAGTGCATATTGACAAGTAAGGGGAAACGTAGTTAATAATGCTAATATTGAACGGTTTACGTATGAGTGGTGAGATTGATGATGATAGAATTTTTTGACATTAAATTCAAATTTTCAGCTGGTTTTATATTTTTAGTAGAAACAAGATAAAAGTTCGTGTTTGTGTGTATAGTAGGATACATAATTCTTATGAAAAATGACCTAACAAATCCAACATATATATATATATATATATATATATATATATATATATAATTAAGTGGATGTTTGGGTGCCAACTGCATCACTATCCCCACCAGCTAAAGTATATATATGCGCAGCGGAAGATGACCCACATACAGGTAAGGGTGGGAGCCAATGCATTTCCCCCTCCAAACTTTTCAAGGATTATATCTTTTGACCTTTGGATTGTAGCGGTTTAGTTTCAAAAGTTAGAAAAAAGTTCCCAAGAAACTATAAGTATATTGGATAGGACTAACTCCACTATTGCTATACAAGTGAAGTCAGAAGATCGAACAATTTTGATCGGATAGATTATCATCAAGAATGAGATTTTTGATGATCCAAAGTCATAGTTAATCAGGGAGCTGAGACAGCATTATTAAGGATATCGGTGGCTGACATCTTTTGTATATGATTAGTTCTAGTTGCATTCTTTTTATGTAGCATTGTTAGACGGGTTGTTACAACAACCTGCGAACTACTTACTATCTTCTCTCCCTTGTATGCTATTTAAAGCTGATTGTTTACCTCAATAATATCAGTTAACTTCATAATCTATTAAGCATTTGTATAGGATTCAAGTTGCATGTCTAATAACAACTTATCGGTCGACTGACATGACAATCTTAGTTAGTTGTCGTATCACGCAGCCCTCCAACATGTTAGGTAATTATGATGGTTTATGATATGCATGACAGAGTGGCAGGACTCAATTGATCTGACTACAATAGTCTTTGTTATAGACCTAATTAACCAAGTTACTCGACCTATTTGCCAACATGTTTAAATTGGATTGTCTTCTACAAATATTAGATCATTTTAACTACCTTATAATTTCATTAACGAGTTTAAAATAAGATCAAAATGTAACAAATTTGATGATCAATCCCAACGTTTAAAAAAAGAAGAAAATATTGCGGGCATATATGCATGTGTAGTAAATAAGTAGTGTTGCTTACGTAAAAAGCAAGATCTTATATGAGAATGACATTTACGCAGATGTGCAGTGTCCGTAGGTGCAGAGCATAAATGAGTTTTAACCACCCAACAACCACTTAATGCAACTGAATGGATAAACGAATACAAGAATTTTAATAATAATAATAATAATAATAATAATAATAATAATAATAATAATAATAATAATATATGTAGGTATGTATGTATATATAGCATACGCATGCCGCATGAGGATTCTGCCATGATTAATCGTCAATTTGCAAGTATTTGTTTTATATATAGGAAATTTTATATTACTCAAGTTTGGCCATAGGAAGGGAATCCAAACTTAATCCGCATAATAATTTTTTATTTTTATTTTTGATAGCAATCCGCATAATAATTTATTTATATATCAGATGGAGTGATTGACTCAGGAACATTTCATTAGTTGATTAATATAGTTAATTTTAATATATACTCATTTCTTTAACTTAATTGATAATTTAATATCCCAGAAACTAATATTAACTATTAAAGCGCCGCAAACTTGTTTGGCATTACAAGGACATATATCTTTAATAATAGTGGTTTTTTTTTTTTTTTTTTTTTTTTTGGTGTTTGAGGAGTTTTTGTAAGTGTGATTAGGAAAGAGAAAATGGGATGAAAGAGGAAAAAATAAAACAATGCTGATTTTTTTTTTAAAGCTTGTTTAACGTACCCAACTAGCGCGTGCTGGGCGCAATTTTGATCTTCACGCGACATTGAATGCTTAGTAAATTAAAATGTTTGGACCCATAAACATGCAAAAACCTAATGCGTTGCAGGAGGTCTTTTTCATCTCTCTCCACATCACATTGTATTTCTTATAAACTGATACGATTAATTCAGGGTTGTACGTAGCGTGTATACATTATACCGTATGTATGTAAAATATATGAACAATGGAGTAGACCAGAGAAAGTAGAGCAAAGTGAACTTCTTTTATTCATAATTGTTCTTGCCTTTTGTAGAGAGAAGTGAGAGAGTTCTCATTCTAGAGAGAGAAAGAGAGAGAGAGTAGGTTGGAAGGACCCCTAATTTGTGAGTCTAATGGCCTATTTATAGGCCCAAGCATTGACCTTGATTTTGACCCGCTGACCCGAACCGTTTGACCCTGACCCGACTATAAATGAGAGCATGATCGTATAGGGAAGCTGAAATCGAGATATATTTCCCATCAAGAGTCCCCCAATCCGTGCCCTGACGATGAGTCAACGAGGAAGGGTTCGGGTTGAAAAATCTAACTATACGATCCGTGACTTGCGCCGGTTACCTCGTTAAAAACCTTAGACTAAGAAAAAACACAGTGGAAAAAAATCTTAGCGAAGGAAAAAAGAACACCACTTTAGAGCATCCACCCTAGTGGTTTTTTTTTTTTTTTTTTTTTTTTTTTTTTGATTTTTTTTTAGAGTCCATGGTGGGGTGGCTATGAGAGAAGGGGAAAGAAGCAAATTTTAACTCCTGCAAGAAATGGTTTTTCGTGGGCATCAAGGAGAGAGAAATAGCTCTGACAATTGTTGTTTTCCTTTTTTTTTTTTTCCATTTTCTTCCATTTTTTCTTTCTCTTTCCTATTTGGCTTCTAAAAAATTGT